TGACTTTCCAATGAGAAAGAATCTTTGAAAGAAGTGGAACGAAATATTCCCTCTAGCTTAACACCCCAGGCCTATCAACTCATAACAGACATGATTCGAAAATCTAAAAAGGGATGATATTGTAACATACAACTTAAGGATCTTTCTGATGTGACCAAATTGCTAATTAATTAATTAATTTTTCAATTGAACTCTCAGTTATTCCCATCCCGCCAACAATTACAAATTAAAAATACAAAAAATTAGTTGTACATGTCTCAACACGATTTCAACGGTTTGTATTTGTGTTTCAAAAAATCATCATCACCAACTTTGATCACTGAGATTAGGAATGTCCAACGGAGGTGAAGAGTCAAAGAGTATGTTCGTTGGAGCTAGTCTCCAATCTACCAATAATCAATTAGTGAAATGTAAGTAGGTTCCGAACACATCATTCAAATCATGATGACTGCGCGGAAGGCATTGAGGAATTACGATTAAGGAGGGATGAAGTTACAAGGCAGATTATAAAAGAAGAGGAAGAAAAGAATCGTATTCAAAACGAGCTTAGAGTGCTTTCAGAGAAGCTCAATCGCCTCAACGACGGTTTGAGCAGAAAATTACAAGCAAAACAAGAATATGAACGAACACTGCAAGAAACAGAGGCAGCTTATAACAAGGTATGTTACATGTAAGCTGTGAATACAATTAAATGAATACTCTTCGTGGATTAGATTTTGGAAAGTTCCCAAACACTATTGCATGTTTTGAAACGAGAAAGTGCAAGCCTTTCCAAGAAAGTCGGCCAATAGATTGCTTGCAGCAATAGATTATAGGCAGCTCCGATCAAACTATTCCATTAATTACAACCTCTCCAATGAACCTTTGAGATTTCATTCTCGTTGAATGCATGCTCTCACACTGCTCTGTTGCAGTTCCCATCCCTTCTTGAAATTTCCTTTATCAGACCAATAAATTTTTTAATTGTTAAAATGGAAAAAAATGTGTGCAAAGCGGCTCGTTGGGCATGATTCGGACCAAAGACTTTTCCGATGGCTTGCATCTCCCATACACAAGACTCTCGGTGTTTGGAATAACAGAAATTTTCCAACAATAATATTTAAAACATTTCTGATCCGATGTTTTTCTACGAGTAAATTAATACATGAAGCCAAGAGCCAAGAGAATAATTTTTCATCGTCTCATCACCATAGTAATCATCACAACAAATCATACACAGTGGCCAAGCCTCCTGAGCCACCAAAAATTGTACACGAGGAGCAAATTACTCTTTCTTTTAGCGACCCACAACCAAGCACAACTAATTTAACAAAATATAACCTCGGAAATCGTTCGTCTCGTATCCAACACCACATTCAAACCGAAAACAATGAAACACAACATGATACTAAGCCAACAAATGAGGCTCTAGCAGAATCCGCGAGACTATTGCTGCTTAAAAACGCAGAAGATGCCATTAACGTTATCAAAACGTCTTGTGAACTCGGTAGTGATGGAAGGATAAACATTATTCATTTACTTTCTCAAGAGGGTGGGGTTGAAGTTCTTTGGAGGCTTCATCAAGCATATTCTGAAATTGGAAATTTTGAAGAAATGAAGAATATTTATTTGACCGTTGAAGCACAGAAAAATATTGATGTCTTTATCAAAAACAGGTTTAAGGGAGAGTTTGTCAATTTGTATTCTAAAAGTGGAAATTTCAAAGCGGCATTTCATGTATTGGACGGTCTTCCAATTTCGTCAAAGTGGATTCAATTATTTATTAATGCATCACAACAAATATTGCAAAAAAATGTTGGTGAAGTGCATCACGTTATCAAGTATCTATCTCAGTTAATTAATCATAGAATGGATGAAATTAATAAGAAAATTATCAATCCAGATCATTTGTTAAAACCAGACCTAAATACACAAAATAAGGAAGTTGGAAAAACAACCACTAGTCAGCAGGTACATGATCACATCTCAAGGTCCGAGCCACTTGAAAACTCTCTTCGCAAAATTAGGATCTTTTTTGAAACCTTTGGTGCAAAGTCACATCTCAGCCGATTCGCTCTCATGATTGCTGAAGCCTACTCTTTTCTTGATGAACATGCCAACATTGAGACTATTTTCAACCATTTACTCGACTCAAAAAAAGAGAACGTGAAACATACGTATGCTACTACTATCAACCTCAGAAAATTGAAAACTTTAGCAATGCAGTCTCTGATATGGCAACAACGACACCAAGATGCTATCACTTTGTTTTTTGACAAAACTATACCTTCAGATAATGGTAGCTTTGAGCAATTAATGAAAGCGTTCATTGATCTGGGACAAATGGATTTTGCAATTTATTTATACAAAAAGTACATTACGAATCCGACAGTAGGCATATTTAGCGAGTTGGTTAAGGCGTACGTTTTAAAAGGATCATTACAAAAAGCAGAAGAAATAATGAGGGAGTTCTTGGAGGCCACTTTTATTCCACAGCATCGTAAAGTGGCTTTTCAAACATTGCTGCTAAAAGCATATGCTGAGAATCATCTCATTTATCAAGCTCAAAAATTATTTGATACCATCACTCAACCTGATAACAGATGCTACAATGAATTAATGAAAGCATATTGTAACATTGGCGATAGCGTGAAAGCTAGAGAAATTTTCAAAGTTATTCCTGAAAAGGACACAGTGAGTTACTTGTATCTGCTGGAAAGTTACTTGCTGGATTCTGATTCTAGATCAGCTCTCAAAGCGTATGAACACATTCCACAACCTACGAGTTCCCATGCGGATATTGTGATACGAACTATTTTGAGAGATGAGAATTATGGTGGCCTTGAACAAGCAATTCAATTTTTTAACACACTCGAACAGCCAGTATTGAGCACTCAGAAACACATATTGAGGGCGCTAGCAAAATTTGGCTCTGAGAAGGAAGTTTATGAATTTCTCGAAGCAATTCCCAACCCAGACATGGAGTGCTTGAGCTGTCTTTTATTGCATATATTTAAAAGTGGGAGTCCTGACATTGAAGCCGCTAAAAAAGTGTTTGACATGATTCCTCATCCTGATGGTATTTGTTATGGCTACATGATTTGTATTTATGGTAGAATTGGAGATTTAGAGATGGTGAACCAATTACTCCACCAATTTCCATCCACTTTTACAATGCAAGGATATTTCTATGCTTATATTGCCAACGATGAGACCAAACAGCTTCTAGAAGAGTATCCTCAACTGTTAGCGAAATATCCTCGTTGCTTTTCAACCAATGATGTGTATGTATCAGCAATAATGGAAGCAATTCGAAGTAGAAATGGAGAAGCAGCCCTTGAATTGTTTTTCATTTACATGGAACATGCAAGGACCAAGTTGGCTCGTGATCTTGCGTCACTTCTTGAATTTATTTGCCATGAAGGTAGTATTGAGAAATACAAAAGACTGCAGCCACTTATTCAAAAAATTGTGGAAGCTCTGCCGAAATGTGTCTCCACACCAAATGTTCGAGACAAAATAGACAAATTGGTAACAGACATCAAGGAGGTTTTGGAAACGGATGTTTAAAAACTCAATTTCTTCTTTAAATGTTATTGTGACAACATGTACAGATTATTTTATCTAGTCATCATGTTTACGTGGTGGGGGTTTGAACGCTTCTGGGTTTTTTTCCATCAACTCTCTCAATAAATCTTGCTTTTGTTTTTTCTTCGGATGTTGGTAATCCTAATTGTTTTTGACGTTGGTCATACATCATCTTTTCAACTGTTGCTCTTGCTTCTGGATCTAAATCGCTGAGCTTGGATGTTTCTGGTTCAATTTTTTTCGTGTCAATTTCAGCATCATTTTCTGTTAATTATTCCACCATTGCATGGTATTTGCTTTTGTAAAAAGACATGACTTCCTTCTTGTCATCAATTTGCCAAAACGAATCGTCCACAATAACTTTTTCATTTAATTTTCCCTGTGATAATGTAAGAATAAAAGTTGAACGAAAATATGAGATCATTCATCGGAATGTAAAATGATCAGCAAATTATAAGTATTGCATTAAATAAGAAATCAAGCATATTAATATCGCTTGTCATCATTCCGATCAAGAAAAACACCTACATCAATAATTGTTTCTCCTCCTTTGAGCCCAACTTTCAAATGATTTGGAGAAATCACCACATTTACTTGTTTTCCCGTGGTTCCTACTGGTACAGGAACATGGACGGTAACCTCTGCCAAGGTTTGAGTAAAAGAATACTTTTCATAGTCGGCTCCGTTGCCCTTGTTTGGGTTCTTTAATGAAGATGAGGATTCACTCATTTTTTTTGATTCGGAACGAACAACAGGAATTTCGGAATTGAAAGTGAATTGCTCCTCCACTAGTTTATAGGATACAATTTCTATGATCTCTATTTACATTGGAAATGGACACTTTGGACCAGATTGGAAATAAATTAATGTGAGGCTCCGAGAATGGATCTTCTACATTCTTCTTCATCTTGATTGCTCTTTCAAGAGCTTCCTTTTCCATTTCCTCAATTTTTGTAATGTTATTGATTTGAGGGGCATAATTTTAGGTTTACTCAAAATCTCGCTCAGAGTACTCTTCTCCGAGTAGACCAGTCCTGCTTTGGCAATCACTTCCGTTATCTTTTGCTCTTGATCCTATTCATATTTGTTTAAATTATTACATGTATACAACCATGAGTCATATCATCATCATGATCCGTAGAATGGACTTGCTGAGTTGAGGGATTGCCTTTTCATCTCTCTGAATACAAACCTTAGTGCTGCTGGGTGCCATTTTTTTATGCTGCTTTGGTGTTTGCTGAATTTCATACAACTCGACAATTTCAATTGAACTTCATTTCCATGTATTTGAAAAAAAAGAGGTGATATCATCATGGTCATTTCATGTGACAAATTGCGTCATGTTACAATCATTACATCCTCAATGACTATTGAGATAAAGACTCTTTGAATGAAAGTATTTCATCATAAAACACATGTTTGAATATTGAAAATAGCGTTTCATCATCGTCATTCACTTCTAGAGAATTTTCATCAATTTGTTTTGCTTCAAGAAGAGTATCATTTTGAAGATAGATGCAATTTGCAAAGTATTCATGTTGAAGAGCTTGTTGAATGGTTAATCTAGATTCAGGGTTCCATCTCAACATGCCCTTGAGAAGGTCTGCTTGTAATGGATGAAAATTTGAACAAATTTCATGGAGAATTGGTTGCTGATTATACTTGTTTGGATCGAGTTTGGACTGAAAATAATGAACAGATTTTTCTGTACCTTTAAGATCTTTCAATGAAGGGTAACCTAACACTTCACAGAATTTATGTAAATGGTCAAGAACTGTAATGTAGAAATGATGAGTTGAACCATGAAATTCAATGTCAATGTAAACAAAAAGAATGTATGTATCATTGAGCAGTTTTAAGAACTTACCACCATTCACCCGAAATAATTCTTTTTGCTTGAACAAGCCATGCTCAAGACAAAGTAATTCGAAGAAAATACATCCAACAGAGAATACATCGATCGCTGTGGTTTGTTGATGGTATTGCACTGCATGTTGTGAAAAAATTCGTTGGTTTCAAATTTCATAACAAAATGTTCCAACTTACTGACAACTTCAGGTGGCCGATAGTATCGAAAGCAAACGTAAGAGCTCCCCTTCTCAGTTTGTTGTTTTTTTGAGAGCCCAAAATCAGCCAAAACCACACGGTCTCCATCCATAAGTAAATTTTCTGGTTTTAAATCACGATGAATAATGTTAAAATTGTGCATGTAATTTAGTCCACATAGTATTTGGCACATAATATTTCTTGTAATGGTTGGTGAAATAGTTTCTTGCAGTATTCTGCTGTTGGACATGAAATTGGCTAAATTTCCATCCTTCATAAATTCCAGTACAATATATAAATCTTCAACTTCAAATGGGACTTCCTCAATTTGGGAGGGGGAATAAAACCCTTCCCACCGAAAACACTTGGTGAAACAGAGCCCATAATTTCTAAGTGAGGACTGTTTTGATTTCCCGTTATGTACATATCTACAAGTTTGACAATCTTGTGTAAATTAAACGGTAAAAGTTATTGTGACATGTTTGTCATATTATGTGTTGATGAATAAATTGTGACCTACATTTGGATGGCCATTAAGTAGTTTCATTATTTTAATTTCTCTCAGTAAATGCTTTCTGTGTCGTTTTGAAAACACATCTCCAATTTTCTTAATAGCAACTTCTCTTCCTCCGTTGTGATTATCAAATGCCTTGAACTGATTCGTATTGAAATTTGTAAAATAAAATTCCAAAGCATCAAGATTTGATTTTCAAAAAAGTCAAGTCACATACACAAATCAGGAAACGTTCAAAATCATGCAATTTAAGAATATTCTACTTACAACAATTCCAAAGCTTCCTATACCTAATGCTTTCACAAGCTCTCCCTCCATGCTATGTTTCAAGTCTGGTGTGTAACGTTCGGGTAGCAAAACTGTCGTGTCATAAGATCCTTTGTATTTCAAATATTTACAATAAAACATCTTTTTAGATTGGGGAGTTGTAGTACTTGTAAATAAATCCACACTGGCTGACTGTTGTCTTGATTGTTGCTGAACAACAGCAGCAGTGTCAATCGGTGAATCAATTTGTATCGTGAGGGATTTATGTTTAGTGGGAGTGCTTGATTTCCGGTTGAGAGAAAGGTGAAGATCATCGGAAGCTGTTGCATGACGGTGATGATTCGTACAAGACTGAATGGATCCCGATGAGGATTGATCCATAGAGAAGGAATTCAAAATACCGTCATGATGATCCTCGGAACGTGTGGTGAGATGATGAATACCATCCGATTGCATCAAGCCTTCTTCTTGCTTCTCATCTTGATTTAAATTCATTTTTTAAGATTTAAATCTCAAATCGGCAAGAGTAAAAAGGAATAGCTTCAACCTTATTCTCCCGCCACTTCAAATTACAAAAAAAAAGAAATGAAAAGACCAAGCTCCAGGTCAGGCTCATTTTCATCCACTTCACCAGCTTCGAGTTCAGGCAGCAGCAACGCACGAAGTTCTCTCAATGGAATTATTTCGGTTCAAAGAATAAAAAATACGGCCAATGAAAATCCATACATTGATGAGGATGAAGATTTGAAATATCATAATTATTCGGAACGAAAATTAAAACAACCAATTGGACAAACGATTATGGAATTATCAAATTCCTCAACGATGAAGAATACTACCAGAAAGTCTCAGAATGCTAGTTTGAACGGATCCAGTAGTGCCATTCCGCCATCCAACGGACCACAGTCCGAATCCATCACTAAATCATCGTTTAAAACAAAAGAAGAAACAATTTTAGAGGAAGAATATATTCGTAATTTACAAAAACAAATTAATTTACTTTCTACAGAGTTGGACTTGCAAAAGAAAGTGAATCAGGAACGAGAACGAAAAATGGCTGAAAAGACAGACGCGTTGGAAGATCCCATTCTAACCCTAAAGAAAAAATTTGCAGAAAAGGATGAGATTAATCATCATTATATTGAAAAGTTTCAACAGGAAATTGCAGATCGTGAAAATACCATTGTCAAGCTCAAAGAAAAATACAAGAAATGGAAAAACAAGAATGTTCAAGAACGAGAATCTGCAAAACAAGAGATACGAAGCCTCCATGAAAAGTACGTACCTGAAGTGATCAAGTTAGAGAAGCAAGTGGACATGCTTCAATTACGTCTCAAGCAAGAACAAACAGAAAATGAAAGAAAGAATGAAGATGCCAAACAATTCCTGAAAGAGATTGGAGAAATTACCAAACAAGTAGATTTCCTCAAAATGCAAAAAGATCAAACCGAAAAGCAATTACAGCCTCTTATGGACGAATTGTCACAAGTGAAAAAAGAGCTTTTGAGCTACAATACAGATCGTGATAAAGACAAGAATGAGATTGAATCATTGAAAGGTAGACTTTCAAAGTACGAAAAGGAGTGGGAAGATGCTGTTCATCAGCTCAAGAAAAAAGAGTTGGAGACAAAACAGCTAGAACTCGACAAGGAATTGCTTTGTGCTGAAAGAGATAAGGTGAAGGAGCAAGTTGTGACGCTAAATAACAAGAATAACGAGCTTGATACACAAATAACCAAACTTCAAACAAAACTCAACGAGACCCAATGGATTTAACTCGATTAAAGGTAAATTATGAAAGTGTGATGAAGGAAAAAACAAGACAGGAGAAAGACAATGAAAGAGCTCAAACCGAATTTAGAGACAATCAAATCAAATATGAAGAGATGAAGCGACAGTACAAAGAATTGCAAAACAAACTTCAAAGCAAAGAAGAAGAGTTAAAATCGTTCCTTCACACACAATTCAATGCGCTCAAGGTCAAGAATGAAAACCTGGAAAACACCCTAAAAGAACTATCAAGTCAAAACGAGGTGCTTCGAAATGAGAACAGGAAGCTCGCTCAGGAAAACGAGAAATTATCCAAAGATCACGAAATGTGGAATGCAGAGAAAGAGCAGTATGAAAAGAACGACATTCAACGAAGAATATTGGTGAAGAAGCTTAAAAACCAGCTCAAACTTTCAATGGCTGTCACTGCCATTGACAAGCAGCAACTATCGACAATTTTCAAATCAAACGTGAACATTGCAGAATCAATCAAGTCGCTAATGGATGTCATCAAAGAAGGAAACGAAATTAGTGAAGAAGAAAAACAGTTTATGAATCAATCTCAACCCACAAAAGAACCAAGTGAAAGCACAAAGCGATAACACATGTGTTCTGTTAAATTGGAAACGGTCAGAATCATTTAAAATTTCATCTTCTCAAGCACTGGGAGCTGCTTGTGAAAGCGAGAATCTTCTAAAGGAAAATATGGATTGATTCATAGTCATCCAGAGTCGAATGTCACAATCAAAGTAATTGCCAAGGATGCTCAATTATGCACAGACATACTGCTTGTTATTTTACGAATATACTCCTGAAGGAAATAGCTCTTCTTTATCACCTCGAAATTTCTAACGGTGCTACTAAACCATTCTGCTTGAGACATTTTCTTGAAGACTGGTTTTGGCATGGTGTGAATACCTTTCTTTAGAATATTAAAAGATTCCGCAATGTCTTCAATCTATGCAATCGTGATCACAATACAGTACACAATTGTGTTAACAATTCACTCAAATTTGTAACAAATATTCATACCTTCTTAGATGTAAAGGGAATCATAAAGAAATTCACAGTTTCGTTTTTCTTAAAATTGTGATGCCACATATGTGGATGGATATGGCCGTTTTTTCTAAAGTATGTACTCGAAAAGTACGAATCAAGCAATGCTTGCATGTGCTTAATATTCAATTCGCTCATATCCCTAGGTTGTACCTTGTTGAAAACAAAAACAATTTCAGGAACATGTCCTTCAAGAGTAGCTGCTGCAGAGGAAGAAACCTTTCCACACTGAGTAATGCTTGGTACTCCTTGCTGTAACATTCTAATTGTTTGAATAAATTGAAACATTTTGAATTGTTCAAGCGCATCTGATTGATGATCCAACATGACAATAACGACATGTGCAACACTGAACACAAATAACGCAATTTGAAGACTAGTAATGTCAACAAAACTCTCTAATGCAGCAATTGATACCGCCTCAACAGAGGGCTCAAATGACTTAGATCCGCTAGAAGTGAGTCCCATACTGTGTCCAGATGTGGAATAGTAGCCACTGCCGCTCGTTGGATGTTGAACTTGAGAAGCAAACAAAGGTTGGGTATCAATAAATATTTGCTGATCTGAAGTTCTATAAATGTCAACTCCACTGGTCTTATATTTGCAATCCAGAAAGCACTCCACATCTTCAACAGCAAAAACCTCTCTATTCCAATGAGAGAATTTAAAAGAAGAGATTTACCACTTCCTTGCTTACCAATAACTCCAATAACGGAATAGTTATTGCTTTCAGTAGATAATTGCTTGTCGTTTGGGAATAGATTTGCAAGTTGTTGTAGGTGATTGGATTGCAATTCCAGAATACTATTAAATGATCCCGAAGCAATTTCGTGAATAAGACTTAGTCCCTTGTCGGTAAATCCTTGAATAATGGGATGATCTGGAAGCTTTAGTGCTGCAACTGATGATGTACTTGGTTTGTTTGCCTCGAGTTGACCTCCATTCAACTCTTTGGAGGATACGGCTCTTGTGGCAATGTTTACTGCTTGCGTCACATTGGCCGAAGTATAATTCTGGCTTATAATATCTCCTAAATGTGTTTGTGAAGAGGTTTGAGAAGTGTTTGCAGTACCCTTGGGTGCTGTACCACTTGTTGGCTTTTGTAACAATTGAATACCTCCCGGAGTAGTTGTTGTTGCTGAAGTGCTTATACCATTAGATGGTACTTGTGGTTCGGTTTGACCTCTCTTTGGTGCCAATATTTGTGGAGTACCTTTGATTTGAACGTTGGGTTTGGAAACTAGACTTTTGTACGTGGGCTTTGGAGATGTAATCATCATACCTTTGCCTTCGTGCGATGATGATCCCTTTCCTGCTCCCGATGAAGTCATGGGGGTAGTGTCTTTGGTGCCATAGAATTGGGATGGTTGAGGCTGCTTCTTTCTTGATCCTCCACTACTACTCGTACCACCACTGCTATTGGAATTTACTCTTGCCGATGATGTTCCATTGTTGTTGTTGTTATTGCTGTTGTTATTTGCATTCATTGTAATATTAATTTGACCACCAGTACTATGAGCGATAAACCTCGAATTTGATTGTGATAATGATGATGGTTGTTGTTGCTGGTGTTGATTCATACTCGGTTCATTTCAACATATCAGCCGCTTTGTATTACCAATTTGAGAATTAATAATTTCGGATAGATTGATACAAATCTTCAATCGGATATCAGGCCTGATCTAATGAATGTTCAATCACCTCTGATGTAAACAAGTAAAATTATGAACAAATCAATACTAATGGGGTGATGAAAAGAAGAACAAGCAAAACAATTTTTTTGAATAAAAAATTAAAAACATTTGGATTTCATTTCGGCAATCAATTAAAAACCCCATGTTGATTATGTCTCTCATAGTTGAATTTGATTCAAGTGTTGTTTCATCTCCTCTTCCTTTTGTTCTCTCAACCCAGACATTCCTTGCAAAGCATGAGGTGGAAAATAACATTCACTGAACTTGTCTAATTGTGAGGAGAAGATGGCAAGTTCTTCCTCTTCACTATAAAAAGCACCCTCAATGAGAGAAGTACTCTCACTTCCACTATTCAAACTCAAGAAGGAAAAGCCACTCGTGTCTTGAGAAGTTGTTGTTGCTGAAGAGGCAGAGGGTACAAATGTAGTCCTGTAAGAAGCTGTCCAATAAAAGCAATACACCACACTCAATATCAATATGAGAGACATGAGGAAGAGATGAATATAAGTCACATCACCAGTCTTGGCAAAGAATAGAGTAATGTAAATTTGAGCAAGGATGAGACATGCAAAGGTTTTTTGTACAACCATCTTGTTTCTCTCTCGGTAGGAAGTTATGTCTGGTGAGATTTTGAATCGAGCTCGATCATTCTTTGAGCACAATCTTGAAATATTGTATCGATCCACAATATGCTTGACTAAAAAGTAGAAAAATCCAACAGGTAAAACAAGTGGAACGAATACAGAAAAGGTCAATAAAATTCCAAAGTAACTGGTTAAATATCCATATTCGAGAGGAAGGTCAAATTCAGCAATGGTGGTTGCTTGTTCCTTTTCTTCCTCAGTCACACTCTTAAATCTCAAATAGAAATATTTGATGAGATCTTTCATTCGAATAATGTCAACAAAACATCCTAATAATGCATACTGAATGACATAGTTCAAGAAGAAGGCACCTGATTGAGGTAAAAATAATCGATCGAACAATGTTCTCCAATCTTCTCCACTTCCTTCTGTTTGGAAATAACGTAAAATACCATCCAATGATGTCAACAAACAAACTGGAAGTACCAATGTTGACAAAATCAAGTAAATAAATAATCTCAATAGGTAAACTCGAGACTCTTGGGAGTAGGCCTTATATTTCTCCAATGAAGTTAATATTGGAATAGTCATTGGCAATAATTGTGTCACTAAGAAGAGTAATAGAGTTGGTAAATAGTGGAAAAGTAAATCTCCAGTGTATCCACTTGCTTGTTTCAATTGATTGAATGCAGCAGCAGCTTCTGGAATTCTGTTTGCAATTGTTTGAATTGCAGACACAATAGCAAGAGGACTTGTGAAAAAGAGCAACAAAATGAGAAGAGCAATATTCACAAAACCAACTCGAACACCTCTTTGCTTACTCGTCACTGCATAATTCTTCCAATTAATGTCACTTGGTTCGTAGGTACGAGGTTCAATTCGGAAATCAAGTCCTTCATTAGTTTTGAACCATTTCAACCCATTCATGGATTGAGCTTTGCACTCCGAGGCATCATGAATGGATTTAAAAATGATATGACCATATCCAGTTGCTTTTGGCATCATCTCAAATGTGTGTTCCCAATCAGAAATCTGTTGTTCTAATTTTTCTTTCTGATCATACCAATAATTCAAAGCGTCTACTCTCTCAACAATTTTTGAACAGCAATTGGCTTTCTTGGAGCTTGATTCAAACAATTTGATCAATTTCACATGCTTGTTCGTTTCATTTTTCACATATTCATAGTGTTTGATATGTTGGAGAGCGTTTTGATATTCCTCTTCAATTTTGATTCGTTCACTCGTGTCATGAATTAATCGACATGAATAAATTCTCATGTTCGGGAATGCACTTTCAACGGCTTTTCTAAATTTCATGTTATCAGTGCACTCTACTGGAAGATCCTTCACAAGAACGCTGTAATTGCTGACCATGCTGTAGGTCGATCCGTAGCCAGAGGGAGTACTCGACACATTCAATAGTCGCTCGTCACTATTATTCGCTCCAATTGATTCATGGTTCGTGTGACCACTAGTAGTAGTAGTAGTAGTAGAGGATGATGATCCAGTGTCACAAGTTCCTCCTCCACCATCCATGTTAATATATTGTGTCACAAACTTGGATGAAGAAAATCGGTACAATAAAAACAATATCAAGAGTGAAAAAGCATAAAACAAGATCACATGGGCATACATTCGATCAGGAAGTGACAAGACCATATTCACACTGGTTCGATACAGAAACGAAGAGGTCTCAATTTGAGTCGTATTCACAAGACTTGAATTGACAATGGTAGGCGTTCCTGTCAAATGCAATGGTAACAAACAACTTAGCCCAACAACTGTCGCAAATCCAAAAAACAAAATGAATTGATGTTGATACCACAAATACACGCTCACTTCTTGTCCATATAATTTTCCAATTTTCACATATTCACTTTCAAGGAATAACCAAGAATAGAGTCGATAAAAGAAGCGATAGAGAACATTTTGTGAAGTGGAGGATGGAGAGGATAAATTGGGTGATGATGTACCACTGCTGCTGCTACTCAACGATGGTTGCTTCTTCTTCTTCCATAATCTTAAATTTTGAAGACAACAAAATAAAATCAATAATCCCAATAAAAATACCTGATTTGGAAAATACATGTGTGACATCATAGTAATTACGATCATGAAGTTTTGAATGATAATAATTCAATGGTTGATTCGTGAAATTGTGTGATGTTTAACATAAAAGAATTTTTGATGATCGGAAAGATGATGATGATTCACAACAACCAAATAAATAATTATTACACTCGAACACGATCTACTTACACAACCATCAAGAATGAGAATAAAACTGACACCGCTATGATTGGATTGTAATTGCAATACTTGTGAAGAATTCAATGCATTGGTCGTGATGGACGTGATGGGATTTTCATTCAAAAGACTTGTCATCCTCGTGTGTGTTTGAGTGCTACGCCAATGTCAGTATTGTAATTTTTTTTATTCTCTGAAAGGTTGTGAAAGAATTACGAGAATTTCTGATGAACCAACAACATTGCTGACCTGTTTGAAATAATGTTGATAATAAAGAAGAAACATACTTGACCTATAATAATGATCATGCCGGCATTCCCTCATTCAAGTATTTTCAAAAAGTTTCAAAATATTTCATTCTTACACATCATGATCCATGGTTCTCTTGGACATTTCCAACTCAAATTCACTCCAGCCTTAATGGCTCGAGCACTCAAAAACTGTCCATTTTCTACTCGTCCTTCCAAAGGTAATTGCACTTCTCCTTAAATTTATATTCATTTCTCATGGTAATATTAAATCGTCCCATTCCAAATTGTTCTCCCATACTGTGTCGAATTTCCTCATTCGAAATGGTATTTGGGTAAATTTTAGGAACTGAATGAAAGACCATGCGTGAACGTCCTCCAAAGATGACGACATCTCCACTGTGCAACAGCACTTGTTGGATGTCATTGTCATGAGTATCGAGAGAATTTCTATTTTGAAAGAGAGCATCATTTCCCAATGAAATGGATACCACAGGTCGAGTGAATTCTAAATGTTGTTGAGTGCTCATATTCGGAATGGTATCTGCATGAAAACCTATGGAACCATTTGGAGGATACCAATTTAAACGAATGAGATCAAAATTTTCACTCTCAATGTTCGTGAGCGAGTTGAAGCCATTGTTGAGCGAGTGAATGTAAAATTTCACACTTGTGTATGGAATGGGAGTCGAAAATGAGAATATTGATTCGTCGTTGTTGTTCTGGAGACCATTCGTGTGTTAGCTTTCTAGTGTTGGACCTTCTTGTTGAATAATGTGTTCAATCAATTGTTTTTGAGTTGTAATGTCAATGGCTTGAGAGAGATGAATCAATCCATCATGAAGAATTGTGATTTGCATATTTTTTCTTCTTTCTTGAAAACAACCAGACAAGATTCCCAACTAAGTTTTGCAAATTGAACATTGTTTCTTTGATGCAATTATTGAATTTGAAAAGGAGAGGTTGTTTGAAAAAGTTGTAAATATTGCAAAGGACTTCCTTTCGTTCCGAGTTTGTTTTCTCAAGTCCCATAGTTTCACAGTCAAGATTCTCAAAGGGACTTGACTCAAAAAATCTCCTTTTAAAGAGGTTGAAATTTCCTGAACACGCACTCCATTTTCTCTGATGATCAAGTTGACTAAGCACAGGACACTCCCTTCAATTCTCCATTCTTGTTATAATCATTGTCCTCACCAATTCCTCATTATTCTCTGCCTACTCATAAACCCATAAAAGTACAAATTTCGCTGCAGTAACAAGATTCAAGAAAAAAATCAAACAAATTCCCTGAGAGACTGCTTCGGGTTGGCCCCATACAACCATCAAGGCTTCTTACTCTATATTCAATAATCATATATACTCATCGGAAAGAATGAGATTGTTATCAAGATGGGTGTATCGTCCTAATAATGGTATAAATATGGCTTCAAGTAACGACGGAAGCTTTTCGCCGTACTACTCTTCTTCGCATCAACGTGGTTATAACCATCACATGGAATCACCTCATCAGCCAACTAAGACGTACAGAATTAATGGATACTGGATGTTGATAAAGGGCATGGTGATAGTCATGCTGTGTATGGGTTGCATGGGTTTGTCCTATTTTGAAATATTTCGAAAGGCTTCATGGTCGTCGGGTGACAGTGTTTTCCATGTCACTCTTTTCAATTCTTCTCCCATTTCCTTAAATAATCTCGAACAACCTCTCATGTTATTGAACAGGTCCCAAAATTTTGCTTCCTCTTCTCAAGAAGATTCCACTCAAGAAAACACAAAGATTTGCACAAAAATTTCAACCTATGAGTTGGATCAATGTCAATTCGCAAAGGAAAATTGCATGTCACCACTTGGAGGCATGTTAAATTATTTATTGATTCGTTATTGTACCTTCCAGAATCTAGAACCTTTGTTCTATGTTTTGGCCACACTCTGGATGGTTTTTTTATTTTACATGCTTTCAAGTACGTAGTTGAATTGTAATGCTTGTCTCTTTGACGAACACCAATATTACACAGCCACTGCTGAAGATTATTTTTGCCCTAGCCTTGCTGAAATTTCTAGAATATTGAGATTGAGTCCTGATATTGCAGGTGTGACATTTCTCTCGTTTGGCAATGGTGCTCCGGATATTTTCAGTACAATAGCAGGAATTTTCTCTGGCAGTACAGGATTTGGGTTAGGAGAGCCAATTGGTTCTGGTCTCTTTATTTGTAGTGTGCTGCTTGCGTGTGTCACTCTTGTTGTGAAGGAAGCAAAAGTTTCAGCATTCCCTTTTCTAAGAGATGTCATCACGTATTTGATCAGTGTTACATTTGTGTTTGTCATTGTTATGGTTGATGGATCGATTAATTTATGGCAAAGTATTTCGTTCTTGGCGATTTATGTTGCCTATGTGGTGTTTGTGATTGGAAGTAAGCTTTCCTTAAACATGAAACACAAGTTTCAACAAAAAACTCAAGAAAAACGAAGATGTGTTATTAATGGTGAGGATCCATGTGTGGTTTGTGACTCCACTTCAAATTCTGAGAAGCAATCTCTCATCAATGACCGATACTATACGAAATATGACGATCTCCTCTCCGAAGCCAGCTCTTTCGACGAGCTAGATATATCTTCGTCGGGCTGGAAGGAAGGCCTGCAACCAACACTTCGATTCTCCAAGATTGAAGACATTCCAGATAAGGTGAAAGAAGCCCTACAAAAGAAGCAGCATTATTATGGAGCACAATACAATCCAAAGTTTGGATTTTATTTCTATGAGACACCATCATTGGACAATTTAAGCAGCCAACAAGCCCTAGAATCCGTCGATGTTGGTTCAGTCATTATTGAAAATCATTTTGATCTCAAAAACAAAGGAGAAGAATTGTGCGAAGCATGCCACGAACTTGGAGAAAGCAGAACCTTATTCGAAAAGGTTAAATGCAAGGCCTGTCACATATGGGCTGAATTTTTGGATCAATGTGAATGGAGAGAAAAATCCAAAGGAGAAAAGTTATTCTTTCTACTCGTATCTCCCAGTATTTTGATTCGAAATTTAACCATTCCCAAAGCAGATCCTAACGAATGGAACAAGCTTTGGGCAGTTTTGAACCCAATTTTTATGCCTCCATTCATGTTATTTGCTCTAGGTTATTTGAATGAGAACGTTCCCAATTCTGAATTTCCATTGTGGGCGCTACTAGCTTTGATTGGTCTTGTCTTTTCTGTACTGATCTTTTTCACATCTAAGAAAAGCAGAAAACCCAAGTATCACATTTTAATTGTAGGCCTGTCATTCATCATGTCCGTAGTATGGATTTACACCATTGCCAATGAATTGGTCGACGTTTTGAATTCTTTTGGAATTATGTGGAACATGAGCGACTCGATTCTCTCCATTGCACTTTCTGCTGGAAACAGTTTGAGTGACATGGCTGCTGACATTGCTGTTGCAAGACAAGGATTTGTAGAGATGGCCGTTGCTGCAGCCTATTCAGCTCCCGGATTGAGTTTACTACGTAAGTATTACTACTAGTAGTGAAGGAATGTCATTTGAATTTTAACATTTTTCAGTTGGACTAGGCATTAGCATGACTGCCAATTATGTCATGACTTCAAAACCTTTTCAGCTTGAATTTTCTCCAACCCTCATGGTCACTTTTATTTTCCTCATTGCTGTCTTGATCACTTCCATCATTGTGGTTCCCGCATCAAAATTCCATTCTCCAAAAATCTTTGCTTGGTTCTTGATTGCCATGTATCTCGTCTATTTATGCATTGCAATTTTAGTAGAAAGTAAATTATTATTGGCTTAATTGGAATTAACCAAAGACGATTGGGGTTGTTGTTTTGTTGAGGAGTTTGTTAAAAAGCAATCTCAAAAAAAATGCACAAGCTCTCTAACTTGTCCTTCCGCCACTGTCTGACCATAATAATAATCATGATGGTGGTCGGCAGTATGAATGTGGCCCATTCACTCCAAATCAAAACCATTCCTTCATCCTCCAATAGAATAATGATGATGGCTTCTCCACAAACACCCATTCAAGTCATCCAAACAAGTCTGTATACGAATGAAAGGCTTTCTCCTGGCTCTCCACTGCAATGGATCAACACTAGAAAGCAACCCATGCAGCATCAAATTCCTCTCATTAAATTACATTCTCAAACGCAATATCAACAAATCATCGGATTTGGTTGTGCATTGACCGAAGCTGCAGGCTTTACCTTTGCCACCATGAATGATCGTATCAAGCAACAAATTCTTGATTTGTATTGGACCGAAAAGGGTTTGAACTACACATTGGCTAGAATTCATATGAATTCATGTGATTTTAGTTTAGATAATTATTCGTGTGATGATGTCGAGGGAGATTATGAATTGGTGAATTTCAATATTCGAAGAGACAAAATTTTTACGCTTCCGCTCATTAAGAGAGTCCTCAATCAAGTGAAAAGCAATTATCCAAATAAGGGAGAGGGTTTCAAAATCTTCTTATCACCTTGGTCTCCTCCCTACTGGATGAAATACAACAAGAAAATGGATGGTAGTGCTCAACCCAATGGTTTGATCAATTCTACACAAATCATGAGTGCTTGGGCATTGCATTTCTCAAAATTCGTCAGTCACTACAAATCAGAGGGCGTGGATCGCATGTGGGGTCTCACTGTTCAGAACGAACCTGAGTTTGCAGCTCCATGGGATGCTTGTTGTTACACTCCAGATTATCAAGCGTACTTTATAGCGAATTATTTAGGTCCTCGCCTTAAAGCAGATCATCCCGAATTGAAAATTATGATCTACGATCATAATCGTGATCATGTTGAGAAGTGGGCTCAAACCATCTATTCCAATCCAAAAGCAGCTCAATATGTGGATGGAATGGCATTCCATTGGTATGTCGATGAGGAGTATGAAAATCTCTCACGCGCCTATCGTGTGAATTCTCAAAAATTCTTATTGGCCACCGAAGCTTGTTGGGATCATGGAGTTTCTTTGGGAAATTGGACAAGAGGTGAAAAGTATGGCTATGACATTATCAATGACTTGAATAATTATGCAAGTGGTTGGACTGATTGGAATTGTAAGTACAATCGTGAGGGTTACTGGGCTAACTCGTTGTCATCTCCACACAACATTTTTATACTGTAACAACATGAATACTGTTTTCAATGAATTGGTATAGGTATTTTGGATTATCGTGGTGGACCAAATCATTTAAATAATTTCTGTGATGCTCCAATCATTGCTGACAACAGAACTCAAGAAATTCACATTCAACCTACTTATTACTATTTTGGACATTTTTCAAAATTCATTTCTCAAGGATCAAGAAGAATTCATTTCGAACAATTAACCTCTGATGGTAAACAACCGTTGGAAAATTCTCTTCTTCTCACCTCATTCAAAACTCCAGACCACAAGGTTGTGACTGTTGTTCAAAATAAGGATGAACAATATTTGCATTTTTACATGGTGGATTCCGATGTGTTTGGAGAGGAATATTATGTCTTGGTGTCAGTACCTCCAAGAGGAATCAAAACTTTAATTTATGAGTACTAGTAACAGTTGGTGTTTCATCTTGTTCTGCCAAGAAGCACGGATAACGAAAGCAGAACAAGAATTCAAAAATAAAAAAAATTCACCAACAAACCAACCGTCATACTCAACATGACTCGTACGTAGTTTTTTGAAATGCTACTCTTCGTGTTGTTGTGCTGAACTAGCGGGTTGCCATCATCATTATCATGGAAAAATTTGATAATCCAAACAACAATCATCATCAGGTGGAAATCAAAGAGATATTGATCGTCAACGTGCTTTGAACAGAAAAAAGAAAGCCGGAGGGGACAAGGATAAGAAGGACGACGGGCTCACTCCCCAACAACGAAAAGAACGTGATGCGGAACGACTCAAACAAAAGATTGCTGCTAAAGAAAAGATGAAGGAAGAGCAACAACAACAAACTAAATGATTTTGATTCCGAAATTGAAAGTACCCCGATCATCCATGTAAATAAATGTAAAACACAAATGTAAACAACAATTAATTGTATGCCAATATATTTTTACAAAAAAGTCTCATGAATGGTTCGGATACACGTTATTAATCTTGATGATTATTTAATTTTTTATTATTATTATAACGATCAATTATCGATCGTGAGAGAATAATAATAATAAAAAATGATCCGATTTGGTTGGCGGCCTTTGTGGCCACAACTTGCTCTCGCCGTCCAATTCATACTGGCCAGTTTCATCATGTTATTTGTGAGAAATGTTGATTGTAAATCCGATAAATCGAACACGTCATCAACAGACCATCCAATATTGTACAGATTTGGAGTATTAATAATTTCAGTAATAATTATTGTGGGCGGATGGTATATTGTTGTTAAATGTTTCTTGATTCGGTTCAAGATTGTTAGAGAGCTTCTCGGAATGGAACAGAAAAAGCCAACAAAGGTAGTTGTAAAGAAAACCCCAAGAGTGGCTTCCATTTCTGTTGATGAAGAATGATCATTCCTGACATGTTTTGTACATTTAACTGTAAATATTCAATAATGAACGGATACTTTCTATTAGAAATATTCCAATGAAATTGTTTTGACATGCGCATGAATTGTGGTGTCGGAATTTGGATTGAGTAAATTTCATGAAATTACCAATTGACTCTGTATGCCATCATAATTTTTCCGACTAAGCTGAGCTCTCATAATTTGTCATGTCTGCAGAGAGGAGACCTTGCTTTGAGGCGAAACGCAAGGCGCCGAAATATTTGCATTTCCAACAACGAAAAAACATCAAAAGATCCAACGACTGTCAAGGAAGCCTGCAACTGGTCAGACAGTTTCGTCATTCTATTCTTTATGAGTAAAAAGAATGAAAACAATTACAGATGGCTCTTTGCCAATTTCATTCGATTCTGGCAGTTTCGCTCTGACCACAGCCTCCACTGTGCAACGAGATTCTTTCCCATCAAGCAACAACATTCCGGTCCAAACACTATCACAGTCACCATTGAAAGTTTTCCAATCCAATAAGGTGTCCATACCATCCTCTCAACAACAGCCAACATGCAACCAAGATGGCAGTAAGATAAAATCACCCTTGAGCTGTCACTCGTCTTCAGAGGATGTCTCCTCTTCCACTCACGTAAAGCGTCACAATCATGTGGATCAAAAATTGACACGTGGCAACAACAATGTACAACGTTACATCCTCCTCCAAATATGCCCCGTTCCTGACCTTAAGGATTTATATGGCACCGATTTCATTGCCAACTCTCTGGTTACCATCAAATTTTCTCAAAAAGATCTCAACTTTATTTTCGAGCAATTCACTTCTCGTATCACTCTTCAAACTCGAGAATTTAGCAAACAAGTATTTGATGAATGCTTTGACGGAGCTTCAGCGATGAAAATTTTCATGGACATTATTTCTCAATACTATTCACAGGTCGTGAGTCCGAATGCAACCTTAGAAAAATTAGCACTCCATGTCGGGCAATACTTGCTGACCATTGGAAAGCTGGAACACATCTTGCGAGAACATTGTTTTAAGAATGTAAATACTCTCTTCTACCGTCTTGCCAATGAACCTGTTCACACAAAGAACAGCAGACATGCATCCATACCTATCGAAAAATCCTCATTATTTTCATCCCCATTTGTTTCCTCCTTTGCAACGATCACATTTCCCAAAACTCCCAACTGGTTTTTATTCATCCCCCAAAATGACACGTTTATTGTTCAACATTCGAGTAACAGTGTGGAATTGTTTCAATGTCACATGGGTGAAAAGAATTCCCATGAGAATATCAATAACTCTTTTCAATATTCCCCTGTCTTCCGAAATGTCCACCTTTCAACTTTAAAACATGTTCTCCTTAATGAATTGCTTCCTCAACAGGACGGTGTTGAAATGTTGTCTCGAAACGATGACATGTATATCTATACCTTTTTACAGAGAACTAAATTTCAAGAATATCCTGATTATATTACCATTCAACTTCTCTCAGTGCATTCCATGCATCAACTGACTCCTCAATCCACGTTTGCTGCTTTTAGTATAAGTAAATATGGGTATAGTGATTGGGGTGCTAATAAGGAACGACTGATTGACTGGTCCAACAAGTTAGAGAGAATGTGTTTGACGATCATTAAGTGAAGAATGTGTACCTTAATAGGTGTTGGCTTGTTTGAACGTCCTCTTTATACACACATGTAATTTATAGGATTGTTTTTCTGTTCCAAATCTATTTCTTTCATATCTTTTGAATCTAATTCTTTTGCTCTCCATGATGCAACCACCACTTGGTATTCCAATTATGTTTTGTGAGAAAACATTCCTGTTCTTACAGAATTCTTAACATGATTCAGATAAAGAAATCTAGAACTTGTATTCATTTATCAAACTCATTGAGTACTCTCACCGCTCTCCCAAAGACTTTCCAGATCTCTGTTGGCATTGGGTGGGACCAGAGAGTCAAACATGATGTGTGTCTCTTCCCTTTCTCGCTCAACACTTTTAACGATTACCAAATCCATTTCAAATACATAATTTCGATCCAAAGATCAAACGCCTTGTCGTGGTGCCTTTGGATCGAGAAGTAACCATTATGATGACACAAATGGTTTGGAGATCAAAATCGAAAGTTATACTTGTCCTCGAATGTTGCTGATCATCCAACGAGTCCCATTATGAAATTTTGAGAAGTTTTTTGTGGAATCGCAACGCGCCAACATTTTCACAAAGTATTTCCATTTTGAAACAATTAGTGAGAGCTGTGAAAAGTTTACATTGTGACATTAGTCCAATGAATATTTTCATACGCACGCTTGAACCACATGTGGATGTAGTACTGGGTGATTTTGGGAGATGAAATTACAAAAGCAAACACTATTAGTTTTAATGGACATTCATTTTCATTTTACAACTTGGACAAGGAGCATTCGCTACAGTCAGAAATCTACACAATCGGTTCCACAGTGTTTCAGATCATTACCAAAAGTTCGAAGAAATGTTGGAACATGGATCAACAAGAATTATTTGGAAAATTAATTTCATTCTCATCAGAAATGAACATCAATCGTGAAAAGGTCCATCCTTTTGTCAATTTGTTTTTTGAAATGTTTGACACGTGACCAACCATTAAGGTTCGAAAACTATGAACACTCCAATAAACGACTTTGTAACAAAAAAAAGAAACAAACCAAATATCGAAAAAAGGATGCTTTGAGCAGGCCGCTTGAACAAGCCACAGACAGCAATCGCAGCGACGTCCCTCCACATCCAGTTTTACACGAAAGTGTAAGAAGAAGAAGTGTGTTGCAGTGAAGATCACTTTAGCTTGTTCACTGCTCAATGGATTGGTTGGGATTGACTTGATTCTAAATCTTCCAATCACTCATACAATGTGGTTCGTTGTTATTGAAACAATAATTTTAATTTCAATTTAGAATTTCGACTTGATGGAATATATATTTAGTTTCTTAACAACGTTGAAATCTAACTGAAAGGTTCTAATCAATAGTTATGAAATGGACACAATACTAAAAACGAAGCACAAAAAAAAATATTGTAAAAATGATGAGCGAGCATTTGGACGGAATGAACAACAGTAAGAAAATCAATGCCATGAAACAGCAAGAGGTCGGGACGATCATGTCCCAAAATGAAACAAGCATGGATTACTACTATCAACAAGAACAAGAATTAATTCCGAATCAAATGTTGTCTACGAATACGTTTATTTTACCTCTCTATACTCCGATTTATATTCAGAACAAGTTGAATCATAGATATTTATCGATACCATCCTCAAGGAGGAGTTTGATCATGCCTCCAACGACATCGGAACCATGCAATAATTGTTCGTCAATTTTAATTTTTGAAAATTACATGACAAGTAGTGTCAGTAGTGATGATGGTCATCTTGCAACCGAAACGACAAAAAATGAAGGAAAATCCAAAACACCATTGTCATCATCTTCTCATTCTCGATCACAGATAGCTTCTCTGTCGTCACCACCTTCCTTGAGCGATCTTGGCAAAAATATTGATCGCCACAAAGATTTTTTCATGACAGAAAAACCCATTACTCGATTTATCTATACTGGAGATTCTAATTTTCACATTCTTGAAAGAGAGGATTTATTTTATCATGTGGAGAGTTTGGAGGTTCTCGATTGTCAACAACACGAAATAATCAAATCAAAATTTAACGAATCTTTTTCACAAAAGTGGCACATTGGTAAATGTAACACCTCTCATACCTACGGGTTAATTCGGTCCATTGAAAACCCCAAGCTTAAACTATATTATGATGGAGAGAATGTATTCCTAAAGGAAGAAAAAGACAATGTGGCTGAAATGGATGATGGATATTTGTGGAAATTTGTTTTAGAGGAACGGCCTCAATACAGTTTTTTAAACCGATTACAGACCTCTTCCAATACCTACAAGACCATTTCCAAAAATAGCAAATTATATGTCACAGCTCTACCTAATAACCAATTAGGACTCGCATTGTACAACTCAGTGTTAACAGGCTTTCTTTTGGCTCTCAATAATGGAAATACTCAATTTTTCAAAATTACTCTCGATGGTTTTATTGAATCCAAAATAGCATGCCCTACCGACAAGACAGGGAAAATGGTTGTGACTTGGGATTTGGAAGAGAACAAAATCAAACTCGCCAAAAACGAAAATCTTTTGAATCAGAAATGGATCATTGTTCCTCATCACAAAAATCACAATCTCTTCAAAATTCATTCCGTCTATGAACCTATTTATATTTTGGACACGTACAAGATTGAGAAAAACTCACTTTTATGCATTAAGGAATTAGAAGAAGACATTGACGATCTCTATTGGAATATTGAATGAGAAAGAGACCCTCAAGTTGAATTTTTCATGACATGTCCTACAAAATGAGTACAGCGAGCGACACTTCCCAGAAATCATCTCTCTCATCTTCGACACCCACCATGACTCTGCAACACCCTTTAACTTGAATTTGGTTGACGTTGATATCAGAATTGTTCATTGATCCGTTTTTAGAATGAACACCAAAAAAAATGAGAGCGTTGGGATCCTCATGGGTCATGAGGTCATCATCATGGTTTTTTTCCAATCAACAACAACAACAACAACACCACATGGGTCATACCGTACGAGCGATGATTACAATCATGAACCGAACAGAGTCTGCCAATGATTGCTCTCGGAACTACAGTACGACCAGTAAAAATCTCTCGTCATCCTCCTCCATGCAAGCACAAGTATCTTGTCACACGGAACCATCCAAGCCATTGATTACTCCCAAAATTCGTTACCTTCATAAGGATTACAGAAAATCCACAAGTGTTAATGAACCATACAATATTTTTGATATTGAATATAACAAATTAAGAATGGAATTATTAGAGAAGGAAGAACAGAGCAGCTCATTGCAAGCCTCCTCCGCCTCCTCTGCTGTAGAGGCACAGCAAAATAATAATACAACCCATTCGACACCATATTTGAACAAGATGTACTTGATTGCACAAGGATACTGTTTGGGAAAAGCTTATCGCCAACAAGTTCAAGGAGATGATGAAAAATTGTATGGTGGAGAAGATGCCTTTTTTATTCAAGATAACAACGACATGACTTGTCACAATAATCCATATAAGGTTGATCCAAAAAATAGTGTGCAATGTGTTGGAGTTGCTGACGGAGTTGGAGGATGGTCACAATACGGACGAGACTCGAGTTTAATGTCGAGACAATTAATGCAAAATTGTTATTTTTATTCCTTATATAATGGAAAAGAGTATGAAGATCCAGCCAAGTTAATTGAAAGATCGTATTCAGATATTGTGGAAAAGAAGCAAGTGTTGGCAGGAAGTACAACATGTTGTGTGCTGACTCTGGATGAAACCAATGGACTTTTAAAATCTGCAAATATTGGAGATTCTGGATTTTTGGTGATGCGACGAAAACAGCAAACAGATGGAACTCCCTCTAAAGGTCCCTATGAACTGTTGTATAGATCTATGCCTCAACAACACTATCACAATGCTCCCTATCAATTAGCAATTATTCCCGAGTATTTACGAGGAAGATTTGACGATTCTCCAAAAGATGCCGTTTGTCATTCTCTAAAACTTTGTAATGGAGATTTAATCATTGTTGGTACTGATGGGCTGTTCGACAATTTATATGATCACCAAATTGTCGAATTTGTTAATCAGAATCTTGACAAGAGTGAATTTGAACTTGCCAAGAATTTACTACTGAAAGCAAGACAAATTGCATTTGGTTATGAAAATGTGAAAAGCACGCCATTCCAGGATCAATCCGAAAAGAATGGATTTTTTTATTTGGGAGGAAAACCTGATGACATTACCGTCGTTGTGGCACGAGTGGTTATGAAATAGAGGAATGTTCTAGAGTTTGAAACTTGTGTTTTTGTGAGATTGGTAAGATTCGAGATGGAGGTGAAATTTTGAGATGGCGAATATGAAATTTTGAAAAGGAGCCTTTAGAAACTTGAGGTTTCATATAAATAGTGAGCTTTTTGACAAATTTGTTAATATTACAAAGATGTTCTCCAAATGGAATTCGTTGAGTGTATCCTCTACAACATTCACACCATCATCATTAGAGAAAAAAACGCTGTCAGGTTATATTTAATAATAATATTGTGATGTATGTTAATTATTTACAAAGATACTGTCCATGACAATTCCAGTACTCATCCACAGCACAAAGAACCTATTCATTCCTCACTCACACTCAAAAACTGCTTTACAAAACCTTCCAAAGACTTTTCAAAAAGTTGATTCCATCGTTTTGAGACAAGAGGTCGAACCAATACCATTGGAATTCCATGAAACACTTCAACATTGGTAATTTGTAAATGAGTCGAAGAGAGACAATCAAAGGACCAAATATGACACGACGACAATCCTCCTTCTTGTTTGCTCCATTGAATGGTACATTGCGTTTCCGAAATGATTAAATCCGTAATGCATTCCTGTGAAGTTTTGGATCCAATCGGAAATCCCAAATTTAAATCCTGAGAGAATTTAGTACCTATCGAGAAGGTACTAGTTTCTGTATTGGAATGATAGTGTGCTTTGGAATGGAGAGGAGAAGACCATTCATGCCACGATTTCAAATCTTGAAATTTTTCGTACATGTTGCACATGACTTGATTCACTCCTCCGAGTTGATCATGATCGCATTGAACGGTCAAGGTGCATCCAATAATTTCTGTTTGGATGGACTTTTTGGTGTCTTGTTGTTGACCAATAACTTTCAAGGCTTGAGCCAAATGTTTGTTATTGGACTCGAACGAGAGAGGTGTGATTTTAGAAATTGCTCGGATCATGTTGTTAGTGGTCGTTTTGTTGATGTTGTTTGTTTGATGATTTTTCATTAAAAATTCACATCATGAACGTTTTAACAGCGAGAGAGAATGCGTGCGTTCCAAGTGTCGTTCAATTTTTTTGTTGTGTGAAAAGGTGCGCCTTTGAGAAATGTGAGCGCCTGAAAGTGAGGTGTTGTTAACGAGATCAGAATGATTTGAAAAGAGCTTACGTAAATACAATGATTCACAAGAGTTGTACTGTTGTCTCGCGAGTTGTTTTTGAGGTGTTACAAATCGTGAATTCACTTTTTTCCAAGCAACTTCTAATTGGATTTCCATTTTGAAACAACAAAAAAAAAATCAAAACTCTTCGAATTCACAAACTTCTACTTCCGAATTCACTCGAAATGTATCCTTCAGTGGTGGACCTTCCCACGTGTGACACGACCACAGATCCACATGCTTTGAATTCAAATGGCAACCAGTCGACTCAACCAATCTCACACCAACATGTGTTGTCCAACCATTCATCGATTCGGAACAAGAGATTTGAAACAAACTCTTCCGATGTAGTGGCCACCAAGAATCCTCCTTCCACGAACCCTCTTCACTCCTCCTTTCAAAATTCTTTAACATTCCATGATGTGTCACAGAATTCAACATTGTTTCATGATACTTTTGATCCATTGTTGTTAATGAGCTTGGTTGAAACTCTTCAAATGCACTCTGAAGAAACCCATCGATGGAAACAATCGATTTCAGAACACATTCAACACATGGACATGAAAATGAGTGCCATTTTGAATTTTATAAAGAAAAATCAAGTGCATTCTTCTCTCAAAGAATCTCAAATCAATAATCAATACTCAATAATGATGTCACAAGATCATGATCCAAATATATTACATGTGAACTCTCCTGAGGTATTATTGAATACTACACTCAAAAGTCCAGTACAGAATGATGACAAGGGTTATCATCATCCTCATGCCATACGAGACCTTAACGAATCGAGAAGGCAATTGACACAATATTCACAACCCTCTGCGACACTCAATCCTTATTCGTACAATCAAGCACTTGATGGTACTTTCTGCACTTCCGTACAGGATTCTAATTCCTTAGATCAAAAGAATTATAATGGACCATTCGTGACGACATGCCAAGCAACAACGACCGTCACTGCTTGTATTGTACCACCTCCTCAGTCTCCTCCTCAAGTAATCCCTACTAGTCTTCTTTCGGTACAGGAACGATTAAATTCTTTGAGAAGCTCTTTCCAAACAATTCGTCAACATTCTGAACCTTCTTCCGAAAATGTAACATCTTCCAAGTGGAAGGACAATGAAAAAGATCCAGCTTTGGTTGGGTCATTGGAACCAGTTGCGCAACACGACGATGAAGAACATGAGCTTGAAGAGCTCACAAAACATATCAATCAGCCAAATATTAATTCAGATTTTGAAAATGATGTTCAACTCATTTGTGAGCTTGGCTTTTCTGAGGAAGCTGCAAGACATGCCTTAAAGAGTTTTGGAGATCGAGGATTAGCCATGAGTTACTTGTTAGAAAATCAATGTTGAAACTTTGTGTAAATGATGAGATACAAATTCAATTAAATTTAACAAAATTTCTTTCAACCTTGTTTCATGAATCCAGGCTACTGATTTTCTCTCTGATAATTATCGTTGTTCACAACAAACGTTCTAAAATTCTTCTTGTTTTCTTGACATCTCTGAAATTGTTTGAGAATTCAAAACACTTGTTGGAGATCCAACGAGCTGTCATGATTCACAGATGCTTCAGGTTGGTCACAGAATTAATTCAAGCAATTGATTGAGGCAACTGGACGTCCTTATCCACTATCCCTTTACCAAGCGAAGAACTCCATGCAAACAAGCACAAGTCTCTCAGCGTTCTAAAATTATTTCTTTCATTCCGATACACCACAGCAAGTTCACAGTAAAAATGCGATAAGAGGTGACGATGATCAAAAAACCATCTTAAAAAAAAATCAAATCCAAAGAGAAGATCTCTTTTCCAACACAACCATCACACACGATCGTATAAAATGTCTGCCGAAGAACAAGAACCAACAACACCATCCTCCAAGAGAGCACTCGAGAGAAAGAAGCAACACGAAGAATTGTTAGCCAAGGTGAAATCTCAAAAGGAAAAGAACCGATTGGTCGTTGATGAAGCCTCTCAAGATGATAACAGCATTGTCGGTGTTCACCCAGATACCATGGAAGCCCTCGAATTATTTAGAGGTGATACTGTTCGTATTGTTGGTAAGAAACACAAGGATACCATTGCTATTGTATTATCCGATGAAGATTGTGAGAAGGGTAAAATCAAGATGAACAAGGTGATGAGAAAGAATTTACGTGTTAGACTTGGTGATGTTATTATCCTCAAACAATGTCCCGATGTAAAGTATGGTAAGAGAATTCATGTTCTCCCAATTGATGATACTGTTGAAGGCTTAACTGGTGATCTCTTTGACATCTTCTTGAAGCCATACTTCCTTGAAGCATACAGACCAGTCAGAAAGGGAGACTTGTTCAATGTACGTGGAGGTATGAGATCGGTCGAATTCAAGGTCGTTGAGACTGATCCAGATGAATATTGTATTGTTGCTCCCGATACTGTCATTCACTGCGAAGGTGATCCAATCAAGAGAGAAGACGAAGAAGCAAGATTGAATGAAGTTGGTTATGATGATATTGGTGGTGTTAGAAAGCAATTGGCTCAAATCAGAGAAATGGTTGAATTGCCATTGAGACATCCACAACTCTTCAAATCTATTGGTATCAAACCTCCTCGTGGTATTCTTTTGTATGGTCCTCCAGGTTCTGGTAAGACCCTCATTGCAAGAGCAGTTGCCAATGAAACTGGTGCATTCTTCTTCTTGATTAACGGTCCAGAAATTATGTCCAAGTTGGCTGGTGAGTCCGAAGCAAACTTGAGAAAGGCTTTCGAAGAAGCTGAAAAGAATGCTCCTGCTATCATCTTTATTGATGAAATTGACTCTATTGCTCCAAAGAGAGAAAAAGCTAATGGTGAAGTTGAAAGAAGAATTGTTTCTCAATTACTTACTCTCATGGATGGTTTGAATTCAAGATCGAATGTCATTGTCATGGCAGCAACAAATAGACCAAACTCAATTGATGAAGCTCTTCGTAGATTTGGTCGTTTCGACAGAGAAATTGATATTGGTGTTCCTGATGAAATTGGACGATTGGAAGTTTTAAGAATTCACACAAAGAATATGAAATTGGATGACGATGTTGATTTGGAAGCTGTTGCCAAGGAAACTCACGGTTATGTCGGTGCCGATCTTGCTCAATTGTGTACTGAAGCTGCCATGAACTGTATCAGAGAAAAGATGGACTTGATTGACTTGGAGGAAGACACCATTGACGCTGCAGTTTTGGACTCTATGGGTGTCACAATGGACCACTTCAGAGCTGCACTCACGACTCAATCACCATCATCGCTCAGAGAAACTGTTGTTGAAGTTCCAAACGTCACATGGGCAGATATTGGTGGTTTGGAGAAAGTCAAACAAGAATTGCAAGAATTGGTTCAATATCCAATTGAATATCCAGACATGTTTGCCAAGTTCGGCCAAGAAGCTTCAAAGGGTGTCCTTTTCTATGGTCCTCCTGGATGCGGTAAGACACTTCTCGCTAAGGCCATTGCAAACGAATGTCAAGCAAACTTCATTTCTGTTAAGGGTCCAGAATTGTTGACCATGTGGTTCGGTGAATCTGAAGCCAACGTTAGAAACATTTTCAACAAGGCTAGAGCTGCTGCTCCTTGTGTCTTGTTCTTTGACGAATTGGACTCTATTGCTAAGGCAAGAGGTGGAAGCCTCGGTGATGCCGGTGGTGCTTCTGACAGAGTTATTAACCAAATTCTTACAGAAATGGACGGTATGGGAAAGAAGAAGAACGTATTCATTATTGGTGCTACCAACAGACCAGATATTATCGATCCTGCAGTCATGAGACCAGGTCGTTTGGATCAATTGATTTACATTCCATTGCCAGACGAAGGTTCAAGACTTTCAATTTTGAAGGCATCTACCCGAAAGTCACCACTTGCTCCTGATGTCAACATGCAAGCAATTGCTTTGGCAACTAAGGGATTCTCTGGTGCTGACTTGACTGAAATTTGTCAACGTGCTGCCAAGTTGGCTATTCGTGAGTCAATCCAAAGAGAAGTGGAATATAGAAGACAAAAGGAGGAAGAAAGAAAATCCAAGCAAATGGAAGAGGAAGATGAAGACGAAGAATTGGAAGAAAATATGGACTTTGTCCCATACATTACAAGAGCTCACTTCGAGGAGGCCATGAGATTTGCTCGTAAATCGGTTCCAGAACATGAAATTAGAAAGTATGAAATGTTCTCAACATCTTTGCAACAAGCTGCTGGTGATGTCAGAAACTTCAAGTTCTCGGATTATGACACTTCAGGCACCACCTCGACAACTACCACAACCGAAGAAGTCATGGACACTGATCTCTACCAATAATTCAATTAATTATTATTAAAAACAATAATCTTTCATGTAAAGTTTAATTTGATTTTGTGTAAAGTTGTAAATTCAGCGTTTTGGAGATTGCCTCCCGAGTTTCCTGTCCATTTGAATGGAATAATTTCAAACACGGCAAAAGTCAATGATTGTGCATTATATAATCATCTTTGTTTTAACGGGAATTTTGGTGGATTTTGTTTGTAATTTGCAGGATCTTGACTTGATCTTTGAGGTGTAATTTCATTTGATAAAAATCAGTTGAACTCAAGCTCATGAATTTGCTTCCAGAAATTTTCTGCTCTCTTAATACATTTCTGATATTGTTGTGCAATTCTTCATCATTAATTTTGATAAATGTTATCAATTCTTCTACGGTCTTTCTATTCACATCTTGAACTGTTTCAGAGAATGTGTATTCAGTGTTTGTCACAGAGTTGTGAGTGGTTGGTGTTGCAGTGACATTTTCTTCCTCATCATTGTCGCTCTCTAAAGAAATTGTCTCAATAATTTTGGGTGGTTCCTCTTCAGTCAAGTCCACCATGGAACCTTCTTCCTCTTTTTTGATAATTGAAACATTACGAGTTGAATGGACAGTGCTCTCCTCATCACTTTCGGATTGGTCCGACGAATCATTACCATTTTCTTCTGTTGATCTTCTTCGAGCAGTATTGGTCACCTTTGACAAGTCAATATTGTATTCATTCAACTCTGTCAGGTAACCCAAATAATTTCTATACTTGTAACTGGATTGAAACAAGAGCTTTTTCTTGAAAAATTGCACTTCACTTTTTTTCCTTCCACCACTGCCACCACCTTTCACTATTTTTCGAGGTCAAGTCTTCAAATCCACTCACATTTTTTATTCGAGGTGCATTAAAGAATTTTCCATAAGTTTTTTCATGCCGTTGGCCAGTCGAATGCTGCAACCTAACATTGGAAGATTTCTTCATGAAAATTTGAATTTTGAAATTAATAATTCTCTTGAGTTTGCGGAATCCATGGGTATGGTTTGCACCAAGTAGGGATTGGATCATTCAGAGGACGTCAAAGCCATGCTTCTGTTTTGATTCGTTCAACAAGGAATCTTGTAGAACGACCATCCAAGACAGAGAATTGACAAAGAATTTTCAATTTCAAGTACCTACTAACATTGGCAAATGGAGAGCAAAATCCAAGTGTGTCCATTCATTCATACCATACGCAGTCAGATGATGGCATTAGATTGTTGAGTCTAGTCAAACATATTCTCATCGCTTGATAAGTAGGGCTATGCCAGGGAAAGGACCCAACGCACACAAGGTGCTCAAAAACTAATTCTATGAGTTGTAAGGAATAGAAGAAGAATATTTCTTGCTCCAGTGATCTCTGTCAATCATTAAGGTTCGGCGAACTTTTCCGTATGAACAAGTTTATGATCCGTTTTAAGAGAAAAGATCATTCCCCATTGCAAACACTGGACAATATTCAATCCGTAGTTTGATGTTCCACTCAGTATTCACCACTCTATAACATTGAAAAGATTCCATGAGGTTCGAAAGGTAAAGGGAACAATTTTGTATCGAGTTAAATGTGTGTCACCCTTCATGTTGTTTCCATCTGAGCCTCAAAGTTTAGAATATCGATACTGACAGAAAGTAAATAGGAATGAATTAAAAAATAGATTGTTGTAAATATATTAATACTGTACAGTTTCATCAGAAATGACGCTTCCATCTGGCACTAGAGTCTTTTGTTTGGCCACAACATGAACCTTTCCTTTCAGTACAACATTCTTTCCGAAAGTAACATCTCCAGTCACGTTCAACTCTTTCAAATCCACAATATTTGGAACTCCATTCTTGAATCTTGCGAGATAATCTCCAACCTTCTTGTAAAATTTGTCGTCAAGATTAATGATTGGGGCTTCTTCAGTCGTGCTCTTGACCAAACAATAGTCATCGCCAAGATTGTACAAGTTGGATTGCACCAAGAGCAGATCAGAGCATTTCTTCACTGGCAAGAATCTAGATCTTGGTACATCGACACCAATGGACTTTTTGAATACTTGAATTGCAGCTCCAGCAGCTGTTTCTAATTGAATGACTTTCACTCCATCAACTTCTTTTTCGTTATTGATTATTTCAACTCTTTGTTTAAGCTCTTCCAATTGAGTTTCGATAGAAGAAAGGCGAATCCACAAATTGTTAGTGTTAAAAATTTTGAACTTTTCAATTGATTCAAAATCTTTGACATGCTCTTTTGGAACTTGAGCGAGTTCGAGAAGTTTAACGCCTTCTCCTTCATAATTGATGAGGGTTCCTCCTTTCACATCGGCCAATGTTTTCTTTGTCACTTCCATGCAAAAGTCAGTCTTGTTGTTAATCAAATAATTTAAAATCTTTAAATCTACAGTTGCTCCCAAATTGTCAATATTCGACAAGAAAACATATTCTTTTCCTGCATTCTTATATTTGCTGTACAGTGGTGACTCAAAGAATGAGCTGTAGAAATCTCCGTGTCCAGGAGGATACCAAGCCTCCTTGTTCTTCTCATTTGGAATGTCATCAGGGAATGGAAGCAACTTTTCCTTGATGATTCTTGGAAATTGGTTTTGTTCAAAGCACTCAATTGTGACATTAATATTGGCATATTTAGGGTCATTAATGATTTTTGCTGTGTCTTCAGAAGTGTTAAATGAGTTCATCAACACGAGTGGCACATCTACATCATACTTGTTGTTCAAATACTGTCGATGTGATGGCGATAATGAACCGAATTGGCAGATGAAAATTGTCGTTCCGATATTGAAAATTCATTTGCAATTGAATTTCTCATACATGACCGTTGGTGAATCATCAAATTACATACCTGAATTTGTTTGATGGTTAAATCCAAGAAAGTGTCATCGCCTCGAACACCAATGACAGACTTTGGTCCGGTGCATCCCATAGTGGTTCCCAAGCCACCATTCAGTTTGACTACCACAAGCTTGTTGAGAATATTCTTGATTGCGGAATGATTCAAATCGCTGGTCAACTGTTCATAATCCTTCAAATGATCTTCAGTAGGTGCTCTAATACGATCCCAATTAATCTGGGCTTGATTCTTTTGTGAAGCAACAAAACGGTTGAACAATTTCAGAAAATCATTCATTTGCTTGGCAAACTTTTCTTGTTCTTGCTTGTCCGAGTGGACTTGATTAAATCGATGCACAAGTTGTTCTACTGCTTGATCCATTGTGTCGTGTAATATGAAATTTCAAAAGAGAGAAAACAAGAGGATGATCGTGGAAAATCTTCGGAAGCTTTTGCACTAAAATACAACAAGGCTTAATGAACCAACTCTCGGAAACTAGCGCTTCAGTGGTTGATGATTTTTTTTTGATTTTGGAAAAGGCCTTTAAATAACAGCTCATACGGTTTGTATGAAGACCCAAGTTGATAGGGTCGGGGTCTTTTATGGAAGGGGTCCTGTTGCATCAGTGGTTGAATACAAAATGGTTTGGGAAATGAAAACATTACACAACTTGTGAATTTAGGATTCGTTCTTTCGTCACGTAGGTAACACGTAGTTGAAAATGGCGAATATCGATTTGGAAGTTAAACTAATTTAATGACAACTGTTGGAAGTTAATACCTAGGTTAATTCGAGAATGTTCGTTCATTTAGATAAATTTTCAATAACAGGTGCGTGATTTGTTGGATGGATTTGTTGGCTAAGTGTGTACCTAATGAATACACTAAGATTGCCTTTCAATTTAGCAACTTTTTCATGTGGCTCGACCTTAACGGTGTTGCATTTCCTTGTCGGCAGCGACTGAAAAACTGTTGAAATTTCATACACAAAAACGAAAGCAACTGTATTACTCATCATTATTATTATTATTAAATTTCGTTTCCTTAGTTCACGATGTCTTTGCTGCTCACAAAACATTATCATTGCTTCCTGGTGCTGCTGTTGTGAGGTATGCAACACACCCATCACTACACGGTACTGGTGGTGCTGTTCTTGTTTCTTCTTAACCTGCATTTTAAGTTGAGTGAACTGTTCTTACTCCTTGATCCATTGTTAAAACTTGAATGTGCTCACCTATAGTGCGCAGCACTTGAGGCATTTCATTCGCTGCGACAGCAAAGAATTGCAGAAGCTGTTTTGAATTTCGAAAAAAATGAGAAAATTTGTTGTGTCATCGAATATTCATTCATCAGCTTCTCTCTTTCTCAAATCAGTTTCTCAACAACAATTTTGTTTCTATTCACGAGTGAAGAAGGAGCAAGAAACACCAACAAACGTAGAGAAAGAAGAGGGTTCCGTTCCTACAGTGCCAATTTCAAAACCAAACAGCATTGAACAACAGGTGAAACAAATTTTGGCATTCAACAATGACGGACAAGTCGCCGAGGCTGTTGAGGCCTATGGAAAACTCAAGAAGATGACCAAGCACATTGACTTGAAAACTATGAACGCAATTGTGAGTTCATTCGCTCCAAAGAGGCTTCTATTCAAGTGGTTTAAGCCATACAAGGATTATGTAGATATGTATGTAGAGGCTAGCAAGTTCAGACCAAAGGAAGTACGTTATTGTTGTTGTTTGTTCTAATATTTCTAATTATCTAAATTTCTAATATTATTTTCTAATAATTTTTCATCGTTTGATGATGATGGTCTTTCATGGACGACGATGAATTGCGAATCCGATTTGTTCATCAATGTTTTTTAAACAAACAACAATTATTTCAGAGATTGGAAGAAGCAAAGAGGGTGTTTTCCGATATTTACAAGTATCACAATTCACCTGATGCCATCTCCTATAATGCTCTGATGAAGGTACAATTGAGCACGGATGACGTTTTACATGTCTTTGATACATTCAACGAATTACAGGCATCAGGTATTGGCCAATCACCCATGTACAAGGAACAATTGTTGACCAGCATGGGTACCCTTTTGAGAGCATGTTCCATGCTTGAACAAGTTCAATTAGCTGAGGAAATTTACTTCTTCGCTCTGCAAGACATTATCAAAGAAAGACTTGGTTACTCTCACGAAAAGCCTTGGACTGCAAGTGAAAGCGTTTCATACTTGACATTTTGCAATACCATGTTGGATGTTTATGCAGAATCACGTGATCCATTTGCTTTCAAGTTTTTCGAGCAAATGGTTGCAAATTCATCGTCAGCTCACTTTTCTAACCAGAAAATAGATCAAAAAACACGATTCAAGAGATCACCTAAATTGTTAGGCTCTCTTAATGGCATCACATTTAACACATACGCAAAGGCCTGTATATTTATGGACCATAGAATGAAACTGGTAGAAATGGCAGAAAGGATGAGAGTTGAAGGTGTTCTCCAATCAGAATTGTCGAAACCAGTAAGACTTGAAATCAAGCATGCCTTAGAAACCTACACACAACCATTACACAAAGTACATAGAGCCGAGCTTTTATCTGAGGGCCCACATGACATGATTGCCACTGACCACTTTGCTGACTTGCGAGACTTCCTTATTATTGACGTGGACGACGAAAACGCTGCTGCATGGGGTAGAGATGTCGATACTAAGGACTTTAAGTTTATGAAATTCTTGAAACCAACTCATGACATGTACAAGATTGATTTGGGCGACAGTTTCAAAGGTCTTCTCAACCAATAAACGCGTTTGCAATAGATTGAGGTTCATGAACAGTTAAAAAAACAAAAGTTAAAAAATGAAAGCTCGCCGAGTTTTGAGCTCGCTGAATCTCGGAACAACTGCCACCTTGAGAAGTGTTTCTACTTTGAACAACAAATCATCAAGCATTGGATTTTGGAGATTGGCATCATGTAGTACATTGTTGCATCATGAAAACAAAAATTTCATTCAGGCCCGAAAATTCAATCAACAACCACCCATTTCATCATCAAGCCAAACCAATTCAATCAATACAACAACTACCACTACGACATCATGGCCACAGAAATTTGTAGAGTCTGCACCAAGCTCCATTCGACCCTATCTGTATCTGATGAGGCTTGATAAACCTATTGGTACATGGCTTTTGCTTTATCCGTGTTTATGGAGTTTGGCGTTTGCAGATGTTGCCTCTCTCATTCCGAGTATATATTATAGCGCTTTATTTGCAATTGGTGCAATAATTATGAGAGGTGCTGGATGTACAGTGAATGATATGTGGGATCGTGATTTTGACAAGCAAGTGGAAAGAACTAAAACGAGGCCAATTGCAAGCGGTCAAATATCCATGAAGAATGCAACGATATTCTTGGGAGCACAATTGTTAGCTGGCTTGGCAGTGTTGGTTCAATTCAATTATTACACAATTGCTGTGGGAGCTAGCTCATTGTTTTTTGTGTTTACCTATCCTCTCATGAAACGATTTACGTATTGGCCACAAAGTTATTTGGGCTTAACTTTCAATTGGGGTATTTTTGTAGGATATGCTGCCTTTGCAGGTTTCTGTAATTGGTCAATTTTAGTTCCCATGTATTTGGGCTCTATTGCATGGACTCTTGTCTATGACACTATTTATGCACATCAAGATAAGAAGGATGACAGAGACATTGGAGTCAAATCCACCGCTTTACTTTTTGGAGATCGTACAAGAGAAATTTTGACAGGATTTTCTCTGCTTTTCGGCGTCTGTGCATCTCTTGCTGGTCATAATGCTGGATATGACATGATTGAGCAATGGCCATATTTTCTCGCAATATTTTCTTCAGTTCTAGGATCCATTTACAAAATTCACACCATCGATTACAACAATTCCCAGCAATGCATGAAAACTTTTGTTCAAAACAAGTGGGTCGGATTTGTAATTTTACTTGGAATTATTGGTGCTAATTGGACCAAACGAAGAAGGGAAAAGCAGCCAACTCAACAATAACAATTTCAACAAGCTTTTTTGAACAATAGAGGAAGTTAGGTAAACTCTTTTTATTTATTGGTATTACTAACAATAGAGTGCGAAAGAGATGTGACTCGTTTTTTCTTTTCACTTAACCGCTTATCAATTTCTTCGTAGAGTTGCCTTGATGCTTTTGTAACTTCATGATCTTCTCCTAACAACTGTTCTCGTAGTTTATATGCTTTTTGGAAATAATTTAGAGCCTGTGGAAGATTTCTATCCTTAAATAATATTAATCCCATGTTGTGTAGAGCCAAAGCATAGTCATATGTATTCACACCAAGATGTTTCTTTCGGATGGCAATCACCTTATTTTGATATTCGACAGCTTTTTTGAATTTTCTTAAATCTTTCAAAACTTGGGACATATTTTCATAGGTAAGTGCCGTAATTGGGTGATCCTCTCCTAAAATTTTCTCTCGTATTCTTATGGATTTATCGTAATAATCAATAGCGTCCTCTAATCTAGATTGATGGTCGAATATTACTCCCATATTGTGATAAATATCTGACAAACATAAGCGATCGTCTCCCAAAATATCTGAATTCCAAGTCAGTTCTTTGAATTCACATGCTACTAATCATGTTACTTACTTTCAGCTAATTTTTGTGCCTTTTGAAACATGCCCAATGCTTCATCAAATCTCTTTTGATTGGTGTAAACGAGTGCAATATTAACAAGTGGAGAGACAATACCAGGAAAATTTTTTCCAAACTTATCCTCCAACCTTTGAATACATCTATGATACAATTCTAAGGCAGATTCTTCGTCACCTTGTCCATAGTAAGAAATTCCCATTGCTAAAAAGATATTGGCACACATCTCTGCATCCTCAATTTTAGATTTCATAAATATATTGAGACATTCATTGAAACGTTCAAGAGAGGCTTCATATTGTCCCTTATCATACAGTACCATTCCTCGTTCGTATTCATTTAAAATCAGTCCAATGGTGTGTTCATGTGATCCTTGTTGCAGTTTCGAAGTAGTGGTGGTCGGTTTTTCCTTTTTGTGTGCAGAGGCAGATCCTTGAAATTTAGGCCTAAATTCTGCAATATCAATATTCGATTCCTCTTGAGATTTATCATTTAAATAGTTTTGCCCAAATGGTTTTGAGATTGGCTTAGTTTGCTGAAAATTGTGTATCAGGGCATCAGGGTTGTTGTACTCCGTATTGGTCCTTAATGGAGGGTTTTTTTGATTTGGTTTTTCTGGTTGTAATTCCGATGGGGATGTTGCTTGAAAGGCTACCCTCCTATCTTCCATGCTTGATCCTGCTGTAGATGTTGTTGATTTACCTCCATTCAATGATGTAATATTTTCAGCTCTGGATGATGAGGGGCGTTTTTGTCTTGAGGGAGGTCTTGCTGATGATGAATCCGATGTTGCTAATTGCTGTTTTGGTTGATGATGCGATGAAATCTTGGATGCAGTGGTTGGCTCTTTTCCCTGTTGTTGTGGTTTTTGAATGTTGGTGAGCAAAGGGTTTGACGAAAAGTCATACATTTTTTTGGCGGGGCAGAAGTAAATTGTTTTTTAAAAAAGGAAACATAGTCCAAAAGAACCTCAATATTTCGAAACTTTATCATTCTTTTTAATAGAATTTTCCTTAGGCCAACAGGTATTTGACAGCACATGACCAAAGAGCATCATGTAATTCCTCATTGTATGCTCTCTGATAGGCATCTAATCTAGAAAAGTGCTCGTCCAGATTGGACAAGATCTTTGCAAATTTAGACAGTTCGATGGATGTTTCACGAAGCATGCCGTTTTTTCGTTCTTCTCTTCGTGTATTGACAATATCTTGGTATTGTTTCATGAGTCCTAGTAAACTGATATACATTTCTTTAAGCTCTTCTTCCTGTTCACGATCCATGTGAACTGTGTTAGGCTGAACAAAGACCTCAAAGTGATATCTCATTTGTTCCAAATAAAGTACAAATCTGTGATGAATGTTCTTTTCTTCCTTTCTCCATACAGAGCTAATCAAATCAAAACTTCTTCCCGTAATTGTCGCAATAAAATGTTTTACGTTGGTAGTATTTACTTCTTCTTCCTGAGAGTCATTACTCCAAGTTTTAATTCGGTCTTCGTCGAAAGACTTGGTATTGTTGAAGAGAGTCAATGAGAGAGGATGTCTGACCAAACGCAATGAGCTAGTGATTTCAACGTATTTTTTGATTAATTTGACCTCATTGTCACTAATTCTACCTTTTCTGCTTGGTGTCTTTAAATTGTATTTTTTCCTTAATATTACGTATTTTTCGTCTTCAAAATCTTGTTTAAGTTTGTTTCGCAACTCCACATTAGTAGTGGTAGAACAAATAAATTTAAACAGTACTGAATGAGGTTCAATAGAAAGTACATTTGATTGCTTCGCTTCTATTTTAGATGTAGCAGTTTCGTTAGTAGTGGTTTCCAATTGCGTAATACTCGTCATCTTTTGTTTTTTTCTTGATGGTTCCGCCTTTTGTTTTGGTATTGCCTTGCTAACATTTTCAGCAAATTTTCGATGTGTATCTTCTTCCTCATCATCATCGGAATCAAAAACAACAGCAGGATGACCCTCCTCATCTTCACTGCCTTGTTTAAACTTTTCGGTAAATCTCAACGATGCAAGTTGATTTTGCCTTTGGTTAGCATCCTTGTCATTGTTCTTTTTGGTCGTATTTGATGAAGAAAGGTTTGAATCAGCTCTAGTACTACTTCTGGTTCTTCTTCTTCGAATAGCCGTTTCTTCTTCCGATGATGCTAGTTGATCCACATGATCGGAATCACTTTCTTCCAAAATATCTACCTTCTCCTCTTCCTCTTCAGATGAATCATAAACAATGGCCTCCGAATTTTCCAATGATAATTTACTTGAATTTTGTGTTGTATCCATGTTTGTTGTTGGTGAGGGTGTGAGCGACGAGGCGTGTGGTTGTTGTGGTTTATCTGTGTTTGTGGTGGTTGCACTCGTGCCCAGTGGAATAGAACCCGTACTACTATTGCTTACAGGAGAAGTAGCCATCAAGGCCCGATTCACCATATGTTCCTTTGCCAATTCTCCTGAGGAGGATGTGCCAAGGATTCCCACTGATTTTCGAGCGGTAGGAATGATGGGTTTGAGATCTTGCATTTTTGTTTTTTTAAAAATACTAATAATTTTTCAACTTTTTGGAATAATTATTATTATTTAAGAATTTCATTCTGACACCACAACATGCTCCACAATGGTATGGAGAAGAGTTTTCACAAATTGTGCTTGATCATGCACTGGAATCAAATCATGAGGAGGAACATGAACGAATAAACTGTAACATGTTCTCTTCATTCCTTCTCCAATGTCAACAACGTTCTGAGAACACGAATATTGCAACGAGTTGTAATAACAATAATTGCAAATAAATAGACCTGCATCTTTGGAAGCTTTGCAATAAGCTCCTGATTGGGTAATGAGAGAAAGAGATTCTTGCAAGTCATTGTGCAATTCTTCGAGTTGTTTCAAAGCTTCTAATTGATTGGAAGAGAGAGCGTTTTTCGTGGATTTCACAATTTGAGTTTTTTCCAACTTGTGATTGGCAGTTTCGAGAACGAATTGTGAGAGTGGTGGATGGAGTTGGGAATTAAGTTGTAATTTTCTATTGACTGATTCAATGATGGAAGAAAGTTTGGTGCTGAAATTGCAATGGAGAAAGGTATCTTGTGGAAGGTGTTCATTGATGGGCTCATTCAGTGGTTGTTCTCCTTGTTCATCTTTTGCACGGAAGGTCTTTTCATTCTTTGCTCTTTCTATGAATGGTTGAAAGTTTGAGAATGGTCAAGTGGTAGTCGCATCGTATGTCATGTCCGTGACCATTGATGAAATGATTATTGGAAATAATTATTTTAAATAAATGTGAAATGATTATTTTAAATAATGCAAAATAATAGAATTGAAATCCATACCTTCTAGCTCGTACATGATACTATTTCCACTGACACCTAAATGAATGAAAATATCAATAGATTCATCATCTTGCTGATTTTGGACTGCATGACATTTCATTTCTTCAAAATATTGTTTCACTGCTTTCATTGAAGTTTCAATAATACTGTAATGAATGGGATTGATTTCATAATTATCATGAGATTGGAGTGTAAAATTCTCATTCTTTAATTTTTCAATGATCAATGTGGTTGGATTCTCTTTCACACCTGAAAAAGGTCCGAATCCTGTTAAATGCAAAGTAATTTTTTGTTTCTTCTTTGTTGGTTGATTGGTGGTGGTTGATGAGGAATTGTGGTGATCCGATGATGACAACATTTTAGATTCGGGTGGAAGCAAGATCACAAAATATATTTTTGAATATTTTTTTTGTAAAAAGCTTAAAGGTCAACTCCAACTATTGATCTTCATGAGGAAGATCAAAAATATCAGTTGACTTGTTTTCGCTTGGGGAAGGCTGTACATTGGGTGTCATGTTTGCTTGTTCTTCAACAACCACCCAGCTCTCTTGACGATCGAGTGGTTGACCCAAGGAAGACTCGGTCGCTGCATTATTATTTTCCTCTCCTCCTTGTAAAAGTTGTGTAATGTTTGCAGGAATGCCAGAAAGCCCAACTTCTTCAGGTTTGATGATACATCGATATTCCTCTGCCAATTCATTGTAACCAATCTTATCTAAAAATACTGCGTATTGTTGGTAAACGAAATATTTGAGCTTTCTACATGTCATTACAAAATCGTCATGATTCTTACTACTGCTATACAAAGGTTCACTTAATTTCGATGGAGACGAGACCTTAAGTATGAAATATCTGTGAAGCTCACTAAGTGGTAAATGTGGTAAATATTCGTCATAGGCCTTTGTGAACAATGAGGCAATATCATCAAGCTCGGACTTGTGTAAAAGGTCAAGTACCTCCTTGAAAAGTCCAAGGCTCATCCAAACGCCAATGGATTTCAATAGTTGATTATTACTTTGGAGATGGTCTGCCCATCTTGACAAGACAATTAAGCAATCATGATCTGGTAAAATACTTTTAGCAATACGGGCAGCTTTTTCCCACATGTCGAAATCTTGGAGAATACGGCATGCCTTTAATCCTTCTCCAATGGAACACAATAGCTGCACACCAAATTCAATATCATTCTCCTTCTTCAAAGAAATGAGTGAGCTTGCAACAAATTGAACAGTTTCTCTGAAATGTGAAGGAGAGTTGGAGGCAGCTAAAACAGTTGCATGTAAGAAATTGGCGTACAAATTCTTACTGTCAAGTGGTGTTTGCAACAATAGTTTGACCGCTTGGTCCTTTTGCAATAGTTCACTCTCATTTCTTGCAATGAAAGAGAATAAATCATTGACTTGCTCAGTTGGAGCACCTGATTTGAGTTTGTGTTGGAGAGTTTGGTCGTGTTGTTGCAAAATTTTCATTTCTTCATTTCTAACAGATTCGTTATCCCTCAACAAATCAAATGTGGTTGGAAGAGATGAATTCAAACAGACATTAGCATCAAATCTTTCTAATTCAGTCTTCTCTGTGAAGAAGTGTTCCTCTTCCTGTTGTGTTGCCGTTTCTTTTTGGGCCTCTTGATGTGTTGGAGTAATTTCTTGTTTGGAGAATTTTGTTAAAAATTCGATGGCCAATCTCCAAAATTGCTCTGCAATTCTATCACCAAAATATTGTGCTGCAAGAAGACATCTTTCAGCAGTGGTGGTAGCAGGATTTTTCAATTTGTGCAAAATATAATCAGGAATCAAGTATCTGTAGCTCTGCATCTTGTCATGAAGGCTGACAGATGCTTTTGTGTCAGTAATCACTTCTCCTACACAATTTCTGAAAGTGTTGGGTGAGTCAACAATTTCATTCTCGTTCATCATGTCATCGAATGATAACTTGTTATTCTCGATGAGAGCTCTAAAATATTGAGCTTCGTCATTCTTAAGGCAGCAAGGTGTCTTGATAAAATCACTTCGGCTGTGGAACATCAAGTTGGTATTACATGTGGTAAGCTGAATATCAAACACTAGAATAGAGCCTGAATTTGTGGAAATTACAGGATAATTGCCTCTTCCCCAATCAGCTGCCACCGCCTTAACATAGGCTGGAGAGCTGGCAAGTTTAACATTTTGATCAACGTCCCAAATACCAAAATCTCCATCCGCAAATAACACCAAAATATGATTATGCTCCTTACTGAACGCTATTTTCTTAATAAGACCTTTGTGTGTGTGCAAAACTCGAGACTTCTTTTTAGCCAAGTCCCAGATTGTGACAGTTCCTACATTGTCTCCTGAAACAAGAATGTCGTTCTTCCAAGCTAATGCAGAGACTGGAGTGAAGAAGACTTTCTGTTTTTTAACGTCAGGCTCAACCTTATAATTCTCAACCTTGTAGAAATGGAGTGAACCATCACTTGTGGTAAAGTATAACATTTCACGTTCTGGATGATTTTTAGACAGAGGAATCCACTCAAGAGCAGTGACATTGGTGAATGGAATCATCCTGATTAATTTCAGTGTGTCTAGTCTCCAAACCTCAATAGGTCTATCTTGCAAGATTATTACTAGATACTTGTAGCTGTTACTAACTCGAATACCCTTGATACCTCCGGCACGAGATGATTCTTCTCGCTTGTTCTGATCTTCTCTGTTAATGTCAATGGTTGTATGCTTTCCTGACAGGATATTCACAAGTCGAAGCTCATTATTCTTTCTGTCCTTTTTCTTTTCAAACACAGAAGAAGAAAAGCACAATAATGAGTTGGGACCATACCAACGAATACCTAATACTGGAGCGTTGTTGAAAACGTCATGCTTGACTTTGAGAGATCCAGTTAACAGATCGTAAATCATAATTAGACCATTGCTCGTACCAACAGCCACACGATCATCAAATGGAGAAACCTTAATGCTGCTCACAGTAGACCCAGTAAACTCTGTCAATCCATCAAGCATCCACTTTGAGTTAACCTTAATTTTTGTTGATGAAGCCTCAGGAGACGACTCACCTCCTGAGAGCATCTTGTTCGACAAGTTCACTCGCCACAACCAAATCTTACCATCTGCGCTTACTGCAGCAACTTTTGTGTGATCGAGTGGAGAGATCGATACACCATAAAGCAATCCTGGTCTATCGGCACCATGTTTCGATCCTCTTACCACGTCACACACAGTAGAATCATACTTTTCTCCATTGTATTCCCAAATGCACATAGTTCCATCATCGTGAAGTGAGTACATTACTTTAGGCTCATCTTCAAACGTGTATAAAGTTTGAAAATCTGATCGTCCTCCCTTCAAATGTTTACCATGAATGGTTGTTCGAATAGAAGAATCAAAAACAGTGACCTCCTTCTTTGCCACAACGTAAAATTGATTTCTTGTGTGAGGAGAGCATAAAAAGTCCTTCAATGTAGTCTGAGTGGCACCAGTCTTTTTATCCATACTACCATAAAGTCTTCGTTGAATTTCGGCAGGTTTCTTTTTGACATTTAAATCGTTCAAGAAATAGGTCCATCCACTCTCACTTGGCAAGCAACATGTTTTCAATGTGAAAGGATCAATTGAAAAACTTGTGATTGTTTCTGGAAACTCGACATCCCAAATTCTCGTTGCTGTTTGTACATTCCAAAGAGAAAATACATTATGTGCTGACAAGCTCATCAAATAAATATTGTCTCCATTCAACCATTTCAATTGAACAATTGATTTTTTGGTGTTGCCGTTATCTTCGGCAAAACTGGAAATTTTTCTTGCCTTCTTGTAGTCCCATATAACGATGAATCCTCCCTCGTCACCACTCGCAATCATATTGGTATTGCCTCTCTCTATTCCTCTCGATTTGCACATGTCGCACCATTCCACACAAGTTGTTAAATATCTGTGACCAAACAAAGATGATATTTGTTGCATTGAAACCGGATCAAAAATCATGACATAAGTTTGACAGCAGTAGGCAAGTAAATTGTTGTAGCCCCATGATGTTCTATTCTTGAATCTTTTGAACTTTTCTGCATTTTCCTGATACACATTGTTCAGCGAAAACTTTTCACTGGAACCAATTGTAAAGCTACTGTCCATTAAAGGAATTTGGAAAGGTAAAACTGAAGAGATGGTCTCTTTACCAGCTCCAAGTATAGAAGAAATGACATTTGATCCTGTGGATCCTGATGATGAAGATCCGCCCAATGAATTCAACACATTACCAATTCCACCTTCCATCACTGGTATTCTGTTCGGATCATAAATTGGAGGCCCAGGAATGATTTTTGGCTGAATACTGGGTACGCCTGATGATACCGTGGTCGTGTTGGATGCAGTGGATGAGTTTGAAAGAGAATGCACATGAATCGATGATGATGAATTTACAACTGTGCTGGTGCTCATGGCAGACGAAGAAATATTTTCTGCTGGCAATGATGAAACACCATCGAGACTTCTTTCAAGAGCAGGAGAAGAAGAATTGTCCAGCACCGACATGGGTGGAGAGGTGTTGCTCGTTGGTGTTGCTGTTGTTGTTATTGGATTGGTAGATTCCCCTTGATCCGATGATGATGAGATCATTGAAAAACCACTTTCATCAGCAACAAAACTATTTGGCTGTTGTTCGGATGTCATTTTTTTGTAGATTCGAGCCCTTAAAAAATACCGCAAGATGATCAATAGAAAAGACTCTGACATGCTCCACAGCTTGGAAAAACGGTTAGCAAAGATTGAACAACAAACGCATTACATTATCTTTACCCTCCAACAATTAAATAACATACTCGATGAATACATACAAAACCACGAGGAAAGTACACAGCACCCTCATCACATTACTTTAAACACACACCATCCACCAATTGAAACCGTCAATAATTCAAATGTTGAAAAACCAGAGAAAAAGCCACCAGAAATTAATACCGAACGACCAACGCCACTAACACCTGAGAAAACAAGCATGAGAATACAACCCAAGAAACCACGTACAACCGTCAAAGCCAAGCCAAGAAGAAAAACTAACCAAAAGATGAACAAAGTTCACCACCACGTTGTTCATGACGACGATGAAATTGGACAAGCACTTACGATCCACTTGACCAAACATCAACTCGACAAGAAACATGTAGTGGTTAGAGGATTAAGAAAAAAACATCTCACCCTTTATTGGATCCAGGATTGCTCTCCACCCTGCTGTACCACGACTATTATGACATGAATCCTATGAAGAACAAACTGGTAATCTTATATATTTGTTTATTGACTAATCAGCACTATTTACTAATTCGTGACCTATTAATATGATTATTGATAACCCAATATTACTAACCATTGATATTTCAAAAAACATTAATAGAACAATCCTTGCATTATTTTCGCCATCTGTTCATCGATGGACTTAACCCGCTCCATTTATAGCAGTTGCTCAAAACAAGCAAGAAACCTGTTAATATTTGAAATATCCTTACAAAAACATTTGACATTCTGAAGTTGTATCCTTACTAAACGAACGTCTAATGTAACGTACTGAGGCACCGAAGGGCCAATAAATAATATTTAAATTTTTTTGTAGATTTTTTTAAACTTCCTTAATCACCAGTGACCTCCAAAAAAAATGTTCTCGAACGTTCATGAAAATTCTGTGATCGTTAGCAGCAGCAACACACATGTGATCCTGCCTGAAATTGAGAAGGGTCCAACCAAGCATTTCCAACACGAATCCGATATTTTCTTGTATTTTAATGAGGACCATCATCATGGTCATAATTTTATCTCGAACAAATTTCAGGTATATTCGGCACAAGCCAATGGTCCTCTCTTGAAAGAAGTGAACTTTACTCCTCATCCATTGATCATGTGTTGTTCCGAAGCGTATAGTCAGCATTATCCGTTAATTCTCTCTCCTGACGATATTTGGCTTCTCATTGCTCAGGGTTTTGCCAAACATGTTGAAATTCATTCGAAACAATTACGATCTCAATTCATTTCTGATAATTCTGAATGCGAGTTGAAAGAAACCATGAAGCATTCTCTTGGAACAGCTACGAGTTCTCAAGAGTTAGGAAAAATTCCAATTACTGTCTACTTGGAACCCTATATACAAAATAAGAATGATCACTCTAGTTGCAATGTTTTTAAACAAGTGGATTGGAAAGGAGTTGTGAATGAAATTGTTTCAAAAGTGAACGCACATTTGATTGGAGATACCCTCCAATGGTTACAATGCAATTTCACAACATCGACATACATTGAAAAAACATGCTCTGAAATTGTCATGATGAGTGCACTAAAAAATTACTTTTCCTACCGTAACATGTTCAAGTGTGGACTGCCTAGTGTGACCTTACTGGGCACCTTGCAAGATTGGGAAAGTATTAAGGAACGAACTTTGCAATTGGAACAATATGGAATGCAATTTTGGATCAAAGCATTGATTCCCATTTTAGATCAATTCATTGAGACATACAAATTCAACTCTACGAATGACAACCCTCTTCCAAACTCTTTAAAAAAGTTTTGGAATTCCATTGCACTAAGCAAAGTAAAAAGTGGCTCCACCAAAGTCACTGGATGGATCTCGTACTTTTTCCCATACAATTCACAGAATGAAATTTCGGCCGATTTGCAGAACCTCTCCGAACACTTCTTAGATCAAGTCGATATTCATGCATGGGGAACCAATGCCAGCGAATTTCCTTCTGGGTTATCCTCTGTAGATGTTGCCGTTGAAAATAGTCCAATAGCCAATGTCCATTCTTTGAAATATATGGCAGGCTTTTTAGGATATGATTATGATGAAACTTGGAAGGGATTGAAACCTCGAATGGGTTGGGTCATTGCTTCAGAAAAAAAGAAATAACTTTATGAAGCACTGCAACAAGATCGTATTTCACAACTCAAGTCACCTTTTATCACAGTGTTATTAATGATAATAATACAACAAATCAAAATGATTCACATTCGTTGAACTCGGAGCTCTGTAATAATTTCACGACCCTTTATTCAAAAAAAAAATGTCTTTGAAATCACAACCTCCTCTCCAGCCACAACGAACAGTATTATTCATGGGCAGTGCTCGGGTTGGAAAGAGTTCATTATGTGGCTACATTCTACTCGATCATAAACCGAATACAATTTCAAGACATTGTAAAAGAATTAAAGAATTATTTAATGAAGATCGGGAGGAGGCAGTTTTTGGATGTTACGGGAAAAAGAGCCTTCATTGTCGAGAAGAACAATCGTTGAGAATTGCCATCCATTCCTATTATAGCCCAGAGATTCGTATGATCAATGATAACTGTACGCCCACGACGGCTAATCATATCAATATGAACGAATGGGAAGTGAATGAAGGCTTGACTTTCCTATATGTGTCTTCCAAAAAGAAGAAAATTAATTGTTTTGTGTCGGCTTGTTTTTTGGCTGATATTGGAGTGTTGGTGGTTGATGTGAGTAATACTGGGTCGAGTTTTGAACAGGATTTTAATTCTGAAGAGAGTACTATGAAACATCAATTACAAATTGCCCAAGCGTGTGGAATGGAAAATATCATTGTTTGTTTAAATAAGTGTGATTGTGAGGAGAAATCAACTACTGACCAATGTAATCGTGTGTCTACATGTGACATTTCAAGTTTGTGTGAGAGTTATCATCAAGTGACTGCTACGATTCAACACTATTTAAAACAAATGAATTGGAAACAATCAAACATTTTCTTTATTCCAACGTCGGGAACAAAAGGATACAATGTCACGGCCAGACATGAACCGTATTCGTTTTATGAAGGACCTTCTTTGTTGGAAGCCATTAAAGAGATGGCAGTGAAGAGAGAAGTTGAATCCATTCTTGAAAAACAACCTTTTCGATTTAGTGTGTATAACTGTCACAGAATAGGTAAGCAGAAGGTCAATAACACGTTTGGTTGTCAATAAGTGAGAATTTTTAAGGTGGAGTTGGTCCTGTTGTCACAGGTATGTTTCGTTCAACTATGACCATTTTCAACGAGTCAATTGTTTCTTCGCCTTATCAAAGGCAAAGTTGAAAGTGGAATGGTGAAAAAGGCAGATGTTTTATTGACTCATGTCAGTAGTCATGAAGTGAAAAGTATTGAAATAGCATACCATCAAGGTAAGTAACATGGAGTACGATCATTGTTCATCTAAAAGAGTTACACAAAATTGCTATGTGTTGTTGATTTTAGTGGAACATGCAAGTGCTGGAGATTTTTGTTCCTTGTGCTTGAGAAATACATGTCACAGCGTCATGAAATTTTGGAGATTTCTATGCAACAGTCGAACCGAGCTTGAAGATTTTGATAGTTTTGAGGCTATCATTCGCGTATTGTACACACCGAACCAACAAGTACGTGCTGGTTTTGGATGTGACTTGCATTTTGCAATCAATCATTGTTCCTGCAAGTTGGATGATATTATTTCACTACTGGACGACGACATGAATGATCATCTATTAAGCAATTCAAACAAGAAAATCATTTCAAAATTTCCAGAAGGTATTCGAGCAGCACAGATCGCCCAAGTCAGAATCAGGACCTTTCGTTCCAATTTCAACAAGCTCATAGCACTCCCACTAAAAACATTTTCTGATTGCCCTCAATTATCGAGAATTCTCCTAGTGGACCAAGCAAAGAGATTGTTAGCGTTTGGATATGTGACACATTTAAACAGGAAAGCTCGGAAAAATCTTGAACAACAGGAGGATGTGATTTATTGAGATGATGAAGAAGTTGGTAAAAGTAGTAATAGTAAAACATTAAATGTTTGTTGATGAATTGATAGTGTGATGATGATGACATGACTCATAATTGGGAAGGACGATGATGATGGAACAACACTTGTCGTCAGAAAAGTGTCAACAACAAGAACTTGTCGTTAAGCAAAAATCTTCATGGTGGTATCCCATGAACCTGTGGCTAGGCCATGACCATCAGGTGACACTGCCAAACAACTCACACGATTATCGTGTCCATTTGGAAGACCATCAAGACTCTGTAAAATAGTTCCTTTCAAGGTATCCCAAGCAATGACTTTCTTGTCTTCATACGATGCAAATAAGATTCTTCCTGATTTGCTAAAACTAATACAAGTCACACCTTCTCTGACATTATCATCCGAATAGGTCATGACTTCTCGTCCAGCACGAATGTCAAATAATCTACAAGTACAATCATCAGACCCAGTGGCAAATGCATGTCCATTTGGGAAGAATTGAACCGAGTTAATATCACCTTCGTGACCTGTGAATGTGGCTACACACTTATTCATTCGAATATCCCATAATTTTGCTGTTCCATCACAAGAACCGCTCACAAAAACGTTACTGTCACTTGTTGGTGAAACAGAAATTGACATACAATCTCCGGTGTGTTCTTGGAAGTGTGTGACAGCATGAGTCATTTCAATATCCCAGAAAATGCAACTCTGATCTCCCGAGCTTGTCAACATGTGACGATCACTAGTAAATAAACAATCACTCAAATATCCAGTATGTCCTACGAGTTGTCTGTATGGTTTGTACTCATTTGATGAATTTTGTAATTGTTGAGCCACCACAGCAAGTGAAACTGTTTGGAAATTCCATTCAATCAATTTTTCACATTGTAATACATATGTGTGTATATATATGTGTGTATTAATGTATATATGTGAGTATTAATGTATAGATGTATATATATAAATGCGTTTGACACACCATTCGTTTCCATGATATGGAGACAGAACAAGTGGTGATTATTATAGAATCAGAGGATGTACGTTGTTGATATTTGAAATATTTGAAACATTTCAACAATTAGTATTGTTATTGAATATTCCATGTGAAAAATGAGTAAAACATGACATTCTTTTCCAGATCTTTCAATACTTACAAATCGAACAAGTATTGTCCAAACCACCCACACAAACATAATTTCCACTCGGACTGTAATCACAGCACATAATGCCACGACTTGTTAATGGAATTGCACTCAATTTATAAGTAGTCATGGCATCCCACAACTGTTTCCATGCGCATCATCAATAGAATTCACATTTGTGTGTGAAATTTGTGATCCATATAGACACATGGATAAAGAGTCAAAAGTGAGATTGAGTGTATCATTTTGGAATTGATGATAGTTATTGTAGTATTGGAATACACACACGCACGCACACACACAAATCATTTCACTTACAATGAGCATTCGATCTTGTCCAGCCGTAAGAATTTGTTTCGAATCTTTCGACCAAGCCAAAGCAGCAATTTTTGACGAGTGTCCTTTAAATACTCTTCGTTCTTTCAATTTTGGAGGATTGACTTCAGCAATATCCAAATCTTTCACTGTGAATGATGATTTTGCAAATTGAACATTCCACATGATGTTGTTGGAAACGAGTTGTCATGATGAAGAAAATGACACAAAACCAATCATCATTGTAAAAAATTGAAATTTGTTATGGGGGTATTCAATGTTATATTCAATCATGAATATGTATTCTGTTGTTTTCTAAATTGCGCGCAGTTGATACTTACTGTTTACATCATTAATTAACTTTTTCTGTGTCGTAATTTTTTCTTTTAATTGCTGAGCCTCTAGCCGGGCATTGGCAATCAATTCTTGTAAATTGGATTGGTCAGAGGATGACATTTTCTAGAAGTTTGTTGTTGTTGTTGTTATTGTAGTATTTGGTTGTTGTTGTTGTTGTTGTATTTAGTTGAAAATGTTTTCAAAGTGGAAAACTTGGTGTAGAGAAGAAGAGAATATGGATAACACAATGAATTAGTGTGATGGGAAGAGAGGACCGCACGAGTTGACTCGAGTGTGGTGTGCGGCGAGAGGATTTTTTTCGGTGCGTTTGACTTTTTTTTATGATAACGTTCAGAGTGACAAGTGACAGGCCTTCGATGCGTTGATGGGTTTTGTGAATGCCAGTCAGAGAATTGGATAAACCTGGAGGAAATTATTCCAACAACAGTAACAGAACACCTTACATAAAACGATACCGTCACTAGTGTTTCCTCCCAAAATTTGAAAAATTCATAATTCTTGTTCAAAAGTAATTTCTTGGGAATGAGGAAAAGGTTTTTGAAGGTATGCATCAGGACACCAGAACGTGTTGGATCCTTAAAAGTTGCAGTCGTTGACATGGCTTGTAACCGCAGCCCACCAATCTCCATAAAAAGACAAATTTTATGAAATTACAAAACATTAAAAAAAATGCAAACCTCTTCATCCAGCCATTTCATTGATGGCTCTTCATGTGCTGCCAAGAAGCAATTGTATGATGTGATTATTATTGGTGCCGGAATGAGTGGAGTCAATGTTGGAAAATTACTCAAACAACGAGGCTTAACCAATAACGTGTTGATCTTGGAAGCGAATGATTATATCGGTGGTAGATTGTGTTCCAAGACACTGTTGAATGGAAAGGCTACGATTGATATCGGAGGTGGGTGTTTTACTTGGAATGAATAGATTTATATGAATTTTTGATCATGTTTGATGAAAATCATCATATATTCCAATGAATCATCAAATGCAATTGTTGGACATGATAAAAAAAACATTTTTCATGATGCCAGGTCAATGGATTGGTCCACCACAACCAAAGGTACTCAATCTTGTCAAAGAATTGGGATTATCGACCTATCCTCAATATTTTGAACAAGAAAAGAGAAAGAGTTCTCTCGTTTTTCCAAGCATTGGTGGAAAGAAGCATATTTTGAAATATACTGGTTCTATTCCATCGGATCCAAAGAACGTCACTGATGAGGTATTGATGGATTTTGATCATTGCATTCAAAATATTGAGAGAATGGCCCATACTGTACCAGTGGATGCTCCACACGAGTGTGAAAAGGCAGAAGAATACGATTCTCAAACCGTTCAAACATTTATGGATAACATGTTCAAGACGGAAATTGCAAAAGATTTCTTCAAAACTTTTGTGGTAACAGGTAGGTTCAACGTTTTGAGAAATGTCATTTTCGAATGCTGATTCCAATCATGTTTTGTCTTGCATTGAACACACGTTCAGTTTTTGCATGTCAACCTTATGAAATGTCGACACTTTTCATGCTATGGTACATTGCTGTTGCTGGCGGTAAATTTGAAAATCTAATGAATGTGAGAGATGCTGCTCAAGATTGCAAGATTTATCGTGGATCTCAAGGAATTGTCACAGGTGTTGCTGAACAGTTTAAGCTTAATGTTCTTCTCAAACACCCAGTGGTAAAGATTAAAGATGAAGGATCAAGCATGAGTGTCACTTGTAAAAATGGTGCTGTCTTCCAGGCCAAATATGTTGTCACTACCAACTTGCCATGGACTCATCTTGGTATTGAATACGATCCTCCTCTTCCAAGTGCAAGACATAACTTTTGTCAAAGAACTCCAATGGTTTGTTTCACTATTTTGAAATGTGTTTTTACTAACAGCTTTACTTTTTCAAAAATTTGATTCCATATCCTACATGACACAGGGATATGCTATTAAATGTTTCATGCTATTCAAAGAACCATTTTGGAGAAAGAAGTATGACAGCAATGGATTTATTCTTTCCCTTCAACCTGAGGATTACATTACTCTGACATATGATATTGGATACAAGGATGACATGATTTGTGGAATTTGCGGATTTGTTTATGCAGAGAAGGCATGTGAATATAGTACCTTCTCAAGAGAGAAGAAAATTGATTTACTCCTCAAGCAATACAGTGAAACTTTGGGAGGCACTATTGAAGAGTGGAAGAGCCAATTTGTTGATTATATTGATAAAGATTGGGGTTTGGATCCATATGCTAGAGGTAGTTATGGAGCTGTCACTGTACCAGGAACCTTGACCAAGACTAAGCTTGCTTTCAGAGAGCCTTTGTATAATCGTAAATTGTTTATTGCAGGAACTGAAAGTGCATCAAGATGGATTGGTTACATGGAAGGAGCAATTGATGCTGCAGAGAGAGTGGTCACTGAATTGGCCCCACTTTTTGAGCCAAGTCAAGGAAGAACCTCCAAACTCTAATTGTAAATACACATTATGACTACTGACGTAAATATATTGACCGTTGAAGCCAAAAGAACAATTACAGCAAATTCTTCATAAAGCATCACTAAAACACAGTCCTGAGAACGCGGCTTTATAACCTTGTTTGTTTTGGAGGTTTTGTTTTAAAAAACGATTTTAAATTACTCAGCACTAAAAGAACTAAAGCAACAATTTACTACAAACTCAACAAGTCCATATGATTATCATCAACAATCTGTTCCTGGCGAACCTTTTACTTATTCATAGGTTGTCTTTTGGGGGTGGAAAAGGTAAAGGTGTTCGCTTTTCCAGAACAGTTCGGTTGAAAAGCATGAATCAAGCTATTCAAATCGATAGAGTTTCAATTCAATGAGCCATTCAATACTGATAGAGTTTCAACTCTTGTATTTATTTACGAATGAAGTGGGCAATTTTCATCAAAAAAAAACGTAACAACAACAACCTTAATCTCTACCAATGAAGAGAAGCAGAGAGGATGATCCTTTTCATCCTCCTACAGATACATCTCTTGCACACAGCATCATTCCATTCTGGATGAGTATTCACAACAAGTATCGGATAAACTTTGAGCATGTGCCAGAGATTCCATGATTTTCATCAGTACAACAATAAGGGGATCATTGACCGTGAATTGAGAAAAGTTGAACCATCCATCAGTGCATCCCTATTGAATCCAAGCCTGTGTTTGATGTTCCACTCAGTGTTCACCACTCTATAACAGCGAATGTGGTTTTTGATAACTCTAAAAAGCCACCTCAGCTAAAGAAGGCCAAGATGAATCAACAGAGAGCCCAAAAATTTCAAGCTCTTGAATTGACAATATTCATTCATTAGGAAAATCAAGAAACCCGAATCTTTGCCTGTGGAGCTTCAAAACGATTCCACTGTTGTTAAGAACAAGATGAACGAATATTATTTACGTATTCCACAAGTGATAACCAAACCCCTCAGCATTCAGGACAAGTTGCAGCATTGGATCCAGGAGTACGAACGTTTCATTATTGTGAAATTAAAATATTGGCCGTTCTTTGATTTTTCTTATTTGGTACCTTCAAGAATTTCTTGGTGGTTTGATTCAACAAATAACAGTTTACATATATTTACTTATTGTTCTTTAAATACAAATAGGTGGATGTTCCTTCAATAATTTTCATAAACTCAATAAGGGTTAATCGTTTCTTGGTCTCAGGGAAGAAATGATCTACCAACGAAGACACTTGATCATTGGTCAAGTTGAGCTTGAGATGATCTTGAACAGCTTTCTTAAACTCTGACTCTCCGATTAAACCGTCTACGCTCTTGTCAGACATGACCTTGAAAGTGTCCTGAACGAGCAATCTTCTTGTGGAAATCTTTTCGTTGAAAACCTTGTAAGCGTTATTAAACGAGACAGTATCCTTTTGCTTTTGAGGTTGTACAGTGTGTTCCTTCTTTGTGCTGACGGGTCCAGAGGTAATTGCAGTAATGAATTCACTCAAATCAATAGTTCCATCTTGATTAGCTTTGAAATGTCTCAAAACTGTGATCAGTTCATGTTCTACCAAATCCAGACCCATACTTTGCAAGAGTTGACGCAACTCGTCCATTTCAATTCGTGATCCACGTTGAGCACTTCCCATTGCGTCTCTCAATTTATATTCTAAGGATGAATCTTGAACATGTTTTCTAATTCTGTTCAAAATCATTTCGATATTGGCCTTAGGGAATTGCTCTGCATGTTGTTCCATGTAGTTCACTGTATACTCATCGGTCTCTTCCAAATAAAACATGTAGTTGTTAATGTTCAACGTGGCACCAATAAATGTTTCGTTGGCCTTGTAGTATTCACCTCTTTCATTCTTGACACGAGATCGTTGCAAAAACTTTCCACCAATGACACCGCTGTTTCTTTGTACAGGTTCAAACACAGAGATGGTATCGTCAGAGAGGTAGTAGGACAAGATGAATTTTCGTCCCTTGTCCTCCGGTTTATCTGTCACCATCACAGCTGAATATCTAAATAGTTTGTGGTCATTTTCAATGTACTTCTTGACGTCCTTCTTTGGAGGCTTAATGACAAGATATTTCCAAGAGCCCAATGAATCTTCTTCATCACCAAATCCATTGTAGGGGGGCTCTTCATATTGTATTTCAGTTTTTGGAGAGTCCTTGACTTCAATGGGTGTCATATCTGTAATACCATACTTCTTTGCATAAAATTCTCTCGTGAATGGGTCACAGTCGTACAAGAGGAAGTTCTTGGAGAACACTACAACTCTCTTTCCAATACCTAGGTCTGTTTCATCATAGTACGTAGTTGGTTCATTTGCAGAATTCTTGATTCTTGGTACTTTTTGTCTCTTCAAAAAGACTGGGAATGGGTCATAACCAGAATTTGCAGAAAACACTTCTGAAATTTTCATAGTGTCATCTGACAAGTAGTATTCCAATACAAAGAATCTCTTGTCACCATACAACTTCTCAGTGTCATCCCAAGCACAGAAGAAGCGAAGAACTTGTCTGTCAAAAGCAAGGAACTTTTGAACGGCAACCTTTTCTTGCTTGGATGGGTTCGTTCTCTTACCCTTAAAGGAGTATTCCATATACTTCTTAAGGTCTTGATCCATGGGAGACAAAGTCTTGTATGGGTTCATACTCTTTTGAATGTTCTCTCGTTTTTCAGTGTACTGATCTCCTGGATAGGATTCTGGTTCGGGAACCTCAACACCAATTCCGTTGAAAAACTCCCTGGTGAAAGCATCACAATCAACAATTCTAAAGGTCTTTCCATACACTGTAATTTCCCTTCCAATGTTGAGATCGTCAATGGTGTAATACACATTGGAACTTCCTTGCATTCTATCTCTTGGAATTCGATGTCTTTTTACAAGAGTACCTTGTGGAATACCAGAATTGTCTTGTTTTGGTTCACTTATGTGCATGGTGTCATCTTCTAGATAGTAGAAAATGACACATTTTCTGACTCTGCTTTGTTCTACAGGGCTTTCATGAACTCCTTCTTTGAAATAGGCGTAGAATCTGAGAACCTTCTTCTCAAGAGAAAGCCAGTTCTCTTTTTGCTTTGTTTCGTTAATAGTGGTTGATTTGTAGAGTTGAGTCGTACTTCTCAACATGTCGGCAAGTTTTTCTGTCTCGGTCTGCAATTCATCAACCTCAACAGGTACGTCATAGTCATGGACCACCGGAATGTGATTCTTATAAGCAAGTAATTGTGATTTGTGGTGTCTCTCCTTAACAAACTTATCATCAAACGTAAAACCGGGAAGGAAGGGCAACTTTCTATCTTTGGATGGAGCAGTCGTATTCATGAACGAGAACTCCTTCGAGGTGAGAGAAGATTTTGCGAACGACATTTTTTTTGAGATTATTTTTCGTAAAACAATGATTGAGCGCCAACAACATTCGTTCTAACCGTAATAACGGCAGGCGCCAAATTCTTTCACGGCTCATCATCAATCTGTCAACCTCTGTGATGAACGAGTTTTTATCCCAAAGAAAAGGATTACACTGAATTTGATTATTAAGTATTCCCAACGAAAGCATTCACACCTCCCCATCAGCTTGAAATGTCCGTTCTGTTCTGTTGGTTCGAGCGTGGAATCGAACTGAAAATCACACCAAAAAAATTCTCAAAACATCAAAAAACACATCATGTGGTTGGAACAGGTCGGAAAGACCAAACAACAATTAAACAACAAGAAGAATAACTCAATCCATAAACCATCCATTCAATCCATCAATTGTTCTCATGATGAAAATAATAGTACTCAAAACTCTTCTCACACTTGTTCCGAAAGTACTTTATGTTTGCTTTGTAAAAAACCTGTAGATGATTCTCTAGAGACCATTAGTGTGGGTATGAGAGGTGTTCATGATCTACAGAAATTCCTTCCCTATCATCCCAACAAACAATATTTACTCGAGCAGGAAGAAAGGCTTTCCTATTCCGAGTTTTTACATAGCCTATCTCAAAAGAAATTATATGTTCATTTGGATTGTTACTCACCGTACACGGTACGGCCCTATCAAATTATGTTTGAAACGAGTCTATTGAATGATCAGAATCCTGATGAAGAATGGATGGGTGAATTTTCCAATGTCTTGTATAAACGAATTTCTCGGATGCAACAATTGTATCGGAAAGTGAACGGAAAGAAGAGAAGTAAACAGAAGGAGGAGGATGAACATGCAGAGGAGGAGGAGGATGAAGATGATGAAAATTCCTCTCATAAAAAGGTCAAGGTTGATTCTCTTCAAAAGACTTATGTGAAAAAGAAATCACCTCGAAAAAGTGGTAGCAAAGACTCTCAAGCTTCACAATCAGCATCTTCTTCTAGTCTAGATACATCTCAATCACTGCAATGGGTTCAGAGTCTGAGGGATTCTATGGAAAGTTTCTCATCGCCATACTTGTTTGGATTATCGGATGAAATTTGGAATGAAATATTGAGCTATTTGACTTTTCCCAAATTACTCTCGTTAAATAAGGTATCGAAATGCTTTTATTACTATTCCACTCAGTCCACCTTATGGAAAGAGCAATGTATTCAAGCATTGTGTCCGAACGCCATTCAAGTTCAAGAACAATATTTTCCTCATTGGAGTAACGATTTTAAAAAGGTGTTCCAATTACTTTATGGTAATTGTTGCATTATTTGTGGCGAATATATGAGATTGGATGAACAATTGTATCAGAGCACGTCTCTCTCTGCATCCATGGGTAGTATCCTAGTTTCGAAATATCCACTCTATTACAATCATTTATTGGATGGTTGTGTATGTACAGCATGTTCTGGCTCTTCACTCGCTGAAAATATTACCAAAACCAATGCCAAGAAGAAGTATAGTGTGAATGATGAAGACTTGAATCTAATTCGATGCCTTCGAAGTCCTAACCCATGGCATCCAAGTACAGCCATGTGTGTTTATTCGGACTTGCAGCTTCAAGTATTGCAGAGTCGAAAGAATGAAGAGGCCATCATTGAGAATTGTCACAAGTCAAAGAATCACTCGAAGCAAAACTTGTTCCAATTAATACGAAATGCACGAAATGGCAAGTATGGAAAGAATTGCAAACTTTACGCCTATCTCACTTCAAACAAAGCAAATGCTAAAACAGCATTTCGTGACATTTTTGCATACATTGATACTCTTGAGATTTAGTGAGCTTTGTTTGACTCATATTCCAATAGATATTCGAACAATACACATGATGAGCCATATGTTACACTGCCCACCACCATACTTGACACAAAATCCATGTCAATAAGGCACTACCCAGAATGCCATTCCATGATACCACACTGATCTGAATTTGAACACGACATAGCTGGACGCCACCACACTCAACACTCCATCAAATCCAAAAATATTGGAATACTGGAACAACATGTCAACGATTGAATATCCCATTTGATACATAACTACAACATATGTGGATTTGTAGAGGAGTGATAAGAGTTTTCAATTTCTTGCAACTGAGTGCCACATCATTTTGTCTGGAGATCTTTTGATTAGAAATCTTGTGGCTAAAACCGAGAGATTCCATCTGCTGAAGATGGTTGTCCACGATGTCGTTCCCAACATGTATTTCAATAATGCAACAAGATTACCACAATCTGGATCAAATAGCTAGTGGCGTACATAATATTCATTCAAAAAACTATCATTTCAGTTCAATATTGTTCGCAAAACTCTGAGCGTTCGTCAGCGTTTGATTTCAATGGTTTTCTGATTTTAATAATTCACAATAACCACAGCCATGGAATAAATGTCAACTTTCATTTCAAAACCTGGATAGGGATATGGATACTTGTAAACAAAATCCACTGATTGATAGACAAGTACTTCTCGAATTTCATTCACACTTTAATGCAATTACAAAAAGAGAAAGTTCCATAAAACACCCAACAAAGGATGGCTCGAGTTCTTCCAAATCTGACATTCATTCTGTTTAGAGGATTGGTTTACTTGACAATATCCCCTTCTCTCCATGAATGTCATTTGCTATTTGTAGTTTGCATTTAAATACATGCTCACAAATGATCTCTATAAAAGTTGTAAACTCAGCAACACCATCGATTGTTTCCAAATCAATATAATTTGATTCCTTAATTGCATATCTGAAAGGTTTTTCCCCTGAGATATTGTGATCATCATGAATCTTTATACTTCCTTCAAGAAATTTACATTGGAATTTGGAAACAAGCAGCCCATAAACCTTAATCATTTGAGCGTTTTCTATTGTATGTTTTTCGTGAATGACAAGAGCATCCATCCATTCTCTAAGCATGCCTTTCATTTCCACATACATTCTGAAATTGTCTTTATGTTTCAAAGTCTCTGCTTTTAGTCCTTCACATTTGAAAAACACCAATGTAGAGTCTCCAATTGCATTATCTAATTGAGCAAAAGCATCTGGAAATAACACCTGAGAACGCTCCACAAGTTGTCTTTCAAAAAGGTGTTATTAAACAGTAGTGCACAAGTATACATGATACTTACATTCCGAAACGAACGTTTTTTTTAAACCTAAATTGATAGGTTAACAAATGATTGACCATTCTCATGGTTGTGAATACACTTGCGTTGGGAGGTAGAGATTTCTGGGATTGCAAAAATAAATCATATGGTGTGGGTATTCTTGCAGGTTTCAAGCCTTTGAGAGCAGACAAAATTGCATCTGCATCCTTCTCGCCTTGACTTAGCATCTCATTAATTTCCGTTACAGCGGACTGTAAGGACCACCAGGAACAGCCCCCATCTTCGTGTTGCATCATTTTATATTGTTCTCTAAGCCCGGTGGTTATTTTTTCATACAATGGTGCATTGGTGATGATGAAAGGATCACTCTATTCATAATGTTGTTCTTGAATTAAGAAATGAAAAACAAAAAACTCACCTCAACAGTGATTAGCTTCTCAAAAATGGTTTTTTGTTCTTCCGTTTCAAAGACAAATCCATTACCTTCATTATGTTGGGATATTTTCTCCTGCAACATCATAAAGTCTGTACTTTCCATTGAATCAAGGTTCTTCAGCTTCTTTGTTTGGTGTTCCATCAACGGAGAGGAAGGCTGTACTTGTTCATCACCAAAATTCTCCATATCATGATCCCGTCTTTCTTGTTGTCTTACTCCTGAAGGTTTACTCATTTTTTTCTAAGGTAACAATTAAGTTGGCGCCAACTAGTAAAAACAATACCAAAAGAAAGCTAAATGCCTGCTGCTGCTGGGAGCTTGCTTGAACATGTTGGGAATAACTGAAGCAACAAGTCAATGGATCGATTATGAAAAGGTTGAAGCCTACACATGTAAAGAAATTTTGTGAAAAAATTATTAGAATCATTCTATGTATTATTGTTGTTGTTGTTATTGTTGACTTGACGAGTTTAAGCAAAGATTTTAACAGTCATGTCCCATGAGCATGTAGCAAGTCCGTGGCCATCAGGTGACACTGCCAAACAACTCACACGATTTTCGTGTCCATTTGGAAGACCTTCCAATGTTTGAAGAACCTTGCCTTTCAAGGTATCCCATGCAATGACTTTCTTGTCTTCATATGCGGAAAACAAGACACGTCCAGATTTGGTAAAACTAATACAAGTCACACCTTCTCTGACATTATCATCAGAATAAGTCATGACTTCTCGAGCTGCCCTAATATCAAACAATCGACAACTACAATCATCAGAACCAGTTGCGAAAGCATTTCCATTAGGGAAGAACTGAACCGAGTTAATATCACCTTCGTGACCTGTGAATGTGGCTACACACTTATTCATTCGAATATCCCATAATTTTGCATTTCCGTCACACGAACCACTCAAAAACAAATTATTGTCTCCGTCAGGTTTTATGGAAACTGACATGCAATCTCCAGTATGTTCTTCGAATCGTGTGACAGGTTGATTCATTTCAATGTCCCACAAAATGCAACTCTGATCTCCAGAACTTGTGAGAATGTGTCGATCATTTAAAAATTTACAACAACTTAAATAACCTGTATGACCTGTTAATTCTCTGTGTGGTTTCATATCAGTTGCATTTGGATTTTGTTGTACAGTAGAGAGAAGGACTGATGGTCATGAATTTTCATATGAACAAGTGTGTGCGTGCGTGAATTGTGGATTAAAAAATTTCAAATTCGAATTGTGGACATTCATTAATTGGAAAGAATATTTAAACGCGATGATTTGATTAAATGATAAAATAATTAGTAGTAAAAAGTAATTCAAAAAGGAGAGGTCAAAGTCGAGAATGCAACAATAACAACAACGATACATACACACGGAACAAATATTATCCAAACCTCCACAAGCAACAGCATTTCCGGAAGGACTATAATCGCAACACATGACCCAATGAGACCTGAGAGGAATGGCATGTGTCTTGTATGCTTTCACAGCGTCCCAAATCTACCAATGGTTTGTGACAAGATGTGTGTGTTATCAATAAATCAATATTCACAACAACATCAATAGGTTCAATACGGTGAACGAATATATATAAGAACAAAACTTACAATGAGTTTACCATCTTGGCTCGCACTCACTAACGAGGTTGAATCTCGTCCCCAAGCTAAACTATATATCTTTGCATAGTGTCCTCTCAATACTCGACGTTCACGAATTTTCATGGGAAGCATGTCGGGAACATCCATATCTCGTACTAGTGATGAGTTAAAGAACAACACGAAGTGATTCCATAGGATGATAATGTAGTGTCATCATCGAGGTGTAAATATATTTCATCATATATGAGCGAACAAACAAGTGTTTGACAGGTGTCAGTTGGAAATAAAACAACAATATATGAAACATAATTTCCTCATCTATCACAACAACAACCAGTACGAATATGAGTACCTACAATTTGCGTCATTGGTCTTCTTTCGTTGATTCTTTATCTGTTCGTGTAAGTCTTGTGCCTCTCTTCGGGCGTTGGAAATGGCTTCTTGTATACCCGTTGATGATGACATTTTGTTCAATAATTATACTTGTTTTAATTAAATTCAACACAAGAGAAAATTAGCACAGATGCTGCTGGATGAAGTGAACAACAATATAACGATCGTTTGCTTTGAAAGTGTCACCCGTAAAATTTGGTTTGTGCACAATATAAAAATTTTTTAAAGTCACTCTCCGTCGCCTCTGTGGATGAAGGGTGATAGGAGGCGTCCACCATTAGATACTTTTTGGATCTTATCCGTAAATCGATATTCATACCGTAACACTAGTCAATGGATTGGAACAGCTCTTATTCGTTCTGCTATTGTTCTTTTTATGATACGAAAATTGTGAAGTGAAGTGTCAAGTGTGAAAGAAGAAACAAACCGTTGACTCGATAGAAACTGAATGAAATACACAATGACGAAATTTATTGCCTCTTTTAATGTAAAATGAACTCGTTGATCAAATTTCAAGCGTAGAGTCACTTTTCGTTGATCCAATTCTTTACAAATCGAAAGACATCACCAACCAATCATTTCAAACTAATTCGAATCTTATTGAAATGTTGCAAGTCCTGCATTTCATTGGATAATGCTTTTAATTGACAATTAGACCAACAACAGTACCCACAACACCATAATTGCTTTAACAGTGCAAACCTCTTCTTTATAAACCATTTCATAGATTTCGTGTTGAAGGTTTAGCCTTATTTCAACACAGCACACTACTTTCTAAATTTGCTTTTCGTCACTTGTACAATGATTTTAATGTCTTTCACGTTGACAGGAGATCTCTATGAAAATGTCTCTTGTCACATCCAAGCACAAATCCAAAAATATTCCATCCTAAAACAAAGAGACAAATAAAAAATGGAATCATTGCAAGGTGCCAACATGAATAGCAGTGTTGCATCCTCGGCAGCATGTATCACCTCTTCCACTTCATCTCCTTCGATTTTAATGACAATCAACAACAACAACAATCACTCAAGTTCACAACACATTTCTCGATGCCACTCCTCACACCAATATTCTACAACTACTACGACCTCTGCAACCACTACGACCTCTTCACATCAAAACCACAGTAGTAGTAGGTCTTTCAAACAATTCTTTTCAAAACTTGCCAACATGGTCAAGCCCAATCCAGCGAAAAAGAAGAAGAAGAAGAAAAAAGAAAATTCAACGACTTCCTCTTCTTCGGGTTGTTCTTCTCCATCGTCGTCTTCGTTTGAAACACTGAAACATGTTTCTTCACCGACGCACGGAGTAGCAATTTCAAATCTTCCAAGCATGAATGATGAATGTTTCATGAGTATGGCTTCTTCTTCATATCATCATCATCCTCCTTCTCAACAACAAATTTCCAATTTCCCTTCTCACCCTACTCATCATCAACCCTCACAACAGCCTTTCATGTTTTCTTCCGTTATTGCAAAAACAAGAGATTCACGAACACGAGCAAAGAACACCTCGAGTACCTCATTGCCAGATAATTGTTGTACAACGACCACAACAACACTCGGAGGTATCTCGTGTAGCAATCACTCTCCCTTGACTAACATGACCACAGCAACGGCCTTATCAACCTCTCCGAGAATGATAGGGCACACTCATACAAAGAATCATTCCTCATCGACCATCTTGTTCAATGAGGAACAAGTGAGTAGTGATTTGGATTTGGATTGGGATGATGTCGTGGAGGATTTGGAAAAGTTCAGTTCCTTCACCATGACGATGGATGATAAGGAAAATGTTGTTTTGGATCATCGACATCAGCAAACGGAACTGAACGAAGAAGAAAGACAACCACACTCTTCAGTGCAGCAGAATAAGCATTCTAAAAGAAGACACACGACACATTTCTCTAGCAAGTCTTATCATCATTCTGCATTTTCGAGTCAACCCTCACTCGCCAACAAATTACCAAACAATTGTTCAAGGTCAAAGCGAGAGAGTTCCAAATCTGAAAATCGAATCAAAGACCAAGATGATTTGGATACCATGGTGGATTTAATGTGGATTACGGATGGTCCAACCACGACAAGTACAACCATGGAAACTGTAAATAGAAAGAAGAACCCTTCTCTGTTAAGTGTTGTTGATTCTTGTGATATCTCTGTAGATACGAACAAGAATGGAAACAACAGTGCCAGCTTTGTACATATCAAGTCCACGAGTGCGAGCAACTTGTACTCAAGTTTGTCAACGCAAGATTTTGAAGATTTTTCATTCTCTCCTGGTTGCAATTTTCAAACCTCGTCCTCCATTATTGCTCTGTAGTAGAGATGAATCATTTATTGCTTGTAGTTTATACTCCCTGAGATAGTGCTGCAACAGGCGGTCTGAACTTTTTCTTTGCATTGGCTTGGACAAGACACAATGACGAACACAACGACAATATTTGCTCATGGTCCTTCAAAGAGAATTCTCTATCATCTTCACATTGGCATGTACAACAACATGTCAAATCCAACACAACCACAACTTTTGGTTCACAACAGCAACAACAATAAACTCATCACCCAATGCAAAACATGAAATTTAATAATTCCACCCCACGAATGGCGATTAGACAATGGTTTGCTCATAAAACCAGCATCATCGAGATCATAGTGACGAGTCTTTATTACTCACAACCAACAAAAATGAAAAAGACTCATCACTATGGTCTCGATGATGCTGGTATGATCCCCGAAGCTTTTGAGTTACCATCCAAGCAGGAGGTCATTGTGCTGGAAGGGAATGGAGCCGTACACGAGGTTCTCCCACAACATCTTCTCAACGAAGAGGACGCCAAGAGTAACGTTTCAGCATCGAGCACAGTATCGGACCAAGAAGAATTTGAATATAAACCCGTAACAAATCTTGTTGAGTATTTCAGTGATGAGAACAATAGAAAGCAAATTGACGTTGTGTTGCATTGTCTTGCCAAGTTAGAGGAAGAGTCGTCCGATAAAACCAAGGCTGTGGAACACAATGGAAAATTTCAATTTTTGTGCAATATTCTCTATGAGTTGGATAAATATGAATTGGAATTTTATATGCTTCAACTGTTGTACGTACATTGCATATTTTCAATCCATATATAGGTTACATTCATTATTATATAATCATAATATACATGATTCATTATTTTGTATATTTCATTCATCCGATACCCAATTCTTATCACAACTACAAATAATTCTTTGGTGATTGTGATCCAAATTATTTTCATAACTGACAATGAAACTTAACAATTCGAACGTGTAATGATGAAAAATTAATTTGTTTTAATATTCGGATAATATTTTAGAAATACATACATGATGAAAGCTGGAGATGGTGACTCTCATTTGGAACGTTATATTCTCGAAATCTGTGCTCATTCCATGCATTTTGGTATTAAACTAAGCTGGCTTCTTGATGCAGAGCTGTACACTCTCGAAAATCAATTGGCACAATCACCAAACAATATCAAATTGAAAAAGAGAGCTCAACGAGGAATGATATTCAGAAATCTAGTGGAGAAAGTGACAATTAATCAAGTAGTACCTATTAATTATATGAATGACAACTTCTTGAACACGTCCATACTTCAAGTCGATGCAGAAGTGACAAGCGAAGAACCAACAGATGAGGAAAAATCAAAAATGACCTCGTTTGTTTTACAGAACGTTTTTTCGAAACAAAGACGATCGAATTATTTTAATGATGAGCACTATTTTGTGCATACACTCACAGATTTATCATATCGATTGAAAGCCTACCCTCCTGGTGACATTAGAAAACATCGTATGAAGGCAGAACTCGAGCGGATCAATCAAACCATTCCATACGGTGTCTATTATCCTCTATGTGACTCCAAGACAAAACATTGTAGAATATTGAGAGTGTGTACAGATGCATGCCGTGTTTTTAGTACCAAAGAAAGAGTTCCTATTTTGTGTGTATTTGAGGTTGTTCAAAGTGAACATACATGCAACCAACCAGAAAATATACTTCAATTTGAAGAAAACCCTGATGGAGAGTACAAGATCTGGGATTGTATGATCAACAAGACGCTTGATCCTGGCCAATTAATCAGAGTTTCCTCCGAGCATTCGAATGAACCTAAATCTACTCTGAAAAAAGAAAATTCATCCTCTAGTATTAAGGCACCGTTACATGAAGAAAAACGAACCTCCATAGTCTCTAATGCGGAACCAACAAGTCATAACTCACCCATGTTAGAAAAACCTATACACAGCAAGTCAACCTCTGAGCTACCAATACTACACATTCCTAACCTTAACAATGATGAATTTGTACTCATTGAAAAATCAGATGCAGACAAGCACATTGAAGAAGTTGCACAGGAAATGGACTCGGTCTTTGGAGAGAGTTTTGAAAAGATCAAAGCCAAATACCGTACTCTCTCTCCTTACGGGAGCGTTCCTGGCTGGGATTTGAAGTCTGTTATTGTGAAAGCCAACGACGACATCCGACAAGAAATATTTGCCATGCAGTTAATCAAGTTATTTGCCCAAATTTTTGAAGAAGAAAAACTTCCTATTTATATCAGACCCTATGAGATTATTGTTACGAGTGGCAATTGTGGAATGTTAGAAACCGTTCGTGACACTGTTTCCATAGACGGTCTGAAAAAGAAATTCCCTAATTTCACAACACTCAAAGATTATTTCATACGAGTGTACGGATCACCAACCTCGAATACTTTTATCAGAGCTCAAACAAATTTTGTAGAAAGTGTTGTAGGCTACTCCTTAATCACATACATTCTGCAAATTAAGGATAGACATAATGGAAACATTTTACTCGACAGAGAGGGTCACATGATTCACATTGATTTTGGTTTCTTTCTCGGTATTTCTCCTGGTGGAGTTAAGTTTGAAAATTCACCATTCAAACTTCCTCAAGATTGGGTTGATTTAATGGGTGAATTGTTTGACTTGCACTTTAGACCTGTTTTTTATGTAGCATATTCAGCTTTGAGAAAGCCTCGCAATATGAATCGATTGTTGAACTTGGTTGAAATGATGATTGGAGCTAATTACAAGTGTTTCGATAACAATCATGCCAATATAATGCGAGATTTACGAAATAGATTTTATCCAAATCTTTCAGACGATGACTTTGCCAAGACGGCTCGTAAACTTGTCGATGACTCGATGGACAACTGGTTTACCAAGAAATATGACCAATATCAATACTTGACGAATGGAATTTTGTAGATTTTGTGAGTTGATAAAAAATTGTTGTTTCTAACATTCCACAATTGTCACCCGTAACGTTGTTTGAGATTGGTAATCTTTTGAAAAGAATAATTGAAGGTGAGAAGAAGTGTTCTCCTTGTTCAACTATTTCTTTTTCATGGTTGGCAATGGTTGTCCTTTGTTCAGCCATAACAAAATTATTACTGACAGTAGCCAAGTATGAAAAAAGATGTTTGACCTTTAATGTCAACACAATTTAAAAATTTATAAGAATTTATAAGCTTCAAAATCTAGGAAAGGGATGTTTTTCTGAAGAGTTCACTGTTTTATTTTATCAACGATAGATATCAAGGCTTTCTTTTGGTCTTTTTTTGAAAGCGAATAAACATTCATATTCTTGTTCCACGTCCTTCACTAAACTACTAAAAACTACGTAAACCGCTTTTTCTTCATCCTTTAGGAAATATTGATTTGTGTTTGGGACGAGATTCTGAGGGTTTTCATGTCGATTTTTTTTTTCCAAGCCAAACGCCTTAATGCACCAGAGCATTTATTTTAGAGAAGAAGAAGGCGGACGATTGTTATTATTTCTATCGCGTTGATGACGATCATTGTTTAATCTTTGATAATGTTTCTCTTTCTCCCTATACGAAATATTAAGCGAAACCTTAGTGTTGGAAAACTTTTTAAACGAAGAACTTTCAACGCTTGAAGTTAGAGGTGATTTTGATGTTGGATTCTTGGTAGGAGAGCTATGATGGTATAAGGATGCCATTTAGCCAAGTTTATCTGTGTGATCATTCCAATACATAATCTGATAAGGAGAGTGTTGAATTCTGTCGCCTGATAATGATCCTGTTGTCAACCCTTCTGCAAAATTGCTTTTAGACGATGAATTGACAAAAAATCATGAGCACACACATTCTCAACTGCTTCATTATGTAAGAATGGATATTAAACAACCTCTTGTCATAGCACCAAGAACACTGTTGTACTCAGTGGCCTACATTGACTTGATTGTAAAATGCCATATTTTTAGAAACACCATCAAAAAAAAGCCATCGAGTTCATCATCACCGATTCTTCATTATACTTTGATCATCATGAGTTCATTTGACTTGGATCAATATATTAGTGGTTATTCAGGACTCACTAAAGTAAAGAGACTCCAATTCATTGTTGAAAATTCCAAGGAGTTACGAAGCAAAGCCTTGGTGAAACTCATTGATTTGTTGAAGACTGGAAAGAATACCACTCTCTACAAGGAAGTGATTGAAAAGTACGGAAAGGAGTAAGTGTCATTGTAATGATCAGTATTTATTCATGTTATCGCATCCATAATATTGAAATGATCTCATGGGGCTGATTATCATCAAAATGTAATCATCATCATCATTAAATTTAAATATATTGACCGATACCCTATCATCATCATTACACACGTATTCACATTATTAACACGATTATCAGAGTCGGTCAAACTTTGGATACTGAATGGATCGCTCAAGTTGATCGAGCAGCAACTAAACAACAAGAAAAGCTTGAAGTTGAACTCAATGCCCATAAAACAAACTTGATCAAGGAATCTATTCGTGTTGGTCATAACGATTTGGGAGATTTCCATTTGGAGAGAGGAAATTTGCAAGAATCATTGAAGAGTTACCTCAGAACAAGAGACTATTGTACATCATCAAAGCATGTGAATGAAATGTGTCTAAATGTCATTCGTGTTAGTATTGAGATGGGAAATTACGCTTTGGTTAATCAATATGTCACCAAAGCTGAGAATACTCCTGATGTCTCCGATGGTACTGATATCATTACGACCACCAAGATTTTGGCTTCATCTGCTTTGGCCAATCTCGAAGGAAAGAAGTACAAGATTGTTGCTAGAAAATTATTGGACTGCGACATTCAATTGGAAAATTCATTCAATGATGTCATTACCTGTAGCGACATTTCTGTGTATGCAGGCTTGACCGCTCTTGCAACATTTGACAGACGTGAATTGAAAGAAAAGGTTTTGTCAAACAACAAGTACAGAGGTTTCCTTGAATTAGAACCTGATATTTCAAACATTATTAATTGTTTCTATGAATCCAAGTATACAGCATGTTTGGAATCACTCGACAAGTTGTTACCAAGATTATTGTTAGATATTTATTTGAGAGATCATGTTTCAACATTGTACGAAAAGATTAGAAGCAAGGCTTTGGTCCAATATGTCAGTACCTTTACCTCTGTCGATATGAACAAGATGGCTGTTGTTTTCAACACTACGGTGGACAATTTGGAAAAGGAAATTGCAGCATTGATCATGGATAAACAAATTAAGGCTCGTATTGACAGTCACAAGAAGATTTTGTATGCCCGTGTTACTGATATCCGTAATGCCACATACCAAAAGACTTTGGAAATGGGTGAACAATTCGTTAGAGAATCCGAAGCTGCTATTTTGAGAATGAATGTCAACAAGCAACGAGATTTTGTTATCAAGCCAAACAGAAAAGCTGCCAAACAAATGATGTTCTAAATGATATTACCCCGACAAGTTCAATAAATAATATTTAATTTGTAAAAAAGTAGGGTCGAGTATGTGTTGCACACGGAGTGGACTCGGTAGATCGTTGGCAATGCAATTTCGTTGTTTGTGAAAATGCTGAATGTTGACACAGGTGTGTGTGGGCAGCCACCAAACTCATGGACTATTGTATGAGCAATGGCATGATGATGTATTAATCTGTCAAATCCTCAATTCTCTTCACTTCAGCCATTTCACCATTAAAACAGCCCATTCCAAGTCCATCCTCCTGCAAAATGTCATCAATTAAAGTACAAATTTTTCCATAATTTTTCAGTACAGTATCGGGATCTTCTGGTGTTTTTCGGCACACTGTTTTACATCCTTCCATCACATTCTTGCAAACCTCTCGTAGAGCTAATTCTCCAAGATCTTCATCACCAACAACAAAAAAGAGAACAGACTGAATTCTCGTAAAAACAATCATTCTCTCATTCATGAACGAAAAAACTTTAAAGAAACCATCGGGCTGAGGAATGGATCCCTTGTTCACTCTTCTCACGTAATCCACAATCGTATCTGCCCAAGCAACATTTTGATTTTTATAGTCATTGTTTAAAAGTGATGATGATAACGAAGGTGATCCCTCTAAATTGCTACTACTACTGGCTATCGTTCCCGATCGTTTAGCCATCATGAGCGTTGTACTGAGTGATGATCTCTTCTTTGGAGAAAACGATGTTGGCTTTGAAAAAGATCCTAATAAACTTCCTTCATCTTCCGATTGTTGTTTTTGTTGAAAAGATGTGGACAGAGCAGAAAGGATGGTTGGTGATTTTCGAGAGAACAAGATTTTGAAATAGTCGTCCGTTAAAATGACACCATCGAGCATTTTTTTTGTAATTGGATTTGATGCCCGCTACTACAGGTTAACTTGAACGATAAGATATAAGATCAACGAAAAGAACTTGTGCATCTCCTTAATCGTTATCAGCTTCTCAACAAATTCTCCAAATGAAAAATCAAAAACTGAACTTGATGATGGAAGTTCAGATTTCCCTTTACAAGATTTACATTGTTTCAGAATCGAGAAACATGAACACGTCTATTCAAGGTTGTCAAAAACAACACTCAACAACAAGTTTCAATATTTGAACAAGTCATGAGTGCATATTTCTTGATTCAAATGATAACAAGTTGTACTTGGTTCTGAAAAGGTGGAACACTCCATTCGTCCCAAGTTGGGAGGTTGAGGCATTGTGGTCAAGGATGGAGACAATAATTGCACTCTTGATCATATCATGATGTAAATAAATTAACACGTTTTAATAATTGTGATTAAAACGATAATTGTCATCTTCAAAATTGTTCCTTGATCTGTTTGGGAATGTTGTTTTTTGTTTTGTTGTTCAAAATCTTGAGTTGGAAATTGCAAGAAAAAGATCAAGTACTTGGTTTAGACACGGTCACGTTTTTATCATGTTCCTCCATACTGATGGCATCTTGTTGATATCTTCCATGAATATTCATTGAACAGATATAAGGTCTTGACATTATTTTCTTTTTGTCTCAACAAGCACCATCTCCGTTTTTTGACATTTCCTTTTATATTCATTTTTCATAATAGATGCACGCTTCATGTTCTCCAACACCATCCAAGATGACCATTCATCTTCCTTGTTTGTATTTGAAGACTATAAATTGGCGAATATATAACTCGAACTTTTTATCAGAACAACATTAAAAAAAACAAACTTGTTGGACACACATATATTAACAATGAAGAAAAGCACCTTGATTCTATTAGGAGTGGTTGCCTCACTTCTCCTACTCTTTGTATGCTCACAAATGGTTGTTGCAGACCACATCAACTCTGATTCTTCCAAAGACGATGGAAAGTCTAAAGTGGAAATATCCAAAAAGGACAATGAGAACAATGATAAAAAGTCAACTCTTCCAATCGATGATAAGGATGAAAAGAAGGAAGATGATAAAAAGAGCAACGACAACAAGGAAGACAACGATTACAAGAAGGACCATTCCAAGAAATTCTTTGACAAGAAACATTGTAAACACGTTTGTGTGAAATTCAAGTCAGAAAATGGTAAATGTTTGAAACACAAAATTGTTGGTCAAACCAAAGTTTGTGACAAGTATGCCACCGTCAAGGCCAAATGCTTCAAGTACAAAACTTTGTCCAAATGCGACAAGTACAGTAAGGCAGAAAAGAAGTGCATCAAGTATGCTCACAAAAAAGCATGTGTCAAACATCAAAAGAAACGAGTCTGTGATGCGTATGGGAGTAAGAAAATTTGCTCATCCTTCAAGACCAAGAAAATTTGCGATAAATATGTCACCAAGAAGAAGTGTGAAAAACACAAAGTCAAGAAGGTCTGCAAAAAGCATGAGAAGGTTGCAATCAACAAGTGTGAACAAGTTGTTGCTTCACACAAGAAGAAAAACCATGGAAGTGATAATTCTAAAGAGAAGGATTTCTCCGATTCCTATTTGCCTCAACCAATTAAGAAGTGTCGAGTTGTTGGCTATGAAAATAAGTGTGTCAAACATGAGAAGGTCAAATTCTGTGCCAAACACAAGAAGGTGCAAAAGTGTTCCAAGTTCCTCAAGAGAAAGTATTGTGCCAAATATGAAAAGAAGCAATTCTGTAAGAAATACAAGACTCTCTCCAAGTGTGTCAAACATTCTAAGAAGAAGTATTGCGTCAAACACAAAACCGTTAAAGCCAAATGCATCCGATTCAAAAAAGAGAAGAAGTGTGTGAAAAAGTCCAAAGCCAAGAGAGTTTGTAAAAAGTTCAAGTGGACGAAGGGAGAGAAGATTTGTGTCAAACATGAAAAGAAGAAGGTTTGTGCAGAGAAAAAGAAGATTTGTGAGGTCGATAAGAAGAAACCTGATTCCTATGTCTTGTAACATTGGGAGGAATCATTTCTTCGTAATATTTTGAAATTTTTGAGAGAATCATGGTCGTTTGGATTTTTTTGAGTGAAACACTTTTAGAAGTATTGAAGGGATTTTTAATAGAGAGAGAGAGTGAATACAAGACTCTTCCAAGGTTGTTTGTGAGATTTTAATGGAAGAGATTCAACATGCTCGCTTCAAAGGACTCCGTTCAATTCTTTTAACACAATTTTAAAATAGCCAATAAAGACGATTGTGTGCCATCATCGTATTGGCTTTTTATAACAATCTATTTTTTAATTCATTCCTATTTACTTTCTGTCAGTATCGATATTCTAAACTTTGAGGCTCAGATGGAAACAACATGAAGGGTGACACACATTTAACTCGATACAAAATTGTTCCCTTTACCTTTCGAACCTCATTGAATCTTTTCAATGTTATAGAGTGGTGAATACTGAGTGGAACATCAAACTACGGATTGAATATTGTCCAGTGTTTGCAATGGAGAATGATCTTTTCTCTTAAAACGGATCATAAACTTGTTCATAAGGAAAATCAAGAAAAGTTCGCCGAACCTTAATGATTGACAGAGATCACTGGAGCAAGAAATATTCTTCTTCTATTCCTTACAACTCATTAGTTTTTGAGCACCTTGTGTGCGTTGGGTCCTTTCCCTGGCATAGCCCTACTGATCAAGCGATGAGAATATGTTTGACTAGACTCAACAATCATCTGACTGCGTATGGTATGAATGAATAGACACTTGGATTTTGCTCTCCAATGTTAGAAGGTACGGGAAATTGAAAATTCTTTGTCAACATCTGTCTTGGATGGTCGTTCTACAAGATTCCTTGTTGAACGAATCAAAACAGAAGCATGGCTTTGACATCCTCTGAATGATCCAATCCCTACTTGGTGCAAACCAGACCCATGGATTCCGCAAACTCAAGAGAATTATTAATTTCAAAATTCAAATTTTCATGAAGAAATCTTCCAATGTTCGGTTGGCCAACGGCATGAAAAAACTTATGGAAAATTCTTTAATGCACCTCGAATAAAAAATGTGAGTGGATAAATGACATCAAGGAATAGTTAAAAAATAGTGGCTCCGTCGTTTTACACCATGATCTACAATTTTATCTATTTATTCTTATTATCACTATTCACTCGTTCTGCCACTGTGGTTAAAAAGTTCTTTAAGTATCTCTCCCATTCTTTCTCGAAGAGTAAGTCATAGTTGCTCATGTCAATGAAGGAGCACAAATAGTTTTTCTGGTATTTCTTTACAACCTCTTTTGAGAATGTTTCAGTTGTGTGAAGTCCAACACACACATGCATCATATTTGATGATTTAAATACTTGTAAAACAGCATTTCTTAGGTCATTGTACCATTTTGCATTTGAACTAACTTTCATGCCTTGACCATTCGCATCATCTATTATCTGTTTTGAATTATCCTTCACAACGAAACGATTTTCATTATTAATCTTGGTTTCTTCAATATGATTACAATTTAAATTGTAGAGGGTATTAGATTTCAGTTTTCCATAATTATCGAGATAAAATAGTTCAGGAATAGTGGAGCTAAAATATGAATGGGGGTCAAAGTTAGTTCCAGATTGCACTTTACACTGGAAACCTATTGGAATAATCATGTCTGAACCTTTAACTCTGTTAATACCAAACAGGTCGTTGTGGTGTTCATTAGATGGAGTTATAAATACTCCATCTAATAAATCCCACTTTTTCTCGGCAAAGTGTGTCCAGAACAATTTTTCTCCGTTCATATCATTCTTCTTCTCTGGTTCTATAACGTGTTTGGAAATACAGTACTCAATATATCCCTTTGGATCTAAATAATGTTTGCACTTGAATATGTGATCTTTTAAGTTTGCATTGTTGGTGATTAGTGGTTTGAAACAACCAATTTCAGACAAACGTGTACCATCTAATTCTGAGAGTCTGAGCATAACAATTGATTCCAAATCAATGTTGTGGTCTGAAGTTTTTAGGAGCAATTTAATCCTTTCTTGAATAATCTTTTTCATTAGTTCTGATTTATCTTCAATACCAAATATCTTCTTTAGTATTTCCATTCCAATTTCATACCCAATAAAATCCTTGGCAGAAAATACAAAATGTTTTGCGGTTCGATCATCCAAATAAGAGCTTTCTGGGCCAGAAAATCCAGAATATAGTAAAGCGTCAGCAATATCATCCTTATGAACCGTAAACTTAGAACCTAAAAATGGAAACTGATAATGAGTAACATATTTAACAATGGCTTCTTGAATACCTTGTCGAGTTGTTTCTTCTGCTGCCAATCTAGGATTCAATTTTGAGTTATAGGTATTAAGATAATGCTCTACATGCTTTTTTGCTCCCAATACAAACTCTTTTACGGATAAATTAAGAGCATCTATTATGGTGTTGGTTTTGGTAAGTTTTTCTAATGCCAATGTGATTAATCTTCTTCGAAAGTACTTGTAACCTTGTTCATGTAAATAGAATAAAATCTCTTTCTTCTCTTCGTTTGGTATTTTGATATGTTTTTCTAAAAATGAAACGATATCATCTCTTGCAACCAAACCAAAGTCATATATTTTTTCTATATCAATCTTTGCTTCAGTTTTACCAAGATTTGATTGTATAATACTTCCAACATCAACGGAAAAGTTAGTTCCAGAAAATATGGACACATGAAATTTTTCTATGGCACCAATGAATTGTGCAAACTTGGTTAACAGTCCTCTCTTCTCGCCACTCAAACTTATTAACTCTGAAAGCTTCTCAGAGCCAGTATTATTGCTAATGAAATCATATTATGAATCACGTAAGAAAAATTAATCAATACAAACCCTGCATAAACGTTTGCTTCATCAATAACAACCACAAAATATTCAATTTTCTTAACTATTCCAAATAGAGTTGAATTATCATTAAGTGAATGAATTATCTCCTTCACTAAATTTGAAATAAATTTTTTCAATATTTCAGGATTAGAATAAACAAATTTCAATGCATAGTCTAGAGCTTCCTCACTAGCGTTAGTTTTGCCATTGGATTGCATATATGCAAGATAGGGAAGTATTCCACCATTAACAATATTTCCATCCTTATCTCTCTGAACAAAGTCTTCAAATACATTTGGGTGTTGTTTTGCTTCATCAATTAGTTTTGAGATGTAAATCAATCTACATATGAATACCATTAGTACTACTTGTTCTACTGAGCCAAAAAGTTCAAAAATATTTCGTCCCTTTAAGTGACCAAATGCTTGACGCATCAACGAATCAGTTGTCAATCCACTGGATACCTCTGATGATGAAGTACATGTTAAAACCATTCCAGGATTGTAACATAATAAACGCACGCACGCTGATGTCTTGCCAGCACCAGATGGTCCCATAAACATTAATGCGCTTCGTTTAGGATCAGCTACTCGTTTCAATACCTCATCATCTTGTGCCATAGTGTAGTGGAACTGTGTAAAATATGGTAGTTGATGTTTGGCAAATGAACCAGATATTAAAGGCAATTTAGCTGACTGATATTGTTTACCAAAGCTTGGATAGCCAAATACAATGTTCGCAGAAGGAATGGTAGTCTTTGCGCGCAACGTTTGCTCAAAATCAACAAACTTTCCCTCTTTCAACACCATTTCTGAATATTTGTTCGCCAACCACAATTTCTGGGGCAAAAATACTTCATTGTTGTTTTGGTGAGGCTAGATGTGTGGTTGTGGGAAATTAAAAGTTGAACGATGTTGTTGGAGCTTGTTCTCTTCATTTTGATGATATTTTTTTTAATGGTTTGATGCTAAAAATAATTTGCAAATATCCAAAAAATTTATTTCGAGCTGACTCTGTGAACACAACCTAGACCCGGTTTGACGATCATTTTGCCCGGGGAGGGGATCGAGAGCGTAGGCAATCAGACTTTTGCCTTCCATTTTGGGCCTAACTATATTTGTACATCTTAACACACGAACTGTGGCATTACATAATGAATCAAAAACTGCGCGTACATAAGGGTACGTGTACCTTATTGGAAGTTAAAGTAGATCGTTATATGAATTTCTAGTATTTTTCTTTGTTGATCAAACTCGTCCAAGCAGATTTACACCTGAGTTTTTCGCATCTTAATGCTCGTCAACAGCAAGAAATCAGCATCTCGAAATCAAAATGCAGCAAGATACTAATGTGACCTGCCAAACTTTCCTCAATGCATGTATAATGCACAATAATTGTGTATAATAATATATAATAATGCATGTATAATGCACAATAATTAAAGGAATTTTCATACCATAACGAAGAAAGAACTATAACTCTGGAAAATATTGGCAAAATCGGGGAGGGGGATCAAAACATTAATTATTTAGGATTTTCAGTCAATTGATTTTGATCGTTGAAGTTTTGTTGTGTTGTTGGTTGCACAGTGAGTGATTTCGTGCAAAAGTGCTTTCGGAAAACCATTTCTGATGTTCAAAGCGTGTTAAGAGACACAAGAAGGTCCTCAGAGATCGCTTTGCTTTTTCTGGCCTTTTGATTGAGTGTTGTGGGCTTGATCAGAACACTAAAGCCAACAAGTCAACATCATCACCTAACAAAATTGAGGAGTATTTTGGCTCGGGTTAAACCACTGTGTGTCGCTCTTAGAAATTATCGCTAAAGAGCTGACACTGCTCAGACTTTACAAAAAAATGAAGGTATTACATAAAGCAGCAAAACAACAAATTTCTTGTGGATTTTTAATCTTCTCGGAGAAGAAGCATTACCTCCTGTGTCATACGACCTGTCATAAAACACCACCCAAACAACCCTTGATTCCTTCTCAATTGAGTGAAGAGAAGTGGACCATTCCGAAGGGACTAGTGGATGAATCCATTCCGACACAAGTAGGTGATGCTGCTGAAATTGAAACTGCAATTAGAGAGTTGAAGGAAGAAACAGGAATTGATTTGAAGGGAAATGAAGTATTGCGGAAGGAATTTTATGAGAAGTGGGAAAGGTATATTTCATGAATGGTGAATGAATTTATGAATAGAAATGTTGATCATTTTTAATTTAAAATATTTCGCAATTTCTTTAAACTCACATCAAATTAATAATAATGAACACTCCAACAACGGATGAACTTGTATAATTCATATGGGCCATTTATTGAAACTTCACATCATTTTAAGAGGAGAGCTGAGGTTTAATTTACACACAGAATATAAAATTAAAACCAAGATTGTGAGAGTATATTTATTAGATGATGAGAAGGGACTAATCAAAAGTCAATATCCATTGCACGACATGAAATGCTCATCTTTCATTGATATTGACCATCCTTTGAAGGGCTATCCTGAAGTGGATGCCTTTTTGTGGTGCACAAAAGCAGAAGCTCTAAAAATTGCTCTTAAATCACAAAAAGTACTTTTCAAATGAAATTGAAATTTTAGAGAGAGAATAATGACACTATTTAAATACACACTTCAACCTTAATAACATGAATGCATAATAAGAAAGAACTGTATTCTCATGCTTTCAACAAAAATATACATTCAACGACTTGAATGATGACATCTGTTCAATTAATTAATATTTATATTTACAATTAGCTTAAATATTCAATGGTTTTCCATCATAGGCCATTAAGGCAGCTTCTTTGAATGCCTCTGCAAACGTAGGGTGAGCATGACATGTACGGGCAATATCTTCCGCACTCGCTCCATACTCCAATGCTAAGGCTGCCTCTGCTATCAACTCTCCTGCATACATTCCAATGATGTGAACACCCAAAATGCGATCCGTGACAGCATCAGTTAGTACTTTCACAAATCCTTCCATTCCTTCTCCAATAGTTTTAGACCTTGCATTACCTACGAACGGGAATTTTCCTACACGATACGGAATGGAGTTAGTCAAAAGGTCTTGCTCTGTCTGCCCGATAGATGCAACCTCAGGATGAGTATATATCACATTAGGAATGGCATTGTAATTCAAATGAGGAATGGACCGACCTGCCAAGTATTCAGCCACAGAAAAACCTTCATGCTCGGCCTTGTGAGCCAACATGGGGCCTCTGACGACATCTCCAATGGCATAAATGCTTGGCGATGAGGTTTGTAGATGGTCATTGACTGGAATTCGACCTTTTTCATCGAGTGAAATTCCAACATTTTCCAGACCCAAACGTTGGGTGTAGGGACGACGACCAATGCATACTAAAACAACATCTGCTTCGATTTGTTCCTTGGCCTTAGTACTTCCTTTCGCATTGGACTCCAATTCAAGCATGACTTTTTTGTTGAGAGTGTCTACATGGCCATTGGTGACTGAAATTCCCAATTTGAAAGTCATTCCTTGTTTTTCAAGTATTTTCTTCAACGTGTGAGAGACTTCTCGATCGAGGAAGGGAGATATTCGCTCCGTATTCGACTCTAGGACAGTGACTTGAGATCCCAATCGATTGAATACCGAGCCCAATTCTAAACCAATAACACCAGCTCCAATGACAATCATTCGTTTTGGAATGTGTTGGAGGGAGAGAGCTCCTGTAGAGGAAAGCACAAATTTTTCATCAAAGGGAAGGAAGGGCAATTGAGAGGATTCAGAACCTGTGGCAATGAGAATGTTTTTAGTGGAAAGAAGTTGTTCAGAATCGGTTTGATTGGATTTGAAAAGAACTTGGTCATTACCTAAAATGGTACCCTCTCCTTTGAAATAATCGACTTGGTACTTTTTAAAAAGAAATTCAATACCCGAGGTTAGATTTTTCACAGACTTGTCCTTTTGTTGTTGCATGGATGGAAAATCAAGATTCACTGGACTCATTTGAATTCCCCATTTTGAAAAATTTGAGTGAGTGGCATCATAATATATTTGTGAAGCATGTAACAATGCTTTTGACGGAACTATATTTGTTTAAAATACCAGTTGGAAATTGTCATTTTGAAGTCATGGAAAATTATGACACTTACTGCATCCAACGTTTAAACAAGTTCCTCCCAAAGATCCTCTCTTTTCAATACACGCAGTTTTAAGCCCGAGTTGAGAGGCTTTAATGGCAGCCACATATCCACCAGGACCACCACCAATGACAATTAAATCATGTGGTTGTTCTAAATTGTATTGGTCAAGCGTAAATTCATATCATTCATGTAAGTTGGAAGAGTAAAACTTACGAGCAGCAGAAGAATAATTTCGCCACGATTGAGTGACAAAGAGTTTACGACAGGATGAAATTTTAGAAGACACAGCGAAAAATAATGGAGAAGATTTCATGGTGAGAGACAAGTGTTTGTTTTTTTTTTTGGGTGAATGAAGGCAAAGTCATGTATTTCTTCTTGACGTTGTGCATGAACAGTGTGCGCACATAGGAAGGATCGAATGACAAAAAAGGGAATGAGGTCCGATACAATGACCTTCCCATCATTAATTTTGCCATCAGGTTGAAAAAAATTATTGTTGCTCATGATCTTTTTATCCTTAATATAATGTTGGTGTACTTGGAACATTGTGCTGACAACCCGTTACAACTTCCACTGTTGCATGGATTTCATTGGGTTGCAACAACACAAAAAAAATTCACGAATTTATACATGGCCATCAAGAAGAACTCACCGCCTACACCATCATCACCAGAATCGGATACCTCTGGCAAACATTTCAAGTTGAGAAAGTTCGCTCATTCCAGCTCCAATGATGAGACCAACAACAAACAGCATCGCCCTGTACAAGTTAATCCTCTCCATGTCGATTTAATTGTGAAGGAAGTCGTCAAGAAAGAAAATTGGAAGACGAAATTGGATGATCTTTCCGAAAAGTGGGCACATGAATGTTTGGATCAAAACATTTCTGTGGCCAGTGTTGAAGTGGCTTTTGACATTCTTCGGGATATTGAATTTTTAGGAAGAGGTGTCAAACATTGCTGTGGATGTTGTGGAGCAAATCCTGTTAAGCAACCCTACGATGACGAGGATGAACAAGAGGATGAGGAAGTTGACGACGAGGATAGATTTGATTATTACTCGAGATCTACCAAGTTTTGTGAATGTCCTTGTTCACATTGTGCTCTTGACTTCAAAGAGGCTCCATCGTATGCATGTAAACGTTATGATGGCATGATTCCTGAAGAGTTGAAACAACAGTTGAAGAAAGAAATTGACTCATTGGTAGAGAACACTCCTGATGACAAACTAGATTGGCATCCAGGTTCTAACCATCAAGTGTTGGATATTATCCATCCTTCACTCTATTGTTATTCGAAGAAGTACAGTCAACTCGTTGAAGGCTCTCCCTTTATTGAAAAAAACAAGCCAAAGGAGAAGAAGGAAACACCTCAAGTTTCTCGTTATAGAAGCTTTTATCCACCTCCTGAACCAGTGATTAATTACTTGTGGATGCCAACCAATTTCAAAATTCATCATGACGCTGGAGAATATTCAGTTGAACCATTATCTTATATTAACAATGTCGATCAAGTCACTCAAAAACCATTGCAAGATGTGATTTGTAAAGTTTTGGGACGTTTCATCGAACCCATCAAGAATTGGGTGCCATATTTGAAGGATACTTGCCAAGTTATTATTAAGGCTGCCACTGTCATCGTCACTCCCGAACAGCAATACTATCCTGGAGGCACCTGGCATACTGAAGGACTTCATGAGAATATTGTTGCAACTGGAATTTATTATTATGAATCTGAAAATGTGAAAGAGAGTTATTTGGAATTTAGAAGCAGTGTTGATGATACTGACATTAGTTATGAACAGGACAATGTGAAACAAGCATTCGACAACAGTGGACTTCATGATGGAGATTTGTTATTCAACTATTTGGGCTGTGTGGAAACTAAACAAGATCGATGTATTGTCTTCCCTAATACCTACCAACATAGAGTGAAACATTTCTTCCCATTGGATCCAACTAAGGTGGCAAAAAGAAAAATCCTCGTCTTCTTTGTTGTCGATCCAGATAAGAAAATTATTTCAACCAGTGATGTGGACGTTCAGAGAAGAGATTTCCTTTTCAATAGATATTTAATCTTGACCAAGTTATTGCCTGCAGAAGTTGTGTTGAACAATATTATCGGTTTCCTTCCTCATATGACCCGTAAGCAAGCAGAAGAGGAACGTTCTGGATTGATGAAAGAAAGAAAATTCCATGTCCAGCATGAAAATGAGGAAACCTTTGAGAGAGAATTTTCATTGTGTGAGCATTAATTGGTCTTTAGGGGAGTTAATAAAGTCAGTAGAATGAATTTGGTTGATGGGACCTTGTTCGACTTTTCACAATGACTTTCTGACATTAAAAAATGCTCTCCCAATCAACAAGACGGAATCTTCTTTTTGGCTTCTTTTCACGACCAGCAGGCTCAAAAGTTCTTCCGCAAGCCAAATATGCCTCATCATCTTGGTTGTTGAACAAATCAAACCAAAGAACCAGTAATTTCCAATCCTCACAACAAGCTTTCGGATTTCATTCTTCTTTATTTGTTTTTAAAAAGGAAGCTTCATCATCTTCCACAACACCAACAGAAATACCCACTTCGGAAGAACCAGTGGTTTTTGGAGAGTTTGAATTGGGTGAGGCAAAAAAAGAAGTCATTGAAGCTGTATTTCGCTTGTTTTCAAAACACGGTGATGTTTCCAGTGCTCAATTATATCTTCGGACTTGGTACAATGAAATTATTCCTCGAGAGAAGAAATTGAAATTAAAGAAATCTAAATATGATTCATCCATTGATTGTTTACTGTATGGTTATTACGGACAGAGCTGTAAACCAAGTGGAGAGGAGCAAATTCTTAGCCATGAATTACTCACAAAATCCTCTAAATTATTCAGTGAATTATTCTTAAAGGACATTAACGATGCAGACTTGAGAGAGAATGCTCTGGAAAACTGTCCAAAAGGAGAGAATTCACTTTTGAAAAAAGTTCGTAGCAGAATTGAGAAATTGGTGCTCTCGGAGGAGGGAGAAAAAGTATTAGCAGAGAAGTTTGCCATATCGGATCGAAATGATTTGATCCAAAGACTCGAAAGATGTGATTTTATAACATCGGTCTGTTTGGCCATGATGTATTATCATGACGAAAAGATGAGAGACTTTTCCAAATCAGAATCATTCTTGCTTCGTGCATTGACTTATAAACCAGATGATGAGAGGTGTCTATTAATGTTTGCTTCATTGAACGAATTTACTGGAAATATCAAGAATGCCGAGCAAGCATATTTATTGCTTTCACATTACAATCCAAATGATCCTGATGTGTTGGGAGATATTGCTGTCTTTTACAGAAATATGATGCATGATCGAATGAAAGCCAAGAAATACTTTAATATGGCACTCAAACTGAATCCAAATCATGTAAACAATTTGAGAAATTATGCCATGTATCTCTTTGAAGAGGAGTCTAATGTGGAAGAAGCTCTTCAACTATTAGAACAAGCTATGGGAATTGTGTCTACAGATTACATGACCATGTCTAGTTATGGTATGGTGTTAATGGTTGATGCAATGAACAAGCCATCTTCGCAGGCAAATGCCATTTTCAAAAAGGCAAGAGATGTGTTGAAGCGATCCGTTCAGCTCAATCCATTCCAATCATGCACGATCATTATGAATTATGCCATCTCTGAACGTATGTGTGGAAACAAAATTGATGCCAGGAAGGCCTTTGATGTTGCTGTGAAAGCTTTTGAGGAACACGAATCCAAGACACCCAACGATTCTCATGTGGAATTATTCAATAATTATGGATCCTTTTTATTTGAAGAAGAACACTATCAAGACGCTAAAGATAAGTTCCAGAAAGCCCTCAGCCTCAATCCTAATGCCAGTGAAGTTCACACAAACCTTGCCTTGACCTATACCAAGTTGAATAATTTGGAGCAAGCAGAAAAACACTATCGTAAAGCAACGAAGGATTATGATGACACAGAAATTAATGTGGTCAAGCACAGTTTATTTAATTATGCCAAGTTTTCATGGGATCACACCAAAGATCTTGACAAGGCAAAGAATTTATTTACGCAATTGATAACGATTTGCAACCAAGAAGGAGGTGAAAAGAATGAGGACAATTCTCAATACTATGAAGAGTACAAACAATTCTTGAATGCCACCACGGGTAAGAAGAATAAATAGTGTGACTATGATCAGAGAAATTTTGTTATTCAGGCAGGCCAATAAATTATTTATTTTCTTTCAATTTTTGAATATTTCTTTGCACAAGCTCAATACATTCTTGTGCCTTCTCCATCGAGAGCTGTTCAACAAAGGAGGCAGGAGCTTGATCTTTCTGCGAGGAATCATGAGGTTGAGGAACATACGACAGAGTATTTGGATAACCTTTGAGAGTAAAAGACAAGGAAGTGCTATCTGTCTTTTTAAACGAGAGTTTGACGATTTGTCTCAATGTTCGTTTCCACAAAATAAGGCCACTACCCAGTATTTGTGGATGTGGCTTTAAACACATGATTAAATTATCTCCCAATACAATATATCTTGGTTCGTGAGTCTTTCTGGTTTGAGCAGTGAATAGAGCAATATTCTCTCCAAGAGTAGATAATTCATCAATTTTCACAACGGTGGTTGGTTCTTGTTGTGACGAGTCACCACTCATAACAGCGCTTGTATTGGAAAGGTCATCATCATCAGATCCTGAACCTTCTTCTCCCAGTGAGAACACAGGTTTTATCTTGGATTCAAGGGTGGATTTCGCCTTGTTAAGTGAGGCACCCAAACGAGGAACCTTATCCTTGTTCTCATTGACAAATTCTTCTGCCATCTTTTTACCCCATGTAATAAAACTCGAGACTTTTTGTGCCCATTCTTCAGTGTTAATTCCCGAAGTGTTCTTATTGTTAGCATTTTCAACGGTTTCATCTTTGACATATTCGATTTGATTTGAAGTCATGAATTTGATACAACCTTTGAAGCCGTCAATGGCAATGGACACATGTGAAAAAGTTGCAGTCACAAATTTCATTGCAATAACTCGCAATAAATTTTCTTCCTCTGCTAATTTTCTTCCAGTACCAAAAATGATGAAATGAGAACCTTTGGCATCTTGGAATCGTTGTAAAATAGCTTTCATCTTCTCGTCGTCATATCCAACACGAGTACCGATATGAATTGCTGTTGGTAATCGTGCATATTGGAAACTCTTCACACTTCTGCAATCAATGATAATGTACTTGACACTTGTCGTTTTTGCTCGTTGTTGCTGTCTGGTTCGATCTTTGGTGAAACAATCAACAATTTCACTTGTTGGAATTGGCAAAATTACACTTTCTTGCAATTGCTTTTTGATCATGTCAAATTTTACCTCGGCAGATGCTTGAAAGAGTGACAAGAGTTGATTTCGAGCACTGAGAGGAGTTTCCTTTTCCAAATTTTTAACTTCCAAATACAAGGAAGAAATATCACTCTTTTGAACAATTATCTGTTGTTTAGAAGTAGATGAGGAGGACAATGCATCTTTACAATATTGTCTCAGCTCATTGGTCGTTGTTAAATTAAGCAAGTTTGTTCTGTCTCTCATTAAAATTGCAATAACAAAAAAGGTAAATATCACAGGGTCTCGTTCAATAATTAAAATATCGAGGAAATATGTAAATATTTCAATAAAATTAGAGCTGGAACGTATAATCAAATCAACCAATAAAGATTTTGACCATGGAATAATTTCGTCAACAATGACTTCTAATCTATGTCTATCGAAATGAATTTGCAACTCTGGATCGTGATACTGAAGTAAAAGTCTAAACATTTGATCAAAGCAATCCAACAAGAGATGTAATTGTTCAGAGTCGGTTTTTTCTAACAATGGATTGTTCTTACTTTCAAGCGGTTTGAAATATCTGGTGAGCATGACAAAAACCATTGGATATAACTCGGAACAAGGCATTGATTCCACGTTGATACATCTAATAAATTGATAGACAAATCTTGCCATTTCTGGTCGATAACTCAAAATGTTTGGAATGACAGGTGGGACCATCATGTTGTTGGATGAAGAAGAGTTTGCCATAGCTGCTCTCTCAGCCATATACTGATGATGAAATACCAGAATTTTAAACGTCTTTTCAACAACACTTTCCGAAAGAGTAGACTTGTCTTGATCGGTCATGCTCAAATGTTCAATCAGTTGACTTTTACTAATCGGAAGTGATCCTTCTTCATGGATGGCAAAGGATTGTTCGGTCAGTTCGCTTGGTGCAGCCTTGCTTGAGAGTAATTTCTATTAATTTGATTAGAACAATTTCCAAAAAATCATCAGAATGTTTTGATTAACCGAATCATGTATGATGATGTTCACGTTTTCAACCATTAATTATCATTAATTCATTATCATGGTTATATGAAAAATCATATTGATCCGTCATGACCAAAATGATCCAAACGATGATTTCAAATTCTTACCTTCCACACAGCAACTCTCAAATCATGAGAGGGTATTTCTGAGGACGGCATGATCATGGTTTCCCGACAAAAATCTCTCAACTGCTTCTCCGACATTTGATACACATCTTGTATGGTCCATCCTTTCCATGGATCTTGTTCATCATAGAGAAGGGACATTTTTTTGTTTGTAAAATTTATCATGATAAAAACATTCGAATGATTTTGTTATTTATTTGAAGAGAAGGTTCTTCTCAAATTCTTTGTATAATTATTACAAAAAGAGCATGGAACTTTGTTGCATCAATTGTTTTTGCTTGATGTGAAATTCTTTCACTCTCTTTCGTGTGCTGTATTCTTCAATGTGTTTCTTCATCACTCGCATGAGAGTTGGTACATTCTTGTTGGAGAGCCATTCATACAAGGATGCATCTGCTGAAATTCCATGAGAATCTGTGGATCCGTTTCGTAATGGAACCTTAAAGAGTACTTGTGGTTCTATTTCCATGTGAATGAAATACGTGGCTCGAATGGTCGTTCGATCATCATTCTTATTGGAGGAATGGTTGTTGTGGCATTCGACATTTTCCAATTTCCATCCACCTGTGAAGGATTTAAAAGGACTTGTTTCTGAGACGTGAGTGAAGGAAATTCCTTCTCGAGTTCGTGTCACCTTAATGTCATATTCGAGAGTGGAAAAGAGAATGGTGGATTTCATGTGAACCATCCTCGTGTGGTCGTCTTGTTTGTGACACGTGACAGTTGCTGAATGTATTCCTTCTACGATTTGAGGATACTTTTCAAAATCTGTTAAAAAATCCAAACAATCTTTCATGTTCGTATGTTCAATGAGGATCGATTGACTCGAAGATGCCACACAGTACTTGTGTGATGTGGTTGGTATGTGAGGTAATAAGCTTTTGAGAGTTGGAAATTCGAGAATCACCTTGTTGAGCTGTTCAATGAAAGAGATCGAGTCTTGTTTCTGAATTTCGAATGGGCATGGTTCAATGCAGTATTTGTGGTTCGTTAGAGGTGTAAGTTGGTCAATTGTTTGCTCTTGTAGTGCCATGTCATTGGTTGTCTCTTTCAGCGTTTCAATAGTCTCCATCAAATTTGCTTCTTGTTGTTGACATGCTTTTGCTGGTAATGATGACACCGTTGACTCTAGTAATGACATCACACTGGATGGATGGCATGTTGTGGTCATAGTATCGGCAGTGGTGGTATTTCTCTTGTCTGCTGCCATGGTCGTATGGAGTGACATGGTTGTATGATGCATTGCCGTCTGATCTCTCTTCTTAATTTCATTCCGTGTTAACAACAATGGATGACACGATCGATGGACATGATCTTGCATTTCGCCTTGTATTGGGGATTTTGTCTCCTTCGTACTGTGATGGTGGTTGGGCAAACATGTAATTTGCGAAACAATGAAAGCCAATAGGCTTGTCCTGTAAACGTTCAAACTTGGTTAAACTTTAAACAATAAACATGTTTAAACAAAAATAAACAACATAAACATGTTCAAACTAGTTCAAACGTTTAATCTCGTTCAAACGTTTAAACGTTCAAACGAAAATTAATTTCTAAAGAATTGAAATTTCTTCCTATTTGTCACCTTTTTCATTTTGCGTTTTGTAAGGAAAGAAAATTAGTTAGCTTTCATTCGGGATATCGAAGATTTTTGGATCCAAATCATCGAAATTATAAACCATCCTGTTTGGTATCCATTTCATAATCGTGTAACAAGGTCTCTGGTATAATGAGGGGCAGAAAAAACTTCCCATCCAAACACACAACTAATTTCTCGGACCAAGGTGAATAGTAACCAAATTCGTATTTCAACATTCCTAACAGCAGTCAAATAATCTTTGACATCATTGACCTGAGTTTCAATGTCAACAATTAATCGCATTCTTGAAAATTATTGATATGAATAGTTCTTAGACTTTAGGGGTTTAGTAAGGTAATGAAAGGCTGTGAATGAAACAATTGAGAGTGGTATTGATGAACACAAAAACTCAGAGCAAAATGATGTTCAGTGATGAACAACAGAATAAGAGCGAGAGAGAGAAGAATTTTTCTTTATCACCCGTTCGTTGTTATTGGTTTTGATTATCAGGATGACATTTATCACGAATCGGAATAATTATGGCTAAAGGGAAAGAATATCATTATTGTTTCAAGAAATGTATTATTGGGAGAAGATGGCAAAATAGAGATCTCATGCCGATGCTTCTTTGCGCATTAAACACATCATTGAGCAACGTGTCATAATTACTACGCCACCAGAAGTGTTAGTGGCAATGTTGTTGTGTGTTTTTCATTTTTTTAAATTAAATTAAATTTATTTGTGATTCTCGTGTTTTCTGTTCACAAATGTTTAAACAGTTCAAACATGAACAAACATAATAAACTTTATAAACAAGTTCAAACAATTTAAAACTTGTTCAAACTTGTTTAAACATGAACAAAATAAACAATGCAAGTTTAAACGTTCACAGGACAAGCTTAATGACATGATGTTGCAAAGGTCGCAATGGAATTGTTGTTTTTTCTTCAAGACTTGGATCTTTGCTCAATCCTTGAGGTACGCTAATGGACACACTTCTACAGGAGAAGGGGCATCCCATCAACTGCACTAGAGATGTTTCGTTTCATGATGTCCTTATTAAGCGTTTGGATTAAAAATGGTACTGAATATGTGTGAATGGAAATGATGACGAACTAATTTAGAAATACAAATCTCTCTCCACAGTTTGTTTAAATTATTCCATTTCAAGTCTGAACAAACGCAGAGTTTGAGTTTGTGAATTTTTATCATCCTTGATAGTGAGAATGTGCGTTAGGTTTCAATCGTTGGACATTAATGCTCGTGACATCTTATTGGCACACTCAAGCTTGTATTGAAACCACCAAATGTAGAGAGTTTTTTGATATTCATCCATTTTCTTTGGATTTTCATAAAAGTGTTTGATTAAATTGATCAAATCTGGATGATTCACATAGGGATGTTTCGAAATGTCGATGATTTTCAAAGGATGATCTTTGGGTAACCCGCTAAAGGATTCCAATTCTTCTGGAATTGGAATGGCTCCATTCTCGAGGGCTTCCCACTTGATTTAAGAAAATGAGAATCGAATTCAAAATTTTCACACATGAAAAAGATGTCACATGATTCATGACAATTACAGAATTAGTCATCGTATACTTACCACTCTGAATTGATCTGGATTATTTCCGGCAGGACACAATATTAGAGCAGAATTTAACATTTGGAGAGAATAATCGACCTTGCTTCCCTTATTGAAACCATCCGTGAATGAAATGTCACAAATTTCTTTCAAGACCTGGTTGCCATTTTCTTCGAATAGAATCTTATTCATTCGCGCAATGAGAAAACCAGATCGAATTCGACGCTGACCTCTGAAATAGCAAAATTTACCTCGTTTCGAAGCAGGAACGAGTGAAGCATACTGATATTCAATAATACTATTCATTAATTTTTCATTGTTTTGAATAAGAGGAGGAAGTCGGGGAATATGAGATTGCGAAACATAGGGATAACATGTAAAGAGGGGAAAGAAGTGAATATTTTGCAAAGTGGCGTTCAATGTGGTGAGTGCATGATTCCAATAATTTCTAAAAACAAAGTCATAATTTTCATAATTTTCTTTTTTGAGAACTATTACTTGTTCGTCTAACATTGACATGTAATTTCGGTGTTTTTCACGATTTCGGTCAGTGACGCATGACATGTGTGTGAGTAGCGTTAAACTTACCTCCAAGTAACCATTTCACGACCTTTGTATGAGGATACAACACTCCTAATTTTTCCAACACTGCATGTTTGAAATTATTGTTATATCCAGGAATTGGCTCACCTTCATCCTTATGCACCAATATTAAATAATTCGTTTTCTTCAATTCCTCAGTTTCATTCACCTTGTGGCAAATCATTTCTTGAGGTTCCTTTCCTTCATATTTCTTAAACAAGATGCGATGAGAAATAACTCCACTCGAAGGTAATTTGAGTATTGTTTCAATTTCACATGAAGGAGTAAATGTAGTGACAATACAAACATTCCCGTCATGGGAGAAGGTCTCTGTAGGAATTAATTGATTAGTAACATATAATTCTTGTTCACGTGGTGTCAAAGTGGGTGTCACAGAAAGCGCTGAACGTGCCATCATTGGTGTGTAGTTTTCTGCGGAGCTTTCTGAAGGTCGACCTTTCGTACGATTGTGTGCCAATTGAAAACACACAATAAAAGTCACTGCCAATACAACGAGGATTTTCCAAAATTTAAAATTGGGTGGCGACGACGACCATGAGTAACCTTGCTGAGGTGTTGTTGTTGTTGTTGTATTGGAACTGATCGTCATGTTTTTTTCGTTTGGATTTGGCGCTCGTGAATACAAACTCACAAGAAAAACGAGACAGAACTCAAGGATTCGAATCATTCACAACAACATGCGTAACACACAAAGAATGTTCCTTCGGAGTTACCCTTCCATTGTACCACTTGGATCCTCTCACAAGTCACTTGTCGCATTCAGATCAAACCCTCTTCTTAAAAGTCACATCCGTTTTTAACACTCTCCAACCAATGAAACCAATCGTAAGGCCAGAATTGGCATTCATCACATTCATTCCGTACAGAACATCTGCTACTTGTGCGAAACATTCATCAACATGACTTGAAAAGTGGTCATGTCCTTCATAGCGTGAAAGGCAAACTCTCTTTTCTCGAAGGCAAATTTTTATATTCGAAGGAGTACTTTCGAATGTTTCCTCTTCTACTTGTTGATATTTGTTGTTCTTTGTAGAAATAGTATTACTATTATTATCATTACCACTACTACTACTACGATTTGTTGTATTCATGATGGTTGTACTGTTTACCGAGGAACTACATTGTGCAGAACTCTTATTCGAATATTTCGTACTATACATTCGATATTGAAAGATCATGTAGAAAAAACTCAAAATTTCTCTCATGAGCCAAACCATGCAAGCAAAGTATGCCTTATTTTGATCCTTCTCAGAAACATTCAAATTCTTAATTTCCTTCTTTAAAAACGAAGGAAAGAAAATGTGAGCGACATGTTCCTTGTTACTGTATAAGGACTCGAAAAATATTTCGGCAAAACTGAACTTGTTGAGAGGCACACGTTTAGGAGAGGTTTTGTAAAGACGGTAAGCTCCTCGAATGGGACCTGTCACATATTTTCGAAAATGTTCTAAATGATGTAATTCTCGAGAGACAATGTCAGAATCTTGATCGATGGAAAATTTGGCACTATGAAGCACTCGATACTCTTGAAGAGGATCCAATGGAAGAAATTTCAATTGTCTTGAACTCTCTTGCAAGTTGTGTAATTTTGCTTCACAATTTTCTCCAAACAGAGCCACTGGTTCTAGTTTGACATTTCCAAAATTGGAGTCACACATCACATGATCGTCGTAACTGGGTAATAAAATTGGGAATTTGGTGTATTCACCACCAAGCTTGGCAAAATGAAAGGATCGTTTCAGACTTTTCTCAAAATTTAAAAACAATCTCGAGATGGAAGAATTAAATAAATATTTTTCCCAAACACTGAAAAACCATTCTTTGGAGACCATTGCAAAATTATGAATTAATTCAAAATATGAAATAAATTGAAAAACATTTCCGACGAGAACGTCCATCGGGAAATCTTTGAAATAATTTTTAAGAGGAGAATCCTTCTTGTTGGTCACAGTCGATGGAGCAACGTTTTTGGTGAGCAGTAACTCTCTCATCAATCGTTTTAATATTCGTTTGGAATTTGCATCATATTGAAGCTGACTTTTATCGGAGATGGCGGAATAGTTTGATGATTTGGATTTTGAATTTTTCAGCATTTTTTTAAAAAGTGAAATCCAACACATCTTAAATTCTATCACAATCTGTCCTTTCAACGAAAGGGTCAGACCTAGAATTATTCTTGGAAAGTTAACAGTTATGTGAAAAGAATCTGTGCTTGAACAAACGTTTAGATCAAATATTTACAAGTTGTTGAATAATATTATGGGAATATATGAGATAAACCAGTGGGATATTATCGCTCTCAAAAAACTGTGGAGGTGTAAGTTCAATGACTCGTCATATGCTTGGTTCTCTGTTTGAGCATGTGGGAAAATACAGAGGGATAGCCATACGCCACAATAAATCCAAAGAAAAATAAAACTAAAATCTTCTTGTAGAGAGGATATGGATTCGAGGAAGATTGAGATGGTAATTTCTTCTTTCTCGTGATTTCAGAATTATTCACGCCATGATGCTCAGGTGCTACTGTTGCTGACATTTCGTTGGTTTGTGGTAACGTGCTAATAGACTCGCTTCGTAACCATTTAGAAAAAACAACACGCAGCACCAATCCAATTTCACTTAACATTCCCACAGGGTATAAAATCAAGAATGCATTGTACCTTAAAAATTTCAGAATTTTCACAAGCTTGGCTGCCTTGGGCTCTTTTTCCAATTCCCATGTTTGGCTGATATAATGTGAATATCGAATAATATCTGCCAACGCCCACGACACTTGTAGAGTGAACATCATGATATCCGTCATTAAATCATTATTGGGTAAATCATCTCCAATAAAGTATGTAATAAACATTCTGCCAAGTGTTTGCCCTAGCGTTGTTGAGAGAGATGAATTTGGAGTTATCCCTGTAATGACATGAACTGACTCTAATAATTGCAGTGTTTGAATGGTTTTCAGAAATTTTCCATTGAACGTCCACAAGGAGGGCTTTTTTGCCGATAATCGCTCTATTACTTGTTTGTTTGTAAATTTTAATCGACAGCCATGCTTTTCTATTAGAGGTCTAACAGTTCTTAACAGTAATAAATTAATCCACTCGATCGCTTGTAATGCATTGTAAACGGTAATATATTGTTTGGATGTTATTACGGCCATCGTGATGATGATGGTATTATCGTTTAAATGATAGAATTTGAGAGAATCAATTGATCCGATCTGACTTTAAAAATTGACCTAATAAAATGTATGGATATGAATTTGTATCAACAGCAGTGATGACAACGATTGTATGGAAATTGACTTGAAAATATTTTTTTTGGTTTTTTTAAAAACAAATACGAAAGAGCCAGAGTCTCTACAAGTTTGTTTATTTGAAATCCTTTGCAATTAGCTCAAACATTGGATCCACACAGCGGAGAGTGACCGATTGGTTAGTAAGAAGAGAAACTGCTGGAAATAGAGTTCCAGTAATATTTCTGAAACATTCTCCAACAAATTTTCCATTAATGTACCAAGACAGAGTAGATCCAATATTGTTTTTGGGATCAATCGCATCTTCAAAAGCTTTGAGATAGTACTTGATACGACCTTTCACAATGTCACCTTCATTAAAAGGTACATTATTCCACTGAACTACTGGATCGCACGTGAATGGTTGTTTGTGTTTGAGATGTGTATTTGAATAGAAATGTAGATTGTCACCATTTCCACCTGCATATCCAAATCCAGCATGTCTATCATATCCTATTAGATTGGTAGGAGTAGATTCCTTGTAAGGGAAGGCCTCTGTTTCAAGGCCGACAACAATCCACCACCCATTCGCGTTTGACTTGTCGAATTTTTCAATCTTAACTTCAAATTCATAGATTGCTACATCATCCGTAATGATATCTACTTCTCCATTTTCAAGATCACTTGCAGAAATAAGTGGAAGAGTCATGTATCCGTTTTTACGTTTTTCCAATTCTGTTGGAATTCGAATTGGCAAATTTGTTCTCACAGTTTGCCAATGATATGTAATGTTGTCTTCACGATAAATCGTTGCATTATTGTTCTTAAATTTGATGTTATTTCCTCTCTCACAAGTATCCCAGCATAATTTCAGAGCCCAATTCACAAAGAATCGATAATATGTTTTCCATGATCTGTAATATCCGCCAGGTGGCTTCTCACACGCGTTCATAAATTTGGATTTGATTTCATGAAGCGCAGTGCTAGAGAAAAATCTGGGATATCTCTCTGATGATTTTGAATTGGTCATGTTCTGATATTTTCTTTTCAGGTAGTAACTGTAAACGTTCATACAGAGCTCCTTCCATAACATTTCATTTCTTGCAAACTCTCGATCAAATTCTTTGCATACCAAGCCAATACCTAAAGCAAGTTCTTTGTGTGTGAGAAATGAAAAAATCTGATAGTATAAATCGGGAATGAGGCGAATAATTTGCTTCTTAATTCTTGGTGTAGTGGCTGTATTGTTTGAAAAATGAGTGGGCGAAGCAAAATGGAATGGAGTTGCGAAATTCATTGGATCGACCATATTTACAGGGAATCCTCTATGTACAGGAAGAAGTGACGTTGGAGTGGCTCTCAAGACTGGAGATGATGGAGCGTGTGAGATGAGTTTGTTTGTGAGTGCTTTCTTTGTGGGAGTCGAAAATGGTGCAGTGTCTAACGAAGTCGTGGTGTTAGTTCCAACTGGAACGTTTTCATTGAGGTTGTTGGCATTGTTTGCATGCATGTTGTTGGATGCCAAATATTGTTGAGTATTGTGAGGTACGGTTGAGGAAGAAGAAGAGGAAGCCACTTGAGGAGGTCCCACCACAGCGGCCATTTCTTCAGGATTATACGGTTGTGAAGAGGAGACCCGTTCTCGATTCATTTGTGTCGTACTTCTAGAATTAGCACTGCTGTTGGTGACACCGTTACTACCCGTAAATGAAGGAAGAGCGTGAGAATAGACATGATAGGCTTTTGGTTGGGAGGAATCTAAATTACTCAACAATACTCTCTCCAAACTAATAGGAGGTCTGAATGGCTCTGTTGGTGGTACAAAACAAAAAACATCATTATTAATAATTTGATCGGTGCTGTCAATTTCAGTACCTCTAAGCGAGAAGAGTTTTGGCAGCAATCCATCGCTTTCTTTTTCACTTCTTGCACTTCCAGCCCCAACCTGATCCGTGGTTGATGCATTATTGAGAGAGCCATCCTTGTTGCCACTTAACGTGAGAGAATATCTAAATTTTGCAGAAACCATGGCTATTAAATCCTCAAACGAGGTATGAACTGGATCGAATGAAATCATCTTTCCGTATTGTAGTGTACCATTCGGAAATACATGAATGCGTACCATTGGTCTGCCAACAATATAATTGTCTTGATTCAAACATTGAAGAAGGTGTTCATCGTTAGAGTGATGGTGATGAGGATGATGATGGTGGTGAGGGTGGGGATGATGTGCAGAAGCATGGTGATAACTTGAATGGTATGGCTTGCCATGAAAACTGGTCATGTTTGCGGCGATTTGTGGAGGAGAATGCAGTAGGGTAGAAAATGACCCATCAAGCTCATGGGCAGGAAACAGTTCGTCGTGATCTAAAACACCAACATTAGGTGCATGATGTCTGTGGTGATGATGATGATCCGCAGCAGAAGCCGAGTCCAATAAGAAAGAACCTGGCTCGGCCATTGGTTCCTGTTGATTGTTGGTGCCGTTGTAGTAGAATGGAGAGGAGGTGGTACTGTCCAAATCATAACCGTGATGATGTTGGGTTTCGGAGGTGGTTGTTGAGAGCAATGATGTAGATGATTGAGCAAGGGTGTTGTCTCTCTGCTGGCTGTTATTGCTGTTATCACGGCTAGAACTGGGGAAGAGCATCCGACTATTGGTCGGATTATTCGTGTTGTTTTCAATCATTAATTTGATGTTCTAATGTAATCCGTGTGTGTGTGGGTTGATGATGAAAGTTTAGATAAAATCAATAATTATTATTTATGACCGTTGGCTATTGCTTCCGTCGGGCGGGTCAGAGGTAGATATTTGGTGTGTATATAATTCTAACAACCAACAACAACGTATTCCTTGTTCGATTCCAAACAACAAGAATTTACAAGTAGCAACTAAACAAGGCAATCAAATCAGGGAGTGGTGTTGAATCAATTTTTTAAGCGATAATCAATTCCTTCACAACTTTTTTCGTTTAATTCTTGAACCTCAAAATACAATGGTTCCAATTGGTGGAATCGTCTAAGGATCTTGAGAGAGCTTTCTTTTGAGTACATGTTCATCTGGAATCATCCATGGTAACTCTCTCCCAATGTTCCGTTGCTTTTCATTGGCTTGTTGTCTCCAACAGTCATGTGGCACATTTGTTGTTATGTGGCAACAGATACAAGGACAAGGCACATCTCTCGGTGCACAAAATAAAATTATATATAAAAGCAATTTAAATTTAATAAATTTTAAATACGAACACAATTTCCAAACATCCCTTAACGGTGCTTTGAAATCTAGTGGCACTCGGATCTGAAGAACAGACCTCGGTGTTTCACCTTTACAAAAAAATGAAACAACCAAACATCATTCGGGATGATCAAGTGGGCCAAACACAGAACATACTGAAAAATAACATGATGGAAAAGGCACAATTTCCGTTCCGAGGAGGAGGAGAGGTTTCATCTTCAATCTCCACCACGCAACAACTACATTCTTCAATCATGTTTTTAAATATTACCGAACCCGCTGTTGCTTTTTATGAATATAGTGAAGAACCTCAAGAGCCGACCCAAAGTCAATACGAATTGATCACGTATAGTGTAGACATGGCACAACACAAAGACGAAAGCGTGAAAATGATGGGATCTATTGTTCAAGTACTGACATTTGTCAATTCGGATTCGATTTTCTTAATTACCGATTGTGGCATGTTGTATCGAGCGAGTTGTAAGCGAGAACCAAACACATCACTTTCTCATGAAAACAGGTTTTCTTTGGTTCCTCCATTCGATGGCTCTACACAATGGAAGGCGTTACAAATGCATTGCTATTCAGAGGCCATGTTGATCATAGCTGTCAATTCAATCAATGACAATTATTGCTTGTTTGGTATCGGAAGTAATGGTTACTATCGAATGACCAAGCTTCAAAATGAAGACTTTGGTTGTAGCGAACCGCAAATTGTGTTTGACACAAATGCACATCTTCTAAATGCCATCGACCATATTTCAGGAAAGCCACCTCGAATTAATCATGTTGGATGTTGTTTTTCTTTCAGTTGTTGTATAGTTGATGATTACAATGTTCACACTACAGGTTGGTTGTTGTTTCATTGTTCTCAATTTTTACAAGCTCGACACAGGTCAAAATTGGTATACTAATTTTCATGAACCATATCATTGCTGGAGCTCTGTGACACAAAGAATGTCAAAGAAAGGTATGAAATAGTTTTCAATGATTGATACTCAATTCACTAATTTCATAAATGATGATGCGTTAGTTGTGAAAATGGATTGTGGAGATTTTCATGTGGTGTTGCTCCACGAAGACGCTTCAGTTTCCATTGGTGGAAGAAACAATGCCTATCAATTCATTAAGGATGAACAGTGGAAGCAGGCTGACTTTGTAACATTGGATTTGAATACGTATGCATTTACTAATATATTTTGCGGATCCAATGCAATCATGTGGGTGAGACAGAAAGATTTCGCGTCAACATGTCAAGAATTTTTCATTACAGGCGATAATAATAGAGCGCATAAGGTCATTTATGATAAGTCATCTCTTGGCGGAGCACAGGTTGAAAAAATGGTTCATCAAACAAAGGATGAACTTTTATTAGAACAAATCTATTCTCGTCAAGTATTTGATGTTCAGTATTCGAGAGACTTTTTAATTCTTCGATATTTTGACATGCCACATCTTTTATTTATTGACGGTACCTCATACTATGGAGGCTATCAAAAACAAACATGTTGTGTGGACTTGAGATCAATCATGCCAATAACTTACCAACATACAAGCGACGAGTTTTTTAGAAAGATTGTGAGAGTGCAAGTACAAAATATGGGAGTTGTTGTTTTTTGTGATTTGAAAACACACATCCAAATGTGTGAACGTTTACTCAAGGCCTTAGAACTTTCAAATCCAAACAATCATTTACTCTATGACATTTCCTTCGTTGTTTACTAAGAGGTGTCTTGGAATGCAATCTAACTTTGCAAACACTTTCATTTCCGTAATACTGCTATTTTTAACTTGAACCAAGAGGTCCTATTTTAAATGTTTCTCGTACATGTAAGAGAAACATTTAAAATAGAACAGTCAACAAAGATCAATTAATTCCATCAGTTCACTCATTCACCCAAAAAAATGACACGATCACACAAGAAGGCAGTCGATTATTACAGCGATGAATACAGAAAGAATTGTAAAGGAAGCGAGAGAAGAGTGTACCGAAAGAAAGTTCGGGATGCCCTCTGCAATAACAGTCATTCCGTATCAGGCGTTGATTTACTGCCATCGGAACCCAGTCGAAAGCTTTGGGGAAGGGTTCCTGTTCTTTCCGATAGTTATCAATCGTCATTGGTTCAACAGGCCGTTGCGGAATATTACGAAATTATGAGTGATCCAGCATATTCTCCTCAATTATTGAAAGAACAAGTGAAAGAGAATTGTCGAGAAGAGAAGTGGGAAGAAGAATGTTCGAAACGATCTTCTCGAAAGAATTGGAAAATGCAGAGAAAATTGGCATTGGATGGTTTGAAACATCCCTATGAAGAGGATTCCACAGATAGTGAGGAAGAGAAGGAAATTGAGAAGGCTGTAAAAACACAACAAAAACAAATCAATTCAACTGTCAAAGAGAATGTCAATCAAGTGAGACGATTTTTAGATAACGAAAGTTATAATTCTTTCAAATTTTATAGGAAGTTCAATAACAAGTAAATATTTGTTGATTGATGGCCTTTATAAGCTAGATAGCAAGTGGATTTGTTGAACATGCATGACGTGTTCAAAATCAATATCATTGTCCTTCAATAGACCCTTCAATAGCTCAACTTGTTGTCTCAATGTTTTGTTCTCCTGCATCATCTTTTCAATAAATGATTGTTGATATTCCTTCAACATTCGCAAATCGAGTGAGGAAAAAGTTTGTACATGGTTGACTCCTTCAAGAAATTGCTTTACCGCCTGCAAAATTGGAATATATTTCACAGTCTCTTCGTGGCTCAAAATCTTTCTGAATCATTGGTCATTAAACATCTTCCTAAAATATCATTGACTTTCCATGATGGATCAATATGCTTGTCCAATTGTTTATAGAGTGCATGATGTAACTTGGCCTCTCCATATAACGTTGCAACAGCCATATGAAAATAAGATCCATATTCTGAAAAATAATTCATGACATCATGTCGATTTCCATAAAAATCTTTTAAATACTCTTCATTCAATCTCAAGGAACAATTGGTTAACATTTTCATGAACATGCATCCCATAATTTTTCACTGCTTGCAATACAATCTCCGATCATTTTTCAACGCAGCAGAAGCGTACTTGAGTGAATAACTGTATTGTTTTACTTGTTCCATGACATGATTCCGATCATTCTGAAAATTCCAAATATTCATCAAAAATAATCATCACACCAAATCATCACGATTTCAATAATTTAAAAAGCATCATGGATGATTCATTGAGAAGGCTCCGATCGAAAAAAAACGCACCCATGGATCAAGCTTTTTAGACATTTTTTATGTACAACAAGAACACTCTACCCTATTCATCGTGCTCAGCTTGTCATTGAGCTTGCCAACATGACGAACGACAAAAACATGATCTTGTGGCGCAAAATGTTACCGTTACAATTTTAAAAAACTTTTTCAAAAAAAAAGAAATGACCACGACTGTCGTTCCAGAGTTTTTTCCTTCCTTTCATTTTCACATTGCTCAGCCTGAACCCTCCAAAAGTTCTTCGTCTTTATCCTCTCCACTTGTCACAAGCGAACATTATGGAAGTATTTTACTCATGATGTTTCTGGAACAAGTCAAGCAACAATCTTTTTCATCCATGCTTCGACATGATGACGATTGGACAGAACATGAAGATGATGATTCCAATGCAAGTTCAGATATAGTCATGAATTTGGACATGTCTCGAACGGAACAAGAGTCATCATGCTCATTGACAGCAACTGTGACGAAAAGAGCAGGAAGAAGGAAAATCAAAACGTCCCGATCCTGCAAGAAGACTCGAATTTCAAACGATAAGGATGTTGATGAGAAGAATTCTTCCAATGAAGAAGAGTCTTCATCTGCATCGGAGGCGGAATGTCAGTCGTCAACAGCACGTGTGGCTAGGAAGAAACGAAACTCCTCGAAAATTGTCAAGCAAAAAAAGACAATGAAAAGAGGGAATGATAAAAAGCCACGCGTTGCAAAGAGATAGTGTAAATATGACCAGATTCTGTTCGAATCTGAACACCCTTGTTTTTGTAAATAATTCCTTTTTCTAGTACTCTTATGAACTAATATAATTTTTAAATGTGAAACAATAATTGCAAAATATATTAATATTAATATTTCGGATGTTCACAAAGTCCATAATAAAACTTCACATTTCTGGAAGCTCAGCCAATGATTTTTCAATAATACCTGTCTTGAAGCTATAGGCTGGTAGATAGAAAACCATGTCAGGTCCTGGCGGCTCCAACTGTAAATCAAACTTGTCCAAATACAACACTTCTGCCATTTTAAATTTTTCACATGAACGAGAAAGAGTAGTCTTTTCGTCTTGGCTTTCAATCTCATAAATAAATTCTGTAGTGTTGCTCCAGAAGTCTGTATCCTCATTTTCAATTTCCAAAACAATGTCATGAGGAATAAAATATGAATGACACACGGGCAAAGCATTCCAACTGTTAAAAACATGAAAGGAATCATCCTTAGGATCCATGGTAAAAAGCCTAAGGTTCTTGGCTTTGTTCTCCAATTTCTCGGTGTTTTCTTCCATTAAGACATAGAGACGGCTCGTATCCATGAATGTTTCTGAAACGTCCAATATTTCTGACAACGAGGTCAAAGAGTCTACGTCGCCCTCTGCAGTTCGTACATACAAGTAGTCAGAATGATGATCTTTTTCATTGGCGACATGAAACAATCTTGCTTCATAGGGAGCCTTAATTCCAGAGCAATGGCCACAAAATAGAGGAAATTTTTTCGTACGTCTCAGCTCATTAAAACGATAATTGGTGCTGTTTTCTACATGTGATGAAATGATCATTCTATGAGCTGTGCTGTAAAGTGGTTGCGTGACATAGTCATCATCATCATTGTGAGTATTGTCAATGATTGAACTAGGGGTTTTTCTTCTTTCCAACCCACCCATTTCTTTAATTTGGTTAGCATTGAGCCATGTGATGGGTTGTGGATCATTCCTTCTCCATCCCCAATAGGATCCATCACGTTCGTACGCATTTTGTGGACTGAAAATATAAATCATTCCTCCACCTTTGGGAATGACAGTATTTGTCAAATCAAAATATTCTAATTGTTGAACATTGAGCTGAGCAATGAAACACCACTTGTTGCCTTCATCATCTGTGGGCCATTCAAAATTTCGAGGAAAGTCAGGATAACCTCCAAGTTTTGATTCTCCCAGAGCAATATAGTCGTCACTTGTATTCACAGATGAGCCAGTGAATAGTGGTGTTGATTCCCAAAAGAATTGTTCAATATTCGAAATGAATTCAAATTTTTCTGTTTCGTTGTTATCGTTTTCATGATTGTCACTAGTCAACCACACGGTTTGAAGGTAGTGCTTTGAAATGTATTCCAAAGAAAATGTCAAATATCTTGGTATTGATTCTTCAACAGTCCATCCACTTTTGAAAATGTCTTCTCTTGAAATTGTATTTGAAGAGTTGTTTTTGGTGTCTTGAAGCAACAATGTAATGATCTGATATTTGTGTTTTGCAATTTTTTCAATGAAATATCGTTTCCAGAATTGGTTAAATTCTTTTGGATGATCTTGTGCGTTCGGAACGGAAATTATTGGAGGAATCAAAGGATCAAATCCACATCTTCTTGAAACCAATAATTTCCAATTCAATTTGTTTGAAATTACTTCATTCCATTCTCTACACACTTTGGACATGATTTTCAACAACACACATCCGTTGAAATATTCAAATATTTCAATAAGAATTTCATGAGGCAGTCCATCCATGATGAAAGATGATTTTGAAAGTGTTGAAGGTGATCCCATCAATTTCAACTTCTTCTCTTCGGGATGATCATCCTCTCCATGCTCTTCCATCGTGAGTCGTTTCTTGTGGTTGAGCAGTTCATTCATTTTTGTTCATCTTTTTCATCTTTTTACAAAGTTATTGATTTTTATTCACTCATCTTTTCCATCTTTTTTACAAAGTTATTGATTTTTATTCACTCAACTCTAAGGTATCAATATATCCACAAATTGCATTTGACGTAACTTCTTGTTTGGTCGAACAATTCAATAATTGATACAATTTACAATCCTTTCCAAACTTGCCATGTTTTGCAAGTTCAATAATTTTCAAAAAGTCCTGCTGAGAATGCACCTTTGAGAAAATATAGAATCCTTTCACGACTTGTTCGACATTCTTGTTATGAATTCGTTGGAGTGGTGCTTTCAAGAATTTAAACATGGCAGTTGAACGATGAAATGGATTGGGTGACTTCATACATCGCAACGAATTGAAATCTCGATCATTCACATAAAAAATTCGTTTGGCTTCTGTTTTGGAAATGGTCGAGAAGGCACTTGAAGTTTGACACTTTCCACACACACAATGATCCACCAAATAATGGTAATAATCAGGATGAGAAGGTACATGAATGGAACCTTTGGATTGAGCAAGACTCAACGAACGATCTAGCTCAACATCCAATCTTAAATATTCACCACATTGAATGCAACAATTTTCATATAATTTCCTGAAGAGTGTTTTAAAGTCATTGGAAAGTTGTGGAAAATACGTTTTTTGGACGTGGCGTGCATTGGGACATAAAAATTTCACACACAACGCTTCCCACAAAGAGTTCATCTCAGAATAATAGAACATGGTTCGAGAGACTTGTGAAAGTTGCAAAAGTGTGTCGAAAGGTAGATATTGTAAGATTTCATTCCAAATTTCATCCGATAGACCTAACAAGTAAGGAGAGGATGCCGACGATTCTTCTGACTGTTCACTCAATTCAGAGACTCTTCGTTCTGAATTTTCTGTAGAGGAGGATGCCACGGTCATCAGGGTGAACGAAGAATCTGGATGAGTGGTTGCTTCTCCTAATGAAGAGGTATTGAGATCCTTCTCTTCATCTTCCTCCATCTTGGATGCTTCCTTCTTTTCTTGCTCCTTCTTCTTTCGTTGAAGTCTTGTTTGAATGCGACCAGTTGATTCCTGATTGGAAACTTCAAGCATTTTGGAAGATGTTTTTGCTCCACTCTTGAACGTTTTGGATTTCTTTTTTTGAGGTTTGTGAGAATCTTCTTCATCTACAAGAAATGACGACTCGTCGTCTTCATCTTCAATCTTTGAGGATTTTTCTAACATCTCCTTCTTCTTCTTCTCTTGTTCCTTATTCTTTCTCTTCTTCTTTGCATTGGCATTCCGTCTCATGGCTTGCCATTTCACAATAAGTTGAGAAAGTTCTTGTTGATGCTCCTTCTCAATGGGACCTTTTTCTTCATAATCAAACATGCATTGAAAAGGTCTGTGGATTTGTGGAATGAAACAATCCAAATGTAAATAACATGGTTTTGAATTTGCTGTTGTTAATGTGGCTGAATCAAAAGAACAAACACCACTGTTCAAGACTTTTGATAGGGATCTTCTCGGGTGATAGGGAAAGAGTGATTCCATTCCAACCACTGAATTCATTCCGATACATAATTCATTGTGAGAGAATGATTGACCACATAGGATACAATTGGGGTGATTATCAACACCTTCCGACGATTGGTTGTTAGTGCTACTTGTCGTCGTGGTTGATGATGAAGTTGACTTTTTAAAGTATTCGACCCACATTCGTTACTGGTGAAGTTGATGGAGATAGAATGTATGTAGAGCTTGAAGAGAGACAAGTGTTTTTTTTGTGCGTGCGAATATCGTTGATTGAACGGATGACAATGAAGGCACATCGTCAACGAGTTTGAAGTTCGAGTAAGCGCTCGAACAAATGCACTTCTTATGTTGATGCTTTGGTGAACCCTTAATCACAATAGGTTGGTCCATGATCCTTTGTTCAATCATTCTTATTCTTTGGTGTGGAATTATCAATTCTTATCAAAACAAAAATGAGAAGACGGTTGCTGGCTGAAAACACCCTCTCGTCAACGTCGGCAGTAATGGTACCATGTCGGACGCAAATGAAGCCATTATTACGAATTATGAACAACAAGACATCCATCATGATACATTCTCATGGCTTATTGGTTCAGGATAATTCCTCGGGTTTTACTACCCATACACAAACAAATATCTTTTCATTGGATCGGAATTGTAAACGATTATTTCATCATCAAAATCGGATAAATAATGGTGCTTCTTCCTCAAAATTCGATGAAAAACAAAAATCACGAATTTGGAGAAAATACAGATTATTTCGAATTACGGTCGGAAATATTGGACTATGGGTTCTATGGATTGCGATTGGAAGTGGAATTTTTGTGATATTAGACTCGTTATATTATGCACACAGAAAGGAATTTGACAATCTTAAACGACTCTACCACACAAAATTTACACTCAATCCCAACAATGAAAATTCTCCAATTCTTTCGATGGAATCTAATATTGTGGAAATGTTTAGAGAAATATTTAACAAGCACTCGAATGGAAAAGATTACATGACCTTTGATGAGTTGAAAGAATTTTTTCAAAACGAACAAAAACAGTTTGATGATCGTAGCTTACTTGAAATAATTCACAATTTGAAAGAAAATGAGCAAGAACAACTCCAGTCACACATTAACTTTGATCAATTTTTAAGAATAATTTTTTTAAGCGCGTTCAAAAGTAGTGAAACATTTAGGGACGATCTACCACTGTCTAACTATTTTGTTTCTTCCTCTCATAACACATACTTGGTTGGAAATCAGCTGACCAGTGAAAGTTCTGCCAAGGCATACATTGATTGTTTGAAAGATAACTGCAGATGTATTGAGAGTAAGTTTTGTGTGATATATTAACCGTGTATGACGTGATCATTTACAATTCCAAATTTTTCACACCATCGTCATTGGTGTCGTCTAATTTATTTGTTGACATGGCCTCTCTGTTGTTGCAATAATTTTTAAAAGTTGACTGTTGGGACGGAAAGAACGGAGAACCAATGGTACACCATGGATGGACATTGACCTCAAAAATTCCACTCACAGACGCCCTGAAAGCTATCAAAAATTATGCATTCCATACTTCAGAATATCCACTAATTCTGTCATTAGAAATCCATTGCAATCTCGAACAACAAAAGAAAATTGCCAAATATTTAAAAGATACTTTTGGAGATGCAATTATTGCTCCCGGATCTGTCTCGGTGGATGACATTCAGCTTCCAACGCTATCAGATTGTAAAGGCAAAGTTTTTCTTCAAGGAGAGTGGGCAAATATTGAAAAGAAGATTAGACAAGTTGAAATTGATATTGTTTCAGACATTTTCTTTGAGAGTAAGTTTGAATGTCATGATTGAATAATAATATTGGATATTCACATCGTGTGGATCATAATTTATTATTCATTGCAATAATTTAATTTACTTGAACACAAATTGTTGAATCCATCAAATTTTTAGAGAACATCTTTCATAATGAATTTGATCCACCGCCAGAATTTACGCTCTCTAAAAAGAAACATCATGACAATACAAAACTGGAATCTAAAAGGAAAATTGCAGAAACTTTGGACGAGTCCATTAAAGTCCTCGATGAAACATTTCCACAACTACATCCTGAGAATGACACAATTGGAAAATGGACAAAAGAACTCTACGATTTACTCTATTTCAAGGCGGTGAGAGATGTAGATCACGAATATCCAGAGGAAGTATCTCCCCTTCACAAAATCATTAACCTCAGTGAAGGTATGGGAATTACTCACATCTTAAAAAAGGGAAAAGAATTTGCTGCTCACAATGAAACACTCATGTCACGAATTTATCCAAAAGCCACTCGATTTTTCTCCACAAACTTTAATCCACGAATTTATTGGGAAGCTGGGTGTCAAATAGTGGCACTGAACTATCAATTTTGTGATCAATTCTTGAGGATGAATAATGGATTTTTCTCTGCTTTTACAAGTGGTTATGTACCCAAGAACTTTATTTCAGAAACCATTCCGCAAAAACTATTTACCATTGAGATTTTAGATTTTGTATCTACTCAAGACTTTCATACGAAACTCTCACAAATGCCAATGGCTGTCATTGAGCACTGTTCACTTGTGGGTGAACGAAAAATCAAAGCTCACAAAGTGGATGTTTTCAAAAGTTCAGAACCAACCTCAAAGCACACACTCCACATTTCCACACAGCAGAAAAAGGGAGAAATTATTTCATTTGGATTGTTTCAAAAGAAGAATTCAATTACCAGACCCATTTCGAGACTTTTCAGACTTGGAAATTATGAATGTCTCGCCTACACTTCATTTCCAGTCCATCAATTGCAACACGGATACAGATTCATTCCTGTGAGTGACGGAGAAGTATATTTTGGTGGATTTTTGGTTCGTGTGACCTCTCACAAGTGAAAACTCAAGACAACTCTTTTAACGGAGATATGAAAATTGAGGAGGAGGATGTATGTACATACACAGTGAACAATTCGTAATCTCTGTATTATTTAACACAAGATCGTTATCGATTTACTCCCTTGAGGTGGCTATTGTGAAAACAATTTAAACAATCCTGAAAAGATACTGACATTCTTCTGTCATCTCCCTTCAACAAAGAATCAAATCATCCGTCGTTTTCACAAAAAGGAAATTATTAGGATCCTGTTCGCCCAATAAAATTATTTCTCCATCCAACAACAACAACACAAACAAAAAATAGGATTCTGCGTCGCAGCTGAGTATCACTCTCTCTCTCGGTCCACATCCTCTCGCTCAGCTACAAACTAGATTTTACATCACAGCATCAACTTTGCTTTTCCATCAACACCACGATTCAATAATTGAATCTCTCCCAATATTATTATTGAATGCAAAATTAAACGCGGAATCTCTAATTTGGAGAGAGAACACCCAATCTACAACAAAGTGAGACCACATCATTATATCCTCGTTGATACATATATTATTCGTAAATTGTTCAGTTTCAAAATCAACACACGAACAGGTGAGATTTAAAGCCTAGTAGTAGTATAGTGAACTTTATCATCATCACGGAATAACGACATTATATGTGCACCTCCGTAACCCCATCCTCATCGAGTTCAGTAGCTTCTCCAGAACAACCCTTCTCTTCTTCTTCTTGTTTTGAAATTTGTTGTGTTGGTTGTTCGTGTTTCCAATTCCTCATGCAAAATCATCATCATCCAAAGCCTTCACTTCAACATTTACAACAAGAACACCATGAGCCTTCATCTTTATACAACTCGTGTTCTTCCTTAAAGAATGAGGAGAAAGAACAGTGTAAATGTAATGGAAAGGATCATCTTCATACACAATGCTCAGAAACACCTCATCCACAAGAGGCTGCTAGTACAATTACAACCTGTCACCAAAATTGTAAGAATGGCCACAGTTGTCATCAACATTCCCATTCCGAACATCATCAAAACTCCTTATTTATTATTTCATCCTCCTCATCAAAGCCTTCCTCTCATCCTTTTTCGTCATCATCCACCTGTTCCATTTCATGCCAATGTTCCAATTGTAAAGGGTCATCATCATCCATTTCCTCATCCATTGTTGTTGTACAACAGCCACAGCACGAGAATCATCATGTACATGATCAACAATGTGGCTGCAATCAATGTGAATCAACAACAACAAGCAATTCCAAAACAAAGAATGACCAACTCACTCCTAATAATCTTATTAATTTATTGACCTCTGTCAACAACACAACCTCTTCATGTAGCTGTTCTGACCACCATTGTGCTTCAACAGAAACCTCTTGTATGTCAGAAAAATTACAGACTCCTCGAGTTTCAAGCAATACCTTAGATTCAAGCACTGCCAATTATTTTAAAATTGTTTTTGGAAAGAGCCTTAAAAAAGCTCTAAGCGTTGAATCAAGTCATGTTAATAACAATAGTAATGTGACAAAAAGTTGTGGTTCATGTGGTTGCTCATCTTCCAAAGGCACTGCTGTTGAAGGTTCAGATGAAATGGTTTGCACATGTGACCCTGACCAACCATGTCCCGTACGAGATGCTATCGCTCTGAAACGAGAGAAGAGCAGTTGTGGTGGAGATTGTGGTGGTTGCAATTACTCTTTAGGTCAAAGTGCCAGAGCCGCAGCTGTGGTTGCAATAGTCTCGAATTTACCGAGTAGATCTGCTCAAGGAAAGTGTGAAAGTAGTGTAAAAATTCAAAAACAATCAATCATGCAAAGCAAACTCAAGAAACATCTGACCAGATTGCGAGCGACCACTTCTGACGCCATGCCTCCCCAATGTCTGTAATTTTGCAATAAACCAAGAGATTTTGTTGTTGATTTCAACTCGCTTTCATTGTTTACGGGGAGATCGCTACGGTATCACAAAAGAAACACACCAATTTCGAAAAAGTTCGATATCGTTTCGATATCATGGCTTTGGTTGATGTATTTATTGTACATTATTCACATATGAAGGTTGTAAAACAAAAGGGAAGACAATTGCGGTAGAAGAGAAGGGAGAGACAATAACTTAGGAAATGAACGGTTAGAATGAGGAGTGTTGACAAGTGACAGCAGCTGACCAACTAATTGGATGATACAATCAGCACACCTTTTGAAATGTTCTCCTTGTTCTGTTGTTCCATAGTTTTCAAAAGTGGAGATTGTTCAGATTCAACAACAACAGAAGTAGAACTCCTATTGTTTCCAGTATAAATCACATGATAAGAATTTTCTCTGGCCTGGAGATCCTTGCAAACCACACGGGAGGGATCGCAAAACACAACGCAATGTCTTGGTAGGCAACTCTCAAAATCTACCAAGTCCATTCCCATCCTGGTTGCAATATCCATCAAAATAGGATCGGTTTGCACTCCATCTAACAAGATACTTCGGAATGCTTGACCCCTGAGTGGATTCGAAGGATACCAATGATTCTTAAAACGAGAAATCAAATCATTTTCAAGAGAAATTTTAAACTCGGCCACCGTTTTAGAATCAAACTTTTTCACGAGCCAACTAGCAAAAAACTCGGCCGTTCTTTGAATTTCTTCCAGCATGTTGTTGATGAGTCGTATATTTTTGTAACGGTTATCTGCTGCGTAATTTTTACAAGTATGATGATGATGATCAATAAAACGAAATGCGAATGATGATGATGGTAGTACTATGAGTTCCAACTATGCGCAATGATGATGATTGTTGTTGCGTACTTTGAACCTTCAATGTCGTTGATGATCAACAATAATTTTGTATGTCGGGATAGCACGATGATGATAACAAGCCTTTGAGTCGTCTCTGAGAATTTGAACAACAAAAAAAGCGGTTAGTCAGTTGTTTTTTTTAATAGAAATTTCTTGACAACAATATTGGGATTTATTCGCAAACTTTGAAGCAAGGATAAAAATAGAACGCTGACAGTTGCAGAGTTTAAGGAAATCGAGCGATGCATGCGTTAAGGTGACGCGATTTGACAAGAGAGGTGTTCAGATGATGATGGGGCGATAGTGTTGCCTAAGGAAACCAAAATTACTTTTTGAGGACTCTGTTGAAGAAATTTAGTGTATTGTATACAATCAACAACAATATTCACTTCAACAACATTCACAACAATAACGACTACCAATCTCTCCCGTCCATGGTTCATTGAACCCCATTCAAATCATGTCTTTACAAAATACCACTCGTTCACTCTTTTTTGAGAGAAGATTATTTTTCAACAATAATCCCAACTTTTCACCTTGATAGGTCTGTTCGAAATGTATGGTGTAAAATCGTTCGTCGTCACTGTCGGTCAAACGACCACTGAGTTGAATCTCGCGTGCCTTGTCTTTTGGAAGAATTTCATCAATGCATTCCTTACTGATGTGAATGGTTCGAATTGGTAATAATAATCGTGAAGTACTTGTAATAAATGCTTCTTTCCATTCGATAAGATCTGAAAGGTTGGGATTCTTCTCAAAATAGTTGATACCTTCTTGAGTGAGAATGGTGTCGCAATCCTTCTCGAGAGAATGATGCAACACGTCTTGAACTTTTGTGGGTATGATAGCAGCTCGTACACTTCCAAAGAGAATTCCTTCTTTTGCAGTCATGACATGATTGTGTTGAGAAATGACAAAAAAATTGGAGCTGATTCCTTCTCGAACAATTCCGTCGTTTTCACACATGAGAACTTCTTGGCAAGTTTTGTGTTTTCGCTTGTTGAGAGGATCTCTTTCGAGGACCCAATTGCTGTCTTTAATATTGGCAAGATGGACTCGGCTACCTGGCATCATGTCGACTGAAATTGGTTGTGATAATTCTTCCATTTCAGTAATGTGTAAATATACATCAAATCCAATGTATTTGCAATTAGTTATGGATTCCATCGTTTCTTCAATGAATGGTACATCACTCGTCATGTCACCTTTTTTTCGAAAACAATTAATTAATATTGTTAGTTTCAACTCTTTCCAATTATTGTTATCATTGTTGTTTGGAATGTCTTCATTCGTGTCATCATTCAAAGAAATTTGTGTCATGTCGCAATATTTCTTAATTCCAACATTCAAAGCATTGGTACAAATTTGTTTAAATTTTTGAAAATCATAAAGTATTGCGAGAGGATAAAAGCCTTCTTCTTTTTCCTCATCAGCGAATTCAATTTCTTTCAAATCACATTTTCCAACCGATTTAAATAAAACTTGACTTTGTGAATACATTAAACGATGAATATGAAAATTATATTCAAATACTGAATGAACGTGAAATGTTCGCATGGTGGTGTAGCCACCTCGTGGATAGAGTTTGAGAAAATCATGAGCACCTATATCGGGTGGAAAATCAGAACAATAATTCTCATTTCGGAAGAGAAGATTTAATGGTACAGTAGTAGTGGTGGTTTTCTCTTCTGTAGTCATATGAGGATTTATGAATTTTGAAAAGTAATAAATTGAATTTGAATTTGAATCGTTTGATCACAGCAATAATAGAATCCGATTCGGAACAAACTCTGAGATGAACAATTTTTTTTGCATATTTGGACAAATAAGGAGTTAATAATGCAGTGTGAAATGTGGCCAAAATGAATTCCTTTCAGCTGCTTTGTTTTGAAAATCAGAAAAAGAAGCGATTTATAACAGATGACAAATTGACATTCGGAAACCATTTTATCTTGAAGATCGATTTACAAATTGAACCAGCCTTGCTGAAACATGTACAAACCATACCATACCATGGAAAAGGTGCTGGGTTGAATAATTTTGTGAAAACGAGGTGTCTGTAATAGTTACAAGTGATAATCGTACTTTTGCAAAACTTTTTTAGACAAGAACAGACATGATTATATCTTGTTGAAAAACCATGTCGATTTGAACACTAACGCTTAGTAGAGGAAGTTTTTACTGCATCTCAACGATGCATTTCCTAGGCCACAAGTGATTTCATGAGTCTAGTTATTGTACTCTATTCAGTCTCTCATACCTTCTCCAATGCTATCATTGTTTCCAATTCTTGTTTCTGAGCATGACATGAAGAAGAACATGTCAAATTATCATGATCCACAGCAGGTTTCTTTTTCCAGAATGAACAAACCACGAGACGTAACAAACAACCAATTCCAATGACATTCATTGTGCTTCCAAGTACTAGACTGAGGATTTTAGAGGTGCGAGCATACCATTCCACATGGTAGCATTGTTCCATTGTCATTTTGCTATTCATCGACGCGACGAAGTATTGCATGTATACCAAAAGAGCAAAAGACGTGAACGAAAGAAGTGAAAAACCAACGATGGTAATGACATGTTTCAGACAATAGCCCTTCTTCAAAGAATGCATGTCGAAATGTTCTTGTGAAATGTCATGCTGTTGGCTGTCAACATGTTGCATGGTATGATTGTTGGAAGATTTCAACTTGCAAACTCTTAAATAGTGAATGATGTTGCAGAGAGCCAAACACATGCTCGTCACTCCTACCACAACGCATATCACCATGAAAACCAGCATGTTCTCTTCTTTGCACTGCTGACAATAATCCAAAAAGGACATTTCAACATAACGATAATAGTTCGACTTTGATGCATCCATGACATCTCCTGACGAATCGAACAATGGATACAAAGTAAATGTGGATGGAGCTTTAACAAATAATCCAGCCGTGAGAATGACAATTCCTATATTTTCGAAAATTGCAAAATTCATGAGGATGTCATTCTTCATGGAGTTTGGTGTTCGAGTTGGACGATTCGAAGAGGAATCGACATGTTGAGTGCTGCATGGATACGTAGTTGTAATGGTATTATCTGCTTCGAAATTGTTGTTGATGTTTTGACATGATTGAGATGGGTGTGTTGTGTTCATTTTGTTTATAGCCAAATCGTGTGTAATGTCGAAAGATGATAATTGAGAGTGCTAGATACGTGAAAATATGGAGCTCTGTGCGAGTGTTGGGCAGTTTATGTCTTTAACTACTACTATAATTCCAACACCAGTCGAGAATGTTTTTTTTGAAGAACACTGCTTCAGTGACGATATTGGTAAGTTTTGATGCATTGTTTTCTAGAATAACCGTTATCATTACCATATTATCAAACAAGGAAAAGTAAGGGATGAGTTTAGGTGATAGGGAGGACCCGACAAACATCGTCGATTTGTTTTGGCTCCTTTCATTGATTTTAGAGTTCAGTTAGATAGTTGTTCCGTGAGGAGAACTTGTAGTGCTGCTCATTTGGATTCATGCACCTTGGAACTACTGAACGATTTCATAACGCAGTGAAGTTGTAAACATACGTTGTTTGGTTATTTTGACCTATCCGAAGGGAGTGATTTTTTAATGAAAAACAATTTTCTTGACAAACTGTCACAACATTAAAGGTGCACCTCTTTTTAAAAGCAGAATACCATAACAAAACCACGGTTAGAAAATCCTTACAACTTTGTTTCGAAAATGATTTACAACAGAATTCAAATTTAAGGTTCGAATTTTTCTTAAGAAAGAACAGTTTGACAGCAATCCTTCACATCAATGGGATGTTGAATTAAGGGCCAATCATTATTTAGTGTTAGTAATGGATTTTGGCTAGCCAAGTATTACAAGGATACATAGGAAAGTTTATTTCCTGTCAAAAATGCATGGCTTTTCGGACGCTCAGCTATTTTTGGTAGTTGCTGTCAGCATTTCTTATCACGGTTGATTTCTTCTTCAAGATACTTTTCGCTATTCACTAACCTTTAGCAGCAGTCTCACACCTTCTCCGATGCAATTATTGCTTCCTGAGAATGACACGACGAACAAGACAAAGATACGGAACGAGTAGCATCATGTTGATCCACAGCAGGTTTCTTTTTCCAGAATGAACAAACCACGAGACGTAACAAACAACCAATTCCAATGACATTCATTGTGCTTCCAAGTACTAGACTGAGGATTTTAGAAGTGCGAGCATACCATTCCACATGGTCGCATTGTTCCATTGTCATCACCAGGCTATTATTCGACGCGATGAAGAATTGCATGTATACCAATAGAGCAAAACTTGTGAATGAAAGAATTGAAAACACGACAATGGCCATGACATGTTTCAGAGAACAATGGCCATTCTTCAACAACCTCGACAGCATGTTTTGGTCGCCGTGATGGATATCTGTTCTTTCATGAGCGTTGGAAGTTTTCAATTTGTTCTCTCGTAGAACGTTGTGAGTGATGTAGAGAGCCAAACACATGCTCGTCACTCCTACCACAATGCATATCAAGTTGAATAATTGCATGTTCGCTTCTTTACATTGTTGACAATACTCTAACAAGGACATTTCAATGTAACGATAATAGCTCGAATGAGAAGTTTCCATGTCATCTTCAGACGAATCGAATAATGGATACGAAGTAAACGTGGAAGGAGTTTTTATAAACAAACCAGCAGTGAGAATGACAATTCCTAAATTTTCGAAAATTGCAAAATTCATAAGGCTGTTCTTCATGGTGAAGCTTGGCTTTCGAGTGGAATGACATGAAGATGCATGTAGATGAATGCTTGGCGGTGTAGTAGTTGTGGGGGTATTATCTGCGTCGTGATTGATGTTTTGACATGACTGAAATGGTTGCGTTGTGGTCATTTTGTTATTGGCCAAAGAGTGTGCAAATTTTTTACTTGTATACAATTCCAAAGGTGACAATTGAGTAGAAGGAAAAAGGAGCTCGCATCTGAGGTGGTCCTACTATTATCATTCCAACACCAATCGAGGTTACGAGAAGGTGCGTTTGTTTTTTTTTGAAGAGAATCTCGATCTTGTTCAAGTGGCGACCACAATGGTAAGTTTTTAAATCATCAACAACATTAGATAAATTGGCAGTTATCTGTACCAAATGATCAAACAAGGAAAAGTAAGGATGATTTTAGTGATAGGAAGGACCGACAAGTGTCTGTTTGTGAGCTCCCTTCATTGAATTTGAGTTCGGTTGTTAATGTTCAATGATAAGAACTGGTGGCAAGATTCATTTGGATTCATGCACGTTGGAACTACTGAACTATTCTGACAAGGTAATTTATCCTTGATGAATCAAAGAGTGTTCATATTCAGGGCAGTCCTTTTGGTTGAGCTCTGGTTGAATGGAAATTTGTTATCCACCCTTAATTGTCCTTGATGTTATTTGAGTGAGGATTGCGAGAAAGGTGGAATGTGGTTAAAAACCAAAACCTTGGATAAAGATTGGTTTGACAACAGCAAATCTCAACATTTGACAAGTGACGTCTTTTCGAGTCTGCAGCAAGAACAAAAAAATGTTTTCCAACACGCGAAACAGGACAGACTCCAACTCATCCGAAAACTCTAACTATGACCCCAGTTCTCCATTGAGCGCTTCTAGCGCCGGACAAGCCTCTCTTCTCAAACAAATGTACTCGTAAGTGTCCATTCATTGTCCATCATCATTACTGACATTTTGAAATGATGATATCATTCTCCATATGGGTTTGATACGAATGACGAACCCCAACCACACGTTCCTAAATATTTGATTATATGATCATCATCGTTTGAATTTTATGATTATTTTTCTTGATGATGATCACAACCTGGAATATGGGTTCACAACAACGCCGTCATTTCTGACACTTGTGGTCATTCATGTTCCATTCAATCATTCCGATGACAACACTCATCATGATGGATTCAACGGAATGTCTCCGTTATTGAAATTAACACAATAATTTCCAATTTCCAATAACAACAACAACAACTCAATCTAAATTCATCATCGTCAACAACCATAACTTCCTATCATGATATGAACACTATCACAACCATCCTATCAAATTCATCATCATCATCTCTTTAAATTCACATCAACAACAACAGACAACGTGATATTGCCTTCAAATCTGGAAAATTAGTCAAGCAAGGAAAAACTGTGAAAAATTGGAAAGAACGTTATTGTTTGTTAAAACGAGATGCTCTCTATTATCACGAATTGACTCCAAAAGGACAAGCTGGTAAAGTGAAAGGTAAAATTTCATTTAAAGAAATCAAAGGTAATACCAGTTGCATTCACAAAGTCACAGTCACTGTGAAAAACAAACAAAAACAAGCCATTTCCATCGATTTACCCGAACGAGTCTATTTATTATATTGTGACTCTGAATTAGAATTGAATGATTGGTACAAGTCCATTATTCAAGTTCTGACCATGAAAGATGAAAATCCAATGACCTTATCCACAAAAGGGGTTGGAATGGGTTCTTCAACTCCGACCACTCCTACCAACAGTGGTGGTGTCACACAAGATATTTTCTCACCAAAAAGTGGCACTGGAACTCCTTTTGGATCCTATGGATCTGTGGTGAGTAGTTTTGGAGGTAGTAGCTATACGGGAAGTACACCACCAGTAGGAAGTGCCTTATCATCCCTTAAAAAAGCATCTCCTTCTTCGTCGTCACCATTAGCTGGTGTGAATGTGGATTTGGGAGATTTTATTCGAACCAATAGTAATTTATCAGAAGCATTTAGTGATGACTCGGATTCGACGAGTTCTTTTCCTCGATCTCAAAACGATTTACTCTCAGAATTTGATGAATGGACACATCATGCTGGTACGGGACGAAATTCCGATGCAGATAGTGACAATTTAGAAGGTGGAGCATCTGGTCCTCTTCTCACCGAAGACGATGAATATAATATTGCCATGAGTGCTGTTGAAATTTTCCTAAAAAAGGAAGAAGATCGAACTCCACAAGAGCAGGCCTATCTATTGGCTCTCAATGAATACAGAAAGAAATTGGACGAACATGCCAAGAGAGTGAATGCTCGTCCCGATTATTCACTCGCTGTTGGTACCTGTATATTTTTAATTCCAGAGAAGGATCGATCTCCTTCTGAACAAGAATATATCAAAGATGTGATTTCAGCCTTTACCGACGATTCAAAAGATCATGACAAGCATCGATTATTACCTCTCAAAATTCAACTCGATATTGTGAAAGCAGCAAAACTCATTAAGGAAAAACCAGAAAAAGATCGAACCGAAGATGAAAAGCAATATCTTTTTCGTGTGGAAGAAATTGAAAAACAAATTGTTAAATTATGCATGAAACATGGTGTGCGAGTGAATCATTCATTGGGTACTTTACCAACGAGTCGATTATTCTTTCATCCATCCTTTTCAAGTGCAGCTCAGAAAGATTCCTCTCATCCCATGATTCAACATCCCATTCATCATAATGCCGAACAACAAGAATCTACTCATGGTGATGTTTATAATACTCAAACGGAAGAAAAGTTGATCAATTTCCAATCCATTGAGGATTTGGAATTTAATAAGGTTTTTTCAACACCCAATTTTTCAATTTAGAAAAATCGACACTAAACGATTCAGAATATGAGTTGCTATTTTAGTAATAAAGAAAACCCATTAAGAGGATGATTGCGCCTTCTCTAATCAAAGTGTTGACATCGCCTACAATTATTCACAAGTATACATTGAAGAGAGATTCTACAAACACCAAAAAGATTAAGAAAATGAGAGCAAATATGTTAAAAGACACCATGAAGGACCAATTAACAAGAGAATTATTTCGAGCTCATTGTGCCTCAGAATTTTCAATTGAGAATTTCATGCTTTTGGATAAGATTTCTGATTACAAGAATTATAGTGAAAAGAGCGTTCAAATTCAAGAGTATTTATATGACAATGACACTTCCTTTAAGAATGATGAAACTTCTTCGACATTGTCCTCGTCATAACCTAAAAACCACACAAATTAAGAAGAAAAAAACAAAGAAAGGTTACAGAGAAGGATTTACAGCAAGTTGAAAAGAAAAAGTATGAAATTGCATTCGAAATTTATAATGAGTTTTTAGAAGTGAATGGTGAACATGCTGTGAATATTAACAACAAACAGCTGAATCTGTGAAGGAACAGTTAGATTTTTATTCGAATGGTCAGTCCGAACACTTACCAGAAAAATTATTTGATGCCATTTTCTCTGAGATTTGCATTCTCATGTTGGACTCTCATCAACGTTTCATTGAACGACAGAAAGCAAATCGATTGGCAAAAAAAGAAGCAATGACGACAAAGAAATCAAAACTCAATCAAATGAATGCTGGCAATTGTACAACACCAACACGAGACATGGTTGAAGAATTTAAATAATTTTCAATCTCACTGAAAGCTTTCAAGAAAATGCCTGACAAGTGGAACTCGAAGTGTTCTTCTAATTCCATTTCGTTTCAAATAAAAAATCGGTTGTGGTCACTCCCAAACCTCTTCATTCTCTCTCGTTTCGGACCAAGAGGAGCACACTCAATATTAGACGAGAAAAAGAGTTTCAACCTCTCTCTGGTGAGGCGGATTGTAAAAAGGTTACGACTGCTATCATCTGTACAAAACTTGGATCGGAGGCTCTCCCTTCGGGCACTTTGGATGATTCTTATATGATTTCAATAATTTATTAATCATTCATATTATAAGAGAGAATACATACATATAGGGTTGATTGTATTGAATACAGCAATTGATAAATCATCAAATTTTAAAATCATCATGCGCCAATCAGCATCGGAAAGAGATTACAACTTACAACAACAACCACAGCTCAGCCGGCTGGAATTATTCAAGCAAAATCACGATATTGCATTCAACTTTTTAACGAAAGGAGTAGAATATGATGAAAAGAAGGAATACGAAAAGGCCAGAGACTACTACCGAGAGGGTAAGTTATTATTAGAAAGATTTCGTATATGCTCCTAATGAAATGAATCAAAATAATTGATTCAACATACACGTGTATGACCACATATGTGGACACATTACACAAAATGGACCACAACAACACTAACTGTATCATTACTATTTTAGGAATTCAATGTATTTTGCAAGCAGAAAGAATTCCACTCTCACAACAAGAGCGCTATCAAGCAAAAACCATGTTAGACAAACTCCAAAAACACAAAACGAACTTTTACAACAGAATGAAAGAAATTGACCAAATACTATTCGACATGCAACAACAAAAACAACAAGAGCTCAATAAGAATATTTTAGGAAACAGTAATGGTGGGTTTTTCTCAAACATTATGAACATATTTTCCTCAAATCCTCCCACCACAAGTTCGAGCTCAACGAACAAGAATGTGATTTCAGAAGATACACGTCGCTTAACTACGGTTGACAATACTCGTCATGATCCAATTTATAACCATTACCCGACGAATAGTCAAGTTTTGAAGAGTTTTCCAGGAAATGATCGGCTGATCTCATCAGCGAATGGAAGCAAAACCAACTCAAATCCATTTGCTGGAATGTACAATAGTGTCAATATTTGTGACGGGTTAGCTCAACAATCGCAACCTCCAGTCCATACTCGAAAACGAAGCTCCTCCAATGAACAACTGCACGCCTCCTATTCTGAGAATTTTGGTCAGGTCTCTTCCTCTAATACTGCCAATAGTGTAAAAAATCAAAATTTTAACAACAACATGACCCAATCAGCCATGCCATCCTTTTCACAGCAACAGACTAACAAATCTTCCCCAATGATGCAATATCCATCGCCATCCACCACTAACACATCATCCACAGGCCACAATTTGGCATCGATTAGAAATAATTTATCGTTGAACAACTCAAATGATTTAAACAATACCAAAAAGAAGAATGCATCAAAACTTGATCAAATACCAGAATTTAAAGGAGTTGATCGAAAATTACTGGATCATATCTTGAATGATGTTATTGAAACCAAGACAACTAATTGGGAAGACATTGCAGGTTTAAAAGATGCCAAGCAAACACTGATGGAAACAGTTGTCTTGCCAAGTTTAAGGCCAGACCTATTTCATGGATTGAGAGCTCCTTGTAAAGGAATTTTATTGTTTGGTCCTCCAGGAACAGGAAAGGTATGTTGTTGTTGTATGAGTTTATGATTAAGGGAGATATTGTGCTTTTCAAATGTGACAATGTGTAAATACAAACTATCTTAGACCATGATTGCAAGAGCGTGTGCTTCTCAATGCAATGCAACGTTCTTCTCCATTAGTGCATCCTCACTCGTTTCGAAATATCATGGGGAAGGTGAAAAATTAGGTAAGTTGGTCGATTATGTGAAATCTTACTGGACTTCATGTCATTAATTGTTGTTGTTGTCAACAATTTATTTGAATTAGTGAAATGCCTTTTTGCTGCAGCTCGATATTTACAACCCTCTGTAATTTTTGTCGATGAAATTGATTCAATCTTGTCTGCGAGAAGTTCTGAAGAGCATGAAGCTTCGCGCAGAATGAAAACAGAGTTTATGGTTCAAATGGAGGGTGTTTCAAATATGAATGGAAAAGATGAACGAGTTTTGGTCATGGGAGCGACAAACATCCCAGACAGCCTTGACGAGGCCATTTTGAGAAGATTTACAAAAAGAATTTATATTCCACTTCCAGATTTTGAAGCTCGATATGCACTCATCAAACAATTGTCATCTGGACAAAACATTGTGTTGAGTGATCATGACATTCGAAGAATTTGTGAGTCAACGGAAGGATTTTCTGGATCGGATTTGACAGCACTCTGTAAAGAAACAGCCATGATTCCCATTAGAGAAATTAGTGTCGAGAGGCTCATGTCGATTGATGCTGGCAAGATTCGATCTGTAGTGTTGAACGATTTCATGTCATCCTTATCTCATGTTAAGCCCTCCACGTCACATGAAACAATTACCAAGCTGGAAAAGTGGAATCAATCATTTGGTACCTCGGTCAACAGCAAATAAACAAAGTGGTTTGATGATATGGTTAGAAATGATTTAATGTGGTCAATATTTGGTTATCCAAAATGTGCTTTGGTTTTCAGCTTCAACGCTGCATCTAAGCACTGATCAGAGACTTAAGTAGCCAATGTGGTCTCAGGTCATTAACGACACAAGAGACATTAATCATGCACTATATATTCAGACCTATCGATTGCTGTAGAATATATAAGGTTTTGGTATCTCTCCACGCTCTCGCTTTTCTTGAACTTGGGCTTCCAGTTTTGCTTGTCGCTCTAACTCTGCATAATAATCCATTCCGACATTGTACAATTTTGCTTCTCCGAGTTGTGACTTGTGAAATCGATCTTTCAGTTGTTTAAGATTTGCAGTACCTGTTGCTTGCTCTTCCTTCTTCTTGTCCATGAGCAGTAGTCTTTCCTCTGCTTCCTCATCTGAGATTTCGAATTTTTGATGCTCCAATGCTTTCTTCATGGCATTTGGATCCTGTGAGTAATACTTGTCAATTAATGCATTTTGATATGTGATTTTACGATAATACTGGTAAATGATGGAAACAATCAAAAGTATTGTGAGAGCTCTTGAAAAATACCTCCTAATTTGATTGAGCGACATTGTTGTTGTGCTCAACTCTGTCATTACAAAACCTACCATGACTTGTATTCGTTAAGATGACGAGCTTCAATGAGTAAAATTCTCTGTGCTTTTACAAGCTCATCCACTTTAGAAAGATCATATAATTGATTCATCTTTCTTGTATAGCTGGATACGGTTGGAAAGTGGTCTCTCCAATTTGTTGCCATATCTGAAACAATGGCTTCTTTTTCATCATCCGATAAATGCCGAAGAGAATTTCCATGATGAAATACAAGGGGATTCTCTTTTTCACGATCATGAGGTGTAATTGGTTTTTCATGGAAGCTTTCCATGCTAAGATTCATATCCGTATGAGATGAATTTTTCATTTCATGATGATTCATCAACGTTGATTCCATATTCTTATCATGATTAATATTTACAAATCTTGATGAAAAAAAAGAATTCTTATTAAATGAACACTTCTTCCGATCCGATTCTATACATGATACATTCGTGATAAAATTGGATTCCATCATACATGATTTACTTGTGTGTGCCAACAACAATACTCTTCGTGTCCCTAACAATAAGCCATCAAATTTTTTCATTTTTTTTTCAAATGCAAAACACTGTTTTCCATGATTGGAAAGATGCATCCAAAGAAATTAAGATTCTTCATCTAAGCTAACATGTTGTTGAGTGAACCACGCAGGATCAAGAAAGGTTTTTTGTTATTCGTTTTCTTCAGAAAAAAAAATGCAAAGTGATGGCTGGAGAATCATTCAAAAGAAAATTGAAAAATTTGTTCGCAAGACTGTTGTGGCTGAGGGGCTGGAGTCAGGTCAGCCTTCTTCTTCTCCGAATCATGTTTCAAACAAAGAGTTGAGAGAATTAATAGGTGGAGAGTGGATGAAATATTTTGAATTGATTTTGGATCCTAAAAAAGTATTACAATTCATGGTATTAAAATCCACAATGATGAATGTAATGAATGGAAAAAGACAAGCATCATCGGAAGAGGAAAATTTGTTAATGTTAGAATTTTTGAATGAGTTTTTACAACTTTGTGTCAAGTATGAGTTTGAGAGAGTATGTTTTTATCTATTCATTCAATTGTGGGACGTGATGATGAAGAATTTGTTAAATCACTTGAGAAAAGAGGATAAAATTTCTGGCATCTAAATTCGATCCATTTATTGAGAATGAGCAATGGAATAATAGTAATAACATTGAAAAACAAGAGACGATGAATGAGAAATTGGCAGATTTATGCATTGCAACACTCATCCATGACTCATCTCAGTTTACAAGTTTAAATTTCATGTTAGATGAGTAAGTGAAACACAATTCATCGATAGAATGACCCCAATTTTATAGCTCTGCCTATCTATTAACTATTTATACTGAATTCATTTCTTTACTTTCTGTAAATAAGCATGACATTGTACTTCCCGTCAATTGTCATGACGCTTTTCAAAATCTGCTTCGACTGAATGAAACTTGTGGCAGTTCGGAAATAGAGTATTACATTTCTAAAGTACGAAAATATTTTGATGATGAAATACTACCAGCCGAGAATTCACATTTTACAATATTAGAAATTGCCAAGCTGAAACTGGAATGGAGCGAAATGTGTGACAAAAAGACAAGTCAACAACGAAAGGTGAAATATCTCAAAGACGTGGTATTTTCCCAACATCAGATGCTTGATACGCGTTTTGTAACGCTCTTTTCGTCGTTCTTGGAACGATTTACTTCTTTGAAAAGAAGACAACATTCTGTTAAAATTGAATTCAGAGATTTCGAACACAAACTATTGATATTTTCATATTGTCACATGATTTATGGAACAAGTATACCGTGTCATATGGATACAGCTGCCAATCCTACCGATAAAAAAGGTATTTCAACAATTGCTACAGATGAGAATTCGTCTCAACATGCTGACTCTCTCACAGAATTTCTTGCACAAAAGAGACAAAATTCGCTGAAAGAGCTTTCTAATATTGAACAAATGGTGAATCACTCATTTTTAGAATTCAAACAAATCCATCCTCGATCTTCTGCTTCCTTGGAGCAAACATTCACTTCCTATGCGAATGAACCACTTCGATACGAAAAGATGAATGAAGCCATTTCGAAGCAACTTTCAAAACAACTCACTGAAGACATGAGAAGAATGCAAAGTGCTTTTGATTGTGACCCAATGTTAAAATATATGTTTGGAACTCCATCACAGCAACCATTTATGAAAACAGAAAATTCAATGCATTCACTTTCTCTGACTAGGGATACTCGGGGAGATATGTGTTTGATACTTGACGATTGTCACGAGATTAGCGAAAGGAGTAATTACAACATGTTGACCTTTGCTGAAACAGAACTTGAAGAGCGAAAAGACTCTTTTTCTCTTGATATGTTAACTCATTGGAGAAATGAAATAATTAGCGCCTCTGAAGAGCCTGTGAGCAATCATGAAGGAAAGAACGACGCTATACACCTCAATGACATGGCACTATTATGTTCATCTCTTGTTCCAGAGCTTTTTCATTGCCCGTTTAAAATTAGAGAAGGTGATGGAGGAGAGTCAAAAAACAAACACACAACTTTGGATTACTTGATTGCAACGTTTACCTCGCAAGCCAACGTATCATTGGCACATCTTAAAAAATTATATTCAGAATATTCACAAGAATTTGTGGAAACACAAACAGTACCTATTTTACCACTGGATTTTGTCATTCAGCGTTATGACAAAGTATATTATATGTTGAGGACACGCAGAGATTGTGCAGAAAGATTATGTGAATTGTTTGAAGTTGTTTCTGAAAATCTCAACTCTTCTGCAAATTGGTTGGATGACTATGCTGAAGAATATAGATGTATGTTCCAAATTGGAGAAGATATTCGACATAGGAAGCATACATCCACTATTTCCTTTAACTCTTTCAACATGTTACGATACTTGAATGATCGTGGTATCTCTTCAACAGAATTTACTTCAAGCGATCCCATTGAAATGCTGACATCGTTTTTGAACGATGTATGCTCACCACTAGAAACTATAGAGAAAGATGAAATTTTGAAATGCATGACAGAACTGTTATCAAGCTTGAAAGAGGAATTATTTCTAAATCTCGAAAATATTGGTCAAATGCTTGGACATCTTAATGGTATGTTGTTACAAGTTGAATGAATATTATATTGTAATATTGTATATGAATATTAGACTTCATCATGCAAAGTCTGAATACTACCGTGTTATTAGCAAGGAAAAATTTAGAAAATTCCATAAGCTTAATGCTCATGTTGTCGATTCTTTCCAAGACGGGCTCTAAATTTTTCACAAACTATAGAACAGTGGCAATGCAGAAAGCTCAGTACTTTTTGTCAAAGTTATTGGAAATGCTGACAGTAGAGATACATGACCGTTTTTCACATACAAATCTATTTTATCTGTTAAGAAAAATTCAAATTCTATCAATCACTCATTCATGCCTGTTTGATATCAGAAATTCCATATTTGTGCAGTATTGTCATCAAAGAAACGATTATTTGCAAGCCATGAAATTTATAACAGAACATTTCAGAATCCAACCACTATCTGTCATGTTGAAAAATTATCCCCAACTCTCTGCGTGTGCTCTCAATATTGGTCAGCATTCAAAACTATTAGTGGATCGAAAATTAAGACTTTTCATGAATTATCACTTTCTGATTCCTGAATTTAATCGATATGGCTTGAACAAGCTGTTGTCAAGCCAGATCCTAGTTCCAAAGAGTGATATTTTCAATTGGATTGAGAAGAGTATTGAACGAGAATCACTTTTATCCTCACTGACACAAATTCCTAAAATTGTATTTCCGCTTCATGTGAATCCCAATGAAACACTCGATGAACGTGCCATTCAAGAGCATTACACTCTTTTTGAGAAGCAAGTGAAAGATATCATTGCTTTGAATCAAGAAATTATAGAATTGGAAACGAAAGGCACTTACGAAAATAATGATGAAACTCACAAACAACTCGCCCCAACGACATTGCAAGACCTTAATACTGGTCAGCCACAAGCAATGATTAATTTTGAAGATGTTCTGGAAGATTTATCAAACGTGTGTGAAGTTTTTATTTTCCCATCCTCTGATTCCGAGTTTTTAACCAACGATCCAGAAAAGATCAAACGCATGTTGTTGGACTCTCTTCCAATCATACTCTTCGATATATTGCATTCCTTTCCTGATTCGATCAATCAATGGACTTCTTTCATCGTTCAGCAATTACTGAGCTATCTCAAATCACCTGAATGTACCATGTATTTGTCAAGATTTTTCAAGAATTTTGTGAAAAATCCAACTCTTGAAACTACTACTTGGATGAATGTTGAAATATCCACATTATTGGCGACCTATTGCTGCAGATATGTATTCAAAACCATACAAGAGATTGCCATGAAACTGTGTGAACATGTATTTGAGATGTGTCTTGTTGTGGAAGCATCCTTATTTTCTCAATATAGATTCTCTACCAAATGGAATGTCAATCATGGCACCATTCAAAGTACCATTGCGAATAGTTGTAACAACATTAAGGAGTTATTGAATTCAGCAACAATGAATGGTGAAAATCAAGCAGGAACTTGTGTTTGGAATCATTTGAAAGAACAACAACATTTCAAAGAAGAAAAAAAAATGTCACAACTATTGAACCTATTTGCCATTACTGAAAAAGAACCACTTTTTCAGTTATTAAGCAGTGCTGTGGATCATCTCTGTGTTCATATCATTGAAGATCGATTATTGAATTATCATTTGAAAGTTTCAATTCCTTCAAAAACACTGAATCCAAATGATTTTTCACTGACCGATCGATCCATACCTCTTGTGAAAACTCTCGAACTTGTTGGATTACAACATTCAAAGAAATTGCTTTCAGCACTCGATGAATGTAAACAACTTGCATTCTTTGAATTGGATTTTGAAGAATATGCTGACATTCTTCAAGAAGTCATTCAAATGGCTCAACCTCACTCTCAGAGTAAGAACATGAAGAAAATCTCTAATAACAAGACAGAGACTGAAACAACAAGACATTTCGATGAAAATACTACTACACAACAACAACACATTCTTCTCTATTTACATCAAGTCATGCTCGTGTTAGGAAATTATCCCTTTCACAAATTATTAAGAACAACGCAAATTGGAGAACACAATTCTCTTCCCTATCTACATCCTATTATGCATTCTACAGTGTTGTCAACGATTGCATCAAATCCACTCGTGGAAATGGGTGTGAAAAAATTGAATTCTTTTCACAAATTAAGACTTGGAAAATTAATGGATGATTTAGTGAGAAAGTGTCATTTGGCACAATGTGAAGCACAGACACAATTTATGGAGCAAATGAAGAAGGATTTATTGGAATCAAGTCATGAAATGGTAAATGTGAAGAATGAAGTGGATCAAGTGAATCGATCCCTTTTGGAAAGATTGTTAAAGTATACATCGTCAACCATGAAGAAATGTAGAGATTCTATTGTTCCATAACATTTCTTTGCAACAACCAGTTGAAATTGAGATTCAAAAGTCTGCATAAAAGAAATATTTACACACACTAATGATCCTTCTCCTTCACTTGAAGTAAACCTCCATGTAACATGTTATGAAAACTAAATACCAAATAATACAAGATTTGAAATACAGAAATCAATATATGAAATCCAAAATTGCCAAATACATTCAACACCTTTGTCAAAGCCATTGTTGCAAAATAAAGGCCCATCATGATAAATATTTCCGAAATGACTGTGGATGGTTGTGGATTCTTGTTAAATTCCATTTGTAATTTACGTTGCAATAAATTCACAAAAATCAATCCCAAAGCAAATACAGAATTGAGTCGGATGAGAGCTGATGGTACCTCCAAGATGATGTCAGCCCCTTCGGAAGATGCGGATGATGATGGAAAACCCCAAATCCACATGCACAAATTCGGAGCGAAAAATGAAAATAAATATGGTACAAGATGAAGAATGTTGAGAAGAGTTAATTGATTGGGAGAGAGTTTTTTCGTTTGTCGTAATTGTGGCAGAAAATTGATGGCATCGTCACGAAGCGTGAAAGCCAGTTGTGTTAAATCTGTGATGACTTGTGACATTTTTTTTCTGTTGAGGTTTTACAATATTGGTTCGCAACAAGAGCACACAAATATATTAATGTATTTCTTATTCTCTGAATGAGAAACTTTCATTGGGATCTCCAAATGGGCATTTCAAATGCATTTCTACACCATCAAATCCTTGCACTTCTTCTCGTAACGGCTCCCAGTCAACAATTTTAGGTTTCGCTAAATGCCTGAGCCATAAAGCTCGATCAAATGATTTCAATAATTGGAAATCATAGGGATGATTCAGTTCAAATACTGGGTCAATGTCAAGCAGACTCTGAACAAATTGATCAAGTTGAGTATGAGTTTTAAATTTGATATTCTTTTGTTGAGCAGGGATGTTGAATTTTTTACGGAAGTCTGTTGTTTGTTTGTGACAATGATGGAATGTAAATGGTTCACAATTATGCGCAGTAATAACACGCAATGGCATGAAATTTTGGTAAACATGTTTAGAGCTCTATAACTCGCATCAATATCTGCTACTACTTACTGTCATCCATGAAAAATTTCATTCCACCTTTTCCTTTCTTTTTCAATCTGTCAAAATATGCACCCATGGCTCCTTTGTAGATGGCCTTTTTATCCACTCCTACTGCCTCAAGAATTTCATCTACAAAATCTTGACAATTTCCTTCTTTACCTTTTTCTCCTCCTCTGTTTTTGTATGTCATTTTGACATTCCATTTTATGATCACATCCGCAATTTTGTCAACCATCTCGTTAATATTACAATTTGAAACAGACAATTCTGTGGTCAAGTCACACGCCACGAGTGCTGCAGAAGCAATCAATTTCTTGGGAACACATAAACTTGCATCAATCCATTCAAATTTCCATGGACCTATTTGTTGTTGTGATCAGTCACACACCATTGAAAATTTGTTGATTCATAATTCCATATGAATGTTTGAGGAGGTATTGGTAAATTAGAAGGAAATTAATCAGAGCCACAGCATATTTAGTGGATAATCATATACCAATCAACACACGCAATACAACACCTACCAACAATTACAGCAGAGTGAAACATGCCCATTTCAGGAAGAAACTTAGTATTAGACAATAAAGGACTAAACAATTGTCTGAAAGCCTTCTTTCCTCTCGAATCACAAATTTCTGAAACAATAATTTTCACTCTCAACCGATCTTGATTCAGTAATGATTTTTGAACTTCCAAATGCTCTGGTGAATTCATAATTTCTCCCAAATCCAAATCTTCCTCGTCTGAATCATCTTCAACTGTTATATCTTTTTCAAGACTTTGATGAATTGCAATATCACTCGTATTGGACGTTGTTGAAGAAATTCCTTTCATGATATTACCGACAAAATTTCCTTGTTTAGTTTTTCCATCACCTCCCGATGCTGTAGATCTGAATGCCATGAGTCCACCTCCACTAGATCCACTCATACTCTCGGAATAGGTAGAAATGGCATTGATAACGGATTGAGCCCAATCAGTCGTGAGATAAAAGCTCTTTAATTGTTGCTTATCCGATAAAACAACTGCCAATTTGTGCATTAAATTTTCATCTCCTTGTGCAGCGTTTCGGTAATAGGTGCTGTTTTTAATCTTGTTGAGAACAATTTTGAACTCTTCGGATTCTCCTCCACTACTCATGATGAAGAAATGAATTATTGATGATGATTTTTACTATTGGTGATTCAGTTACTGAAATAAATAAAGAACACTGTTGTGTGAGAATTGTTGTACAATGGTTAAAGTACAAAGTAGAGCTCCAATCGGAGGAGGAAGATCAGGGAGGAAGATCAGGGTAGTTGTTCGTTGATGATATGCTGAACAGCTGAGATGATTTTTGAATTTTTTTAAATATTGTTGAAACAAGTTCACTTTCGAAATTCAAGGTGTGACTTTTTTCATTATCCAATTTCCATGTACGGCTTTTTCTTTAGGAATAGATTTTAACCTTGGCTTTTGTGAAAATACGTTATGGCAGAGCGCCTTGATTTTGTAATATTGGGCAATTAAGAATCCCGTAAATCCTTCTTATTTTTTCGTTACAATTAACGTTCTCAATGTCTTTGTATCGTATTTTTTAGGCGCACTTTCATTGTTGTAAACAATAACAACATTGAAGTTTAATTAACATCCACTATAAAGCACAATGTTGAAAAAACAAGATCACCATGTATATATTTATTTAGAACCGTTTCACAATAATTCGAGAGAGGATAATAAACCAAAAAATTTCCTTTTACGGAGATTCTTAATTGCCCAATATTCGCAACAAAAAAATAGACGTTCTCTCTCCTGAATCAACCACCAGCAGCACTACTGGAACAAGTCCGTCGTTTCTTCTAGTCCTCATCTCAGAGAGAAGAACAAGGCACGAGCTCGGAACTGTGTTGTTGTTTGGAGAAAATAAGGCTTTGAAGGATGAACACCAAAAAACGTTCGTCCAAAACATCATCAACAACAGGTACTTGTCTTGATGATAATTCGTCCTTGGTTCTCCCCACGGGCCATGTTTCATCATTCATTGGAAACCACGCCGCACTACAGCCATCATCGGAAGCTAACCATCAATTCAAGGAAACCAACATCAACGCACAGCAACTTGGTAGTAACGCGATGAATCATCATTCAACAACGGCTCTCGCTAACGATGTAAACAATACTGGGAATAATCAAGACAATCCCGCCATGCCCCAACCTGCTCAACCCACGTGGGGAACAAAAGTGAACAGGAAATATAGACAATTGCGCAAAACGTTGAAAACTTGCAAGCATTTCGAAGATAATTATTTTGTTTTGGAACTCAATAATGCTCAACAACCTCCACCTCAAATGTTCTTCAACGATCATCACGACCATGCGAAACCTCATTCACAATCTTCCCAAAAACCTCGTCGCAAGAAGGCTTCTCAACAAGCACCTCAAACATCTAACTCGGCAGAATCGTCGCCAGACATGGCTGGAAAATCCTCCTCAATTGGTTTAGCATTGGAGAGCTGTACAGCTCCATCTCACTCAACAACAACTCCACTGACACAACCAACAAAAAAGGCTCCTCTCACGTCTGTGCCTTATCAAGGTCAAGTGCAAATGATGGGGGAATTTAGTGTTGCCAGACCTGGAGAGGATGAGGTGGTACCTCTTTCCATTATTAACAGATCTGAAGAGATGGAACAACGAAACATGATGAGAACTCCAAATAGTAGCACCTCAGGCTCCTCGAACGATAAATCCCATACAGGTCTTGTCACACGAAATACAGACACTACCAAGAAAAGAAAAACTAAGGACGGAGTAAGCAAAAATGAACCCGTAAAGAAAAAGTGTTGCAAAAAAACTTCAGTCGATGTACACAATTCCAATGTCCAAAGTTCCATGCAGCAGGTGGACGAACATCCAACCTGTACCATTAACATGATGAATTGCTCAGGAACAATCATTTCCAGTAATGAGGACAATGTTCGTTCATCAAATTCAACTCTACTCAATTCTCAGCCTGTCATTTCAACTAATCACATATTTGGTTCAAGTCACAACAGTCATTTCCATAATGATGATGAATTTATGATGGCTAGACCTGAAACCAGTACGGCACCCACGCGCCCATCTTCCACAACAACCAAAATCACAGTGAATCCCAACCACAATTTCATTTCATTCTCATCATCTCAACCCTCACCAAGAATCTTACCATTTCCTTACCATTCGTCGTCGAGTTCGACAAGCCCTCTTCCTTCTTCTTCGGTTACTCTTCCAACCATGACTGAACTTCCTCCTTTCATAACTGAACTCACCAATTCAATTCCTGCAACTTCAGAAAATAAGCTTCCAAGTCTCAATAGTATTGATAGCTTTTTTAAGGCGGATCTAACGGATGAATCCATACTCCGAACGTCAAGAAGCAGTCAAGAACGATTACTACAACGAAACAGTTCTACAATTTCTGACTTTCTTCGCTTGGAAGATATACCAATGACCAACGTATCGTCAAACAGCTCTCTTGCTTTGGAATCGAAAGATGACGGAAAAATATTGGTAGAATCTAAGCAAGCAATGCCACTTCAACAAAACAGTGTCAACAGCGCCCACTCAGGATTCGAACACTCTTCTTCGAACTGTCTTTTGAAGAGAAATCCATCAGGGGGTCTTCCAAGAAGTATGAGCCATGGAAGTCTTTCTCTGCTTGATACATCAGCCGATGACGACGACGAGGATTCTGAAAGCAAAAACGAAGCAGCAGACGACAGAAGTAGTAGTCACTTTTCCAGATCGACCTCTTCTGATTCCATGAGACAAATTCCAAGCTTGACCGTTCTGCAACCTTTTGATCTCCACGAAATGCAATCCATTGAAACGGTAAACACTAGTACCTCCAAACTAACTGAGCCAATCACTACAACTGCAGCAATTTCTCCTTCACTAACAAAAGAAGTAGTCATTGAGCGAGATAAGATTCTTGTGAAGAGTCCTTTCATTACGCCTCTGAACTCTGTTCTATACAAGAACATCTCTGTGAGTAATATGGATCTTGTGAAAATGGATGTACCCAGCGTTGAGACGTTTAAAAAACCAGAGGTGGTATCTCCAGAAAAAGATCATTCTCATTGGCTGCAGCAAATTCACATGTTGCCCTCAAACGACTCTTTAACTCGTATACCGAGTATTGATTTTGAAATTGGACCAGGTGAAAAGAAATAAACATTGAGTTTTTTTGAAATTTTTACGTTCTTAATCTACCTCCATTGAGGTTTTTCATTGAGTGATTGAGATGCATTCCTCGTTCGTGTGGCTGACATGGAGCGAGCAATCTTTTTCACGTAACTTGGAGAGTCGTGAATCACAGGTTTGAACGTACATTCGCTCATGAGTTTTCTTTCATTCTCGAAGGCAATCTCTTGCATTTTCCTTTCTCTTGCATGTTGCCTCTTTTCCAACAAGAAAGAATTATTGACAATCGACGTTGATAATTGTTTGTCCTTAGTTCTGGAAAGATTTGGCTTGAATGTTGCTCCTTGAAGCTCTTTATCCAGCAATTCCTGTTGCATTTGTTGTAATTTTCGTTCTTTTTGATCCAATCCATCTCTACAGAGTTGATTGACTGATTTTTGTGGCTGGTTTCTTGCCTTTTCAGAGATGTTTGGTTTGAATGTACATTGTTGTTGTACTTCGTGTACCGCTCGTTTCAACTGAAGTGAACGTGGTCATTAAGGTGTAAAAATTTCATGTCAAGATGATACCACTTGTTTGCAACAAAAACAAGCACATAAAAACCACGCTATAACTTACAGAAAGTTCCCTTCGTTGTTGATAAAATTCACATCTCTTCTCAAACTCAGTTCGATTCACTATTGCAACACTCTTCTCATTTAGTGACGGTTTGAAAGGATGTTCTGTCATTTTGATAAAATCTACTTTTCTATCTCGATCTTCAATTAAATCCTGTTGCCGTTTTAGAAATTCTTGAAAATTCGAAGAGGGTCTGAATTTACCTGCACTTTTCGGCCGACTCATGAACAGCATGTCAAACTTTTCATTGTCAACTACATGTTGATCAGAACGAGAAATATTTGGTGTTTTTCTTTTGCTGAGCCGTGAGAAAGCATCTTCGCTCAAATAATCCATACAGCTCTTGTTAAAAAATATAGAGTCATTGGTTTGAGGTTTAAATGTACATTCTTCATCTAAGGGTTCTTCTTGGATGGATGAAGGAACCTTTTTCGGAGAAATATCCAAGTACTTGGAGGAGACTGAAAACTTGTTCAACAATTTTGGCTTAAAAGTACACGTTTTTCTAAACTCTTCCTCGGTTAATTTGTGTCGTATCTCGTCATTCTTATCAGACGCTCTGAATGAGTCAATGTATAATCGATCATGAACATCAATATCGTCGTCTCGTTTGCCTAAAGACATTGGATTAATTTCTGGTTTGAACGAACATTCTTGTTTGATGGATCTGTCCAATTCTTTTTCTTTTTGCTTTCTTGCTTTTTCAACGTTGGATTTCCAATTTACAGCTCTCTCAAAAAATGACTCTCCTTCCTTTTCTCGAAAACTTGTTGAAGATGTTTTAGAAATTTCATGAGTACGTGTCGTGTTTGGCCGCGAAGCGTTTTCTGAGAGGCTTGTTGAATTTTTAGAGCGTGGAATTGAACTTGTTGGAGACTTTTTCAATAAGGATGATGCATCAATTGTTTTAGATGTCTTAGGGCTCTTAATTTTTGGTGAACTATATTGGGCTAATAAGTTAATGGAAGAAGATGGTTGGGATGGCGGCTTGACAGATTTCGAGGACGATGAAGACGCCACTATTAGTGGACGGTTGGATTTTTCACATTGTGGGCTGTTGGAGGAAACCGTAGAAGCATGATTGGTGTAGGCATTATTTGCTTGTTGTTGCTTTTGTGGAGTTTGATATTTTTGAAGAATATTTTGAATCATGCCATCAATTTCCTTCAAATGTAAATCAGAGGAGTTGTTCAACTTGGAAGAATTGGACGTGAGCTTGGCAATATGAAGTGATGAGTCCTCTAATACTGGGAGATTCCATTCTAACGCAGAATTTTTGGCGTCTTTTGACGGTGAAAGAGTTTTTTGTTGCTGATTTGTGTTTTCCGAGGCTGCGTAATCTTCTGCGCTTTCAATACTGTCATTCAGTATTATTTCACGCTTTTTAGTTGATGTTAGCTGTTGTTGTTTCTCTTTTTTCAAGATTGTATCAAATGTTGTCTGCTTTGTGATTTTGTTGCTGAAACTGTTTTCAAAATTTGCTGAGCGATTGTTCAAACCATTGTCGCTTGCGAAAATATGATTATCGGATGATGACGGCACTGCAGAACAATAATTTTCAATAAATCTAGACACTTCAAAATCCTCATCATCTTCCAAATACGAGGCAGCGTTTGAAACTAAATTACCATGCTCGTCCTCTTCCAATCCTAAAGCCTCTAGCAAGGCGTTTTGTGTGGATGAATTTGTTTCATTTTTCTGCTCTTCCGAAAGCTGGAGGTGATGATGCAAATGCACATGATGAGCATTCAGATCCGTAGTAGTGGTTGTATTGGAAAAATCTTGAAGCATCCAATCCTCCATACAAGACATTTCAAACTCAGAGGATGATGATGCCATGGATGGTGAGTACGATGAAGTAGATGATGATTTGGATCGGTGTGGAGGTTGAGAATTCTCAAAAGTCCAATCCCTCTCTTGTTCTTGATCCGACATGAGCTTGCTCTGTTTGAAAGACCCGAGCCTCAACAAGTAGTAGTAGTCTGAGTCTTTGGAGTTCTCAAACTGATCTGAGGAATTTTTTTGTTTAAACAAAAGTAAAAGTATTTTGGCGGCTGAGTTTTCGAGAAACTCGAACAATTACTGTCAACTCGTAATGAACTGAAATTACAGATATATACTAATTCTTACGAACATTAATTTTATAATGAAACAGGTTTTTGTAGCTACAATTTGCACGTTTTTGAGTGCGAGCTGATCTTGATCCTCTACAAGTTGTTTGATTTGGCGAGTAAGGGTGAATCTAAAATTCACATGAATAAAAATCGAAAGATGATTGCACTGAATACAACAATCACCACATAGGTTAAAAAAACTCTTCGATGATTCGAGTAAGGTTGTACATTTTCATCCTCAGCAAGTGAATCTTTGACACAAGGTAGTTGTTTCATCATTTCCTTGACATGTCTTTCCATTTGATTTGAATTTTCAAATTTCTTCAAGGTCACTTTCAATCCAAAATGATCAGAACAGAACAAATAATCCGATTGGCAGGCCAATTTCAATGAATGAAATGCTTTCCACCATAAGGGAGTTTTCAATGAGTGAGAGAAAGATGAAGAGCTTTGTTTCCATTGACACAGTGGTTCATTGGCAAATAGTTCCATCTTTCCTTGTGCAGTCATTCGTCGATGTGGACTTTTTCGTATTAAAATTCGATCCAATCGCATTCTTCGAATTTCCATTCCCAAATATTTACATCGAATGAATGTGTTGAGATAGGAATCGAATGTGAAACCTTTTTGAATAGTTGAATCATGCGTCTCGTTCCATAAATCTTCATATTGAATTAATTCAATAGTCTTTTCTTCGACATCTAAATGTATATTTAAATCTCCCATGAGAATGACTTCATCCATACGATTTAAATACTCTTGTTGAGTGATATGAACTAGTTCAACTTCTCGTCTTTTCACGTTATGACTGTAGGCACTGGTATGAGCACTAATGATACATAATGTTTCCTTGTCCGAGTCATTATTTTGGTTGTCACAAGTATGATGTGAAAATGTACAGAACAACACTGGTTTTACGATGGGATCTTCCAATTTAAATAATTCCAAAGGAGGATATTTAGATAAAATTAAATTTCCTTGACTATTTCTTCCCAATGATGTATTTCGTGTTTTCAAACAAGTCTCATCTTGACTCTCTTCCACAATGTCACTGAAAAAGTAATGTTCTTGAAAGAACGTATTCTGTTGAAGCAATAATAGAAATTCTGGAGTGACCTCATTGAGACCAAGTACATCAAAATTTTCTCTTTTCAATAGTTCTATGGTGTAGTGAAAACGTTCGACATCTCTCACAATGGAATTTTTGATAGGTGCTTTGATTTCTGCCATGATATTGAAAGTACCTATTTTAAGGCCGTTTTCTTCTTCAGGGTATAAAAGAGGAGAAATTTGTAAAGATTTCCATTCTTTTTCTCTCAAAGTGGTCATTGGAGATAAATATTCCTCCCATTCGTTACGAAGAGTGCAAAATCTCAGTACTGGAATTTGTTGCATTTTTTTTTGTGTTTGGTTTTTGAACAAAATAAAAACCACGTTGATTTTTTAAGGTGTTGAAATTTTCCGCGTACAGAAAGAACCATGAACACAAGTACACGTAGTTTTTTGAATGATCATCTTTTTTCAAAACAGATCGAGAGTGGAAGGTTCTTTTTTGAATAATGGTACTTATGGTTTTCAAAACATATTGAAACATTTTCAATTTAAGTGTAATCGAACAGCAGACTGTTTAATTATTAAATTTCGTTCGTCGTTTACAAAAAAAAATGTTTAAAAGTTTTTTGAAGCAATCTGTGTATCGTCGTTCGAGTGTTATTGTTGAGTCCTCTCCGAGACAACAAATTGAAATTTTCAATACTCACAACCAATGTATACGGAGGAATTTCAAAACAAATTGTTCTAATTCAATTTTGAAAACAACATCCAATATTACGAATATGAACGAAATTTCAAGTCCTGATTTTCCATCAAACAAAACACGCCTGATGGGAATGAGCAAGGATGAAATGAAACAACTTTTAGAAAAGACTCATCCACATATTGCATCATCTTTCCGATTGGATGAAATTTATAAATTCATGTATCGATTCGGAGCACGAAATTTTAATGATATTACAGTATTGAGTAAAGCCGATAGACAATCACTCTCGGAATTATATTCCATTGATTTAGTGGGAAATATAGAGGAAGAGGTTTTATCAAAGAAGGACAAGCATACACGCAAGTTTTTGTTTGCTTTTGAAAATCCCAAATTTGTAAAATCAGAAAATCAACTCGCCACCAACACAACAACATGTCATAACAAGGGTGATGCTGATGTAGACACAAAAACAATTTCGTCCACTAAAAAGCTTCCCAAGCAACAAAAAGAATTTAACAAAGTGGAAGCTGTTTATATTTATCATCCTCCTAAAGCTACAGATTCGTTCGGAAGAGGCACTGTATGTTTGTCAAGCCAAGTTGGTTGTTCGTTAAGTTGTGCTTTTTGTAGAACTGGTACAGCGCCAATCGAAAGAAAGTACGTGGTTGAAAATATGAGCAAATATTAACGAATTTTCACATCATGATTTTCACATAATTATTGTTCACCAAATAGCTTACTTGCTTCGGAGATTGTGAGCCAGCTTGTGAGTATTAAACATCACTTGCAAGATTTTCCAATTTATATGAGTGAGGAAGAGCGCAAGAAAGCCACCGTTGAAAAAGCTCTTGTCAATAATATTGTATTTATGGGAGAAGGTGAGTTGATGTCAACTGCTTTGCGACACTATAGCAATGGATATTGTTTGCACGTATTATATTAATCTGATCAAAATGATAACATATATTTACCATACATATGTCACACACCACAGGAGAACCTCTGTATAATTACAAAAATGTCCAAAAGGCATGTGAAATTTTGTGTGATGGTTGTGGAATTTCAAAAAGAAAAATTATTGTGAGCACTTCAGGGGTTTGTAACTTAATTCCTAACGTTGTGAATGATCTGGGAGTGAACTTGGCCATCAGTTTACACGCAACAACTAACGAAATGAGAGACCAACTTGTTCCTTTGAACAAGATTTTTCCTTTAGAGGTACTCTTTGACACACTCCGCGAAAAGTGTTTCAAAAACAATACTCGTCACATTACTTTTGAATACGTCATGTTGGATCATGTGAATGACTTTATTGATGACGCTCAACGACTAGTCCATCTTGTGAAAGATATTCCATGCTCTGTCAATTTAATTGCTTTCAATGAGTGGGAAGGAAGTGGATTTAATTGTTCATCTCATGAAAGAATTGAAGAATTTTCTAAATTTCTTTATCGAAATGGAATTCATGCACCTATTCGACACAGCAAAGGACAAGATATATTGGGAGCTTGTGGTCAATTGAAAAATAGAAATGAGAACAAGAACTCGGTGTCTATACATTTGCAAAAGATGCAACATGTGAAGGCATCAATTTAATGATACTCTAGAGCGTATTCTGTTAAACCTAGTATGAACTTGTACTGAAATTAGGAACAGGGCTAATTCACAACAAGAAATTCATGTTACTGTGAAGCAGTAGAATGACTACTCAACGAATCACTACGCGAAGAAATACTCCATATCGAGAGGGCCCTTTCTTCAACCTCTGCTTTGGTTATTAATTCCAACGCACGATTTAACAAATACCTAGGAACGGGACACTTTCCATCAATCTGTACGAGCTTCTCACACACTTGGCGAACATGATAACATTCACCTTTTGCCAAATAATGTTTGCATGTGTTCAAATCCTTTTCCAACTTTTTGTCCAACTCAGATGCTTCTTTGGAGAAACATTTAAGAGCATACACCAATACGGGACGCTTCTTTCCTTTAAGCTTGATGAAATCCACAAATAAGCACACAAAGTGATGCCTTACGACATGATATGTGTTACTTCCAATGATAATGTGCCATGACACACGTTCAGCCAACTGTTGTAATCGACTTGCAACATTGACATTATCGCCAATGGTTGTGTAACTCACTCTCGTCATGGATCCCATACCTTTTTCAATGTTTCAATATTTCAACATTAACTCGTAAATTATTGTTGACAATTATACACGAGTTGTTTCACTTACATCCACAGTTCATCTCACCACTATTAATTCCCACATGAACATGCAGTTTAGGATAACTACGAAGCTTCCACAATACCTCCACTGCTTTCACTTGCTCCATAATTTCCAGTGCTGCCCGACATGCACAAATTTCATGGTTGGGACATTCAAATGATTCTTCATTCCAAAATGCCATGACTGTACCTTCCATGATCTTGTCAATAATTCCACCATGAACTGAAACCGAGCGACAAACAATCTCAAAAAACTCTGTAGTCGCTTCCAAAAACAATGACGTGTCTGTATTCTCTGCCAAAGTAGTGAAGTTTGAAATTCCACTAAACATGACAGTCATATTTCTCACACTCATTCCAAGGCGAGCATTCTCTGGAAGTTTAGATTGCATTTTCTTTTCTACAATATGAGGAATATAGGGAGTCAACGAGATCAAACCACTCTGTAAAGTATTCAACCTATTGCTCATATCTCGAATATCAATCAGAGGAGAATGGCTTTTTTTAAAAAACTTGTTAATTCCTTGTAACGTGACAAGATTGTTCACATTTTTCGTGATATTGAACAGGCCATGATTGATATATTGCAATAGAAAGAAGACGAATATAATTTGTAGAATGAACAACACTAGGAAGGCGAGCACAGCATATATCCCATTTCTCAAAATTTCAGAAATGTACTCTCTCTCGAAACTAACCACCACCATCGTCCAATTCAAACCATGAACATCAGTGACAGGAGCTGTTTTCACAAGTAATTTGCGTAGTTGTGAGGAAGGTATGGTTGTGGGTTTTCCATTTTCTGTGACCATCATTAAGGACACTATGGCCTCTTGGGAAAGCTTGTTGTGCGTCAATGTAATTCGATAATCAATTGGAAAGAGATGTGTCGTGCTGGCAATGATTGTTCCAAAAGAATTGACAATGAAGCAATGCTCACCTTTGTTTGAGACATTTCTCAATAAGGTATTCAAGAAATTAAGGGTAAACTGAACTCCAACCACCCCAAACAAATGTTCTAACGGTGTTTGACGAGGGTATTTTCTAGAGGTGATGGCTGTGCTATTCGCCATTTTCAGTCTTCGTTGTTGCAATTTAGAAACGTGTTCATCAATGTAGATGGGTAACACAAAGGTCACTGCTTTCTCCTTGTACACATTGGTGAAGACATCGGTCCAGTATGGTCGTGACACATTTTTCGAAAAGAATTGACGTATCCAAGGCCTCGACAAGGTTGTATGTGTGAATTGTGAACCGCTCCTTATGAACTGCAGATCCTTCTCCGAAAGTAAGGGTCCTCTCTCATCCCTATGCGAAATAGCAAACAAGGTTGTGACATTACCTACTGTGAGTTCAAATGTGTTATTGTAGAAACCAACAAAATCATGATCATATCGTGCAAATTGAAACATGACAGCAGGATTTGAAAAGTATTCTCCCAAATGCACAAATACTTTCTTCCATAACATGAAATTAATAATGTTCATAGGAGTACCATAATATAATCGGTAATCGAGAATATTAATGGCAGTAGAAGCTGTTCTTGTTAACTTGCCAATTTCAGATTGCACGTTGTGCAAATGTTGTGCTGTAGTAATGTCTTGTGTTTTCGCATGAATACTAACACCGGTCGAATAGAGGAGGAAGAACGTGGCTAATATTCCCAATAGACCCTGTGTGATGAAAAGAACCAGAATAATATTCGTTGTTTTGCTTGAATACTGTAAACATTTGGTGCATTTCGCTCGAAGTGTTTGAGAATGACAACGGTTGTGTTTGTTAAACGAGATGGGCATTCAATGATTTGGCTTTGCGTGTAGTGCATGCACACTTGAATGTACATTAGAAAAATACTCGATGACGACGACTATAGGTGAAGAAAATTATGTGGTGGTGTGAGTTTGAATATATGTATTCATCACAACATGAGTGTTTGTGTACTGCAAATGCTATTCAAGAAGGAACTTCCAAAGTATGTTTGATCACAACAGGAACTGCACAGAGATGCAATTCAATTGTTTTTGCTGTGATCGACGCTTAAACGATATTGTATGGTTTTTCGAATTAATCTTCTGTTTTTGGATTTTTTACACAAAAGCATTGAGCACCGTTGCGCTAATAATACTTTTATAAGGCTCTCGATCACAGTTTGCAAAGCGTCATCGTGTGGATAAGAAATGACAACAATACCTAAATTCGGGCCGCGTCGATTGGATCTCGGCAAGTAGGGTCGCAGATCACAAATCAAGTAACTGGAATGTTTTGACTTTTTTTTAATTCCAAGTGAATATCTTTTTTTTGATATTGAGGGTTTTGTTTTAAGGTTTGTCCTGTAAACGATCAAACTTGGGTAAACTATAAACAATAAACATGTTTAAACAAAAATAAACAACATAAACAAACTAATTTAAACGTTCAAACGAAAAATAAGTTCTAATTTCTGATCCAAATCATCGAAAATGTAAATCATCCTGTTTGGCATCCATTTCATAATCGTGTAACAATGTCTCTGGTATAATGAGGGGTGGAAAAAACCTCCCATCCAAACACACAAATAATTTCTCGGACCATCAAATTTGTTTTCTCCTAATGGTCAACCAAGATGAATAATAATAACCAATTCTAAGCGTATTTCAACTCCTTTCTAAACAGCAGATTAGATCAGACTTAGTCTAATCTTTGACCAAGTTCATCAAGATCAAAAAAATTCTCTTTGTTGTTCCATCACAACTGAAAAAATTCATCATGTGTGGTTCACCAGTGTCTGGGCCACTGTTGGTCTTGTTTTTTCCCTTCATTGTCGTTGCACAAACGTTGGATACATTTAGTCGTTTGGATACTCGAATCCGAGCAAATAACGAACGCCTCGGAAATAGGTGGCATCAAAAACGACAAGACTGGAAGAATCGTTTGTTGTTCCGAAAGCAAATAAAAGCAGAGAGTAAATTGAATGAACAGTTGAAGAAATTTCAAAACAAGAATACTGAGTGGTTGGAGAATGAATCGGAACGAGAAGTTTCAGCTGTGGATCCATCTGATCAAGAAGAGTCAACAAACGAAGAAGCTCAAGCAGATGCAATCTTATTTGTTCAGAGAGCTGTTGTGAGAAGCTCAGCAACAGAATTTGAAAAAGCACTCAAGGATTTGGCTTTTGCACAAGAATTGGACCCTTCTTTGAAAGACACTTACATTGTATTGTATTTGGAAGGGTTTTGTTACTCTGCATTAGGTCAATATTTTGACGCTGCTCACTCCTTTAAGAGAGCAATTCAATTGAAAGAGAATATGACATCTGACTGTGTGGAAAAGTGTTTAGAACTGGAACGAAAGATTTTCGAAATTCAGACAGAGATGAAACACAAATACGAAAAGGCATTGCAATCGATTGGAGAAGTAGCCGAATCAACACGACAATATTTACACAACTCAAAAGAATACTTGAAAAACAAGTGGTTCAGAAGAGGAAGCAAGTCACAGTCAGTGAATTCATCAGAGAGTGTGACTCAAGTGGAACCACCTATCACTACATCTGCTCCTCCCTGTGAATCAGATACCTCACATCAACACTCATTGATTGCATTAGAGGAATTGTATTTTCGAGCAGCTATTGCCTATTACTACAGTGCCTACTACTCTGACTCTGTCACCTATTACACAAAAGCCATAGAAATGGTGTTGCCGAATGAGGACAAGACTCTGTTGGCATCATGTTATTACAACAGAGGTCTCTCACATTATTATTCCAATGCATTGGACCACGCACTCGAAGATTTCTTGAATTGCACCAAATTACAACAAAACATTGACGCGTTGAAAATGATCGCAGCAACGTATGGAAGAAAGGGATGTCCCAAAGAGCAATCAGAATACAAGAAACAAGCCAAGTTGATGAATCCATTGACAACATTTGTTTCAGTATTTCACTATCGATTACTCGATGAAAATAGTACACACTTGGTCTTTTCATTCTTACCAATACATAGTCTCATGTTAGTTGGAGGTACATGTCGTTACTGGAGAGAATTGGCCACCCAGAATGTTGTACAAAGACCGTACTTGGAAATTTCTTATAATAATTTAATTAACAATGTACAAAAGCAGGTAGAAAAAGCAAACCAGTCCTCGTTGAAAGAGAAATTGTTCTTGCCAAGCCCAGCCTACAAAACTAATGATGACTTGTTAGGAATAGTGTTGAGTGCATCATTTTTCGACCTCTATGACCAGCAAGAAAACAAGACTGTTGTCCTCAAGGAGTATCCGTCTTGGCCTTATTTTTATAACAGTCCTCCATGCGAAGGATCTCGTTGTAACAGATTTTTGAAAAGCATATCCACCTTATACGTACGATACGACTTGATTCTCTCATCCAGTGTTTTAGATGAAGTGCTCAACCATAGCCCTCGCTTGAAAGAATTGGTGATTTTCGATGATAGAGATGAGACTTCAATCTATGACCTAGATTCATTAGACTTTTCTAAATTCCTGAGATTGAAAAAGATCATCCTCTACGTGAATTATCGAGCTGAAGAATATTCAACACAATCTTCGAGCCCAATTCCAAAGTTTCCTGAATGTGTGGAGTGTGTAGAATACCTAGTCACATCAAAAGAAGCATTGCAACATGTGTTTGAAAAGTATCCCAACATCAAATTCCAAGAGATCAAAGAAGATTATTCCTACTTGAAGGATTCCACTTCTGTGTAAATGAATTAAATATTACAAATTGATTAAATGACCTGGTTTGTTGGACTTCGGTACCTATTTTTAAGAACGCCGAAGCGCGATGACGTCCTTGAGCAATGTTGCAAAAAGTAAACTTTACAACCAACTTCAAAAAAAATGGTCTTGGCTGAATTGGGCTCACGCATTACCAATGCGCTCCGAAATATCAATACTCAGGTCATTGATGATAATGTCATCAACGAATTGCTGAAGGAAATTGGTAATTCTTTGATGGCTGCGGATGTAAATATACAACAAGTGATTCAATTACGTAACGGCATAAAAAGCGGATTGGATTTTGATAAATTACCAAAAGGTATCAATAGACGAAATCATATCAAGGCAGTCGTGTATCAAGAATTGTGTAAATTACTTGATCCCGGAGTGAAACCTTTTCAACCGGTGAAAGGAAAGCAGAATGTGGTCATGTTTGTCGGTTTGCAGGGTGCTGGTAAAGTAAGTAGTGCTGAATTTCAAAATCAGATGACTTTTAATGTGTTCAAATTTGATGGATTTTATTATTCCATATGACCATGATGATACATTATTGTTACCGCCATCTCCGATGATCACGTGTTACTTTCTGTAACCTCTCATCATGTAAATCCAATGATTGTTATTATTCCAACAACAATATAATTATCGTTATGAAAACAACATCCATGACAACAATTATAATCACAGACAACGACATGTACAAAATTTGCTAGATATTATCAAAAGAAGGGCTTCCGTGCTGCTCTGGTTTGTGCCGATACATTCCGTGCGGGTGCTCTCGCTCAATTGAAACAAAACGCAGCCAAAGTCCAAATAGCCTTCTATGGTGATGAAATTGAATCAAATCCTGTCAAAATTGCAAAAGATGGTGTGGAACAATTCAAGAATGAAAAGTATGAATTAATTATCGTGGATACATCTGGTAGACACAAACAAGAAGAGTCTCTTTTTGAAGAAATGGAACAAGTTGCAGAAGCTGTTAAACCTGATGAAGTCATATTCGTCATGGACAGTAGTATTGGTCAAAGTGTGAAGGAACAAGCTGCTGCTTTCAAGTCTCGAGTTGCTGTCGGAAGTGTCATTGTTACCAAATTAGATGGTCATGCTAAGGGAGGTGGTGCTCTCAGTGCTGTGGCTGCCACAAAATCTCCAATTACTTTTATTGGTACAGGTGAAGAGTTTGACGATTTCCAACCTTTTGAAGCTCAAAGTTTTGTTTCTCGATTGTTAGGTCATGGTGACATTCCAACACTGTTAAAAACAGTGCAAGAGGCTGTTGACCCAGAAAAGCAACGAAAAATGGCTGAAGGCATTGCGAAAGGTATTTATACCATGAGAGACATGAGAGAACATTTTACATCCATCATGAAGATGGGCCCTCTGTCACAAGTCATGTCAATGATTCCAGGCTTCAGTGAACAACTATTACCAAAAGGATCAGAGCAAGAAGGAAATGCAAGATTGAAGAAATATTTGACGATTATGGACTCTTTCAACGATGAAGAAATGGATTGTACTGATATCACAAAATTACCAAATATGCCATCGAGAATAATGCGTATTGCAAGAGGAAGTGGTAAAACACCCAAAGATGTTCAAGAATTATTGGAGCAATTTAAACTCTTCCAAAGTATGATTGGAAAATTAGGTTCCTTAAATCTGAACAATATCAAGTCACAAAAAGATATTGAGAGTCTTCAAAAGAAACTTCCAGGCGTCATGAAGGGTATGCCAGGAATGGGCAATATGGACATGAATGCAATGATGAAACAAATGGCAAAAGGTGGTATGCCCAATCTTGGTGGAATGAACTTGAACAACTTGATGAGTGGTTTAGGAAATATGCTTGGAGGCGGTGGAGGGGGCATGGATCTCTCGAGCATGTTAGGAAGTTTTGGCATGGGAGGAGGGGGCGCCTCAGGTGGTACTCCACAAGTGAAAACGAAAACAATAACGAAAAAGAGATGAGATTTTGATGATATAAATTTCGCCTTGTGAATGAGCAGAGTTTTTATTTAGAATTTCGAATGTCAACAACGATACTGTAGAAACAAAGATTCATTGATCAACCATGCATCTTGTGAAATCCTCTGAATCTATCGAACAAGCAAAAAAAATGTTGAACAAAACAACTCTCTCATCGTCGTCCAAGAAACAACAACCTCTCATTCAAGTCGTGGATGAAGAAGTTGATCATTCTGATGTAACAAATACTGCCAAAGAGGATCATTCCGAAGAAAATAATAATACAGAGCAACAAAATGATGACTCGGAAAGTAAAATTCCTTCTTCGTTTCTGAACATCGCTCAAAAATCACAAAGAAGTATTTTGGAATCATCATCTACAACACAACCATCGTTATTATTGAGTCGGATACGAAATTTTCTTCCACTCATTGAAAAAGCAAATGCCGAGTTAAAACATAAATTATCGGATGAGGAATGTGTTGAAATTATTGGATACAATGGCGAGGAAGAACAAGATAACAATGAGGAGCCCGAGAATAATTCTCGAAAATTTAAAAAACGAAAATATCAACCAAGCGACGACCAAGAAGAAACCTTTAAGCCATATGTGGAGATGAACGTCGCATTAGGAGTGTTAGAAGAAAAGAAACAATCAGCGACTGCCAAAGGCTCCTTAATTCAAGAAGTGAATGATGAAGAAGCTGACAACGACATTGTTGAAGAAAATCACTGTGGGAGCGCGTGCAGCGAAGAATCATGTGAAGAGAATACATTGAGAATTGGAAATGAAATTACTCCATTGGACGAAAAGCAGCAGGAGCAAGATTTTATGGCTTATATGAATTTAGTTTCATCTCTATTAGGCCAAACGAGTGATAATGTACATAATTATGAGAGTGACGATAGTAGTTACAATGAGCAACAGGACACTGATGACGAAGACGTACAAAACGAAAATTCAGAAAGCAACGAGAAAGAGGGTGAGTGAAAATCACTTCCAAATAATGCACGAATTATTATTTGATGGAACAATGATCTGTTTAAATCAAATAGATGCAAATGCTCACCTGTCAAGCTGGACGGTTTGTTGGAACAACGATCTGTTTAGCAAATTTTGGCGTGAACTTGTTGAAACCCAGCTTGTTTTCGAATGGTATTATGGAATTCCTTTGTTCATTGACATTGGAACATCTCAATTTGTACCTTACACATTAAACACACAATTTTCCTTAAATGATCTCAAATTAGCAAAGATTTTAGCACCTCCTATGATATCCAGTGGATCCATCTTCAAACAAATTTTAGGCTTATTTTCATATTGTTTTGTCATATCCAATTCAAATCTCGATACAAGACCATCCACTTGACTTAGTCCTCCTCTTACAATGATATTTTGCAAGAATATTGTTTTCATTGGCTCATCGTGTTGACACTTGGCCAATGTCATGTTCACAATATGAAGCACAGAGGCATAGAAATCCTCTCCAATTCTACATCGCTCTTGGCCATTGACCGGATGCCATAAACGAGAGGATGAATATGGTGCCTCCTTACTTGCAAGATCCATCCACAATGTTGGGTTCTCCTTCTCAGAAACAGGTAACACTTTGGCAACAGCAATGAAATCTTTACCCCAGTCAGCACATATTGCAGAGGGGTCATATTTCGATGTGAATTGAGAATCTGGAAACATCATTCCACTCGAAAGGTCCTTGACAATTTGTCCATTATAAATTGGCACGCAATACACACCAGAAGGAGAAACGTCCACAATCAAGCAGTGATTAGTTTGATAATACAGAGCTAGTAAATAGTAAGAGCTTATCATGCAAAGAGCTGGAACCCCAACACTGAACTGTGTGGTTATTGATATTGTTTCAATTGTTTCAATTTTGACATTTGAAATTCGAATGAATTAAAACAGGTCAAGAGACGGCCTTGACCTCTCAAACAAACTTACCAAAGTTTCGGTAATGATACGTTCATCGTCCTGGGTCCAGTAACACGGTGTTGCAATGAGAAGAGGATGTTTTCGAATGGAATTGTTGCCAAACACCTGACGTATGGTCTGAAAAATTAAACATGAAACCACAGTATGCTGAGTGCCCTTGTCAGCCGTCACCAGTGGTAATTCTTGTGAATGAGCATATTTGTAGCAGCTATGATGTCCAACAATAATGTCATTGAGGCCATGTCCAGAAATATTAAAACTAAATATTGTGTGAATTTGATATGTAAGGGTTTGAGAAGGTAATTTACCGAGTTGTCAAATGTCAGTCAAATGAAAAGTGCATTTGAAATGAAAACCCAACTACTTACTGCGCATTAAGTGGCTGACAGCATACAGTTCTATCAACATAAAATTTGGAATCATTCATTTTGCCATACTTGCTATATAAAACACCGGGATCGAAGAGAATGGCACAAAACTCCCTCTCCAATGTCTTTCGAGTAATAAAGCAATTATACCAGTCGACTGTATCAAAGTCATTGGTTCTCTTTTTTGATTCTGCATTCATGATGGATGTTTCAACGTTTGAAAGTGGCAATTGATCATTCACGACCATGACATTGGTAGCTTTGTTTAAATACTTGGATACTTGCTCTTCATCATGGTTGTGACAAGCCCACTCAATGCTATAACATGATTTCCATAGAGCTTGATTTCTAGCATAACCGTGTATGCGAGAGTTGAGAGGAAGAACAATGCGACAAATTTCTGCGGGCGTTAAATAGCTTAAAATCGTAGCAAATATTTCTTCAGGCAATAATCGCTCGATTTCACTCATTTTCTGATTTTCTCTTTCCAAGAATCGCTGATTGGAATAATTCACTTGCATTTCCTGAGATTGTAAATACTTTTCTGTCGCTTCCTTAACAAGACCTTGTTTTTCTAATTGTTCACTTTCGTCCACTAACTTTTTTACCATTTGATACTCTTCTAAATTTTCATAATTGCATCGCAATATACTTTCCGAGTCGATTCGTTTAAACATGATTTCAGTTCGCAAGATAATTTTGGTGCCATGTGTGAGCTTTTCTCCGCTGTGATAAAGATTATGATTGAAAATTAAACAGTCACATGCATGCGGCTGTACACATGCCAATTCACGCAATGTTAGTTGTGTTCCTTGTTTGGACAATAGCTTGAAGAATTTAGTCTCTCCACCACCTCCATAATAGTTCAAATATATCAAAACCGTCAAAATACTCTTTTCATTGTCATTCTTCACAAATTGTGCATCCATATGTGGTTTGAAATAATCTCCTTCTTTATATTCTGTCACTCGAAAACAATCATTCAATCCCACAGGTATCCACGTTCCATTGTTATCAAAGCCATATGGCCTAATATTCTTCAGATCTGACTTTTTTAGAAAGGGTTTCATTCGATCCCACATCACATTGGCAAATTTGCTGCACTTGACAAGAGCTCGTTTACACCTTCTGTATTCTTCAGGATATTCATCAGAAATGTCGTTAAGCTTGATACCATTGTTGTGCACAAAATTATCCAACACCCAATATCGTTCCGATGAGCTCAATATTCCCTTGATTTGAAAACAAATATCTTGCTCGTGTGCATATTCTTCCTCATGGTGCAAAATTCTAGTTTTTTCAATAAGCTCTGCATGATGATAATCATTTTGTAATAAATCTACAACGGAAATGATGTTGTTCTTCTGATTATTATCATTGTTGGAATGAATGCCGTTCCGAGAAATATGATCCACTCTTCTCCAAAATTTATAAACATTTTCGGGCGATTGTTGATCAACCTCTTGTTTTGTATCTTGTTTTGTTTCTTGTTTTGAACAATGACGACGATTCAATATTTCATGTGGTAGTTGGTAACTGGAAAAATTATCATGACCACCACGTTCTTCCATAAATCCCGAGCCATCAATTTCAACAATGCGTGCACGTGATTGCATCATCATCAATTTACCTGATTGTGCTCCCATCCCTAAATCATCAAAGAGCAATACTCGTATGAATGAGTAATATATGAAAAAAACAACAAAAATGAATAACCGTTGAAGCCAAAAGAACAATTACAGCAATTTCTTTCAAAAACCATCACTAAAACACAGTCCTGATGACGCAAGGTTTATTAATAACCTTGTTTTGGAGGTTTTGTTTTTTTTAACGGTTTTAAGTTGCTCAGCACTAAAATAAAAGAGCAAAAGCCACAATTTATTACAGATTCAAGCAAAGATTGCTTCACAAAGCTAGAGAGCATCCGTGGACACACATTTATATTGTCAACGAAGCGTACACATCCAAAACTTGCTCATGTTGTGGACATATTTATACGGTTGGATCATCCGAAGTGTTTCGTTGTCCATCATGTGGCTCAATTTTTGACAGAGATATCAATGCAGCAAGAAATATTCTTCTTCGATTCCTTACTACTCATAGAATTAGTTTTTGAGCACCTTGTGTGTTGGGTCTTCCTCACCTTGTGTGCGTTGGGTCCTTTCCCCTGGCTTTCCTGTTCAATATTTTTATAGGGTCGTTCTCATGAGGGGTTGATGAGGATTCGTGGATTCATCTTGAGATGCCCCGGGCGTAATCAAAGAATGTTTCGGTTGGGGAACTATTTACATCTCTTTTGGGAGATGTTTGACAGGTTGCATGGTTTTTTCATGAACAAACAACAACAATTAAAAAAATTGTCTCTCTTACTGACTTGAATATCTCTATGGAGGTTAAAATTGCAGTGATTGGCAGGTAAGACTTCTTCTTCTTATCTTGATTATCAACCCTCCTTCTGTCATGTGTTTTACTTGTTATGGATTGTTTGATATCCATAGTGGAGGTGTCGGAAAAAGCTGTTTGACACTTCGATTCACTCAAGAGACATTTTCTGAAAATTATGACCCAACCATTGAAGATTCGTATGTATCCGAATGATTTTGTTGTGGGTGTCATTCAAACTTATTAATCTTTCGATTTATTTCCTCTACATTGTTGCCTTTGGTATTTGTTTCCATTTTCGTAAATTTTTGACAACTGAAATCATTGTGGCCACGATGATTCTCGTAATCATGAAATGAAACCAACACCATTCAACAACACAATGTCATTCCTTACCATTAATAACCCTTCTTGGGAATGCATCATGCCACTTTCTCAATGTCAAGATATTACAAATTTACAGAACTTGAAAATTCTCAACAATGTGGTTTTTCCATCCTGGACACGGCAGGACAAGAAGAATTTAAATCGCTACGAGAGAGTTGGATGAAACATGCTGATGGTTTTTTATTGGTGTATTCGATGGACGATAAAAAATCATTTGAAAGTATTTTGGAATTTTATGAACAAATATTAAGAGTGAAAGATACTGATTCGTGGCCAGCAATTGTAGTGGTAGGAAATAAGGCAGATTTAGAGGATTCACGACGACAAGTGACAGCAGATATGGTCACAAAATTTATTAAGCAATACGATTTGGATCATTTTGATTGTTCCGCTCTGTCTGGACTGAATGTAAAGAAAGCCTTCCAACGAACGGCGAAATATGTTTTAATACATAAGGGAGTGAAGCTTTTAGAAGAAGTTGTTCATACACCACAAAATTCTGAAGTGAATATTTCAATTTCTGCACCACCTGACAATTGTCATGACGACAATGCTTGCCATCAAAAAGACATACTCTCAACCTCAAACAGTCATGGAAAATTGAGTAGCCTGGATGGAGGAGGTGGAAGTAGTCCAAGCTTGTGGAGGAGAACTACATCAGATGCTCCTTCTTCCAATTTAAATTCACAAATTGATGCAAGTCCAACTACTCCAAGCTTTATCTCAAATTCCAATCATTCAGGGAAGAGCTTGGGTAGCTACACTCCAGAACCGAAATCATCGGAAAAGAAAATGAAGTGTGTCATTCTCTGAGTGTGTGTCACTTATGAACGAGTTCAGAGAATTTTCCAAGATAACAAAATCATTGAAAAAAAACAAAGAATTGCAAATGTTTCGAATGGATTCATTGTATGATCATTCACTTGCATGTTATGTAAATAATTACAAGTAAATTGTTGTTACAATTAGATTTTTAAGAAGATTTTTTTCAAAAGTTTAAAAAATGTACAATAACAATTCTGAAAAGAGTTCACTATCATCATCACGAGGAGGAAGAGGATATGATCATTCTTACAACACTCGTGGAGGAGGTACACGTGGTGGAAGAGGTTATGCATCAAGGGGAGGAAGAGGAGGAGGTACACGTGGTGGACGAGGCTCATACCATTCTCATCATCATCATTCAAATTCATACTACCATCATCCAAGTAGTAACAATAGAAGTCATTATCAAAATGATCCTTATAACAACAACAACAATAACCATCATCAAAATAATAATTATCACAACACCTTTGACAACACTGCACATGGAGAAGAAGAGAATTATTTTGCACAATTACAGCAAGACTCCATAAATCAGCCTTATTATGCTCAAAACCGTGGTTCACCATCATCCGATTATAATTATGAAATGGCTCAACAATACGAAGAATTACCACAACAACAATTTCAACCACCACCAGTTCAACAAACAGTGCCACAACAAACACAGCCCACACTAGTCGTTCATCAGCAACAACCTTCATCACAGTTCACCAACTCATATGGACATATCTCTAATTCTATCAAATTTACCTCACAACCAATTCATTCTATTGATTACATTCAGAATGATCCAGCCAATAGCAACATGATGAACTCTCAACAGGTACCACCACACAATTATTATTCGACATATCCTCAGCAACCACTTTCTTCCGAGCACGGACCTATCCCCTCGACATCGAATTATTATCATCCACCTCCTCCACCGTCTGCCATTCAAGGAGTGCCCCAACATATGGGTTATCAAACTTCGTATTATTCGAAAGGAATCAGGCTTCCACAATCTCAACGAGATTTACTGAGTGATTGCTCGACATTATCAAGTACAAGCTCTTTCATTTCTCAAGATCAACACTCTATTGATAGTCACTCATCCTTCTCTCAGGAGCGTCAACAGATACAAGCTGTCAGAATCACTGGAATTCCAAATCAATTGTCTATTCCGCAATTTTTGTCACTACTCAAGTCCAATGTTCCCATTTTGAATGGAAATATCAAAAACGAGCACTTAGTTAAGCCAATATCAAACCCAAAGTTTCCAGATAGCTATTATATTTTTCTGAATATTAATGGCGTGGATGGATTTGAGGCAATTAAGAATCACCTGAACAATTCTTCATCTTCATCTATTTATGGCTCCACTATTTCAGCTTCCTTGAAATTTAATTAATGTTAACTATTATTATGGACCAACAATTTTTTCCTCGTTAGAAGAGTAAGAGATGATACCGAGGTCTCTTAATATCACACACGGCTATTTTCTTATGTAATACACATGATTGCTTAATAGATTTTGAAAAACGTTTTCTGACTTGGATATTACCGCTTTATTTCATTCAAACTATCCAATGGTATGCTCTCATTGCTTGTTTGTGGAAATGGTTGTATTGGAGTTTTGGGGGAGGCATTCGATCGAATCGATGGAGATTTTCGAGGACTAAGTGAAGTTATGGATCTTCTGCTTGTATTCGGCGAGGAAGGTGAATTTGGTCTACTGATCACTTGTTGTTTGAGTTTCTTTTTGCGTCGTCTTGGGTAACATTCTAAATTCTTTTCATAATCTGGAATTGCATGACCAAAGGGGCATCCTATCTCACTAATGTAATCACGTGTGTGACGAATTTGACTTGGAGAATCACCAGAGCTTTGCACGGTTGTTGATACATGTTTCTTATGGCTTGGAGTTGAAACCTCAACGTGTTCCTCATTCACGTCGAACAAGTGTCTCATCCACCAAGCTCGATCAAACATTTTCAAAACGTCAATGAAAAAGTGAGAGACTGGAGGTGCCTTTTTTCTCATATTGGTGACGTTATCGGATTCTGAAATTGTTGTTGGAAAGGTTGGTTGCTGCTGAGTGGTAGACATCTTATTTCCTTCTTTCTTTGAGGTTGCGCACAATGATGACGGCTCACTTCCGAGTGGTGTTTCTGGAGTTGATGTTCTCTCAAATTGTTGGTACGATGCAGCATTTTCCATGAGATCATGAATCATCATGTCCTTAATGATATTATCCAATTCTTCATGACTTTCAATGACCAAAGTACACATGGCCGTTCCTCCTCCATGAGGTGGTTTGTGAGCAAATTGATTTACATTGTTACTATTTGCAAGTTTCGTGTTAGGGTTAGAAAAATCAAAGCATGACAATGGAGTGGTTGGTGTCAACACTGGTCCATATTTTCCAATCAAGCTCTCATCCAAATCAATGACCATTTGAGACCAACCTTGTTGTCGAGCATTCCCCAAAAAGGTTTTGAAATATCTCACCAGAGGAAAAGTGGTGTAATCAATATTCAAATAATTCCTCATATAATCATCAATGAAATCAATTCCATTACCATACATGCTTTGTTGCGGTGGCGAGCTTGTGGAATTTTGACGAGGTGAGCAAAACATGTCTTTTTCGTTCTTGAACAATTTGGAAGTATTCCATGACACAATGCACTGTGCAAGTTTTTCAGTGAGTTTTTCTTTTTGTTTGGTAATGAATAATTCAGGAAGATTCGAAGCAATGATTTTTGCCATTCCATACAACTTTTTAGGAATGATCAAACTGGTGAGAGGGTCGAAAAATACGAGCCATGGACCCACGATCAGAGCTAGGGTAAATTTGGATGGAGTTTTGGTGACATTGATGCGGAGAGGACTCGATGAAGATCCACCACTCGAGTTATGATGATTGTTGTGAGAGAGGTTATTGGTTCTTGGTGACACGTTCACAAAAGGTTCATCCTCAGAATCCACAGGAAAGTGATCGAGAACAGGAAAGCTTATCGTACTAAAGCTACTTCCTTCACTGAAATGAATATATGGCACAATTGCAAGCTTGACCTCCACATATTGTTGGCCATGAATGGATTCCATGGAGGTCAAATCGGCTTGTGAATCAGAAATTTTCAATTGCATTTCATGAATTGCTACATTGAAAAAATCGCCAATTCCTTTCGACAAGAACCGCATACTCTCTGATGCTGATCTCTCGATGAGTGCCACTGTCGTCATCCAATTGAAATCCAAATATGATTTTAAGAGTTTTTCCTCATTACTTAATTGTTCGACAAATTGTTGAATGGGTCCAATGTTTTTCATCTTTTCAAGAATGAGTGCTGTTTGTTCTTCTCCAAATGATGGTTGTGAGATGTTATCAGAGCTGTAAGATGGTCTTCTTCCCAATTCATGTTTGAAGGCGGCATCATTGCCACGTCTCCTCCTGTCAGCCGATGCAAAGCTTTTGGGCGAGGCACTTGACGCAATGTTATTTCCGTGATGTGAGGTGGCAGCTGACACTACATTGGCCTTTAATAATTTTAAACGTATCGTATTTTGTTGTTCTTCAGCAAGTGCTTCTGAACGATCGGGAGGACCTTCACCTTCGCCATCGTCATTACCCGACCCAGAAGCAGAGATGGGAATTAAATCTTCAAGCCGAGAAATGGTGGCAATGTTGAGGGATAAACGTTGACCCATGGGAGATTTTGATGCTGTCGGAAGATGATGTTTGTAAAAAGAAGAAGAAAATTATAACACGTTGATGTTTTTTGAGATTTTGTGTAGTATTGTGTTGCAAAACCACACAATTTGGATGTTATATATGAGTTGCAAGATGAACACAACCTCTTATTAGGATCATTAAAGTTTTGAAAGCTAGCCAAATGAAAGATTGGAAAGCGTTGAATTCGAAATTTTTTTTTGTAATTTTGGGAGGGAATTTTTACTGTCACCTGTCAATCTCTAATCTACAGTAAATTTAATATTTTCGATTATCAACAAGGGACGACCCTTAATTGATTGCTACTCTGGCAGCCACAAAATTTCCAAAGGGTTTATAAGGTATCTCAATGAGTTGACCTCAAGGAAAGTGAACTCGGAAAGCAATAGATACTATTTTGTTTCGAATCACGTTTCAAATCCAAACAATGAAAATATTTTTTTCCTGCAACGATCTCGTTCAGAAAATAACATTTCTTCCAAAATTGGAATATCTCTTTTCCATTAAATGACATCCTCCTGTCCGAAATGCAACACCAATTCAATGAATATCACGAACAATCATCTCAACATCAATGGAGTCCCAAACTTCCATGTCCTTGTATTGTCTCCTTTTGAGGATTTTTCAAATTCCAAAAACGCTCTCCAACAAGTGGTTTGCATCTTGACTGATTTCATTTTTAGAGTATTGGAGTTTGTTTAAAACGCACACAGAGATGACAATCCAAACACACTCCTTGAAAAAACAAATCAATAACCAACCGACACTAGTGTCCAATCTATGAGTGAGAATATAACCAATAATTCTATCAAAATGAAATCGAATAACCATTCAAGTGATGTACTCAATTTGGAAAACAAAATGTTGTTATTTTTTTCTGAGCAGAGACAATTCGAATCAATGATGAGAAAACAATGTACAACGTATCAACTTCAGCTTTCCGAACGAGAGGAAGAAAGTAGAGTGTTGTCAGAGGAAAATGGGAGATTATCGTTGAAAGTTTCGGAACTGAATGCAAAGCTCTATAATTTAACGTTTGACATTGAGGTCAAGGAAAAAGTTTACCTTCATCAAATTCAAAAGTTAGAAACAGATTTTCAATCTGCCGAATCGAAATTTCATCACCAATTAGAACAACTTCAAACAATGAACACTGAACTTACTCAACAAATCGAACGACTCAAACATTTATTGGAAACCAAAGAAGTAACACTTCAAGAAAACATTCAACAACAAATCTCAAAACTTTATGAAGAAATCGAACAGAAAGATCTCTTACTTTCAACTCAAATGAAATCCTTTTCGAATGAAAAAGCTCACTTCACAAAACACATTCATCAAATTCAATCAGAAAATTTTTCACTCAAAACTCAGCTGCACGATTCTGACAAGAAAGCCATTCAATTACTATTACTCATTCAAGATTTAAAGAATGAAACGGATTCTCTTCGTCAAGAATATTCTCTCGCGTTTGAAACTCTCAAACAAGAATTTAAACAAGTTCAAATTCGACACTTTCAGAAATTTTCAACAAGTTTCAAATCAGAAGAATCTGAAAAACCCTCAATTTCTCCACGTTGTGAACATGACTCCCAAAACCTGACATCACGAAAAGCATTCTCTCTTCCATCCTCTCCCAAAGCTCAGAAGTCATCTTGTCCGTTACAGTTGCATTACGTTCCAGAAAAAAATGGCACGAAAGAGAAAAACTCCTCTCGAACATGTTCGTTATGAATATTCATCATCATCAACAAAACAAGAAGAAGAAGAAATATTTTCTCTATCGGACGAAATGAAGAAGCGAAAAATAAATTCAGAACTTTTACAATCATGTACGCAATCGTCCATGGTATTGCATCAGGATGTTCTGATTGAAATATTTGGAAATTTAAATGGATGTGAGCTTTGCAAGAGGTGTGCGAGAGTATGCAAATATTGGAATGCAGTAATTTCAAATGTATTGGATTGGAAATTGATGGTTTCAAGGAGATTGGGGTTTATGCCCATTATTCCACCTGTGATGTCTCAACAAATGAATGAAATGGTTGATTCCAATGTTGTTGAAGAGAGGAATATATTTTGGAAACGGTATTTCATTGAAAAAATTGCCAATCCCAAGTTTATGAGCAAAACTTCAAGCAAGAGAATTGTGAAACCAGCGTTGACGTTTAGTTTGGAATACATTTCGAAACATTATGTTGAAACCATGTTTTCAAGCAAGGTATCTCAGAAGGACACTGATGACGATGGCAATGAAGATCAGGAATGCGAGATTATTTCCAATGCAGCACAATTCTTTTGGAGTCCTTTTCCACAATATACAGGAAAATCCATTGAGTCCGGGGATGACTATATAGCTTTGGGAGAATCAAAAGTTGGAGGCTACCCTGATTTTCCTCGTGATTTCGAATGGCCCAAAGATGAGAATGGGGAGGAATGGATCTTTGCTGCTCAAATCAACGTGCGTCAATTGGAATATTACAGTTTTTCAAATTCTGGCATTCTCAACCAAGGAGGAATGATTTACTTTTTGTTTCCAAAGGATGCAACAGGTTGTAGAAGTTATTGGGGCCTGAGAAAACAAGACCATCAACCTGTGACGTATTTGAGTTCAAAACAAATCACAGAGATGGGTGGGCTTGAAAGAAGAATTCCTGTTAAAAAGAAGAAGCAACAATCTTTTCAAGATTCATCACTCACTTCTCAAGTAGAGGAATTACATGACGATGACGACGATGATGATTTTGAATTCGATGAAGAGCATCCCGACCATTTGTTTTGTTCTCCAAATAGAATGGTGTTTTTTAGAAATGTTGGATTTTATCCGTTATTTGGTAGACAGTCATTGGGATTCATTGTGGAAAATCAGCATTGTGCAAACTTTACGACCATTGAAAACCATGATTATTTTCATGTTAATCTTTCCAATGTATTCGGTAGTCCCTTTTCACTGTTGCCAACAGTCATGGGATTACCTGAAACAAGCATTGACAAGAATCGTCTGTACGTGAACGTTATGGCATGGGAATTGGATCTTTCACTTCTTCCAAGTGACATTATTGTATTCCAATCATGTCCAGAACTTGAATTCAAAATGTATCAAGGTTTGGATCATGCAACACCCGTTTTACACTTTGCAAAAACGACTTGGAGTAATGGCATTTATTTATCATATTCACTTGTTGAGAATTGGAATGTATTACACGGGACATGCTCATTTCTGTATCGACTCGCCAACGAAGAAGAGCAGAAGACTTTAACGCAAACCTGTGAATATTTAAAAGCTGATCAACGATTTCGAACTCTTGGAAAAGTATTGGATTTGGATGCTTACAACATGAATTTGAAAAGTTGGTGTGGAGAGGGATGGATGTTTTTCTTACCTTTCCATTACTTTGAACTGAACACGGGCCCTGTCAAGGATTCCTATGTGTTAAGTTTTGACCCGTAAAAAGAACCTTATTCGAATCATTAGAAAATGTCATCATAATATGTACAAGTTGATATCTTTATACTCATCGTGTTGTTGAATAGTTTTACAAGTTCGCTTTTTCTTTCTCTCAAAAAATGTTTACATTTTCGCTAAGGGTTTTCAAAATTGCATCTGTCACTGGCGAATGGAGTGCCATAAGGGAATCTTTCTCAATCCATTGAGTCATTTGTTGTTGTGGTGTTTTCAAAAGCGTGACATGTTTTTTGCCACTCTTGGATTTGTGTGTCAAAATTTTCTGAGCCCAATTTTGTGTCAATAAACCTTTCATATCGACAAACATGACATGTGTGGTTTTACATGAAGTGGATGAGGTTGGTTCTACCTTGAGTGCACTCAAGCAATATCCTTGAACAGTATTTTTAAATTTCGAGTGGGATGATGCATTCGCTGTGGAAGAATTGAAAAGTGAATGCTCTGAACCAAGCAATTGCAAGTCATATTGATTGTTGTTGCATGACTTTTTGAATAAATAAAATGTATCTAAATTGGACAATGAAGAAGAAACAGTGGTTCTGTTGTCGTTGTCGTTGTTGGATTGGAACGTCCCAGAGTTCACACTTGTCGAATGAGTGACTTGAACACCTGCACAACTTGTCATAAATTCTCGATTTCTAATTGGCCATTTCATTTCATATAATTCTGTCAAAATCACAGTATCTAATTGTTGATTCAGAGATGCAGTTAGAAGTTGAGATTTTCCTCCAGATTGAATGTATTTAGAAATTTCACTCGCACTCACTGGTTCTGTCGTATGAAACTTTCTAAATTCAACATCTATGAGTGCCTTGTACACTCGATCAGATCCATACTGATAATGAGTTACTGATTTGTAGAACATCATATCTTTCCTTCCGAATAATTTTTCACAAAATGAATCTCCATCCATGACCGTTGCATAAATTTCCTGCTCCTTCGAATATGACAATAAAGTCCAATTTGGAGAGGTGTGATCGTATTGGAGAAGAGTATTTCTTAAATATTGAACTTCTCGAAGTGTTAAGGCCTCATTGAGTGTGAAAATGTTGTGTGAATTGAGTGAAATTCGAGTCGAAAAAGTTTTTCGAGAATGTTTGGAATTGAGAAGTTGTAAAAAATCAACTCCTCCTGTGCTTATTCCTTGATGACCTGATCTTGGAGTTCCCAAAATGAAGAGAGTCTCTACAGATTCATTTTCAACAAAATCCTTAAAAATGTCACTTGCCAAAAAATTAGCAAATTGATTGGATTTGAGTGAAAGTAAAATATGAGCTTCCAAATCATCAAAAATTGTTGAATCCAAAAATGGAACTGCAGACACATGTTTTCCTTTCACATCATCATTTTCCTCTCGAACAACAAGTTGTTCCTTATCAAGCCCATAAAAAATTCGATTTTTTTCAATTTTTTCCAAAATTTTCTTTTTTGTATCACTTTTCAAATTTAATTCATTTGGTGCATGATCTTGAATAAATGTATCGGCAATTTCACAAGCCTTCAATAAGGCAGCTTGCGAGAGCGTTGGAGCTCCATGAAGATGATGTTCGAAAATATCTTCGACCGTCTCGTGATCGAAATAATAATCGATCGAAGATTTCTTTGAGCTTGTCGAAGTTGTGCTAGAAGTGTTCGAAGAATCGGCAGTCGAGGTGGAGTTACTGGGATGGTAGTTATGTGAAGAGCTCGAAGAATGAAGAGATTTGAAAATTTCAATTTGTTCGAGAAAGAGTGTGATTTCTATATTTGGAAGTGGGACAAAAAAGAGTTGCCAGATATTTTTCATGATTGCATGGTGTGTGAAAGCACCATGATGGTTGCGGAGCAGCATGTGAGAATATACCGACATGGTGTTGATGAGCATGCCAAATGTCAACACATCATCATGGCCAAACACAAAATATAAACCTACCTGTATTTTGAGTCGACTCGAGAAACGTAAAAAAGCATTGTCGTGCTGGTGGATAATCAATAAAAGCATCAAATTTCATTTCAAAATATTGCAAGACATCTTGACAGCTAATCTTGACAGGTGGCAGATGTTGTGGCTTACTAGGTGATGATGACTTGGCATGCCGAGCGATGGTCATTCTAAAATGATGACAATTGTACTCAGCGGCACACTCAATGTTTCTCGTTGCGAATTTTTGTTTTGCGATAATTATGAATCGTTGACAGTGCGGATTTGTAATTTCTTTTTTCAGAATGAAATTGATGCTTTTTTGTGAACAGAGTGCTCTCCTTCTTTCTTTGATACAGACCTGCTGCAAAGAGTCGCTCTTGTCTCATGAGAGCAATTGAAACTGATCATCTAAAAAGCCTTTGGAAAATGATCACTTGACAATGGTGTGTGTGTTAAAATTATTACCTTAATATGAAAATTAATTCGTTCAATGAATTCACAACACACGTTCCAAAAAATCATCACGTTTTTTATTCACAATCATCAGTGGTGTTGATTAAACACGATAGACAATCACCCTCTTAATCTTATTCTTCAAACGCTTTGGAATGACCAACTTGACTTGTTTCTTATTTTGAACTCCATGAATCACAATTCTTGTCACTTTGGTTGAAGAAGATCTTCTTCTTCTTCTTGGAGAGAGACGAAGTTTGGCAAAACGACTTCTCAATAATCTCAAACCTCTTAAAATTCTTCTCTCCTTCACTCTAAAATAACGAGAACGACGAGAAGCTCTCTTTGCTCTGATCCATTTCAACAAGGTCACCAATCGAGCATATCTCTTGAATCCTCTCAATCCATAATAACGATGAGATCTTCTTCTCAATAATTTTCTCAAGAATTCACGTTTGTTAAATGCAAGAACAAGGAAACGTCTTGATGATCTTTTTCTTTGACATCTACGATTTCGTTTGGTGCATTTTCTTGAACGACGTTGTCTTCTAGAAGCAGCTCTTCTTGCAGCTCTTCTAGCAGCTCTTCTTCTTGCAGCTCTTCTTGCGGCACGTCTTGCAGCACGTCTTGCAGCAGCACGTCGTTGTTGTCTTTTCAATTTTCTCAACAAGGCTCTTCGTTGTCTAGCAGCAGCTCTCAAAGCTCTTGCTCGAACTCTTCTCATGATTCTTCTCAACAATTTCTTTCCTCTGGATTGTCTATGTTGTCTTCTTCGTTGTTGACATTTTCTAAGTCTACGATTTCGTTTGGTGCACTTTCTAGAACGACCTTGTCTTCTAGAAGCTCTTCTTCTTCTAGCAGCAGCAGCAATTCTTCTTCTCAATTGTCTTCGAAGTCTTGCCAATCTTCTTTTCGCAATTCTTTTACATTTTCTAAGTTTACGATTTCGTTTGGTACATTTGACAGCAGCTGATCTTCTTCTTCTGGATCTCGATGCTCTTCTTTTATTGGCAGCCTTTCTCACAACTCGCCGTAAACTTCTTCTCAATCCTCTTCTCAATTGTTGCAATCGTTGTCTTCTTCTCTTGATCAATCTCTTAATCAAGCGACGTCTTTTTTGAGAACATTTTGAAGATGACAATTCCAATTTCAAACCTTTCAAAGTTCTTCTTGTGCGTTTCATTTGAGCTCGGATACGATGTATTTTACGAGCATCACGGAGAGAGAGATTCTTCTTCCAATAGGCTCGAGCTCGTTGTTTGGAAGTTGTAGGTGTGGAACGACCACGACCACGAGCTTGGACCGAGGAGAGAGAACAAATGATGAGACATGCGCTCAACAACAACAGCAAGACCAACAACAAGCTTGTCTTGTGTGCTGTGAGGCGGTTTGAACTGTGGGTGAACATTTTTTTTTGAGTGCTAATTTTGTATTGTGGCATCTGACGGATGGGCTTGTAGTGGATGACCCGACGAAAAATGATGTTCAGTGATGTTTTTCTTGTTGATTCGTCCGTGCACTGAGTGTAACCTTAGAATGAACTCGGTGTGAGAGAGATTTCTGTATCACAGGCATGAACGATCATGTAGCAGTGAACGATGTCAAAATTAATTCCTGACTGATTGTATTAATAACAGTTTGGTTTTATGGAGAGAGTGAATCAATGCAGAGTCGACATCTATTTCACCAAAATATTTTCCCATGTTAGAGCAGTTTTTCATGGCTCTTCTTCAAAGATCTTAACTTTCCATAATAATCTTTGTTTTACAAGTCATGACTTTATGATTAAGGGACTCACCTATCATTTCATCATCTTAATTTCAATCAAATGGTGAAGTTCAATGTTTGCCAAATATTAATCAACAAGAACTGTTCCAGTTAAACATTCTCATCTTCTTTTTCTTCTTCATTGGTTTCATGGTGTGCTTCAAACACTTGTCTCAATTGATAAAATCCATCTTTGGGATGATTTCTATGCCATTTCTTATGATTTTTGTTGTTTCTATTGTAAAAAGCTTCTGCTTTGATTTGTAATCTCTTTTCATGAACAATGGTCCATTGAAATTCCAAACGATTCATTCCTTCCAGTGTGTTAAATTTATGTTCACTATTGGACAAGTAGTGTGGAGTTCCATGTTCTTCATTGTCAAGGGAACTAGAGCTCTGATTTGGGGGTTCGAATGACGACACCAATCGATGAGCTCCACTCTTGTACTTGTTGTTGTGTTGAAAATGTTTTCTCAATTTCTTTCTTCCTCCGTTGTATTTGTGTGAAGAATTGGAAGAGTGCTCGGAAGCTGGCACATGAGGTGTTAGTAATTTGACTTTTCCAGCAGGTGCCAATCCGTATCTGCGAAAATGAACCATTGTTGTGTTTGTTTTTTGAAAGATGTGTTATTTATAGATATACTCTTGACACAGATACGCCTTTATTTAAATCAACAAATTGAACAAAACAAACAAATCGAACAAAGTGCTGATCTTGCAAGCAAACACTCAAAGAGTGAAAGCCAGGGGAAAGGACCCAACGCACACAAGGTGGGGAAGACCCAACACACAAGGTGCTCAAAAACTAATTCTATGAGTAGTAAGGAATCGAAGAAGAATATTTCTTGCTGCATTGATATCTCTGTCAAAAATTGAGCCACATGATGGACAACGAAACACTTCAGATGATCCAACCGTATAAACATGTCCACAACATGAGCAAGTTTTGGATGTGTACGCTTCGTTGACAATATAAATGTGTGTCCACGGATGCTCTCTAGCTTTGTGAAGCAATCTTTGCTTGAATCTGTAATGTGACCAAGTCAACATTTTTCTTGCTGTCTTGCTATTAATTCTCCTATGGAGTTTCTTTACCATTTTCTGAGTCTCAAACGAAGGAAGTAAGATCACTTGGTAGTTTCGACACAACCACAAACACAGTTTCTTGTGTAGATCATCCACAATATTTCTAATCTTTTGTTGAATTCTTCTTCCTGCTCTCTTGTACTTGTATCTTTTGCAATGTCTGACTTCTAGTTGAGACCACTTCGATTGCAACTTGTCATACGCGCAACACAATCTACCAATTCTTTCGGCACCTCCTGAGCCCCATTTGGTTGAATAACCATTCAAATCAAAGGTGGTCTGAAATGTTCTTACTCATGGATCCAATGCTTCAACTTGTCCTGAATGTTGAGGGGCTTGGTTCTCACCCCTAATATCCAGTACTTGTGGAATACATAAATAATAATGGTTCAACTTGTTCTTAATAATGACGGAATTGTACTGAAGCTCCTTAGGCAAAGGTTCGGCGCTCTTGATGTTCCTAATAAATGAATATTGTCCTTTCTTTGATTTCCAGTGCTTGCAATGGAGAATGAAATGATCTTTTCTGTCTTTCTTTCGCCTGAAATGGATCATGAACTTGTCAATCGTTCCAGCCTTCTTCTTTTCAAAGTTAATGTTGAACAACAATTCAATAGCGGCAGCATCTCTTACGTCATAAGGAGTATTTACAACCCACTGATTTTCTGTCTGATAATTATCATTGTTCACCACAAACGTTCTGAAATTCTTCTTATTTTTCTTGACACCTTTGGATTTGTTGGTGAATTCTAAACACCTGTTGTAGATCCAACGAGCAGTTCCCATCCACTGATTCAATGTTGTCCTTTCTTGTTCATTGGGGTAGAGACGAATTTTCAAGGATTTGTCTGCTTGAAATTTTTGGGCCACCTTTTGATTCTTCTTTGCCTTCTTGAGCTGAGGTGGCTTTTTAGAGTTATCAAAAGCCACATTCTCTGTTATAGAGTGATGAACATTGAGTGGAACATCAAACACTGGCTTGGATTCAATCACAGTGAATTGAGAAAAGTTGAACCATCTGTCTGTGCATCCCTTGTTGTTGTACTGATTAAACTCAAGAAAGGAATCTCTTGAACATGCCCAAAGAGAGGGCCCTTTCAAACCCGCAGCCGCAGCAAACAGCCGAAAAGGACGGCTGCCAGCTCCTGCTGACTTCCCAAACTTTGTGGAAATCCAGAATCCTCCAGAATCCGGATGTTTACGGATTTTGGCGGTTGTTTTTGGCTTTACAACGAATAAAATTTTTAACAATAAAAATGCAAAACAACAGCAACAACAACAATTCCGAACAAGCTTTGGCATGTTATCCTTGAACGAAATGAATTCAAATGTGGAGCTAGACAACCAATCCACATCAACTTACACCCACGAAACGAATTCTGATCTTCATCTTCTCTATGACTATCTTACCGATATAAAATTCACACCATCAGACATCAATTCAGTAATTCGTATTTTTGAAGAAAATGCTATCAGAAGCATTGCTGTTCTAAATTTATTTGATGATGAAGAGATCATGTCATTTGCACTTCATGTGAAGCAGTGATTTCTTTCCGAATGCAACCCGAAAATGATAATCCAAACCAAAGATTTCACGTAAAAACAAAATTATGATTGAAGATGATGTCAAACAAATGTTCATAACAAAAGAGCTTTGTGGAATCGTTCGCATCTTCCTCAAAGAAAAAGAAACAAATCATAACAATACTGACATCGAAATTGATAATGAGTCAATTTATACTTCGACTTCAAGGTAGATAAATTGTCAATTTATCCATTATTGTTGTTATTAATGATCGGTTTGTTTGACAATGTATAGAGTTCAATCATCACCCAACAACAGAGTATTTTTGCCTTTTCAACTGCAAGAATATATGATCGAGAATTTTTATGGAGTGGCTCGACAATATTGTGGCTCCAATACCAATCTGAACGCTGAAAATTTCTTGAATGCTCTCAATAATTTTTTAAGTGCCTTAATTGTTGGCTTACAATTCAACAAAGAGAAAGATCAATCCACAAGATTACCATATGAGTATTATTGTTGCTTCCCATCACCAGAACATATTAATTATATTGTTATTGGTGAATTTGAAAGAGCATGTTGCACTTTTGCCATGCTTTCAGATACTGAATATGAATCCAACCATTCATACCCTATTGTTTAATTTGAATATACCTGGTATTGAAGTTTTACTTACAAAAGAATTCAAATTGAAACAATATTCGAATAATGACATTGTGGAATTCGATAAATTGGAGCAGCAATGGAACAGAACACATCAACCACACAACTTGCTGCAAAATTTCAAAAACAAACAATCCAACGCACATATCACCATTGGAGGAATTACCTATCACAAACAACAAATTGAAAAACCAGAAGCAAATTAGACTCTCAATTCCGAATATTTAAGCATTGGTGATTATGTTCTCCAATTAGATGAAAACAATCATGTCTACATCTGCCAAATTAAGCAAATCAAACAGTGGACAAAAAGGAATAAGAAGAACAAAAACCTTTGCCTGGATGGACGTTTTTAAAGATTTTATGAAATATTTTAAGAACCGTCATTGTGGAGAACGGTTTTTTAGTCAGCAAAATAAACTGATCACCTGATCGAAATCCTATCTCAGCCGCAAAAATCCTGTTTCAACCGGATGCCAAAGGATTCTGTTGATTGCATCTGAAAATAATTTCGGCAGCGAGGACTATCCTGGCTGAATGGCTGTTTGCTGCGGCTGAAGGTTTGAAAGGGCCCTCGTCAGACGTGCTTTGAAAAATCTACAACCCTTGCAATTCGATATTTATCGTTTCATTATCTTCATATCAACATGTTCAAAGAATCGAACAGACAAAAAGTCATGTTTTTAAGGTCAACCAAAGACAAATGGTCGATGATTTTACAATGTCTCCAAAGGACATTTGAGATTGGAATCTTAATCGAAAACAATCGTAAAAAGAAATCGGATGCACTTCTTCTAATTGGATTTCGTAAAATTCATTCATTCTAACATCAAAAACCTCAATTCTTTGAAATCACTCATTGTTGGCAATTCCAAAACCCTCGCAACCCCTAGTGCTGCTCCATTAAGACTCCGAAATGACTTCAAATTAGAACATTAAAGTGACCAGCTGACTGTTTTCCTTTTTGAAACTCAAACGCTCGGCCTCCGCATGTTTCCAACGACGAACCACAATTAAAAAAAAAACAAACATCAACTGTCTGAAAGAAATTGACTCTTTCAGATCCATACAAAAAACAAACAACTTATCACACATACAATCAGGTTCAACACCTTTTTGTCTCAACAACACATCATCATACAAGGATCTACTTTGGTCACTACATTCAGAAAAAACAAAATCACAATCGACCAAGCAAGCGCGCTCTCATGGAAGCTTTTGTGAGTCATTTACTTGACTTTTACTCCAAATCCATTCTCCGAAATGAATATGCCATCACCTATTTGGATAATAATTATTATTCATTATGTTTTCTAACGGGTTCAATTTTGATGATGTGGACCTTCTTGATTGCAATACCATTGAGTGTCATACAAACATGTTTCTTGAAATACAATGAATTTTCGACAACTTCCAAACGATCCAATAGTCGAATTTGGAGAATATGGCCTAGTACTTGTTCTTGCTTTCGTCAAATAGAATCCAAATGGACACATTTAAAAATCTCAACTCGTTCATCATCATTGGAAATTCATGAAAAGAATTTGGATCATGCAGCCAATCAACACTTTGAAGAAATTGAAAGACATGATTTAGAAGAGTCAAACCATCATGAAATGAGAACAGTTGAATCGAATTCACTTCGAACCTGTCTCGACACATTCACATGCATTGCCTTCTTCATTTCATGTGTCTTGTTGGCATTTATTTTTTTATTAAGCTCAACTTTTAGCAAGATGCATTTCATGTGGTCGTCGTTGTGTATGACAAGTGTATTTTGTATGTGGTTGTTGGGAGTTTTTGTGTTGGATGTGAAAAGAATAGTTGTTGGTCTTGTTAAAAACTGTCGACGACGTGACAACAAGCACACACAAAAGACCATGGAATTGAATCATACCTCTTCGACTCATTCTTCGAATGTATCAATTACCTTAGAAGAAGAAATGGGACATGAAGAATGGAATCCTGAGGAAACACATGAAGAGAAATTATTATCAACAATTCCGAAAGACACTTCTTCTTTACAACCTGTCAATCCTATGGAACCCATGGAGGACAAGACCATTTCCACTCAACAGAAACACTCTCAACAAGAACCATTCACACCATTTTCCTCACGCCTCATGTCACTATTAAGGTTTTGCGTGAACACAAAAATTTCACATGTGGTTCCAAGTTCTCGAGCTGGTTCACTACTTTCACAAATGGTCAAACCACGCATTGCCAACAAGCCCATTCTCTTCACGACACTCATTCTATGTGTGAGTGTTTCCCTAATTTTCCTTTTCTGTACATTACTTTCCTATTCCTTGTATCATATATGCATTGCTACAGATCCAATTGAAATTTCAACTTTATTTTCGAGAACAGTCCTGAGTAATCGAACGTGTGCATTGGACGATATTTGTTTTACGTATTTAACCGTTCCAGAACACATGAATTCTCAAATCATTGTCAATTTTCAAGTCTCCCTTTCGAGTGGTGAACAATTTTTCAATCCGTTAGTGGAATTTAAAAAATTCAATCCAGCCCTTTCTTTCAATCCAGACACCATTCGAAATCATTTAGATTTTTGGAATTTCCTCCGTACAGAACAAACTCTCGCGCAGCAAGCCAAATGTTTTCGAATGGAAAATATTTTCGAAGAAATTCGATTTCAATGTTTAGCTGAAATAACCACTCTCGAATCCGACTCTTCCTACATGGTTCGAGCTGTTTTCGAATCTGATCCAAACTCTTCTCGTAAGCGTCACATTGGATCTATTCTCAAATTTCGAACGACACCTTCCGAAGAACATTTCACAAAAAACATTCCATTCCTTAATGGAGGAGATTTATCATGGCGGGAACCAACATTTGCTCTTGCAAAATACATTCACTCGTTGGGAATGAATGATCACTCTCCGAAACAAATGGAAGATCTAGCTCCGTATTTTGCCATTGTCGGCGGTGATGTTAGTTATGATAATGGATGTTCTGCTTGTTATCGAAGATGGGACGATTGGTTTCAAAAATGGAATCTTTACATGACGACGAGTATTTCTTATGAATCTGAAGGTGGTCTGATGGATTCACAACATGATGAAAGAAGAAATGATGAAAACGATCGTGCATTGGAAATTCAGAAGAATTTTGAAATTAGTCATGTCTATTCACTTCCCATGTTGACAGCTGTCGGAAATCATGAAGCTGGAAATTTCATGAGACCTCGATCCGATAATTCGTATTACATTCGTTATTTTCCAATGTCCATTTCGAACGAGTCAACTGCAACCTTATGGAAGGATCAACATCGAATGGAAGATCCACAATTCACACGATCGTTACAACACGTTCATTACTTGTCAAGACATACCATGATTGTTGTGTTGGATAGTTGGGTTCATGAATCACCTTTCGATCAAGTTCAATATTTAATCGATTTATTTGAAAGTTCAGAGTTGAAGAAGAAACAACAATTTGTGAAAAATCGAATTGTGGTGATTCATCATCCCATGTATTCATCGGAGAAGATCAAGACTGTTATTTCAAAGGAAATGATTATGGCATGGGAAATTTTATTTTTAAAGTATAACGTGACAGCTGTGTTTGAAAATCATGTACATGCTTACAAACAGACCTATCCTATTAAGGAAGGTAAGGTCGTGACGACACAAAGTGCATCACAACTTGGAGAGTTTGAAACACAAGATGACAATTCTTTGTTTGTATATGAAAAACGACCACATGAATATTCACAGCATGGAATTATTTACATTGGAGATGGTTCATGGGGAGTGACGAATTGGGATCCAAGTTTAGATTTTGAAAATCCCATTTTTCGACAAGTGGGTTATTTGAGTCATGTGTTTCATGTGAATACGAGAGAATTGGAATCGGGTGAGGTCGTGTTGGATTTATCAGCACTGGGTTATAATACTACGACGGAGTCGATTCATCAGGTCGAAGGTTCGAGATTGAGAATTCTCACTGGATGATTTGTACTTGCTACGAGAGACTTTTACACAACCATCGAATTCCAAGTCTGTATACCATTATTATTTTCTAGGTTTCAATATTTACAATTTTTAACAAGTTATTTTCAAAATAACTCTAGATGATACCATCTCATTAAATATTTCAATGTACAGACAGTAACAACATATTTGACACAACTACATGACACATGGAATGAATTAATGTCCACCTCCTCCACCTCCAAAACCCATTCCTCCTTTCTTCCTTCGTCTCTCAATCTTCTTTGGGATGATCAAGAAATAAATCAATCCACTCGATACAAGAACACTGATGGCTCCGACCATCAATGTCCAAGCTACATTTCCATGTGAAATATAGGAAATGAGAGGTCCAACCGAACTCATGACCAATTGAGGTACCACAATAAAGATATTCAATAATCCCATATAAGTTCCTTTTTCATGTTTTTTAGCAATGGTTGCAACAATGGCAAATGGAATGGTTCCATTCACTGCCCATGGAAATCCAAACGCAGTAATGACTAATAACGCAAGAATTTTGTTGGTAACGAAGAGTGTGGAACCTAAACATAATGCCAATGAAAGTTGACCAATAAAGAACGTCCATTTGAATCCTAATTTGTGAGTCAATGAAGGTAATATAAGAGAGAAGATGATACTCGATCCTGCAAAACCAGCTAATCCAAAAGATCCATATTGAACACCTTTCACATACAAGGCATAAGCTGGAGAAGATTCATCACTATTTCCATGAAAGACATTCTCACCAACCCATCTGTAGTGTGTGTGAAAATATAAAAAAAATCAATCCAGGCATTTCAGATAATTCGTTCATGAGAATTAATAGAAAATACATGGTTGAGCAATATTTAGGAATGATTCACGGGAAACAGTTGAATGAAGGAGTTTTAGAAAAATGAATCAAATTCTACTTACGTGGTAATATACACTAAAAAACAAAACCATCCAAACCACGAAAAGAAATTCACCAAACAAACTCGCCACATAGCTTTTGGCAAATGCAACGCTGCCCTCAAATATTGAGCTAATTGTCGAGCAGATTTCATTCCACTCAAAGACACATTTCTCGCATCAGGTGGGAATATTGTATGTTCTTGTTTTTCCTTAATAAGATTGTGTTCGAGAATGGGAGTTGCATCGACTAGAATGGTTTGTGGAGATTGAGAATTTGAACCTTCTTGAGAGAATGATTGAGGTTCTTGTTGACTTGGATTCATTTCTTCTTGGTCAATTTCGTCATTGAAGTGACGTTTCAATGACGAAGATTGATAATATTCATTACCTTGACGATTCGATAATTCTCTTGAATTTTCCATCAAGTTTGTTGTTGGAGAGGAGGTCACACCAAGTTGAATGGGTTCACTTTGACTTTTTCTAAAATTGGTTTGACCACTGCTCATGGATGAGAGGACTTGTCGTGTCACGATTGATGATGATGCTGGTTTTTCTTCTCCATCTCCACTTACACTATTAATGGATCTGTCTTGTTTCATTAATAAATGATCTGTTTCCAAGAAGTCAATTTTTGTTTCTTCTTCTTCTTCATGGTCTCTCAAACTTGTTGAGTAATCTAATACTCCTCCTTCCATCGTCATGTTCACATCCTCTGCTGAGTTTTTAGCACTGTTAATTGTCGCAGAAGATTTCTTTTTCCATGTCGACTCTTCACGTGCTGCAAATAAAGTAACTACAAACGTCAATAATAAAAATCCAATACTAATGAGAAAACAAATCTTTAAATTTTGACATCCCTCTGAACAAGCTTCTGTTTTGAAAGCTGTAATGTACGAAGACCATTTAACAAATCCAGCCAAATAGCCTAAAATATTTCCCAAACCACTCCAAAATGTTAAAGTTGCATTACCGAATGCTTGATTTTTGTGAGAGGCCATGTCAGCAACCAATGCTCGTGTTGGGCCTTTAGTGCATTGTGTTGTTAAATATGGTCACAATGAGTAGTGTTTCGTGAGCATGATGATGGTTCATAACATTTCACAAGGATGTTCATATTTGGAAAATATTATTTGGAATGATTAGAAAATTCAAGAGTTGGTAAAATAGTATGCGATGCAAAAAAAAGGACCTACCTTGTAAAGTATTATTTGAAACGTCCAAAATCCAAAACCCAATAATCGCCAACACAATGGCAACAGTATGATCAGTGGTTGTGTCTCCCATCCAATGTCCTAAATCTAAACTATTTGGAATGAGTAATAACGATAATGCTACCATGATGGTTCCAACAATGAGAAACGGTCTTCTCTTTCCCAATGGACTTTTACATTTATCGCTTAGCACTCCTACAATGGGTTGTACAATCTGAATTGTGTGTTCATGTGTCAAATTAAAAGAATACAATTTCACAAAATATTTCAACAATAATTTCAATGAAATAAGTTGTCATGTGGTTGATGAAATGAATTTTAACACATACCAAACCTGTTACAGGCCCGCATAACCAAACCAAAGTAATGAGTGTTTTTGAAAGACCCAATTCTAAAATAAAAGGTGTTAATAAGGCAATTTCTGAGAAACAAGTGAGTTTTTCGAGGACATGGTACATTTATCCAAAATCAAGTTGTCAATCAAGTCGTGACCATGATTGAAATGATGTCAAATGTTAATGTTTCATTCTCAAACTCTCCCAAAATAATACTACTTACGAAGTGCCCAACCAAATTGCAATCCACTAAAACATGCAGTTGCCAAAAACACTCTAAATTTTGAGGCCTTCTTGGGAGGTGTCAATGCATTTGCCATATTTTCGTTATTGTTTTGATTTGTCGATTCCAATTCCTCTGGTTGAGCGGAGGATACTTTTTCACTATTTGAAAATTCCACCAAATTTTGTGTTTCACTTGAACTTCTCTGATTCAGTCGATTCTTGTGACTCTGTTCGTGATGACCCTTCTTCCGTGAATGACGACTGAATGGTCTAAAATCAAAGTAACTATCAAATTTTGTTTTTCCAAGAGAATGGGAAAATCGTTTTGAGGTTCTGGAAAAGTCTTTCAAACTTTTGGCTCCTGATTTTGTGGTGTCTGTCAAACGACTCTGCAAGAACAAAGTTGAATCGAGAATCAAAGGCTCCTCAGAAGGAACTTTTTGAATTTTTGCGTGATGATATTGAGCAAGATGGGATCGTTTTGAAAAAACCTCTTGGTTTGTGAAATTTTCCAAATTGGGAGATTTGACGCGGGTGCTACTGTTGTTGTTACTACTACTACTAGTTGGTGCAGAGAGAGGATGATGATATTCTTGTAGAGGTGTTTCAATGAATGATGATGACGATAGCGTGTCAATCGCTTTGACAGAGTCTGGAGGAGCCTTTTCTTGTGCTTCCGATGACGACCCGAATTTTGAAAATTGAAATTTCTCTTCCGAAAGGAGTTGATTGTGTTGGGAATTTTGGGCGTTTTTTTCAAGTGCTCTCGGTTGCTGTTGTTGGTGAAATCTCTCGAAGAAAGCATTAGGGGAATTTCCTTGTTGATTATTGTAATGGTTCAAGTGGAGTTGAGGTGGATTTGGAGGGACCTGTGTTGGAGTGAGTATTTCGTTTTGGAGAGTGGATGTTGTTTGTTTAGAGGTTGCAAAGGATCGTGGGGAGGAGGCATTGGCTGGCTTTGATCCTTGTGTTGACGACTCTTGGTTCGTGGAGTGTGTTGAGGGCTCAGAGGACATGGTTGCGAAGTGGTTTGTTTTTTTGAAATCATGATTGAACATTGTTCTCTTCTAAATTTGTTAAAAAACTAAATGTGATGCATAAACTCTCTAACAGCTGCTGTTTTCCAAAAGGAAAAGCCTCTTTCTATCGGAGCAAGCAATTACAAAGATGACCATAAAAATTACAAATATATTTAAAAAGATTGGAGTTGCCGGGTATCGATCCCGGTACCTTTCCCATGCTAAGGGAACACTCTACCATATGAGCTACAACCCCGTACACTAAAAATTTGTAAAATTTTATTTAATTCAATCGGTTTACTATAACACGCTTTGATTTTTCTTTTCAATTAATCGGTCGACTGGTGTTTTAGGTTGAGAACGAAACTCTCTGTTGCAAAACAGCATTCAAAAAACCAATCACATAAAACAGTCACTACCTGCGTTCCTCGGTGGTTTACTCAAAGGTGAAGAGAAAACATACAGCCGGCAGCTCATGTAAAAAATTGGGCAATGTTGACATATTAATGGTCCACAGTGAAGTTTGTGGTTTTCACTCCAACAAACAATTGGCATAAAATCCAACTTTGCTATCGCGGATGATGAGCTTCTTATTCTTTACTTCAGGCACCTCATCGACTACATTCACATTGTAAACTCCTGGGCTCGGTTGAGTAAGAATTTTGAAAATTTTGTTGAAAAAAATATTAACAAGACTCTCACAGATCACTCCACAAAATGAGTAGCTTTATTTATAAGGGACAATTAGTTGGCCACAACGGATGGGTTACCTGTTTGGCTACCTCCCCAAGCAATCCAGATATCTTGGTTTCTGGTTCCCGTGATAAGTCCATTGTTGTCTGGGACTTGACCAAGGAACAAGGAGCTTATGGTGTTCCAAAGAGATCCCTCACTGGACACGCTCACTATATTTCTGACCTCTGCATGACTGCTGATGCTCAATATGCCTTGTCCGGATCATGGGATAAGACCTTGAGATTGTGGAACTTGAACACTGGTAAATGCGAGAGAAACTTCTTGGGACACACCAACGATGTCTTGTCTGTTTCCTTCTCTCACGATGACAGACAAATTGTTTCCGGATCTCGTGATAAGACCATCAAATTGTGGAACACTTTGGGTGAATGCAAGTACAACATTGTTGATAGAGGTCACAAGGAATGGGTCAGCTGTGTCAGATTTGTTGCTAACAAGGACAAGCCATTGATTATTTCTGCTGGATGGGATAAGGTTGTTAAATTGTGGGATTTGACTAGCTGCACTCTCCAAACTAACTTGGTTGGTCACACTGGTTATATTAACTCTGTCTGTGTTTCTCCAGATGCTTCCTTGTGTGCATCAGGTGGTAAGGACGGTGTTGCTGTTTTGTGGGATTTGACTAAGGGTGAACACTTGTATCACTTGCCATTGGAAGGTAACGATGTCATCAACGCTTTGGCTTTCTCTCCAACCAAGTACTGGTTGTGTGCTGCTACTGATAATTGCATCAAGATTTGGGATCTCCAATCCAAGTCAGTCCTCGCTGAATTGGTTCCAGAATCCAAGAATGATAAGAAGCCAGCCTGTATTTCTCTTGCTTGGTCTGCTGATGGTACTACATTGTTCTCTGGTTACACTGATAACACTATCAGAGTCTGGGGCTGCTACTCTCAATAAGTTAGCTAGTCTTGAGTAAACTCATTTTGCTTATCTGAATAATTACAACTGGGTTGATTTTGATGTCACACAAAAACGAAAAGCCACAACAATTTTTGCCTTATTCTTGTTCGCTAGCTGCGGATGTCATGGCTGTGTGACAGACAATTTGTTTCTTTTTCGAATCTCGATCAAACTCTTTTTATTAAGGCTTGTTGGTTTGTTGTTGTGGAGATGACAAATTCTGAGCCATTGATTGCAACAACAGAATTTGTTGCATCATGCTAGAATATTCAGCATCAACATCGTCTTGGTCGTCATGATGGAGAGGAATGGCTTCGCCACTACTACTATTTTGTACAGAGGCCGACCTATCGGACACTGTCTCTCCACTCATTGACTGGAACGTTGTGGATTGATTGGAAACCCCACTAGCACCTGTCAATGGCAACGTAGAAAAGGTTGCCAAATAAGCAGCTTCTCTTTTCTTGTCTATCATGTTGCAAAAATCTGTGACCAATTCAACAGCATGCGTCTCCATATGGTGCAATGATCGATCACACATGTCTCTAATATTTCGATGACTTTCACTCAAAACAGCCTGTATTCCAATAATGTTCTCCATCAACTTGGACAACTCCCCTTGCATGTCCATTTGCCCATACAGCTTGACAATCTTCTTGTAAATATCCACAATGTTGTCGTCTAATTCTTTGATTTTTTGACTCTCCAGAGTTGCGACATGTTGAGTTAATTGTTGTAACTGATGGTCGAGTTGGAACAGTTGTTGAGTCATCTTTTCAAGTTCTTGGAAGGATGTTGAGGAAATATTCAATTTGGCCTCCGTATTTCTCAAGTGTTGATCCATTCTTTGATCGATACTTGTTGAAAGAGTTTCTACTCGTTTTTGTAAGGTCTGTTCCATAGTATTGACCCTCGTGACACATGTCAAATTTGCATTTTCCAACATGGTCAATAGTTGTTGCTTGAGAGACAGTTCCACATTCGATACAGTTTGACTCATGGAGGTAAACTGATTTCTCATTTGCTCGGTCGCATCTCTCAATTCTTGAATACTAGTTTCATGAATTGAGAATTTTTCATCAAATTTGTCATGAATAGACGCCACTTGATTTTGCACCATGTTCATTATTTTCTCTTGCACTCCTGAGGTGCCATTCAACGTTTCCATATTGAGAATCATGGTCTTCAGTGATTCCACAGTCTTGTCCATACGATCGTCATGTTCCTTTCTATCATGTACATAGTGTGAGAGATCTGCCATTTTCTGCTCTGCGTTTACTTTCCACGTGTTGAATGAATCCACTTGTTGAGAAACAGTGGAGTGTAGATAATTTTCTAAGGTGGATTGATGGGTTTGTAGCATGGTTTCATGTATGGATGATATACGCTGTGCAGTGGATTCTTCCAATTTTGTATTCCATTCTTGTAAATGTGCAATACGTGTATTCACATGTTCAAGTGCGTTGGTCACAATACTTTCAGAAGCAGTGAGCAGATCAATATTACTCTTTTCCAATTTTGATTCAAAAGTGCTATGTAGGGTAGTGATTTTTTCTGAAATCTCGAGCTCCACATTTTTGATTGCATCATCTATAGTCTGCTTGGTCTCTTTCCATTCGTTCAGAAGTGATTCAGCTTTTGCGTCCACGATTCCAATTCTATCGAGCATACTTTCTTCCAAATTATTTGTGTTCGTTTGTAAAGTAGATATAGACTCCAACGCTTCATTGAGCTTACTTTCAATCCGTATAAATTCCTCATGAGCTACGTTGATAATTGTTATCTGTTTCTGCTCAGAAATATTCAACTTTTCTTGAAGTGAATTTTCGAGCTGTTCTTTGCTTGACTGTAAATCCATAATTTGTTGGCGAGACAAAGACAAGCTGTCGTCAGTCTCTTGTTTCCATGCTTGAAGTTTGGCCATGTCCTGCGAGAATTGTTCCGTTGCTACTTTTTCTTTGTCAACCTCGCGTTGAAGGTTCTGGGTTAGAATATCAATGTTACTTTTCCAATTTTGAATAGATTCAATGTGTTGACTCGTGACAGAGAGTTTATCCAATAATCCTCGCTCAGAATGATGGAGTGCATCTATGATGGTTGAGCTGCTCTTTGAAAGTGTGTCAATATCTTTTTTACATGTCAAAGCATATTGATCGAGTTTCAGCCCATTTGAGGTTACTATTGTATTCAATTCATTCATGCGTTTCTCTAAATCATTCAATTCCTGTTTAATCATGTCATTCAATTGAGATGTGTATTTCTTATCCAAATCTTTTACCATTTTTTCCAAAGAATGCATTTCCGATTCAATTTGATCGTGTCCATTCTGCATTTCTTGTGACTTCTTTTTCAACAACACAATTGTTTCCTCAATACCTGCCCTCCAAATTCCTAACGTGTCAAATGTTAAACGATATTCTTGTAAGCTAGGTTGAATAATGGTCTTATGGTGAGTTTGGAGCTGATTCATTTGCGTTGAAAGGGTTTCAGCCAATTGTCGTATCTCTGTTTCGAATAATTGTTGTCTTTGGATTACTGAGGAAATGTCTTCCTTCAGTGACGTTAACATCTCAAGTTTAGTGCTGTGGCATGAAAATGTGTTTTCGTGATCCAATTTCATTTCAAGAATTGTTGTTTGGATCTCTGAAATTTTATCTTCCTTCTCTTGAAAAGATTGGTTCGATTCATTATGGTGTTCTTCTAATTTCTGTCTGATTTGGTTCAACTCTTCTGTAAAGAACGATTTAATTTCCGTTATGGATTTTGTAATATCGTCCGTATTCGCTGTCATTTGTTCTATATCATTTTTACAGTCTTCTTTAAAAGATAATAGCGACTGGTTGAAATTAAATGCATTCTCTCTCATAATTTCCAAGTCTTTCTGAATACACGCAACTAGAGAATCTCGTTCTGTAAATTTGATTTCTATATTTTGTATGGAATTCCGGTTTTCATTTCTCACGTTCTCTAAATTCATGAGAGCTGTTTCAATGTATTTGTTAGTATCAAGCTGGTATTTTAAATGTTGCTGTAAATCTTTGGTATTAGATACAAGGTCTTGCCGTAAATTATCCACGGCGCATTCTAGCGATTCTTGATGATTAGTTACAGTCTTAATTTCTTGTTGAACACTAGAGAGTTTTTCTGATGCTATTTCAATGGATGACTGTAGTTTGGTCATTGTGTCTCTGTGACTTTCTAGATCATGTTCAAAATTTTTCATAACGTCCTTTGAAGAGTTTCCTTCATGGAGTGTTTTGTCTAGTACATTTCGGAGTGATTCAATTTCAATTTCAATTTTTGAAATTTTCTCCTCATTAATTTCTTGTAATTCGCGACTCTTATAATTTTCTGTGTGAAGGAGGTGAATGTCTTGAGTTAACTGAATATTTGATTTTGCAATTGTTTGCATACTCTTCTCGGAGTCATCTTGATTCTTGAGTAGATGATCAATATTTTGTGAGAGTTGGAGGATTTGGTGGGCGAAATATTTTTTCGTTTCCTCTAATTTTGTTTCAAAAGAAAATTGGTGCTGCGGGTTTGTTTGTGTCTCAGACCAGCTTTGGCTCCCGATCGCTTTCAAATATTTTGAATCATTCTCGGAAATTAGTGCTTTCATGGAATCTATCCTGTCGTTCACACCACTTATTTCTTTCTCTGATTTTGATTTGAATTCACGGAATTTCTTGTCGACAGTTTTTTCAATATTATTACATCGCTCCAAAAAATTGCTAGTGCTTTCTAACTGACCAAACATGTTTCCAGAAATTTCTTTAAGCTTGGTTTCGAAAGCATGTTTCATTTTAATCAAATCTTCTGCAATCAGCCTGCCTTCTTTGGAGTCGCTTTTAAGATTTTCTGAGCTTAACGAAGGCAGTGAAATAGGAAGAGTGGAAGCAATGTTTTGATGCTGAAGTTTGAGAATATCTTTTTGTAAATTTCCAATGCTTGATGTTAAAAAAGAGAATTGCTCCTCCGAATCTTGTAGAATCCTATCCATCATGAGCTCAAGAGCTTGGTCGTTTTTACTAACAAGGTCCTTAATGCAAGCATCTATTTTGTGATTCAAACGTTCATAGTCTTTTTTAAGTTGAGAGGTGTCATGGTTGTGCACCATAGAATTGTTCGATAAGGTTTTCATGCTTAATTGTTTTTCAACTTCCATTTTAACTAATTCCTCAATACTATATTGTACAAGTATTTCTGGCCGATAAGAGAAAATTTGATCTTTCATTTCCTTATAGGCCAACATGAGATGAGAAACTATTGTCTCCAATCGGTTTGATAATATCCACTTTTTAAATATCTTTTCACTCACTTGAGTGAAAACGTTTTTGAAATTTTCCATTTGATGATTGAGACTCTCTATTGTGGGCGTCCCACTCTTTTGGTCCTGTGTCTCTGCCAAAACATGCTCCATTCCATTCTTTGTAATTTTTTGGACATCTTCTTGACCAGGTAAATCATTTAACCATTCCAAAATGTATTGCTTTTCGTCTTGTGGAGGTAGGTCCTTCAATAATTTTTCAAGCTCTTCCAATCGAATGAATTTGATCGAAGATGTTTCATCCTCCGATAATAGAACATCAGTGTTTACTCTGGAAAATGCTAATCTTGCATGTTCCATTGAAATGGCTTGATTATTTTGTAAATATCGTAAAAATCGTTCAGCGGCTATTGATTCTCGTTGGCTGAGATCTTGTTTTGAAACAACTTCCCATGATTCACATCCCATCATGGGTTCCGACCTTAATCGAGGTGAGATCATAATTGCTTCATTTCGTTTCCGAGGACTTTTTGGTGATTCCATTAAGGCTTGAGCTCGAGCTTTCTTCAAGTCGAGCTCTTTGGAAGGAGGTGATTTTGAAGAGAGGGATTGGAAGTTCACTTTACGTTGTGGATGTTGTTGATTGGGAGTGTTCTTTTCCGAAGAGAATATTCTTAAAGGGGTGTTGCAGGCTTTTCTTGACGAGAGCACAGGATGATCATTGTTGCTCGAAGGACTGTTGGAGAGAAGTGCAAGCTTTGAATTGAGAGGAGTCTTGGTTGGAGGAGATTGATGGGAAGGAGGAGATGTTGCTTTGGCTTCGTCTCTCTGATGGTACATCGGGAACGGGAAGTGATTTTTTGTTTGAAATAAAATGTTAATCCCTGGAGTTTTACAGCAATTTAAAATTGGCATGTCCATGCCTCACTAGAAGATTTCAGTCACTTGAAAATTATTTGGAATGAAGTTATATTTTGAAATGATAACTCGTTGAAAGTATTTATTTACTTTTTTTGTTGCTGCTGAAATTGATGAGGAGCTCAGAGGAAATTGAAACTTCTTACTGTGAGTAAAACAATTATATTTACAACGGTACTCAATTTATTGTTTTGTTGTTATATTTACAATAGAAATGATCTGTTATCAAAAGTATGAATTAACATGCACATCCAGTGTTTGGTCTTGGAGTGGGTTCATCATCAATATTGCCTAAATTTCCTCCAGTTGTGACAGCATTTGAATCTTTGGCGTTTGCAAGAGCTTTTCTTGCAACTGTGACAAATGCATGTTCAACATTGGTTCCATCTTTGGCACTGCATTCAAAGTATGGAATGTTGCCCTTGCTCTTACACCAAGCAAGTGCTTGTTTTTGTGACACTGTTCGTTGTGGTTCCAAATCAATCTTATTTCCAATCAATACAAATGGGAAATTCTCAGGATCTGATGGTCCTGTTTGCAACAAGAATTCATCTCTCCAATTGTTCACATTATCAAAAGTTTTTTGAACTTGATATTTGGGAGAAAGATGAGCAAAAATTGATGATGTTTAAGAAAGCAATTAGAAAATTATAAACATCTCCAAATCGAAGTGAAATGATACATACCTGTTGCATCAAACACCAATACACAAGCATCTGAACCTCTGAAAAAGGCAAATCCCAATGAGTGAAATCGTTCTTGTCCTGTGGTTGTGTTAAAATTCAATGAATGTGTCATTTCAACAGTAGCGTTGTGTATGTCAATAAATCATTCCAAATGATTCATTGTCGTCAAAAATTCGACCAAAATAATCAAATATATAGAATTAGAAGAGTCATCATCATTTGTTATTATAATTACCTGCAGTATCCCAAATAGATAACGAACAACAAGTATCTTCAATCATAATCTCCTTGGTTAAAAAATCTGCTCCAATAGTTGCTTTATATTGATTGCTAAACTTGTTATTTACATATTGATTCATAAGAGAAGTCTGTTTCAATATTATCATGATCATCACCAGAAACAAGTTCACGAAAAGGATTAAATCATAAGATAATCATCACCAAAAACAAGTTCATGACTAATTATTAAATCCCGATCATCAACACCTACCTTTCCCACACCCGAATCTCCGAGTACAATGATTTTCAATAATTCTTTTCGTGTGGCCATGTATTATTGGTTGAAGTTGTTGTGGTATTTTTTTTGCGGTTGTAACCAAAGGAGTTGCAGTTAAAAACTCCGAAACCAAATTTTTGGTGTCAATACCCTTGTGAAACAAACCACCTGTTGTAAAGGTAAAGACAGTTTGACCTCTTCTTGTATCTTATCATTCATGGAACCTCCCCTGGTCATTCGGAATAATTATGAATATTGAGACAATCTTATTATTATTAAGGGGTTTTCAAGCTACGATATCATTCTGAGTGACGTTACTAACGCCGATTCGTATAGCAATAGAAACATCAAATCGATCTTACGAAACCTGCAGGCTACCCGTATCATTCCATCTTCCACGGTGAAAGGCTTTGACTGATATTCCTTACAACAACAAAAAGCGCTAAAACCAACGGAGACATTCATTTGACTCTAGTCTCGAGAAGTTCTCGATAAATAAGTTAAAATTCTTCATGACTCTTCTTTCGACCTTACTAATCTCTTCCCAAATTGCCTTCACACTTCCACCCTTGCTGTTTTAGTACGGAACTGAACAGTTTTAATAATATTAATATTTATTCTTTAATGATAAATTATTTACGTAAGACGACATCATCTAATTATTCTTCATAGTTTTGTTATTATATTTACAATTGAAATGATCTGTTATCAAAAATATGAATTAACAAGCACATCCAGTGTTTGGTCTTGGAGTGGGTTCATCATCAATATTGCCTAAATTTCCTCCAGTTGTGACAGCATTTGAATCTTTGGCGTTTGCAAGAGCTTTTCTTGCAACTGTGACAAATGCATGTTCAACATTGGTTCCATCTTTGGCACTGCATCCAAAGTATGGAATATTTCCTTTGCTCTTACACCAAGCAAGTGCTTGTTTTTGTGACACTGTTCGTTGTGGTTCCAAATCAATCTTATTTCCAATCAATACAAATGGGAAATTCTCAGGATCTGATGGTCCTGTTTGCAACAAGAATTCATCTCTCCAATTGTTCACATTATCAAAACTTTCTTGAACTTGATTATATTCATATTTAGCAATACATTCAAATAATGATACATACTTGTTGTATCAAACACCAACACACAAGCATCGGAGCGTCTGAAAAAGGCAGATCTCAATGCATGAAATCGTTCTTGTCCTGTGGTTTTGAATAAATTCAATAATTGTGTCATTTCAACATTTTCAACAATTCATCGACATTAATAATTACCTGCTGTATCCCAAATTGATAACGAACAACAAGTATCTTCAATCATAATCTCCTTGGTTAAAAACTCTACTCCAATTGTTAAAACATATGGACATCCAAACCTATTGTTAACATATTGCTCCATAAGCGAAGTCTATTTCAATATTATTAAAATCATCAAGTTCATGACCAAGGATTAAACCCCGATCATTCAATACCTGCCTTTCCAACACCGTAATCTCCGAGTACAATGATTTTTAATAATTCTTTTCGTGAGGCCATAAATATGAAAAGATATTTTTTTTGCAGTTGACCAATCCGAAACCCTTCAAACGTTGTTAAAAACGATCGGTTGGATCTTGGGCTTCTTGAAAATTGTTATTGTCACTCTACACAAGATGAAATATTTCGACCATAGGAATTACTAGAACATTTCAAATAGATCGTTGGGCCATTCATAAAAAAATATTTGTAATAAGGGATTATTCATAGCTAAAAAAAAATGAGCAGACGTTCCTTAATTCCGTTAATGATCACCATGTGCTGGTTGGGAGTATTGATGATGATGTTGGTGGGAGTGATTCATGGTCAGGACTTTTCTCAACTCGTTCAACGCGAGGCAGTACCTTCAGACTTGTCTTCTTTGAATCCGAAAATGATGAGAGGTGAAAATACATGGTCTTCCTTAATGAGAGCTCGTGGCTCCGGTGCAAGCTGTACCTATGACAATACCAATGAAAACGATAAGAGATTTGTCTGTAATGTAACCTTTGAAAAGAAGATCCTCACCAAGAAGGTCCATGTTTCAGCAACTGTAATTTTAACCGCACACATCAAGACCCAAACCATCGATGTTGAGGTTCAGGTCTCCGGAAAGACCTTGTACAAGAAGTCGTATCCAATGAACGCTGTGAATATCCCTCCATTCTGTGTCTCTTTGATTGTAGATGTCAATTTATGTTTGGCTTTGAAAGACATCAAGTTTAATACCAATGCTCCAGGTTGTGTCGTGTTTGATTTGAGTGCGTATTTGGATGCCTTTGGAGTGAAACAAAACATAGTGACCCAACAAGTTGGATGGAACGTGAATGCATGTAAGAATACTAGAGCTGTCAATTTATTCTTGCAGCCCACATCTTTTCCATAAATAAGTATTTGTTGGAACGTGTTGCGTTTTGTGGTCATCGTTTCGAAACCCTCTTTAGAATATCAACACCTTTTGTCATTATGTGTGATTTCTGTGTTATTATGGAAATTCCAACACAGTAATGATGATTGATCATTTGGTTTTCTCTCCGACAAGATGTTGAATTTCAAAGACCATGTCCATCATGATGATATCATCGTCACTCGTCATCGTTTCGAAACCCTCTTTAGAATATTGAGGAGCATGCATTCAACAGGTTTGGAAGTTCGGGTGTCCATCTGTTTATGACTTCATGGATCCGAGATGTCAGAGCTAATAATTACAAATTTTCAAACTCTCTCAACAATTTGTGTGAAAGAGAAGCGGGTAATTGATCTAGATCAGAATGTTCTTTGAATAATTCATGTCTGTGATTCACTCCAAAATCAATCATGATTTGAATCACTTCTGAAAATAAATCATTTTCAAAATCCAATGAATTGGCAATTTCAAAATAATTGTTGCAATCAATTTGAATGGATTTGAATGCAAGAGACACTAATTCTGACATTTCATTTGCTGAAGCTGTCAAGATGAGTGAAATGGCATGTTTTGGTTCAATTTGTTCCAATTGATCATAACAATATTTGACAATATATTCCAAATTAATTGCATCTTGAGGCGTTGCAGGAATGAGTGTCAAAATTTCATCTTTTTCATCATATTTCAGATCTTCCAATTCATATCCACTGTTGAACATGGCTTCAAAAAGCTTTCCATGAGAACTCAACATGGTTCGATGAGCATAAATAAATGAATTGTCGTTCTTATGAGAGAGTTTGATTCGAATGTCACTCGTACGTTTGTCATTCCACAATGACTTGATCATTTGGTTTGGTGGTATTGTATTTTCAATTGACTCTTCAAGAACGATGGGAGATATCTTGGTAATTGAACACTTTTCAAGAATTTCAACATAATAAGGAATACATCTTGGGTCTCTTATGATGCTAAAATGTCCTTCCCTCAATTTGATTTGAACAAATTCCAAACAATAATTCTTCAATTTGAACATGATGGAATGAGAGGGTTGTTTTGTCAAGTATTGTTCAATCATCAATAATGTGTCAATTACATTATCAGAAGTCATGTGTTTCTCCAATAATATCGAAATAAAATAGTTTTTCAATTCCATGAATTCACAGTGAGCAAAACCTAAAATGTACAAGTATTCAATAATTTCAGAAATCATTATAGGTTCCACAATCGTATCTGGATCATATAAAACAAAATCAATGACATGTTGAATCAATTCATGTTCACGACAAGACATGTCAGAAAGTAAATTCAAATCTTTCAAAATGGTGGAATGAAAATGAGGACAAAATTTTTCAAAAAGTGGTTGAAAAACAATGAGTTTGGTGTTGGGAATCAAGTCTCTTTCATGTTTCGAAATGTGTGAAATGAAAGGAGAGAAATGTGAAAGGGATGGTTGGTAGGGACTGTCTCCATTGTATCCTCCAGTTCCATTTCCTGCAATGGTTGTAATCATTCCATTCGTCATTATTTTTCTAATACTATGATTATGGGTATCTGCAATATAAACTTCATCATTGGATGAAACAAAAACACTGTTTGGACGATTGAGTTGTGCATTTGTTGCCAATTGATTGTCTCCATTGTATCCTTCAGTTCCATTTCCTGCAATTGTTGTGATCATTCCATTTTTCATAATTTTTCTAATACTATGATTATGGATATCTGCAACATAAACTTCATCATTGGATGAAACAAAAACACTGTTTGGATAATTGAGTTGTGCATTTGTTGCCAATTGATTGTCTCCATTATATCCTCCAGTTCCCTTTCCTGCAATTGTTGTGATCATTCCATTTTTCATAATTTTTCTAATTCTATGATTATTGGTATCTGCAACATAAACTTCATCATTGGATGAAACAAAAACACCACACGGAAAATTGAGTCGTGCATTTGTTGCCAATTGATTGTCTCCATTGTATCCTTTAGTTCTTTTTCCTGCAATTGTTGTGATCATTCCATTTTTCATTATTTTTCTAATACTATGATTATGGGTATCTGCAACATAAACTTCATCATTGGATGAAACAAAAACACTGTTTGGATAATTGAGTCGTGCATTTGTTGCCAATTGATTGTCTCCATTATATCCTTTAGTTCCCTTTCCTGCAATTGTTGTGATGGTTCCATTTTTCGTTATTTTTCTAATTCTATGATTATGGGTATCTGCAATATAAACTTCATCATTGGATGAAACAAAAACACCACACGGAAAATTGAGTCGTGCATTTGTTGCCAATTGATTGTCTCCATTGTATCCTCCAGTTCCATTTCCTGCAATGGTTGTGATGGTTCCATTTGTGAGAATTTTTCTAATTCTATTATTACTGCTATCTGCTACATAAATTTCATTATTGGATGAAACAAAAACACCAAACGGATAATTGAGTCGTGCATGGATTGCCATCATCATTTGAGATTTGGATGCTTCCGATGATGATTGAAGAGAGAGAGCCATTTTTTTGTGTTGCTTCTCCCCTGAAGACACAGCCCATTGCCTTTGAGTGGACGTTGCAATTTTTTTGTAAACTTTCCAACTTTACAAACTGGCTGCTTCTCATTGATCAAGCATTTAAACAATCATCGCCTTTCCCAATCCACCATACAATGTTGTTCCGAATTCGTTTTTCTCTAATTTTCGTTGCTCAGTGTTCCAAACGAAATATATTAAGGATGAGGTCTTAAGATCCTTTTAAAAAGGAATGTTGTGGTTGAGGAGACAAGATTTCATCAAAGTTGATTGTTTGTTCGTTTCAGGACGATAATTAACTCTTTTTCATGCAAATACCAAGGATCTGATTCGATGAACTCTGGTATAGTATCAAAATGTTCAAAATTGAAATAGGTTTGCCTTCTTGACAAACACGAACATATGGGACGGGAGTAGACCATCCAACCGACTATGTAAAACCCTTGATCTTTACAAGAGTCGAATTACAATCAGATTGTATGCACACATTAAATCTTGCTGTTCCTCCAATTTTTAATTATTCTGTTTTTCAGTTTCCAAATAATTCTCATATAGTATGTTATAGGATCCTTTCCACCTCTGTGATTCGAATTAAGATGGTTCCCTACTGGAAAGGGTAGAGAGGGTGAAAAATTCCAAGTCACCACTCGATACCACACATGAAACACTCCAATGAATCTCCACTCATCAAAATATACTACATGCGGGACACACGGTCAAAATCCTTGATAATAACCATGTCCAATATAACCATTCACTTCTTTTTCAGCAAGAGAAGATATTGAATAACCAACGTGTGAAATGAAGGGTGAAAAGAGACTCTCAAACAAAAAGGCACAGAGTTACAGAATTCCAACACATCAATCTTGTTTGGTCCTTTGGTTTTCCATCCAACCTTTCAAATAACAATACAAACGCTCTCGAACAGCTGTATCGCCGACTTCATCATGACCATGAATCCAATCTTCGGGATGTTCTGCATATTTATAGAGAAACGTTTTACCTCTACCTTTCTCTCCGACGAGATGTTGAATTTCATAGATCATGTCCATCACGATGATATCATCATCGTTACTCGTCATTGTTTCGAAACCCTCTTTAGAATATTGAGAGGAGCAGGCATTCAATAGGTTTGGAAGTTCGGGTGTCCATCTGTTTATGACTTCATGGAGTGCTTCCTCCACTGCTTGATTTCCTTCACGAGTGAACATACTCCATAATGGGGACGAAGAACTTTCTGACATTTTTTTTTATACATTTTTCCTCCTTCTACTGGAAGAAACAAACCCTCTTATTATGAGAACCAAACCAGTCATGTCAGTAACAGTCCTCACTTTGCGATGAACGGATTCCACAAAAAAAATGTTGTCATCTATAAAACATTATAACACTGTCATCGGTGATGGTCTTTTTGACTGTAACAATGACTCTTCTGTTGTGGTAATCCTCGTTCTTTACGATTTTTTAATTCCAAATATTCATAATCACCACCATAGGCCTATTCCGATGATACCATACACAAAGAGCACAATTTTTAAAACTCCCAATCTCGATACTAATAATACAAAAATTATCAATCATGATGATCACACGGACCAAAACTTTGTCGCGGAAAATACTTATTTAATGCGATTCTTGTTTCACAAATTTAAATTGAGAATGAAAAAGTATCATGAAAATGTTTGTTGTGGTTTTAGTGGAAATTTCGAATTATGTGAATATATCGCTCCAAGTGAAATTCAAGATCAATTTTTATATCCATACGATGTAAAGATTTCATACAAATTCAAATTAATTTTGGTGAGCGACAATGGAAAGAGTAGAATTCAAGCGTTTGATTTAGATTCTAAGGAATTGTTATTTAAAATCAATTTGAACTGTAAACCACTTTTTATTGAATTAGATATTTATGATAATTTATTGGTAGGAGCTGACGATGAATGTTTGTATTTATTTGACATGGAGAGTAAGCAACAATTGTGGAGGAGAGGGTTGAAAAACAAGCCAGGGAGAGGTCTCTATCAATTCTTTGGAATTTCCTCAATTACTGTGAATACAATAGCGACAGATGCTGGTTATGGAAATATTTTTGTGTGTGATTCATCAAATAGTAGAATTAAGGTACTTTCTAAGGATGGTGATTTTTTATATACATTCGGAAAATATGTCAAACAGTCTTCTATTCCCATACAGACACCATTTGGATTGAATTTGGATCATGAGGGTAAAATTTTCGTATCTGACCGATTCAATCATCGTGTTCATGTAGTGTCTCAAAAGGGTAACCAACTTCTCTTTACTTTTGGAAGTAGAGGAAGCAACAATGGAGAATTTCAATTTCCAGGAAGTATCGTTATTGACAAGTTTACAAAAAAAGTACTGGTCAGTGACGAATGGAATTGTAGAATTTCAATTTTTTCGCAAGATGGGACATTTGAAAATTGCTGCTCTGAGAGTGATATGGTACCGAGTGGCATGTGTATTGATCAGAGAAATGGTCAGTTATTTGTTGCTGACAGAGCAAACAACAGATTGATTTTATTCAAGTGATACATTCCTTAAATTTACTCTTCCAAGTCTTGGAACTCCATCAACTAGTTGCTTCAAACATGCCATCTGGTTTCAATCGTCTAGCTTCAGAGCATAAATAGAGAATGTTTAGACTCCTGCTACCAATTCCACATCCAAGTGAGTTGCCTCAGTAATCTGCTTAGCAGTTTCAGCAGCCTTCTTCTTCAATAGGAGCACAGCGGTCACAATAGCAGAGACAGCTCCAATAGCACCTAGAGCAACCAGTGGAATAGTGATACCTACGGCAATGGCAACACTCTCATCTGAACTATTAGCATTTCTCTCATTGGATACAACAGGTCTCTTCTCAATGGAGAGGAATGAAGAGGATTGAACTCGATCTGAAATAATCAATGCAGTGCTAACATCTGACAACACTGCAAAAGATCTCACAGTACCATTTGTAGAAAATGCTGGAATCAGGAATTCCAGAGTGGTGGCACCTGAAGAAATGTCCTTGTTGAGGGATGAGATGATTTGACCGTTTTGTTCAAAATCGAATTTAACTCGGACTACTCTGTTTGAGTAGTATTGCACAAATGATGCTTGATGAATTGTGAGCTTGACAAGTGTTGATGCTTCATTCACGTAATCTTTGGAACTGTTGAATGTGAGTTGAAGATTGGTGGCAGGAACATGGACAAGTTGACACTGATCACCCATAAATCCAGCATGACAGTCACACTTGTCAACGCTTGAACATTGTCCCTTTCCACTGCAAACACTGCTTGTATTTGTTGATAAGATACCAAAACAGAGAGGTTGAGAACAGTTAGATCCTCCATATTTTGTTGGTTCGTTGCAAGTACATTGATCTGGGACAGTACAGACTCCTCTTCCACTGCACACATTATTGGTATCATTGGCAGGAACTTGGAAACAAATGGGTATCTCACAATTAGATCCTACATAGAATTGAGAGCATTTGCAAGTATTGAATGCTGTACATGTACCATTCTTGTAGTTACAAACAGTGTCACTTATTGATTGGATTCCATTGCAATAAGTGTTTTCACAATTATTACCAAAGTAACCACTGTCACAAGAGCAGGAATTGATACCTGTGCATTTTCCATGACCACTGCATACAGATGGATGTGTTGATAAGGTGCCATTGCAAATGAAGGCGTCACATTTTGCATCTCCATATCCAGATTTGCAATTACACAAATCTACACCCTCACACGTTCCATTTCCACTGCACACATTATTGGTATCACTTGATGAAATACCAAAACATTTGTAATATTGACAATTGTCACCATCATATTTGGAAGAATCGCATTGACAAGTATTGTTCCTGATGCAAGAACCTCTACCACTACATGCATTGCTTCCTGCAGCAATAGAGAAACAAATTGGTGTCTCACAACTATTTCCTGTCCATCCTTCAAAGCATGAACACGGACCTGGCTGGGAACATGTACCATTCTTATAATTACAGACGTCAGTAGAATTGGCAAGTTTTCCCTCACACATTGGTACATTGCATTCATTTCCAAACCATCCAGAAGTACAAACACAGTTATTCAATGACTGACATTTGCCATTTGAACTGCAAACATTAGTATCAGTATGGTTTTTGTCATAACATTTCCAATCTTGACACTTGTCACCATAGAATCCTGTTTTACATGAGCAAACATCCCAATCAATGCAAGCTCCATTTCCAGAACAAACATTTAGAGTATCGTTCTTAGCTTTACCAAAACATGTGGCATCACGAGGAGAGCAATAATCTGGTGCAATACAATCTCCTCTTAAATTATTACACACAGTACTGTCATTGGCAAGTTTTCCAAAACAGATTGGGAATTGACATGTGGTTGAAGGTGCATAACCATTGGTGCAGTTACACGTGTTGTAATCGATACACTGCCCATGTTCATAACAAACAGATACACTATCCGATTGAACACCAAAACACGTTGTCAAATGACACTCCTTTCCATTGTAGTTGGTGAAACATGAGCATGTGTCTGGTCCAATACATGAACCCTTACCACTACAAACATTAGGTTCGGTAGAGTTAATTCCAAAACAAACAGCAACTTGACATTGTTCTCCAACCCATCCCTCCGAACATGAGCAGTTGTTTGGAGTGTCACAAGTGCCATTCATGTAATTACAAACTGATGAATCATTCGACAGTATACCAAAACATATTGGAATTTCACACTCTGCTCCTGCATATCCATCATGGCAAACACAATTATTTGGAGACGTGCATTCACCTTTACCATAATTGCATACATCTGGTTGACCTTGAGTTTTTCCATAGCATTTTGGAACTTGACAATCACTTCCGGTCCACAATGAGTCATCGTTGCAAATACACGAATCAGGAGAAGTACATTGGCCACGACCATTACAAACAATGGAGGTCTCATTTGCAAGAGTTGCGTTACATTTTGGAATTTCACAAAATTGTCCTCCCCAACTATGGTCATCACCACAAGCACAAGTGTTGACACCTGTACATGTTCCGTGTGAGCTACAAACACCTTGATCTCCTCTTAGAGTACCATTACATTTCGGAATGTCACAATACTGACCTCCATAAGTGTCAATACAGTAACATTGGTCAGGTCCAATACATGCTCCATTATTTGAACAAACCATGGATGTCTCATTAGCAAGAGTTTCGTTACACTTTGGAATATCACAGAACTGGCCTCCCCAATGGGTTGAGTTACAAATACAAGTATTCACATCAACACAAATTCCATTACCAGAACAGACATTTGATTCATCTTGAAGTGTACCGTTACATTTTGGTTTGTCACAGAATTGTCCACCCCAAGAAGATGCATCCGAACAAACACAGACATTCACGTCAATACAGTCACCACGATTGTTGCATATATTGGTTTCTCCTTGGAGAGTTCCATTACATTTTGGAATAGAACAATATCTACCTCCCCAAATTGATGAGTTGGTGCACTGACAAACATCAGGTTCAACACAAACTCCCTTGCCGTCGCACACTTTTTCTAAGGTGGCCAAGGTGCCATTACATTTTGGAACATCACAGAATTGTCCTCCCCAATGTGTTGAATTACAATTACATTGATCAACATCCAAACAAACGCCATGACCATTACAAACGCTCGAATCGCTTGCCAAAGTTCCATTGCATTTTGGAATTTCACAGAATTGACCTCCAAATGATGTGTTGGTACATACACAATTATCAGGGCTAATACAATTGCCATGTCCGTTGCAAACATTAGTTTCATCAGCAAGAGTTCCATTGCATTTTGGTATTTCACAGAATTGACCTCCCCAATGGCTTGAATTGCAAGTACAATGATCAGCACCAATACAAATTCCATTTGTATTACAAACGGAGGATTCACTGGCAAGCGTTCCGTTACATTTTGGAATGTGACAGAATTCACCTCCCCAAAATGAAGAGTTTGAACAAACACATCCTCCATCCAAACAAAAACCTTGTGAGTTGCAAACAGATGGATCATTTGAAAGAGTTCCATTACACAATGCAATGTGACAATATTGACCTGTCCAACTTGAATTGGTGCATTCACAAACTTCTGCATTAATACACAATCCATTACCGTTGCAAACACCAATTTCAGTTGCCAATGTTCCATTACATTTTGGAATTTCACAAAATTGGCCTCCCCAAGAAGAGTTTGTGCATTGACACACATCTACATTCACACAATCACCGTGACCGTTGCAAACTAAAGATGTTTCATTGGCGAGAGTTCCATTACATTTTGGAATTTCACAATATTGTCCACCCCAATGTATTTCATTACATAAGCACTGATCCGCATCGAAACATGTTCCATTTCCATTACAAACCGAGCTATCAGTGGCTAAGGTACCGTTACATTTGGGAGTTTGACATGTTTCGCCTCCCCATGCAATTGAACAGACACACACATCAGGTTCCACACACACTCCATGTCCATTACAAACTACATCAGTTTCATTGGCTAGTTCACTGAAACATTTTGGAATTTCACAAAACTGACCTCCCCAATGTGTTGAGTTGCATTCACAAATATCAATACCTGTACAAATTCCATGACCATTACAAACGGAAATGTCAGTAGCTAGTGTTCCATTACATCTTGGTACTTCACATAACGGACCACCCCATGATGGATCTGTACAATGACACACATTCACGTTCACACAATCACCTTTACCATTGCAGACTAGAGATGTTTCATTGGAGAGAGTGCCATTGCACTTGGGCATTTCACAGTATTTTCCACCCCAATATAATTCATTACAACTGCATTGATCAACGTCAACGCATGTTCCATTTCCATTACAAACAGAGCTATCAGTGGCTAAGGTACCATTACATTTTGGAATTTCACAGAACTGACCTCCATACGATTCTGCACATTGACATACATCGACATCTATGCATTCTCCATGATTGTTGCAAACATTGGAGTCTCCTTTCAGAGTTCCGTTACATTTTGGAATGTGGCAAAATTCACCTCCCCAAAACGAAGAGTTTGTACAAACACATCCTCCATCCAAACAAAAACCTTGTGAGTTGCAAACAGATGGATCATTTGAAAGAGTTCCATTACACAATGCAATGTGACAATATTGACCTGTCCAACTTGAATTGGTGCATTGGCAGACTTCTGCATTAATACATGCTCCATTGCCATTGCATACAGAGCTGTCATTCGCAAGCGTTCCATTACATTTTGGAACTTCACAAAATTGACCTCCCCAATGAGTAGAATTGCATTCACAATATTCTGCATCCGAACAAACACCGTTGCCACTACAAACACTGATATCTGTCGCCAAAGTACCATTACATTTTGGTACTTCACAAAATTGACCTCCCCACAATTGTGAATCCCTACATTGACAAATATCTACATTTAAGCACTTGCCTTTGCCACTACAAACCCCTGTATCATTAGAGAGAGTTCCGTTACATTTTGGAAGTTCACAGTTGTCTCCTCCCCAATACTCATTACAAATACATTGATCAACATCAACGCATGTTCCATTTCCATTACAAACAGAGCTATCAGTGGCTAAGGTACCATTACATTTTGGAATTTCACAAAATTGACCTCCCCACGAAGAACTGTCTGTGCATTGACAAGTATTAGCGTCAATGCATTCACCACGACTGCTACAAACATTGGAATCACCTCTCTGAGTTCCATTACATTTTGGAATGTGGCAAAATTCACCTCCCCAAAACGAAGAGTTTGAACAAACACATCCTCCATCCAAACAAAAACCTTGCGCATTGCAAACAGATGGATCATTTGAAAGAGTTCCATTACACAATGCAATGTGACAATATTGACCTGTCCAACTTGAATTGGTGCATTGGCAGACTTCTCCATCAATACACAATCCATTACCGTTGCAAACACCAATTTCAGTTGCCAATGTTCCATTACATTTTGGAATTTCACAAAATTGGCCTCCCCAAGAAGAGTTTGTGCATTGACACACATCTACATTCACACAATCACCGTGACCATTGCAAACTAATGACGTTTCATTGGCGAGAGTGCCATTACATTTTGGAATTTCACAATATTGACCACTCCAGGAGGAATTCGTACACATACAAACTTCAGGGTGGACACATTCACCTCTACCATTGCACACATCAATCGACCCTTGTATAGTACCGTTACATTTTGGTGTTGAGCATTGGCTGTCAGTCCAGCCATCCATACATTTGCAAATTTCTGGTAATATGCATTCTCCCTGTTTGTTTGAACAAACTCTGGCATCATCAGATCTGATGCTGTTACAAATTGCGATTTCACACTCATCCCCAGTCCATCCTGAATTGCACTTGCAATTGTCTTTGGAAACACAGGTTCCATTTCCATAATTACAAACGCCACTACTTGTTGAATTAACACCAAAACACATTGGAATTTCACATTCTGATCCATTATACCCATCAATACATTGACAAACATCAGGACGAATACATGTTCCATTTTGATTATTGCACACTGATGTTTCATTTGCCAAAATTCCATGACATTGTGGGATGTCACAGGATTGGCCAAACCAGCCATCACTACAATCAGACACAAGTTCGACGAGAGCAGAGGAATCTCCAACTAAAACACTACCTGTAGAAGATAACTCAACGGAATTGGGTAAGAATGATACTGTGGTTGCTAGTTGTCCATCTGTTAATGTACCTGCACCTCCTGTTCCAGCAATGGTAATGATGTTTCCATTAGTTGTTACCTTTCTGATTCTCCTATTGTTGTAATCAGCAATGAAAACTTCTCCAATCGAGTTCACTGCAACTGAAACTGGACTGAAGAGTTGTGCAGAAGTTGCTGGACCATTATCGCCTGAGAAACCAGTAGTACCTGTTCCTGCAAATGTTGAGATGATACCATTCGTTGAAACTTTTCTAATACGATGGTTACTGGTGTCAGCAATGAAAACTTCTCCAGCAGCATTTACTGCAACACCCCTCGGAAAGTATAATCGTGCTGAGGTTGCTTGACCATTATCTCCAAAAAAACCAGCAGTACCTGTTCCTGCAATTGTTGAGATGATACCATTCGTTGAAACTTTTCTAATACGATGGTTACCGTAGTCAACAATGAAAACTTCTCCAACCGGGTTCACTGCAACTGAGAATGGAAAGTTTAACTGTGCAGAAGTTGCTTGACCATTATCACCTGAGAAACCAGCAGTACCTGTTCCTGCAATTGTTGAGATGATACCATTCGTTGAAACTTTTCTAATACGATGGTTACCGTAGTCAACAATGAAAACTTCTCCAGCAAAATTCACTGCAACACCCCTCGGAAAGTATAATCGTGCTGAGGTTGCTGGACCATTGTCTCCAGAAAAAGCTCCAATTGAATTTCCAGCTATGGTAGTGACGGTGTTGTCTGTTTGTATTCTGCGTATAATATGATTGTTAGTATCAGAGTACAACATTCCCCCATCAGAAAGAGCTATTGCGTATGTAACTGAGCCTACAAAAATATTTTCAATAGGAATTATTCCTTCATTGCAATTTCCAGCAATGGTAATGATGTTTCCATTAGTTGTTACCTTTCTGATTCTCCTATTGTTGTAATCAGCAATGAAAACTTCTCCAACCGAGTTCGCTGCAACTGAAACTGGACTGAAGAGTTGCGCAGAAGTTGCTGGACCATTATCGCCTGAGAAACCAGTAGTACCTGTTCCTGCAATTGTTGAGATGATACCATTCGTTGAAACTTTTCTAATACGATTGTTACCGTAGTCAGCAATGAAAACTTCGCCAACCGGGTTCACTGCAACTGAGTATGGAGAGTTTAACTGTGCAGAAGTTGCTTGACCATTATCACCTGAGAAACCAGCAGTACCTGTTCCTGCAATTGTTGAGATGATACCATTCGTTGAAACTTTTCTAATACGATTGTTACTGGTGTCAGCAATGAAAACTTCTCCAACCGGGTTCACTGCAACTGAGTATGGATAGTATAACTGTGCAGAAGTTGCTTGACCATTATCACCTGAGAAACCAGTAGTACCTGTTCCTGCAAATGTTGAGATGATACCATTCGTTGAAACTTTTCTAATACGATGGTTACCGTAGTCAGCAATGAAAACTTCTCCAGCAGAATTCACTGCAGCTGACATTGGACTGAAGAGTTGTGCAGAAGTTGCTTGACCATTATCACCTGAGAAACCAGTAGTACCTGTCCCTGCAAATGTTGAGATGATACCATTCGTTGAAACTTTTCTAATACGATTGTTACCGTAGTCAGCAATGAAAACTTCTCCAGCAGAATTCACTGCAACTCCCCTTGGAGAGCTTAATCGTGCTGAGGTTGCTGGACCATTATCACCAGAAAAACCACTACTACCTGTTCCTGCAATAAGATGAAGGGTTCCATTGGAATCAATTTTCCAAACCGTATTAAAAGAAGGGCTTGAAAAGTATATCTCATTGTTCAAACCTACACACGCACCAATCGAAGAGCCTATTAGTGCCGATTCAGCAACAGCTCCATCCGCATTGCGTACTGTGGTGGTAATCAATACATGTGTTTTATAGTCAACCGCACACAACACACCACCAACTAAAAACAATAACCCCACAACAATGGACCAAATAGTCTTCATGAATGTTTTTTTAACAACTCAGTGATTCTCTTCTTCTTCTCTTTAAGAATTTCAGAGATTGTTGTAATTGAAAGGTGACAAATGCATCGCGGAATACTAACATTGTCTAAAAAAACGCGGTGCTAATATAAATAAAAGGAAAGATGGTGTATATGGAAGTATTTACTCCCCGCAGCAATCTCCGGATTCGGGCAACTTCCGCATCTCTTGTACCAGCATGGCATACCAATTTCAACAACGTATAATGATGGATCAATTTTTTTTTAAATCATCTGCTCAACCATCAAACTCAAAGAAGTATTGGTAAAAGAGATGAGGAAGTTGCCCGAAGAATAATTATAACCTCCTAATTACGTTACTAAATTTGTTGTTCTAGCAGGTCCTGCTACGTATGATAATAATACAGATGCGCATTCTCCGTTATGGTGACTCTATTGAGTTTTCTCTTTTGTACTGGTAGGTGAATGAGTAAAAGTAACAACCAATTTCTCTCTTAATTTCACACTCGTGCAAATAATAATCTTCACAACAATACATGCTAGTCCCAAATAAAAGATTACAATATCCAACCAATAATACTGATACCACGTCAAATGACGATCTGGTATGGTCCAACTTAAATCTCCATCCATTTCTAACATCATTTCAATAATATCCACCACTTTTTTCATTCCTCCCGAATGTTTCATTAAGGTTTTCACTCTTCTCAATGCTGATTCAAAATTCACGCTCGTCTCTGGTAAATAGAGTAATTCCTTAATGGCATGTGACATTTTTTCAATACTATAATTTTCACCTTTGGAGGTATATAATGAAATTCCTACTCCAAATTCTTGAATGGCATTTGCAATTCTCACATGATCAAAGGAGAATGGCATTCCCAGCAATAATTTTCCAAAATAGAGAGCTTCTGCCACTGAATTTGCTCCACAGTGAGTTAAGAAAATTTTGATCTTGTTCAAAGAGAGAAGTCCTCTCTGAGGTACAAATCCTTTCAATAACCGAAATCGAGGATGTGTCAACAATGAAGAGATGTCAGTGGCTAGCTCTCTATGAACGTCATCACTGCTACCTTGGTCCAATAGTAACGAATGAAAGGTTTGTAAATTATTTGTTCCCAATGAGAGTAGGATTGAAATATTTGGATTTCTCTCAATGGAAATCATAACAGATGTCATGAATTTGTGCAACTCAACACGATCCATAAGAGTGGTTGACCCCAAAATGGAAAGCATAATATCATGTTGTGAGTTGATCCACTCCAACAATCCGAAATAACCACTCTCGTGTTGTGACTTGTCGATATTGAGTTGTTGCAATCGTTCCATTTCATTTTGAATGTGATTTTCATGAATAAATGGTCCAACTAGAAACGTGTTCAATTGTTGACTGCTTTTTGATGTAAATTCAAATCCAAAGCTATAAATTTGAAACCGTGCGCATGCCTTCTCGCTCAATGCATGCTCATCCAATGAAAAATACTCATCCATTAGTGAAAGTAATCGTTTTCCAAAAAGCATTCCCTTCAACACCAAAAACGGCATTTGTGTCAATCTTTTCCAAGGATTTGTGAAATATTCCAACTTGTCAGCAGTAAATGCAGGATAATGAAACAAGCTTTGTGGAAGTACAGTTCCATAAATTTTAGAGCATGATACCTTGCTCTTTGCCACAATTCCTTGTATTGCAAAAAACACCATATCCACATTCAAATGTTCGAATAATGTTTGAGAAGGATCATTCCTAATTCGTACGAATCGTTTCACAAATTTTCCATTCCTTCTCAATGGTGATGCTTCTGAGAGATCCCAATTAGTCAATTGTTCAAGTCGACCCTTCCGATCACCAAATGGTATAATTTTCATCGATATTTGAGAACTATTCAAGGTATTCAATCTTGTTGAACTAATCTGCAACAATAAATAATTATCGCTCTCCATTTCAACAAGTTCCAAATTTTCAATAAACAATTTTTCGATAGGATATATAGCTTTTTCAAAGACCATCTCAAGACCTTGTTGTACATTCAATTTAGAGGCTTGACTCATGAGTTGAGCGTACAGTTCGGGTCGACGATATTCTTCAGTGTGGTTGGATTTGGTTGATTTTGGAAATATCAAATGAATTTTCTTTGAATCCGAACATGATGTTGTTGTATCCTTTGTCCGATCATCTTCTTGTTGCTTTCTTTCTAAATGAAATCCCGAATCATTTTGGCAAGAATACCACTTGATCAAACGTGGATCAACGTTCAAAGCAAGATCCAAACTCATCAAGGTTATATTTCCAACCCATCTGCTGCTGTGGGAGAGAGCATCCATGAGCTCGACTTTGGAAAGGACATGTCCAGGATACGGCAGGGAAATGATTAAAACATTTTTCGGTGATGGAATTTGTTGGGTGGAGGGTAATGGTTGTGATTCTGGACTCGTTGTGCACGTGGAAATCGTTACCATCCCTAGGATGAATAAATAATAATAAATGAAAAACACAAGAATATGGTTGTACCAAGTTGAAAACATTTTTTTGGCCAAAGTAGTTAGTGTCCTAATTGGATTCGGTGTAAAGGTTTGTTCTTTGCCACTGAAAATACGCACTAAATTCTGCTTTATGATTGATCTCTTTTCAATTTGCAACAAAATTTCTTTGCCTCAAACATTTTCTGTTGTAAGGTTATTAATTTACAATTTCAAAATTTTACTATTTTCACCATTCATTACGTGTGTGTGTGTGTATCTGAATACATACAAAACAACTACACAGTTGTAGCTCCAGTGGTTTGTTCTGTTGCATTCACCACTCGATCCAAAGTTTCTCGATACAAATGAATAGAAGGTGCCAATGTCACTGCCTTTTCCAACATGGCAATCGATTCCTTTCGATCTCCCTTCTTGTCCAATGCTAATCCTCGATAATAATACATTTGTCGATTGGGTGGGACCAAACAACTTGCCTTATCAAAATATTGCAATGCCTTGTCATATTCAGAATTTTCTAACCAAAATCTTCCAAAATAGAAATACACATCGGGTGATTGAGGTGACAATTCCAAAGCTTTTTCAAACATTTGTAATGCCTTTTCTTTTGATTTTTCTTGTTCAAAATAATATAATCCAAAATAGCAATAGAGTGAACCAAAGGCAGGTGCTAAATAAAAGGCACGAGAAAACATGTTGAGAGCTTCTGCATATTTTCCTCGTTCGTACAAAACTTCTCCTAAATTGGCAAAAATAACTGGATTTTTCAAATCGTGTTTCAATGCCTTGCTATAGTAATAGGTGGCCTTATCCAGTTGTCCCATGTTAAATAAACAAACACCTAAACTATTATATCCCTCAGCAAATGTTTCATCAATTTCCAAAGTTTTTTCATACAATGCAATGGCATGATAATACATTCCAACTCGTTGATAAAGACCTGCTAATTGGAAATATGCTTCCAAATTGGTTGGACACAATTTCAAACTCTTTCCATAATATGTGAAAATATTCTTAATGGCATTCTTTCGTTCCATTTTTGTGACATTGGAATCATCAGCTGTATAGAAGCTTGTTAATTGCTGTTCATGTTCCATGAAAATATCCATTTCCATTTCAGATTCTAAATGAGCAAGAATATCCTCAGCGCTCACATTGGTCAAATGTGCTCCAGCACTTGACACGGTGGTTCTTCTTCCTTTGAAATCATCCATTTCAAAATCTCCAACAATCGAAGGTCTTTGACCCAACAATGCAGCGTGATGATGAATCTCAGAATTGGAACCTGTCGTGATGGACGATGAGACATGATTTACCTTTTCACTCGCAGTGGAAGATGACAAGGAATTTGCATTCGATTCTCCATTCTCATTCTCCTGAATCAAATGTTCGACTTTATGTTGTCCCGAAAGAGATTGTGAAGTCATATCACGTGACACTAGGGGATCATTTCTCGAAGTCAAATTTGTCATTGTTGCAACGCCGACATTCTGTTTTCCAATCAATACTTGACTTGAATTTAACATTTGTTGCACTCGTTCAATATACATCTTTTCCCACACAATTCCAATATTAAAATATAACACACTCACATCAAACGCATTATTATTGGTTAACAACATGTGACTGGTGGCCTTTTCAAATAATTCCAAAGCTTTTGTGAGTGCATGTTTTCGTTCCTGGCGTTGCGCTTTTGAAGCATAAATCAATGCCAAGAAGTAATTTTTGAGAGATTTAAAGACGGACAAGTTGTTGGCGTGAGTGGCTTTGGGAGCTGGTGGAAAGTTCTTTTTGTGTGATTGTTGTGAATGTTCGGAGGAAAAGGTCGTGTCAGCAGCAGCAGTCGTAGTCGTATTAGTACCGGTTGTATTTGGTAGTATTGAAATGACAGATGTATTCAATCCTGCTGCTACTTGTACTTGTGGATGGTCATGAGTGGTTGGAGGTGGATGATTGGTTGTTATTGTTGGACCACTCAAAGACGAGGAAGAAGATTCTTTGGAAGTTTCTGGATGATGGTTCTTTGGATTCGTGTCTTGAAGAAGAACATGCACATCGTCAGATGACACCACCGAAGTGGACACGGTCGTGGTTGTATCAAAGTTTTTACCACTCGTCATGTCGTCTTCTCTGATCGGAGAAGCATCTTGTGGATGGTCATTCTTTTTAGACTCTTCATTCAGAGTTGTTGTTGTTTCTTTCGAATCATGAGCATTAGTAAAATTTGCATCACCACCCTCACGAGCACGACTAGTACTTTTTGTACTCTCATGATCATGAAGTTGGTCGTGTGAGAGTTGTTCTTTCATGGCAAGTTGAGTGGCTAATTGTTCTTCTGATGCTCCATGTTCGGTATTGGCTGATGATGAAGTGGAAGGATTCGTTGTTGATGTGCTGAGAGCAACTTCTTGGTGTGTGGCTGTGCTAAGTGTTTCCGCTGCTGAGGTAGGTTCTCCTTCTGTTTGAGACATTTTTTGCTGTGTTTGACTCCTTTTCGAAAAATGAAAATTGACAGTTGTCGCACTACATTTGGGGCAAGAGATTTTTAGAGAAATTCAATACTTGTGTTTTGAATGGAGTCACACTTCTTCGACACAGCTATCAACACTGGTCTCGAGAATGAGAGACAACCTTTGATATCTCCAAGGATTGAGGCAAGTGAGGCACAAAATGTTTGTAAACTAGTGGGGTTGGGTTTTTATTGTAAAATATCTTTGAGGAGATGCAACACAGTGAGAAAGCTAGTGAATACGAAAACAACTACGCGAAAAATAAATAGAATGTTAAATGGATCATAACAAAATCGTCATTATTGGAATCCGAATCAGCAAGATAATTTGCATAAGAGTTCTTGTTTTCGAAGTTAACGAGCTTCAAATTGAATTTCTGGTTTGATTAAATTGCATTCCATAATAAAAATTGATTCATCATTTTCCGAGTCATCATGATGATTGTATTGAATCGTCGTGTGTCATCATATTGTTGAATTAAATCCATTATTGAAAGGCATTTCCCAAATTATTTCAGAGTAATTTCCAAATTAAATACATGATTTCAATTAAATACATTGATATTGACAATAATTTCATAAAAGTAAATTCGAATCATTCACAATTACCACACGCAATTCATGATTACTTACTTCTTGTTGTTCTCTGCTTATATAAAATACGATAACCACATTCTCTACAACGAATCACATCATCTTGTTTGATGGTATTCAACTTGGCACAGTGTCCGCACACATAAGTAACAGCAACAATTTTCTCACGTCTTCCACTTGGTACGGTTGGTTGTGTGGTCGTTACAGCTGCCGATGAGCCTGTTCTTGCTTGATAATCGGTTTCTTGGAATGGATTTGGAGTAGCCACAGGACTCATAGCAGCGCCTCCAGGACTCAATCCGGGAGATGTGGTCATTGGAGGTGATGGGGACATGGCACCCGGAGAGTATTGAGAATAGGTTCCATAATTTCCAGGTGTTTGAACTGCTCCCGGAGATGCGTAATTACCAGGTGAGTATCCTTGTGGTGATGTATACGACATTTGTTCAAATAGTATGTTGTAGTTATTATGAAAGAATGGTTATTATTTAAAAACTCCTAGATCGGGTTGTTGGTGGTGTTGCTGTTGTTGGAGAGTGTTCAAAAAATTTGATCAACCAAAAGGAATAGAAAGCAAAACGGTATTTTTTTTAAAAAATAAATTTTAAGTTTAATTTCATCATGTTCACACAATGTTGAAATTGAATTCTTCTTGTGAAAATCATGTAGGTCTCTCTACTACTGACCTGTCAAAATGATTACATCACTCAATTTGTCATTATTCACTCTTTCTCCAAGTTTTCGTATGAAATGAGTGTTGAATTGTTTCATTTGAAAACTATTTCGATAAATAAATCCATGCCATGTTCCCAAACTCACTTGCTCATCTGAAAATTGTTTTTTACGGACGCAAACGCTTGTAAATGATTTGTATTCATCTGCTAAATCAGATTGTTTTTTAAAAGAACCTGACACTTCTCCAAAGAAAGCAATCTCGTTTCTTGTCATTACACATGTACAAATTGAGCCACAATGAACTGAAACAATAGGACAAGTTAGAACAAATTTTTTAAACTCAAGCACGTGGATATTATGATCCAAGCATTGCCCAAAGTTATTGAGTCCCTTAATGATGGTCAATATGATTCATTCTCTCTCTACACATCCATGAGATTCGTACTACTTACTCTTGTATAAACAGCACCATTATCAAGCAACACAACCACATGTGCATATCCAGTATCTATTCCTATAACATTTCCTTCACTTTCAAATCCTGTCGCTAATCGAGAAACGGTTTTGTCAGGAAAATCAAAGCTCATATTATGAGCACCGTCTTTCCAAGCATACATCCAATTATTCTTCAAAACAAATATAAAAATGGGTTCAAAACAACACTTCATGAATTTGATATCTGCTGGCCTTTCAGAAAATATAATCTTTCTATCTTGTTCCTCTTCTTCGGTTCGTAAAACCATTATTTCATCAGTATCCATTGTATTGACCAATATGTAAGGTGACATTATACCACTTCCAATACGTTTAATGGTTTTCTTGTGAGGAACTGCAAAAGGAAACAGTTTCATCTTGGGCACATCAAACAAATATAATTCTCCATCTAGCATTTCGAATACGACACTGTTCTTGTTATTACAAATAATTTGTTTCATCTCTCGTATGCCTCGAAACAAATTCGCGGTTGAATCTGTGCTGTTAGATTGTGCTTGGCTCATTTGTAGAAATAGATTGGTAAAATAAACTTTTTGTAATTTATCTACACCTGGTGAGGCCGCAAGCAAGAAAAACTCTTGTTCATGTCCATTCAAAAACAAGAGGGTATAAGAGATTTCCTCTCCACCCGTGCAAATATATGAAATATTCAATGATGATTCTTTGTGCTCCGATTTGTGGTCTTTTTGATGATCTGTGTGCCAACCACTGGTATCCTTGTCCAGCAGGGAATCTTTATATTCCAGCTCAACAAATTGGCCACGGATAGCATTTACATACTCATCGTAACACTCTTGGTCCTCGTTCGGTAAAGTATCTTGTTCCTGGAATGTGCATGGTCTTAAGCCACTCAATCGGACGTCTCCGCAATAATGCACATAAAATCGATTCATTTTTTTTGTTTTGATTTGATCACAAAATTAGAATGTCGCAAAGTGGTGCATCAAACCAATTGAAAGCCCTTGCACTGTTTTATTATGAATCATCAACAAACAACCACACAATGCTCATCTCGTTGTTTTAGGCCTAAAATCATCATCATCTTCGAGAAATTCCTCCAAAACACCTGAATTTGTTTCCACCTTACTCGTAATTCCGCCCAAATTCAATGTTAAATTCGTTTTCGATTTTGATCCAAACATTCCAGGTTTCAATGTAAAGGTTGGATTCTTACTCTCGGTGGGTGTCTCGGCAGTTTTTGATGTTCTTCGCGAGCTCGATGTTGTCACAGTTTTTGTCACTTGTATGATACAAAATAGAGTTGTGGGATGTACGGTATAGACACGAAGTGAAGATCCCATTTTTTGTTCCTTATATTCACATGACATTTCAGTACTTCCTTGAAAACTTTGTCCATAATAATTTCCTCCTGTTCTCAACATGGTATTGTCATTGGTCAATAAAACGGTAAAACCACCTCCACAGAATACTCGTCTCAACACATACGAAGAAGAGAGATCAATTTTTTGGAATTCATTCTTGGGTGAATAACTTCCATTTCCTAATTGACCTAAATCTCCCTTTCCACATGCCCACAATTCTCCATTCATGGTTAATACCATGGTGTGTTGAGCACCACATGCAAGATCCTTAATTGTTTGTCGTTCGAAGGGAAGACTTGGTGGATTTTCAAATTCTGATCGTTCTAATGGGAGTGCATATCCCAATTGTGAAAATTGATTATTTCCAGTGCTGTAAAATACATCGAAATTTCCATTCAGAGTGGCAACAATGCAGGTGTGAGCTCGACCACATGCCACAAATTTAAAATCCACATATTTCTTTTCTTCATCGGAATAGTCTTCTCCAAAATCGAATTTAATCTTTTTCAGAAAGCCATAGCAATCTAAGGTGGTTCCATCTCCAAGCTGACCATTGCTGTTATTTCCTGAAACTAGAACTTCTTGTTGTGACGTGACAATCAAAAAGTGATCCGAGAAGGGCGAGGTTCCAAATAATTTAATCTTCTTTCCTTCTAATTCTTCATCTTGTAATCGTTTGAAATAACATGAACTACGTTCTCCGCACATGTAAATTTCATCATCTTTGGTTAATATAAAAGAATTATTTCGACTGCAATAAATACTCTTAATTTCGAAAGGAGGCATGGTCTTGTCCGAACTGGTGGCACCTCTTGCAGTTTGTGGTGTTGTTTGTTGTGCAATGTCTTTCAAAAAATCTAATTGAGCTCTGGCATCATTCATTGCTTCGGATTTGAGCTTTGGAATGACCACATCTTTAGGATTGGCATTACTGGTCTTTCGTTGTTTAAGGAGCATGGAACCAAATGGTTTCAAACCTCCACTATTTCTCTTAGATTGATGAGTTTCTTCATCGGATGGACCTACAATATCGTCCTCACTAATTGGAGTAATACTTGGATCACTACCAATGCTATCAAAATCAAAACTTCCCATACTTCTTCCGGTGTGGCCTGACGAAGAAACACGTTCTGTATTGCCAGAGTTGCCACTCACTGTTTTCACACTATTCGTGTTGATGGTGGGAATTCCAGCCGAGTCATTTCGACGATGCATGGGAGGAATGGCATCACTATTACGACGAAGTGTAGTAGGATTATTGGCTGCTGTACTCGTTAATCCATTGTTATTAACATTGTTACTAGATCCAGATGAAATGATAATATTTGGAGAGGTGTTCAAACCATTACTACTCAATGGTCCTCCTGATGAGGACATATGTGAAGAGTCGAGTTGTGAATTCTCAACAACGACATTTCCATGTTGATGAATATTCACACTTTCATTATTTTCACCGCTCACACTCAATCGCACTTCATCCCCAACGTCAATACTTGACACAATTTGAGAGGAAGAAATTCCAGAATCAGAGGTTTGAGGAGATGTGACACCTCCATTACCCTGCAAATGTGAAGAAGATTTTTTGTGTTTTCTCGCATTACTAGAATCAAAAAGATAATCATAGTGTGTGGTTGCTGAGAGTGGAGTGGCACTACTCGATGGATTGCTGTTGTTCATGACGTGATTGAGAGTGGACTCTCGATCCAAACTCTCCATGGGAGATTCCGATGAATTTGATCCAATTGGTGAACTCATTCGATTTCCAATGACATTGTCCATCGTTGTTGTTGTTTGTGAAGTGAGATAGGTTTCAGTCGTCACAGGAGCACTCGAAGAAATGTTACTTGACGAGTCAGTCATGGTCGAATCCAACATTACATCTCCAGATGTGGGTCGTTTCCTTCGTTGAAATTCTAAAAAATCATTGGCAGCCACATCTTGTGCTGTCGATTCAAATAATCTTCCTAAGGGTGATTTTTTTCCGGATTGAGTTTGTTTTTTGAGTGAAGTCGATGCTAATCTCATCGATCCAATATGTGAAAGTGTTGACAACATGGTCGTTCCATTTTCCTCTTGAGAGGATGAAAGAGTTGGAATGGCAGGAGAAGAACTATCCAAAGTTGTAGATGTGACGTTTTTTCCCAACAAATTGGGAGTGGTGGATGTAGTGGGAGTCGACACAAAATTGCTGTCGTTGGAACTAAATTTTCGATGATGGAGAAGATGTGAAAAATCAACACGTGTTAATTTGGTGATTTCTTCCACATTTTTGCCCATTCCTAATTTACCATATGCATTACTTCCACAAACAAAGAGTTCATTTGCATCTGTGTGTGTGTGAATTATTCGAATAATAATATTATTCACAATGTCAAGGTCGTGCATGATCATGACACACGCACACACATCAAGAATTTGATGAAAATAAATCAATACATGATTCAATCAACGGTCGTATCATGTTGAAGACGTGTCAATATTTTCAACGTTGCGTGTCACACACAAGGAGTATCATCACAAATACATACCTGTTAAAATCAACGTATGATCATATCCAACTGCAACTTGTTGAATGATGAGTTCTGGCGGAAGTTTGGGTTCAATCAACTTTTTTGTTGGTTTGTTGTTTCCCGTACAGAGTTGACCTGTTGATGTTGTTGTTGTTCATGATGATGAATTGTTGAATGAAATCCAATGAGGGATTGCAATGAATCATGAGACAGACGTTGAAATTTTGATGAAATCATGAACCACATTTGTGACAAAGGTTCATGGTTTGTTTGACGGGTGACAAAAGCATCGAAAAATGAAAATATTATCATTTTTTGAGTGTTCGATTCGACATTGTCATACATTGAAAGTTGTTGTAGTTGATGATGACATATAAATGACATCAGCACGGTTTCAATTCATCACCCAGTGTGTTGTCCAAGTTGTTGTTGTTGGTGTCAAATAAAATCATAAATTCACATCGTGATGATCCATTTGAGAGTCCATAATTTTGTTGTTGGAATCATATTGTTGTTGAAAGAAAAATCCAATTTTTGAAAGTCATCATGATGTCCGTGTGATGTGTTTTGTATGTTTTCATCCCGTGTGTTGTGATGAGGATAGATTTGAAAAACAGAAGGAATGTTACATTCGGTGGGAATGAGTAATAACAGCACAATTAAACATCAACGACCAATACGACGACTTACCAAAGTCATTATCTCCACTGACAAGCAGTGACCTCTGTTTCACCTCCATTTTTTTACTTTTGATTTTTGACAAGCAGTGGTGAATCAAGAAGGTTTTATCTCAAAACAAAATGTCATTGAAATGAACATAACAGAAAAAGAGAGTGATATTTGGTCATGTCTCTCAAAAGAAATATATAACGTTAACTTGGTTGACTAGCTTCTCAAAGATTTACATTGGTTTCAGCATGCAATTTGAATTGTTGCTATCGGCTCAATACAAAGCATTGTGAAATGAAATCGAGCAATTAATAAACTTGTTGGTCTTTTCAGAATGGTTTGAAGCAACATGATGTTCAATAATGTTACAGGAAAACTCAAAGAAAAGACCTGACATTCAGATTAATTTTCGTGGTGTTAGAAACGTGTTGGGTGAAAGAGGATGAGTTTGGGTTAGTATTGTACAATTGGAAAATTGTCAATCCAAATAACTATTGGATTACCATGTTGTATAATTTTTGGAGAGTGTGACTCAAAGTCAATGCATCGTGATTTTGGATTTAAGGCCATGAAACAAGTGTTGCATTAAAATCTCTACTGCTTTTCTGATGACTCGGAACGAGGACTTGCTGGTGGAGTGCTCGAGGGACTGTCAGTTTGTTTTTGAATTCTTTTCACGACTCGTGTTGCCACCGTGCCTTTTCTTGCAATACTTCCAGCTGATACAATTTGTGGCTTGCTTGCAATAGTACCAGCAGACTCTGGAGATGAACAAGGGGACGATGATTCATTGCCAAGAACCCTCACTACTTTTACAGGAGTTTTTCTTTTGATGGAGCCCGGGGTACCTGGAGTTCCTGGAGGAGAGTTTGAATTGACGTTTTCAGTAGGGCTCATGGAGGTTACAATATTGGAAGGAATCACAGATACAGGCTCAACAGAATTCCGTGGTGATTGTTCTGTTGATTTTGTGACATTCCTTGGAGTGCATGAGTCACCATTTCTATTTTCCATGACTGCCTTATTCGTCATGTTGTGTTGGACACGATTTTGGTCCGTGGAATGAGTCAACATTCCAGCAATTCTTGGTGAATTATTGGTACTTGATCCACCACTGCAACTTGCACGATTCATATTGAGGGATTTAATTTTCTCGCTCACTAACCACACTAACCCATGCAACACTTCATCCATTTCAAATCCATACAAGACCGACTTGACACAAGCCGTCTGTAAGAGCCACTTCTTGTTGTTATCATGAGCATATCTCATTAATAATTCAGCCACTTCACACACACCTTTCCTTTGTCTTTCCGAACAATGTGGAGTTATTGTGATCCAGTAAAGACTGATCTCTGTACGATTTGGTGTTTTTTCCTTCTCCTCTACAAGTTTCTTTTTTGCATTCTCTTTGGCTTCATTCATCAGTGAGAGAGGATCCAAACGTTTGGCTTCTTGCAAAAAGTGAAGTAATAGAATCGGATCATAATGATTACTACCCGTTAAACATTGGTTGGTGATGGGCGAGGGAGGAGTATCTCCATGATGATGCTGATGATGTAAGAAGGATGAAGTCAAGGCTGTCGTTTGAATATTGCTGAGAGAGTGATAACTGGCTAACAAAGGAGAAGCGTTAGATGGAATACTATGTTGTAGATAATTGAAATCTGTGCTCGGAGTGATGATGCTGGTGCTACTGCTGCTACTAACACTTCCATGGCTCATACTCAACAAGACGGACGTTGGTGATGATTGTTGATTGTGTGGTGCTTGCCATGAAAAACTTAAATCCGTCATGATGCTGTTGCTTCAAAAAAAGTGTCTGCACAAAACCTCTTGTTAAAAAGCTTGTGTTTGAACGAAACGGTTCGATCAATGAACGAGTGGAAACAATTCAAACAGCCTGCTTCTTCTCTGAAAGAAAACTTTTTTTGCGTGAATTTTTTAACCTTTCATCATCGCTCTCTGAGAGGCAAAAAGTGAAATCGGAATGAGAATGAACTTTTATCATATGAAAAAAAATGTCCTCGTTGCTCATGAGCGGCACGACAACGACGACAACGAATACGACGACGAGTACTATTCCTTCACTCACGTCCCAATCCAATTCAAGATCATCAAGTAATGCTGCTGTTACTTTTCAGTCCCAACCACCACCACCACTACCTTCCGATATAGATAAGAAGGATTTACCTCCAACGATTGAAAAATATTTATTGATGAGTCGTGCCGAGGTCCTTCAAAAAGTGGGCGATAGAATTCCGACAACGTTTTGTGAGGAGAATGGCTTGCAGAAAGAAACTTTTTTAGGAATGTTGGAAGGAAAAGAGAGGTATATTACTGGAAGATTTGCTTTATTGAAACATTTGATCCGATTGGAAGAAAATTATGAGATTGTTTCAAAAGATTATTTTACATTTTTATATCAATATGATATTGCATGGGATTGGGAGAGGATCAAGGCAAAAATTGTGGAAAAGACATTTCACGCTTTTCAAAAATTATATCATGACATGAAATTTGTAATTTTTATGGATGGTGATAATTTGTCAACAGATTTTTCACTTGAAGGACTTTCTACTTTTTCAAAAAGTATCATTCAAGTAGTGGCCGTGTTTGCCAATGGAGTGGTCAATGAAGGACTTATGGGATTTGAGAAACAACCATGGTTTTCGATCATGCACTCGACTACAAAGAAAAAAGATGCTGCCGACACTTGTCTGACTTTACTCATTGGATCTCTTCATACTCATTTGGCACTTAAATTGCCTGACAAGGAAGTTGTTTTTATTGTTGTTACGAAGGACCATTTTGCAGATGAGTTATCGGAACAATTAAGAATTGCAAACAGAGACTGCATAAGAGTATCAACACCGAATGACTTGAGGACATTTTTGTCACAGCCCTACGTTCCTCTTTCTCGTAGAAGTAAATCTACCGCATCCAGTACCTCTTCATCGTCTTCGATCCATACCACTCCAGCACAAATTGAAATAACCACCTTGAAAGTTATCCCCAATCCAAGTTATGAACTATTGACAAGCTTTTTCAATTTATATTGGATTGGAAATGGAAAATCTCAAAGCTTGTTTTGCAAAAATAATAATTTGGATTCGTCTAATTTTTCCAAACATTTGAGACGAAAAAAATTTAATACTGCATGCCACAAGAAAATTGAAGAGCTCTACAATACAATTTTAGAAACAAGTAATAATGAAAAATCTGTATATTTATTGAAAATAGGAGACAAGGTGGATGTTTATGAAATATTTCATTCCACCTCTAACAGCAAAGAAATTACAAGTGTCACTCTTTCGTGGAAGAATGAACAATTCTCCTATTGCACACCACACATGTTTGAACCGTCTTTAAATGATGACTATCCGGTTTGCTATGAAACCTATGGTAAGAAAATTCAGTTCATTGGAACCAAGTCGAGTAATAACTGCTTTTGGAAAACCAAGGAAAAGTGCTTTCTACAATTGAATGTTACTGCCGTAGCTGAGCATGCGGTCACTGTGCCTCTCTTTTTACAATTGAGTGGCGTTACGGAACCCAAACAAAATTATTATGTCGATGTGGTACTGAAACACAATGGACAGAATGTAGAAATTGAGTTGGAGGGTCCAACCATCGAAGTGAATTCTGTGTGTAAGGATCGTTTCACCTATTCTCTACCACCCAATGATGTCAAGATTATTTCAACACATTTACAATTAGATCCTTTTAACTTTGTGAATGTGTCAGCCTTGGAACAAGCTGCCAGTTCTAAAACGCTCTGTACATCACCCATCAAAATTGATCCTAATGATGTCATTCTTGGAAAACCACACCCTGTGCGTATTGTGAAAGAAAAAGAGCATAATGAGGATGATGACACGATATAACTCACTCTTCTTTCTCAAAGTGCAAAGAAAACAGTTCTTTAAAACATTTTAATTGCCAAATGAATAATCCGTTTTCGATAAAACCACCTTATTCGATTGCCAAAAACTTTCCACACTTTGTTTTAACATGAATTCTTCCACAATCTCAGGCTGAATAATATTCTCCTTTTCATGGAATGGAATAACACATGGATTCAAAAAGTAGAGGGGAGTCGTGTGACCACGTAGTTGAAGCAATTGGGTTCCTTTAAACTCTCTTCCTAAACGTTTCAATGCTCTTCTCACTGCAATATCTTGCAAATGAGTTCCCTTCTCTTTGGAATCTTGCAGTTCATAATCATATCCACTTTCAATATTGGCTGGCTCCGTGTCATAAATGTCACAACAAGTATTACAAATAAAATCTACAATTTGTGGATGATTTTTCAAAAATTCATAATATCCATCTTCATAGAGAGTGAATGCACTCGATCGAGTAATGTACTTGTCCTTATATTTGTACGCTGTAATAAAACCTTGTGGATATTTCTTAAAGAGAGATTCGAGTTTCTTTCGTTTTTGTTCACCACCTCCAAAATACACGCCTCTTTCTTGGAATTCATATTTATCCATATCTATGTATTGTGTTTCGTAATCGATCCATTTTCGTTCTTTTTGAATCGAACGTATCTGTTCGAGAGTGTATGGACAATTCTCGACTTGATGTATTTCCTTGAAGCGATAGGCCAATAATTTAAGCTTGTTACGTTGTTGGGGAGGAATACGAGGAAGGAGAAAGCAATACATGTCACATTCTCCGTCTAGACACAATGATCTCGAAAGATGTGTCAAAATGAGAGTATTTCCTTTGAATGAATTCAAAATGTGATAATTGAGAGATTCAATATTCAATGTGGATTCTCCAACAGTGCTTTGTTGACAAGTCTTGTCATCATGATGACTTGTGTATCCCAAATATGACTGAAAATGTGTACAGCCAATACACAAAATGGATGAATTGCATAAAATCTCTCTGTTACATTCGAATACTTTCTCTGTTGGCAGCAACTGTTTCACAATGGAAAAGTGAATGACTTCTTCCATAGAGAACTTGGACTCGTCCTGCATGAATTGTTTCTTCTCATGAGGACATACCTTTTAGCACCTTACACCTTACACTTTAGTGCCGTTTGCAATGGCACGTAGTCCCAAAAAGGAGATACAAATAGCACTTAACACTGGAGTGCCAAATGCAAACAGCACCTGACACTTGAGTGCCAAATATCATCAGCACTTGTCCGATTTATTTTTTTTAATTATTTATTAAAAATTAGCAGATTTGCGACCGAACTTCGTGGCTTGCTCAATGTGAAATGCAAAGGAGCGACCTGGCTCAAAAGAAATTGCTTGAGAGCTTCGGGTCACAATTTGATCAGTTCTCGCTGTACAACCATCATCCACTTCGTCCAACACGTCATTTGAAGATGATGATGAGTACTCAGATTCTGAATCTGTAATAATTTTGCTCTTACGGGATGTTGTTCGAGTTGTTGCTCCTTTTTTCTTCTTTGCCTTTGGTTCTTCGACTTTTTCTTCTTCTTCCGACGTCACTTCAACAATTTCACCATCTCCCACTTCTTGAAAATCTTCGTCTTCAATTACATCATCAGCTTCCTGACCGGCGAACTCTTCCAATGCTGTGCGTTGGTCTGTTTTCAATCCTTCTAAAAAGTTTTCAAGAGCGTCAATAGGAGCGGTGTTTGTTGGAATCAAGCCTCTTGACACTGTGTCAGCAGGCCTGGAATCGAAAGGGTCGGCTCTTTTTCTCTTCTCGTTTCTCTTCTTCCTTCCTTGCTTGGTGTTGTCAGCATATGAAAGTGGCACATTTTCATTCAGGCCCAATAATTTAATGACGCCTGTAACATCCTCTCGGAGCATCATTTCAATTTCTACGATTGCATTACCATCATAAGTGGGTACTCCTGTAGCATTTAACACTTCTTGGACGTTGGTGTTTCTTGGTAGATTATTCTCCACAGCACTTGTTGCAAGTAACAATTTAACAATATGCGACTGCCGCCACCAATCACACCACGACTTCACACCTGGACAATAAAGTTCAATTGCATCAAGAATGGTTGTTATTGCTTTCTCAGACCTAAACTTCTCAATATCACTGGCCAAACCTTCCACTCTCGTCCGTACAGCTTCTTCAACTGGGATAACCTTTACCATCCGTTTCACACTTCTCTTGAAGTGAATAAAACAACCAGATGCCAATTGTTCAACAACTTCTTTACCAGCACTTCCAAATTTCTCCATAAAAGCCTCCCGTAATCCCTTAAGCTGAGACTGAGAAAAATCGACAAGGATGGACTTGATTCTTCGATCATTGCCTACAAACAATTCTTTCAAATCCAAACCACCGGACTCCAACGCATCCAAGAACATTCGGAAACAGGTTTTATAATCCTCTCTCTCAATTAAAAAGCGGCATAATTGGAAGCACATTCCTCCTTTCGCATGTTCAAAAAATGTACTTATGCCAAGGTGATTAAGAAACGGCCCTGATTTCGCTTGATGTTTCATATCAATGACTAGCATGTCTACATGTTCCATCAAATGTCGACTGATAGGAAACATTAGGAAACCTATTTTAGGACAAAATTGAACTTGTTGGACCCAACTACCAAATCCATCTGACAACGACATACCAAAAAGACACTCATCTGCCAAGTTTTTCGTTAATGAGGGAAGTAAATTCTCCTCAACCGAAGCAAGAATTGATGCAAAGTTGGAAGTGGAACCAAATTTTGTAGACATGGCTTTTCTTCTTATCCTCTGAATTCTTGTCCCGTTAATCAGAGCTCTGTTTTGGGCACCAGGAATAAATGGAACTCCAACTCCTCTTGTCACTTGTTTTGCGGTCAATGTAGGATTTTGATGGAATGCATGTTCTAACAATTCTTTCTCCTCAGTGCTTACTTTTGAAGGTGGAGGGTTGTGATGAAGATGTTCACCAATGCAAAACAGAAACTGCTTGCCAGAAATTTCGTTCTTGAAATATTTGAACTGAACAACACATTCAAACAATACCATTTCCTTTTGATGTACCGAACAAATGGCGCGATGAGCACTCTTTGCAGCAGTTTGATTACAACCATGTTCAGGACATTGATAACAGCCTCGACATAATCCATGAGCAAGGTTATGCTTTTGTTGATTGATGATTTTGGATGTGTAGCTTCCAAACTTGATGCTGTATTGAATTCCCGTTTTCAAAGAATTATCAGAAATAGAAGACCCCTCATATGAGTAGAGAATATTGGGCAACGGATATTGAATAACTTTAGAAAGATGTTCATGGTGAATCGATTTGTCTGAAAGAAGTTGCCAAGGGTTGAATCTGACCATTTTTTAATCAATTGTTTGATACTAAGGAACGAAGTGTTGGTTTTATTGAGAACAAAGTTTAACGGTTAGTTTCACATACTAGAACCTCCATTTCAATCAACATCCATTTCGCACCTTACACTCAAGTGTCAAATACAAATAGCACCTTACACTCAAGTGTCAAATACAAATCACACTTCGTTCATTTGGCACTCAAGTGTCAAATGCAAACGACACTGACACTAAGTGTAAGGTGTAAGGTGCCAAAATATAACAACTCTCTTCTCATGCGCTTTCAATCTTTTTACGTGTTCTAAAAATTCACTCTTTAGCTTTTTCTTCTTCTCAACAATGGAATATCCAATTTCTGGTGATTCAGTATTTTCGTCTCGTACTGGAAATGTCTTCAATTCCAAATTCGAATGATTAGACCACAATGGATACGATTTGAAATGATCAGCAACACCAATCAATTCCACAAATTTAGCACAATTTTCTGCAGATCCATAAATTCCTTCACAGATTGCTCTCAAATAGTTCAATTTACCCTCAGGCAAGAAGATCTTTACTTTTCCTTCTTGGTGATGAATTTGATCTTCCAATAGGGACAATAAGCCTTGAATATTCTCACTCATTGTATCGGTTAAACAAACAATTTCAATCATTCTTGCCAATCCCGACGAGGATGTTGATCCTTGTTTTGGTTGTTGGTGATCAGAATCCTCTTGGCTCTTCTTTCTAACATTTAATCCAACATTAAAACAAATCTTCAACGATGGAATGAACAAATAATTGCAATGATCCGATACCGAACAACCGTTGAGAGTTTTAAATAATGGTGGACTCACCGCATGATCGAGCAGGGAACAATCATACACACTCGAACCAAGAGCTTGCATTTTTTTAAAAAAGTTTCATCTCGATCTGGAAATTGAATTTAAATAACGTTCAAGTTCAGAATGGAAAGTGAAAATTCAGGTTCAAAACTGAAAATTACTCAAGTACTTCAACAGTGTTTGGTCCCCTTTGAAGTGTGTATATTAGGACTTGCCATTTTGGATGGATACTCTTGAGCTAACCTTCTTGTGTTTGATTCATATTCCCATCAAGATTGAAATTCCAACAATGCACACACACATTTCTTGTTACACTACTGATTCCCTGATATTCCAACAATGCACACACACACATTTCTTGTTACACTTCCCATCACCATCAACACCACCACCACCACCACACTTGACACAACATCCATGTCCATACAGCACTACCCAATGCCATTCCATAATACCACACAGATCTAAATTTGAGAATAACATAAATGGATGCCACCACACTCAACACTCCATAAAATACAAAAATACTCCACACTTTGGGCATGTAAAACACTTGAATTCCTTGCATGGTGTTCGTTTCCAAATCCAAAGTCAACATTCCATAACCATACTTTCTCGTTCCTTGTAACATGCTAAATGTTGGAATGGTATGTTCATAGACTGAAAAACCCTCTTCTTTCAACTCGTGCTTGTATTTGCAATATTCATGATCGTCACCGCTTAATACCACAATGGGATGAGTCATTTGTAACAATGCCAACGAATATATGGAATCTAACATGTTTCTATATCCATAGCCTTCTCCTTGTTGGAGTGGTCTTGTTCTTGCATTTTCATGAAGACGTTGATTGTAGTCCACATGTTCACAATTTCCTTCGCGGAATAAGGGAATGTGTGTCAGGAGAATATTTCTTCCAAATTCATTGTCAACGTTTTTAGAAATAAATTCGACTGGATTTCCTTTCTGATTCAAATACATGGAATTAATTCCAATAATTTTAAAATAATTATTAATCGTGTAATTAAAGTTGAGAGGTGTATGAAAATATTTTTCAAATCGTTCGAGAACTTGTAGAGGCCATCGTTCCAGTCCTATATCATGATTTCCAGAGAGATAGAGAGTTTTAATGGAAGAATCTCGAGTTTCAAAGATGGAATGAAATCTTGCAAATTCTCGTTCAAATTCCTCGTCGTCAATCGTTCTTCCATTGTCAAATAAATCTCCTAAAAAAATGATGGTATGAATATTGTTTCGATTCATTCGAAGGATGGATTGAAAATTCTTTCGCATGAATGTGTCACAAATGAAAAATATAAATCGAGAGACAAGTGAAAATTCGCTTTTCAAAAACTTGTACGAATATCGATCGGTCAATTGTGGATCTCCAATTAATAAAATATTATGAAATTTGGGAATGGTATTCTCCATGACTGAGCCATCAACAGTTGAACTCTTTCGAACCAATCCTGCATGAGGTGCATAGGTGAATTGAAATCGAAAAATTAAAACTTCTAAAAAAATTATACATGACACGATGAATAATAAAAATTTCGAAAACAAATGACAACGATGGAATATACCGGCCGTATGTTGTATCGAAAATGTATCGTGTCGATCCAAGAAAAAATTTAAGAGTTTTAAAATAACGATTCGGAGAGAATAATTCCGAAAAGTATGTTCTTGTGATTCCAAATTTTTACCATCCGTTGAAGGTCGTTGATGAAACTCTGATTCTGACAATAATGGACCATCGTGATGATCGTCTCGTGACATTAGTAGCGCCGAGGACGTGTTGGTCGGAATATTCTTTCGAAGACGAGATGACATTTTTTTGGTGTCTTTTTTGTAACGCGTCAGCATCGCAGAAAAACAAAAGTTTTTCACACTTCAATACTCTGAGCTGTACGGAAAGAGCACTTCAACTTTGAAAGGTGTTCAAAGTGTTGCAATAATATTTGAATTGAACATTTAACATCCCAAATTGTTTAATTGACAATAGGGTGTTACAAATTTATCCATTGATTTTCCTCATTGCCCTTTGCGAAATGTTTCAACTTTTTCAAGCATGGTTTTAATCTTATCCAGTGATTGAGTTTCTTCTGTTGTTCCTAACATGTATTTCAATAATAGAATAAGATTGCCGTGTTGATGATTCATATGCTCATCTCTGTTGCATTCTTGTAAAAAGTCCAACATTTCGCTTCGATATTGTTGACAAGACTCTAAATGCGGTTCCACTTTGGATTTCAGGGGCTTGCCGTGGAGATAAAAGTGTAAATAATTCACAATGACTACAGCCATTGAATAAATGTCCACTTGTTCCATATCAAAACCAGGATCGGAATAGGGATACTTGTAAACGTAATCCACAGATTGGTTGGGAATTACTTGTCTTTTCACAGATCCACATTCCTGGACTGCATAATGGTCACGCTCGGTTAATAGCAAGGATGAATTGAAATCAATTAGTACAAGAGTAAAACAGCGTAACTTTTCATCCATTTTGGATGCTCGTTTCCATAAATCTGAGTCGAATCTAATCATTAAATTTCCCATGGAAATGTCTGAGTGTTGGATATTTGTTGCATCTAGTTGAAATAAAACATCAAAACATTGGCGAATGAGGTTCATGAAAAACATTTTTCTGTGTTTCCCAATCCATGGATTAAGAGCACGCTTATTCATCACAGCATCCAATGATAACAACTTCTCTTGGATTGTGACCTTAATGGGTTCAGTAGAATGAAGAGCAAGCTTTTCCAGCTCGTTCTTTCCACTATTGTGCAATTTCATTAAATTATACACAACGCTCACCAATTTTGTGTTAATTTGAAACTCAAAAATTCTAACCAGGTTAGGAAATTCATGCATGGACTTGCTTGTTTGAAGATGACATAACTGTTGCATAACTGCCTTGTTTTCTTCTCTAAATGCTGTCATTTTTACAAATACAGAAGTGTCATGTACGGTAGAGAATGCATGGCCATAAAACCCAACACATGACCATTCACATCGATGCATGGAATCTGGAAGTAATTGGAACTTGGATAAATTCAACTCTTTCTCCACTACCTCTGCACACTCTGCTTCATTCATTGGATCTGGAATGAATTTGATGGGAACTGCGAGAGAGTTTGGGGTTTGCTGGTTTTGAGGACCGTAATTATTGTTCGATCTGTCGTGTCGATCGTGTTCACTACGGCCTTTCGAGTCGTCACCTCGATGTTCATCCAGTATTTTCTTCCACAATGTTTCTTGATATGCTTTCATGGAGAGTTGAAATACAAAAGGTATAACTTCGTCCATAGTATTAAAAACGCCAATAAAGCAAGTAGCGTCATGCGACCTATCCATATGTACGGAGATTGGTTCTTAAAAACGAAAACTGCATTATATCCTCTAGGGAGCGAGTTTGTTGGTTCAGGATTAATATTAAAGAAAAGGGAGAGCGTCTTGTTAAGATGACGTTTTCCTTCGTCAGCACATTCAAATGATTCCGATTCATCGTCAAACGGACGTTTCCTTCCAAATCTCACCTTCATTGACTTTAACGCGCTTTCAAGCGAAATAGATTTTGATCTGACTGGTGTACTAAATGTCGACACTTTCTCATTTGCCAACTGTTGAGTGCATTCATGTTCATGATTACACATACTCTCAATTACTGTTGTAAACTTTGCAACGCCATCAATGGTTTCTAAATTAATGATCTCGGTTTCCAAAATGTGATATCCCAAATGAATGCCATCATTGAGATTATTTTCATCGTGAACCTTAATTCTTCCTTCAAGAAACATGCACTTGAATTTGGAAACAAGCAAACCAAAAACCTTGATATTTTGAGCATTTTCTATCGTATGCTTGTTTTCCTTGATTAGTGCTTTGATCCATTCTTGGAGCATGTCTTTCATTTCAACATACATTTTGAAATGATCCTTGTGCTGCTCCAAAGTATCTGCATTCTGTCTCTCACATTTGAAAAACATCATCGACCTGTCTCCAAATGCCTTTTGTATTTGGGCAAAGGAGTCAGGATACAGTTTCTTTTTTCCTCCAACTATATACCTTTCCTCGTTGAAGCTACTTCTTGTCTTTACAAAGCGTTATTCAATGTTGTTAATTGTACTTACGTTCCGAAAATAATGTTTTCTCTAAATTTGAATTGATAATCTAACAAATAATTTACCATTCCTAAAAATGTGAATTCACATGAGTTACGGGGCAGAGATCTCTGGGATATCAAAAACAAATCATAGGGCGTGTGAATTCGGAAATTTTTCAAAGCTGATTGAATGGATTTGATCGAATGCTCCATAGAGTGCTCCTGACAAAGTATCTTATTGAGCTCTAACACAGTTGATTGATAACACCACCAATCCAAAGTCCGTTTTTCACTTTGTAACAACGTGTACTGTTTTTGTAAACCTGTGGATATTGACTCAAACATCTCCAGAGAGGTGATTTCCCACAAGTCTTTCTTTTGAGATGATGAATAGTTTGTCAATGATTTAAACAATAAATCTTACCTCAACAGTGATCAGGCTTTCCAAAATACGTTTTTGTTCTGCAGATTCAAACATGAACCCAGAGTCTTCATTGTGTTCCGATATTGTTTGTTGAAGGGTCATTAAATCCTTACTCTCCACTAACCAACTCCTCTTGAGCTTCTTTGGAAGTCGCTTCGAGGTTGGAGGAGATGAAATTAATGATTGCTCAATGTCCTTCATATCTTGTTCGCTATCGTCAAGATTTCCGCATATTACACGTTTGCTCATTTTTTCTAAGGCAAGGTGAATAAGGGCATGCTTTGGTTTTCCTAACATAGGCAGATATGTAAAACCAATTGGAAAGATGTATTTAATTTATTCGTTCAAGTTAAGGGTGGCTGTGAATTTGGTTCGCTCCACATCATGATTGACACTTTTTTCGTCATTGTCTTGCTCGTCACCAATTCGGCAAATTTCATGCAACAAGGCATCGTCACGATTCAAGCTAAAGAACAAATCTCTGTCAAATCTTTGATTTTCAGTGATGAGTCGGGTTGCAAGCTTGTCAATAGCAACAGTGGCCAATACAGTTTGAATGAAAGCGTCAATTAAATTATCAACACCGAGTCCCAATTTAGAAAAGTCTTTTCTATCACAAATAATTAATCTTTTTTGATCAGTATCCCATTTATCTTGACCAAGTTTGATGGAGAGATTGGTACCCAACATGTCCCACGAATCTTTGCCTTCAATATCATCCGTGAGTGGACTCTTTGCTGTTGTGAAAAATATTTACCATATACGACCATAACCAACGATTAGAACACACAACAAGTGCTATCTTTTGAAACAAACCTTTTCTTGCATAAAGAGCAACAGGAGAAAAGCCTCCTTTTGCAAAATCGTACATGATCATCATTCTTAAATCAGCCACATAAATATTTCGCTTTGAATCGGGTACTATGATCAATATGTCAACGAAACATTAGAGTTGTCACAACAACAATAGATGAATAGAATTTGGTTAAATTTGAACTGACTTTTCAAAATCTACAACAAAACATACCTGTTCCAACGTGATACAATTGACCTTGATGTGTGTGAGAAGACCATTTTGAATTTCCAATTAACGATTGAACAATAAATTGATCGTAACGATCTTCAGTTTTCATAAATTCTTCCAATTCTTGTGGTGAAGTAATGGTCCACACTCCCTGCCCACCATTCGAATATGGATTTTTAACAACTGCATAACCTCCAAATCTATCAACAGCGTATTTGATTCGATCATATAATTTTCACAAAATGGATTGAAAATGGAAATTATAGGATTATTTGAAAACGACTCTCAAAACTTACGATTCAACCCAAATGGGAACAATTTTCTTCTCAACATCTCTAATGGTTCTTGGGGTATTAAGACGAATTCCATAGCCATTGTATTGACTGTTTAAAAAATCATATGCCTTGGCGGCCAATAATTTGTTTCTTCCTCCAGCAAGACAACAAATGACTGGATTCATAATCATGGTTCGAACTTTGGAAATTGGCAATCTGTCCCATGGTCGTTGCGTGACATAACGGAAACAACCACGAATATTGATCCAATTGTTATCCTTGTCACGAATTTGTAAAATCTGTCCATTCTCAACAAAACGAACGGGTGGATCTTTGTCACTTGCAAGAAATTCAACCAAGTAGACAGTCTCTCCGAAAACATCAGCAACTTTTGTTTCAATTCATTAATTGGTATTATCATGTGAAAGTTGTGTGTCATTTCCAATTCAACGATAAAGGTAACGTTAGTAAAATTTATCCACAACCAAGTTGTAAAGTTCCTCTTTCAAAAATCAATTCAAGAAAAATATACTTACTTGTAGCCGCATAGCCACTAGTTTCCATCTTATTCTTATCATAAATGACAGCCAATTTTCCATTGGGAACTGTATTGCTTCCGAGTTGTTTTTCATGCTCTTCCAGCATGGGTTTGAATGTTTTTTCGATAAGAGTTCTGTAACCACCATGATCGTCATGCATATTGAGAACAGGCATGGATTTTTGACCGCTTGGACAACTGTTGGTTTCAATGAGAACCATCTTTCTCAAACCTTGAGAGTTGGTCACGTTGAATAAATCAGCTCCGGACCAGTGAAAGAATTTGGGTTTGTAGGAGAGGAGTTCAGTTAAATGTTTTTCATCAACCTGAGGATTTAAATGAAGATATCGTTTCAATATTCTTGAGTTACCTATTTGTTTCATAATAATATTCAACAATAATAAAAGTATTAGTAGTTGGTGACACAGTTTTGTAACACAATCAAATTCGTGGCATGTTGGGTATATGGATACAGGTACCGAAAAGGTATCGAATCCAATAAGTGCAAAAAAGGAAATTTGAGTAATACTCATCATGATGATGAGTAGAAAAGATCCAAACATTCATTGGGTGAGTAGTGATCTATGAAGATCATTCTACACTTACCTAACATCATAAAATCGCTCACAATTTCACTCACTTGAGCATTGATCGTTTTTGGATAAAAGTGGCTATCGGAATCAAATGAGTCCTTATTCACTGGAACGACCTTGTCCTTCATGGCAAAAGCCTTTGGCTGTTCAGTAACTCCAGCGACCAATCGACTATGGAGATCATCATGATTGGAGGAGGATACTATCGGATCGGAGGCATGCGTATTACTTGTACTCGTTCGATGGTTAGTACTGGTACTCATTTTGAGATCTATTCATCATCATGGATATGTATTTAGATCCGTTTTGATATTCGTATTTGTGAAAGAACCAACACATTGTTGAAAGCTCAATATATAGAACGGTAGGTACCTACCTCAACACACGTGTGTGATTGTATGAAAGGGGAACGAAGGAGAGATTGCAGATCGACGTGAACGATCGTTCGAAAAACAAGGTATCGTTCAATTTTTTTCTTCTGAAAGGCTTGAATGGATAATGATGCAAATTGCTGCCTTCGCTGGGTGGGGACCTAAAAAGTTGTTGAAAGAACTTATGGTCAATTGATAGGACTACATGCCGTCGACGCCTTTGTTGCAAGCTTTTGGTTATTCTAATCCTAATGCTATGAATACATCCGAAATCGCTTTTCAAAAAAAAAAACGCCTTTTAAAGACTGTCGTTATCTTCATATATCAACATATCTACCTCTTGTTCTTAATTGCGATCATCAACCCTTAGTGTTTGCACTTTTTCATTGTTCCAATTGTCCTTAATAGTAACAACAACAACAACATACCGTCCTCCTCACCTCTCAGTAATCTATCCATGGGCGGTTATCCGAGTTCGGCTTCATCAGCTTCTGGCAACAACAATAAATCAAGAGGAGGGTACAACAATGAAGAGAATGATCCAGTGATGATACTCCCTTCAAACTCTGCAACCACTGGACGAGCCTCAAAATCGCAAAGCGAATCCCTAATATATTCCAGTCAAATCAATAAGAGAATAATTGGCGTTAAGGAGGGATCTGGGCCAATGACCCAATCGTTGGGGAGACTTTTAAATCAACCCTCCTCAATATCGGATGAGTATGATGATGACGACAAATCAGACGCATTTGCCTTAGATCCAGATGGCATGTATTCCACTACTACTGCAACTAGGTCAAGTAATTGTAACAACAACAGCCAACAACAACAACAGCAACAACAACTATATAATTCAACATCCTACCCTTCCATCTCCTTCTCAACCTCCTCACAACCTAGTCTTTCGTCATCGTCCTCACAACAACAATTTAGAACAGACATATCCATCTCTTTGGAGGGTGAAATTTTACAGCAATCGCCCACGTTAAACACATCATCCTCGAGGAGAAAGAGTCGGCCCGCCATCATACAAACCGATTCTGACTACTCGAGCTCCACGTCGAACTTTGCCTCAGGCAGTCGAGGAGTGAGGACGGTGATTGTAGAAAATTCAAATCAACAGGGTGGGGACGGAGGATGCTCCTTAATGGTTGCTCCCCTCATGCACTCGAATTCGGTGCGAATTAAGAAAAAACCAACCTCTCAAAATGAAATTGACGACATCCTCAATACTCCCTCTCTTTCAATATTTAATAATAATGGTAAGAATTCCTCATTGTCACAACAACGAACTCTGCAGAAATCTCCACATCCACACAACAACGGGAAAGTTAAATCTTCATCGAAACTATTTCCTGCCTCTGGCAACCAATGGAGCCTGACTGAACAAGATGAGGAAGAGGATGGCGGCATTCGTCAAGTTCACTCATTCAATTCTACAAAGAGTTCTAGCAGCTCAAAGAAGAAATCTTCCAAAAGTGACAAGCCCAACAAAATGTCACAAGAGATGGATAATTACATTGATTCCATTCTGAAAAAGAAGGGCAAATCTGCAGATGATTTGAGTAGAGATGACACTGAGGGAGAAATTAACGATTTCCGAGAGACCAACTTGCCAATCCTAGTTGGACAAGAACCTGTGTTATATCATGCACCGCACAACGAGTCAGGTTATCTTGGCCGCCGTAGGAAGAGTACAGTAGCAATCGAGCAGGAAAATCCAGAACAACATGCCATGGAACTTGAAAATGTTTTTAGAAGGACTCGCTCCACCATTAACACAAAAAATGTTGCCGTACCTGCTGGAGGAGGCCAACCAGTGGAAATACCTGAAACAAGTGTACAGCCGGTGAGTAATCCAATGATTGTTGTCTCAGGAGGTGCCAAACTGTTAAGAAAGGACAAGTCTCTCTACACGGTTGGTGGTGTCATTAATGACAAGAAGAAAACTGAGCTAGAAAAACGAAGACGCAAGGCCATCAATCGATCGAAGGTGGTTGGTAAAATAGGACCTCTCATTTCGGTGGATTCTGATACAGAGAGTGAAGAAGAAGAAGAGGACAGGCCCGAGGACTTGAGCTCTCAATGCGAACTGCAAACCGAGTATTGTGAATAAATAGCAACGACACCAACATTTGTATAACCTTGGTATTGTTCGAAAATTTGAGTGCATAGTGTTTGTCATTGTGTGACATTTCTGTTTTCATCCCGAAATATTAAAAAATAATATTGCCAGTAAATTGATGCTCAAGGCATTCAACATGGAAATTGATTTGTATTTTTTAAATTTTTAAAAAAAATTGACATTCAACTGAATCGATTTTCTCTTGCTCGATTGACGCTTGGAAATTTCCAAACTACTCCCAAACAAAACCACACAAAATGAATCTACTTCCTGATGAAATTATTCTTCACATTCTCCATTTCATTCCCGACCATGAATGTTTCCATTCGACATGTTTCACCCGAAAGAATTGGGTTCTCAATATTTGGCCCAAACGTAAACAAGTACTCTCTTTAAATCATCTTTCCGAATTGGATCGTTATTTACATTCCGTAAAAAGTGTTTCATCATCTTCAAAAACAAAAATTGCAAACATTGGATCCACTGCCGGCTCCATCAACGCATCAGCCACTGCACCACACATTGAAGAGAAGAAAGTCAAAATTATTGTTTTATTCGACGCTTTTGAAAAGTTTACAAATTTAAAACAAATTTCACTTGTAAATTGTGGCTTGAATGATTCCATTTTAGAAAAGATTTGTACCAATTTTAAGCGAAAATTGATAACCTTGAATATATCAAAGAATAAGAACTTGACGTGGAATAATACTCAACGGTGTATCATGCTGTGTGAAAATTTAAAGAAATTGGACTTGTCGTATAATTTTCAGTCTTCCAATATGTCACAACAAACATTGGGAGGAGCCTCAAGCAATGGTAGTGACAACAGCACTATGAGCGACTTATGGGTACAAACCGTTCAATTCCCAAAGAGTGTCGAATGGGTCAATGTTTCTGGATTTTTAAATCAAATTCCAAACTTTGAACTGTTATACATTTTGATTGAACGATTTTCTGAGAAGACGTTTTTAAAAAACAACCCATTTGAAGGCGTACAAATTCCATACATTCGTGCCTTTGCTGCCAATCATTTAACAGACATTTCCATCATCAAGCCAGAAAAGTGTCAAAAATTAATGAGCATTTCCATTCCCTCACTCGTAGAAATGTATCATCATTGCTTTTTATATTTGAAATCAGCGGCGTTTTCTATCATTTATGATGCTTTACATTTTTATCCAAGTGAAGATTTAATTTATGAATGTATTCTGAAAGGTCATGTTCGAGTGTTGGAGTTACTCGCTTCTGTGGACTATGTGATTGATAACACTCCCATTGATGTGATTGAAGAATCGATTTTGAATGGAAATTCTTCTCTTGTTTCTAAACTACGAGTGTTGAATTATCACTATTTTAATGAACTCTCGGATGATTTATTGGATCAATTAATTTGTAAGGGAGACACATTGACGATTATGGAACTACGAGCGTGCAATTTGAATCGACAAAAATGGGATCAGATAAAAGTATCGTCGATTGAGGAGGCCGTTCGTAATGGCTCAAAGGATGTATTAGAACATGTGCGAATGTTGAACTTGACAGAATTGTTGAATCAAGTCGCAGTGGAGCATGTTGAGTATTCTTTGGAGAAGGGCCACTCTGGAGTTTTGAAACAATTAGCTCATGCCAACTATCCAAAATTTAATGACATTTCTCCACAAGTATTGGCTAGTGTCGTGTTGAAGTCTCCTGCATTGGAATCCACTCTGAAAAAGGTTGGCTACTCCAAGTTAAACGAAGTCAAGTCTCTCATGAAGAAAGCTATTGAAGAAACGACAAGCACGACTCGATCCAAATCGCAGAAAAAGAAGAAGTAAGGATTGACCAATGACTTTGCCATCTTGGACCACTAGGCAATACAGCCAACTTTTATGCCTAAATTTAATTCATTCATTGTTGAATCCATGTTTACAACAAGTACAACTGTACAAAAAAACTACTACAAGACATTATTATTGGATCTTTTTTTAAGGACAGACCGAAAATCTACTTGATTAGTAGTTGCAGCACTTGGTGAAGACAATTTTGACTTGTTCTCGAGTTCTGCAATCTTATCTTTGAGCGATTTAGTTGGAGTTGTTGCCGTCTCAAATGCTGGCGGCTGGTGTTGTGGAATCGAACATGACTCGTTCTTGGTTGGACTATTGTTTTCAAGATTCGAGTCATGTTTAATAGGCAATTTGAAGAGAGGAGAATTCTGTCTAGTTTCTGGCAATTCTGATTTTTCATGCGTCTTGAGTGGCAGTTGACCACACTCTTCTTGATTAATAGTTGGAGATGGCTTTAAATTGTTTCCAAAAGATGGTTCTTTAGGAGAGTCAATTCTCGCAATTGATTTCTTTGGAGTTGAATCACTTTTGCTTGTTTGTTCGAGGGTGGACGAGAAAATTGAAGGTATTTTCAATTTGTGCACCGTCTTTGGAGATTCAGGCGTCTTTTCACTCTTGACACTCACAGTAATATTAGCCTCTGATTGTTTTGCACTCAAATTATTTGACAAGTTGGAATTTACATCATTCGAATTGACATCAAAAACGCTCTCAGCAGTGGTGGGCTTATTCTTTGGTGATCTGAGAGTCTCTGTCGATGATTGTGACAGCTTTTTTGACAGCTCGCTCTGAAAGTTTTCTGCCATCAATTGGTTCCCCTTAAATATGGGTGGTTTGGCCAAAGCTGGCTCCTGTTTATCCACACCTGAATTGACATGATTATGATTGTTGCTACTACTGCTGCCACTGGTGCTTACTTTGGAGAAACGTGGAGGCGTCGTGTCTGAATGATCAACATTGTTGCTTTTAGCGGGTGGTGACATTGTACCTGAATCGATAGTCTTTGAAGCCAATGCAGGAGACTTTTTCAATTGCACACTCGCTAATAAGGATGAGTTCATGATGAAGGGGGATGAAGGTTGCGAGCGTGTGGGACTTTGAATGGCACAATCATGATCTTCATTCTCGAGGTTGTTGTTTCTATTGTGATTGTTTGTGAATGAATGCTCGGTTGGATGGTTGGTTGTTGATACTGCTGTATCGGAAACATAGCTTTTGACATTAATGTCAATGTGTTGTCCATGAAAATCATCTGCTTTTTTCATTAACTTTGTGTCATATGCATACACACATGGTAACATTAGAACCGTCCATTATTCATTCATACCGAAAAGGAATAGTAAGGTCCAGAAGAAAATTATATAATTATTAGTAATGGTAAATCACCGATGATTATGATTGTTAATATTATTGTTCATACGAACCTCTGAAAGACTCTCCCTCTTTTTGGCTCTCCTTGGTGCAAGACTCATGGATTTTCTACCAGCTCCAATGAGATTACTATGAGCTTGTAACAATTCATTCTCCCGATCTCGAGTCAGCCATAACGGAGCCTTGTTGTATTCTTCATTTGTTGATGATGACGAGGACGATGCGTGAGTTGGAATTTCTTTCTGCATCTCTTCATTCGGGCTCTGGTTTTCCTCTTCTCCACCTCTCATTCTCTGAGATCCAGAATTATTTCATTGCAAACAACAATTTCATAACATGCCATTCTTCATCTCGAAAAGATGTAGTGCTCTTAATCCTCAAACCTACCTTAATGTGCTTCGAGAGTCAACAACCTGCACCAGTGAATATTTTAGATTTTTTAATGATCGTTGGAAAGCAGAGATTAGGAGGCAGCCTTTGTTGTGTAATGATCATCCGATACCACGAAGATGCCGTTCACTTTTGTTTGGTTGTTGGATGGCCATCCGCAAAGACTGATCAATGGTCATTCCTCTTTCAAATCATTCCTATTTGAAAGATCAAAGAACACGATCGTTACTTTTAGATTTTTCCAATGATGGAATGAACACTGAACACGAGCATCATCATTCTACCAAATCTTTTACTCTTTCCAAAGCAATACTAGTGCAAGATTCGTCCTGTAACCACACGTACCTTCTCAACGTCGTCTGACAAATCAAGGTTGTAACCCAACAATATGACGTCAAAAATTTATGATGGAAAGCAAAAAGAAATTTTCTCCTTTAAAAAATGTCGTATTCATACTTGTTTAAATACATTATTATTGGTGATACAGGTAGGTTGGTGCGAGGAGTAGCAGTAGTTGGAATAACAAGCCTTGTTGTTGTTCTTGTTTTGTGTATCGGTGAATCCACATGTATCTACTACGGTTGGTTCGGTTTCTACTGCGGTTTGTAACACGATGAACCTGCTGTCTGATTTTTTGATATTTAAATTCTTGATGCTATGTACCCGTGTACACGGAATTCATCATGATGATCAATGATAATTTGAACCGGACACACTTTGCGTTTTACTCTGTTATGACCGGTGTGTGTTTAACAAATTCATTACATGTCTGCTTCATGGCTCTACCACATAATACACTCAAGGTGTTGGAAAATCATGCCTATTACTTCAGTTTACCGATAAACGTTTTCAACCCGTTCACGACCTTACCATTGGAGTTGAATTTGGAGCCAGAATGATAAATATTGATGGAAAACAAATCAAATTACAAATATGGGATACTGTAAGTATATCGCAGTTGTATTGGATTGATTAACACGAATCATCATGATTGCTGTTTTCGCATTGAATCGACTTGACCGAAATTGAAAATTTGTTATTGACCACACCGACCACATTTGATGATAATGAACCCATACGGAACACCTGTTACATGTATTATTATTATCCAATGAACACACAACTGATTTGGTCATGGATATTCACCATCTCATATCATCACATTTACTGTACTTGATTTGTTATTCATCATCACTTGTGAATCCTAATCATTGTAATGATCATTTTCTCCTTGCTGCCTGTCCATATATAACAGGCTGGACAAGAATCGTTCAGAAGTATCACTCGCTCATATTATCGTGGAGCTGCAGGTGCTCTTCTCGTTTATGACATTACGAGGCGTGAGACATTCCATCATTTAACAACATGGCTCGAAGATGCCAGACGACACTCCAACTCAACAATGACCATCATGTTGGTTGGAAACAAGTGCGATCTGGACTCACGACGTGCTGTCTCATATGAGGAGGGCAAAAAGTTTGCTCAACAACACGACTTGATCTTCTTGGAAACAAGTGCCAAGAATGACGAAAATGTAGAGGAAGCTTTCAATTACACAGCAAGAATTATTTATGAAAAAATTGAGAAAAATATTATTGATGTTACCAATGAAATGAACGGAGTGAAGGTTGGAAATGCTCCAACAGCAACAACCAATCTTTTGGACAAGCCTGGAAACTCATCAGAACAAGGAAGGGGCAAAACTTGCTGTGGATAGTATACTCAATACTATCTCAAATAATTCTACAATCAACACACCACTCTTTGTGTGTGACACAACTCCATCACACAACTCTTAGTGGTCACATACTCAGTTCCATAATCATGTTCATTATTGCAACCTTCCTCTCTTAATTATTTTTCATTGAACTTTTGCGTTTCGTTCTCGCAAATCTGTAACTATATAGAACGCTCAATAAATAATTTTTGACATTTGAACAACAAGACGACGGTTTATGTCCCCTTTTTCTTTTCATCCAACGAATAAACATGATACAAAAGCTGGAATACACGTGTGAACTTGATTTTACTTTCTTCTTGTGAAGCAACGAATTTTTGGTATGACTTTTTCGAGATTTTCATAAAATTTGACCATGTTTCTTCGTTGCAAGCTCATTTCAGTAATACCATTGTCCAAATATTGAAAACCTTTAGCAATATCTTGGGAATGAGAAGGTTCATTTTGGAGAACACTTTCTACCACCATCCTATAACTATTTTGATCCCACAAAATCAATCCAAACAACGTGTCACTGATATTATGTAAAAGTTCGATATCAAAAGTTTCATATAACAACATGTTGATGCATTCCTTAATCAGCATTCCAACAAATGATTGATCCTGTAAATCAAACGACGTTGGATATTGAGATCGGAAAGACGAGAGAGCATGTATGGCATCAAAACTTTCTTGTGCAATATCCAACTCGAAGCTATTAATGCCAAGTCATTCATGTAAAAATAAATTATTATAAAAGCATTTCGAAATTGAATCCAACAATCCACTCAAACTACAACTACTTACTGCCTCAATCCAAAAACTAGAGCATTAATGAAATGATTAAATAATGGTTGAGGTAACATGGTCACCTTCTCAGGATACATTTCCATCATGAATGCAATCAATCTAAAGTATTGTTTTCTTAGTGGAGCAAAATCTAAAAGTTCTATCGTTATCAATGGTAACATTAAATGAATTCCTTGAAAAACATAATTTACAAGTGCATCTGTTGTGTGAGTATCTGTTTTCACTCGAACCTCGGCAGAAAATACTGCACTACTACCATCCTCAGAAAAATCCAAAAAATCTCTCGATATCATACAAGTGAGCATCTTTAAGATGAGTAATAAATCCTTGTATCGTTCTTCTTCTGATAACTCATCCAAGGCTGTCGGTCTTCGATGTTTGGAACCTCCTACTTGTGAAATGTCACCATTCTTTTTCGAATGTATTTGTGTAAAGGTTTGGATCATGGTGAGAGCAATGCCAAATAGAGATTTACATTGGTCCTTTGTTATAGAGTTCACAAATGCCTTGATACAGCTCTTGAAAACACGAATAATGAGAGTGACAAATTGTTCATGAAGATAATACTGATGCAAGAGTTTCACTAAATTCACTAAAATCTGCTCCGTATTAAAGAATTGAACCATAGCCGAAGCAATGTCAGGATTGGTAGAACCTTTGGCGATACCGAGGAATTTTTCAAAGCAATAATCTAATTGTTCCATCACTTGAGCTTGTTGATAAGTCTCATGAAAGTCACTCTTTGCGAGAATTGAGTTGAATTGATCTCTCAATGGAACTAGTACCAAATTTAGTACGTGCTGAAGTTCATCAAAATTTTTCTGACCCTCTTCACTAACCTTAATGAATGAAGGACAACATGCAATTATGCATTGAGTGAGTTTTCCTTTCACCCAATTAGGAGCCTTATGAAGAGTATTAAAAGTATTGAAATCGTTCTTGACAATTTCTGCAAAAGTATTGGTTTTAACAACGCATCGTTGAATGGACTTCTTTTTGGACATGACAATGAAAAGCTTGAGAGTTTCTTGGCAAGTATCGTGCTCACTGGACCAATGTGCCAAATTATGCGAAATCTTTTGAAGTAAATAATCCACAAATTTGATACCATTCTCTGATTTTTCACCGTACATTGCCAGGATGGTTCTACTAATATTTTCAGTGTAATGTGAAACTTCCGGCATGAGATAGGATTGACCCCATCTCCAAAAGAACCACATTAATGTTTTGGAAATTCTTGGGCTAAGCATTTGCGGACTCTTTGACAAGCACAGCAACTCAAATTGCGAGAATTTTAACACTCCATTCACAAATGTAAAGAAAATATTGTCTTCAGCGTCATCGGTGAGATCTACAATTTCTGAAGGAAGGGTAGGTGTTTCACCTTCAGCATCATCTGCTACTACATAGCCAGCAATTTCAATGATCCATTCAAAATCTTCCCATAAATTATCGAGAGCACGACTTGCCTGGAAACTTTGTCCAAACAATGATTGCAGTTGTGAGAAGCGAGTAGAAAACTTGTGGTACAATAGTTGTAGAGATGACTCTGCGAGTTGTCGGCCCATAACTCCCATGGCGTTCAATTGTTCATCCACAAATAATTCATCATTGTCATCTTCTTCGTCTTCATCATCCTCGTTGTTAGAAATGGGTCTTTGTTCTGGCACTTTCAAATTCACAAAACTTTTAAAAATTTCAAAACAGCATTGTCTAACAAAATCAGCACCCTTCACATCCAGATAGTTTCCTGATACGGAGAGGCGAGAAGTAGCAACGCTGTCACAAATAATGCTCCAACATCCTAGGAGAGTTGTTAAGCCGTCCACAATAAATTGGTCATTAAAGTTGGGCGATATTTCCATAGTGCGAATAGTAGCTTGAGTTAAATGCTGCATAATTTCAAAGAACTGAGCCTGATTAGTTTGGGATTGATAAATTTCAATGAAGGGTAAAAATCCAAAATTAATAAAAAGTCTGTAAATGCATTGTGTGCAGTCGTAAATTTCCTGTCCGCAAATGAGCGAAAATTCTAGAGACGTGTATGTTTGTAGTGCACTGTTTTCATCAGGAAATGGGAATCATAATGATTATATTGTGATAGTGTGTGCATTCAAGTTTTTTCACAATTTACAAGTATACTCAATGAATCCCAATCGAATAATATTGTTAAAAACTTACTTTCCCATCAGGGTAAAAATACTCGACAGTAAACCAACAAAGAAATTAAGTTTGGCCATCTTGTCATTTTCGAAGCATTCGTTGGAAATGTTACACCACTGGGTGAGGCAAAGTCTCACTTGGTGAGTAATTCTGATGAAAAGTTCTGCCTCTAATGCATTGGATGAAGTGGCACCAGACATCAAACCTTGTCTAAATTTTTGGTGAAGTTGAATAAACATGTTCAAAATTTCAGTATTCGTAAACCTTTCTTTCCATTCTTTAGAATTTGGGCTAATTTTTCCTTGTTCTATGGAAGCAGAGCCAGCACCTCCACCACTACTAGCATATTTGTTTTTATACATTTTGGTGGAAATTATGGATTTGAGAGAGCTAACTTCATTGAATGGAGAAAAATCCCAACAAAGTACCTCTCGAATCAAATCAAGAGCGTTCACTGACATTTTCAATAATTCTGAAACATCGTCATTGGTAACTCTTCCAAAAAACAGTGATTCATCTCGAATCGAAAGAGATCTTTTTAAAATATCAATACCTAACCCAAAACAATTTGGGAGGAAATCTTGTTGAAATAAAATTCTTGACTTTTCATGAAATTCCCAATTCATTCCAATTTCAGATGATGATCCACCAAGAGAAAATTCAGTAATTAAACTCAATAAGAGTTGTAGAGCCAAGTTTTGAGATTTTTGTTGTACCATTTGATTGTCTTGATTCAATAAATGTTGAATGTGTTTAAAAGTCATTTCTCGAAATTGACTTCCACCTCCTTCTTCGTCAATCCATGAACGTTTCTGTATTATTGCATAGCTTTGCAGCAATTGATTAACTATTTGTTGTAAAATTGATGGTGGTTTTATGGAGCCAACACTGGGAGTTGTACTTGACGGTACGCTTCCTCCGAGAACGACCGACGTGATATATTCAAAAATGTATTGACTGAGATGAAGTTTTACATTCAGATCCAAAACACTCCATTCTTGAATGATAGCCTTTTTCATAATATTGGAAGCAAAGAATTTTGTTACTTCCGAATATTGTTGGCCTTCTGGGAGGGTTTCATTGGTTTATATCATCCAAGAAAATATTTGGATGAAGAAATGTACACACATGGTGATGAAATGTTGTATTATTGGTGGTGTCCAATAGTATTATTCGGTGTGAGAGTATTATAAATATTCGTAATTAGCCAAAATTAATCATGGACCAATTCAAAAAGACGATAAGATATTGCATCCATTGTGCGACATACCGAGAATGTGTCTGCAAAAATCATAAGGTTGAGGTTGATTTTGGCAATGTTGAATGAAAGCCTCCGATTCCTTTCTCTTCTGATTGTCGGAACTCTGTAAATATTTAAGTTTTAAACACATTCCGATGAGAGTGTAAAAATTCGAAAATGTTTCAATTCATGGATAATAATAGAATTAATAGGATTAACAAATTCATTTCATAAATACCAACATTCATCAAGGAACAAGCTTCCTCGAGCTGCCTTCCCAACTCTTGGAACGACGAGAACAGAGAAGAGGACATTTTTAGTTTCGGAAGCAAAAAATGTGAACACAGCAAATTCCTCACGAAAGAATTCTTTATTGCAAATTCAATTCGAGCTTTGAATTATCGCTTCATGTATTATGATTCGGGTGTCGACCACTTGCGCGTTATTGTACGGATGAAGGTCTCAAATTATAGAGATAGACTTTCTTGTCCCAACTTCCTACTGCAATGACATCTGTTTGATTGCTTTGCTCACTTTGTGTTTGAATGTCACAACACAGCACCGAGTTGAAGTGCTTCTCGGAGGGAGGTGGTCGTAATGATGAACCCAAAATTTTGTTCACCGAAAGAATGCAGTCCTTTCCTCCAGCCACAAAGTATTTGCCTGTGGGTGAGAATTTGCTACATAACACGCTATCTGCATGTTTGTAGAGAACAGCTTGCTGTTTCAGTGGTAGAGAATTGAGAATTTCCAATGAACCATTTTCTAGACCCAAAACAACAAGATTTTCTCCACTTGCTGGTGAAGAACACATGGTCAAGATTCGAGAGTCTGCACAATATTCTTGGATGACGCTTCCTGAATTAATATCCCAAAGTTTAAGTGTCTTATCTAAGCCTGCGCTTAGTAAACAAGGAGACGACGATGTGGCATTGCTGAAATCCAATGAAGTGCAAGGCGCTTTGTGACCTTCAAAGAGTCTTACGAGCTGATGATTAGCCCTTAAATCCCACATGGCGACTGAACCGTTAGAGAGACTTGTGAATAGGAGGTTGTTGTTGGGATCGGATGTTTCCATGAGACACATGGAATACGAGTGAGAGTTGTCAGAAGGTTGAAGGACTAGTTTCTTTTTAAGCCTCTCTAAATCATAACATAATATTCCTTGATTTGTTTCTCCACAAGCATACATTGTACTTTCATCTCGAGCTATTTTCAAGGATCGAACAAAGGCATTCTCTGAAAATGGAAGTGTTTCAACATTCATCAAGTCAGAAATGTGGGTAGTGGAAGTCGATATTGGATTGCTACAATCATACTCTGTTGAATTATGAACAGACAATACCTTGATGCATCCTTTACCTCCAACATAGATCCTTTGTGCAGTAGGGTTTAAGGCAATTGATGAGACAGCATGTTCAGTTTCACACGAAAAGTGCATGTTCATCTGCTTGTTGGGAGTTGCACTTGAAAAGCTTGTACTGGTGGCTCCTCCACTGGACATTATCATTTTGGAAGGTGAAGAAAGAATTCCTACTCTCGAGTTTTCATAATTCTTAGAGTTGCTCGATGAAGACGAAGCTACATGAATGGGAACAGGATGAGAGGGTTGTACTGGGTCTGTGTTGGCTGTCTTGCTTTCCGTCGCCATACCACTAGATGGTACCGTTGCTGCCTCAGTTGCAAGCAGCCCTTCTCCCAATGCAATACTTCGTTGCTTGAGCTTGATTCTTTTTTCAATATCAGCAACAGTGACTTTACAGATTTGATTGATTTCATTCTGGTATGATTGTACCTTCTGTTCAGTGGTAGGTATTCATGTCATTCACGTGTTCGGGCGAATAATGATGATTTTTACCAAACACAACGACAAGTTCATTGATCAGCGAGGATCTAGTATGACACTTACCTCTTCGGGAATCTCTTGCATCAATTTGCTTAGAACGTTATTTAAACGTGAGTTCATTTCGGAAAGCTTGTGATTATTGACATTTAGAAGATAGGCCATTTCAAAATACTATCATCATGAAACGTTGTTATACGTGAGTTGGATTATATTCATGTTCGTTGACTCACCTTCTTGGATTGATCCAATAAGCCCTCCTTCTCTAACTTTAATTTTTCATTTTCTACCCTCATCAAACTCATCTGAGTGTTCAGATATTGATACTCATATTTCATCCTATCACAAAATTCTATGGCAGATATTTGCTACATGCCGTGTGCGTTTGGTGGTGATGTTCCAAATGATTTGATTAGTGAAGTTATCATGGACATTGTCATTGTTTCCAAATCAGGAAATTAAAAAAATTCAAGCCTTAATGCACGAACAACAAGACTTACCATTGTACTGCTCAGTGGAGGTGGTGCTTGAATAGAAGAATTATTGTACGGAACCATATTGGGATGTACCGATGATACTGAGGATGTTGTTATCAGTGGTGTTGGTACTCCTCCACTGATCATCATGGCCTGCTGCGTGCTTCCTTGAGGATGAAACAAGCCTTGTTGTTGTTGAAAAATGGGCGTAGGTGAGGCAGATGATGATGAAGGGATTTGAGGAAATGACATTTTTTTATGAGGCTCTGACTGTCAAGATGGATATATTGTTGGAGGTAAGCCTTACTGTCAAGATTCATGAGGCTTGCAATGACGTAAAATATCATATTTATAATACTACTAAAACTACAATATTTAATGCTACTACAATATAGATACAGTTTCCACAGGAGCATATTCCTTAATGAAGACAAGTATTGGAATACCATGTGGGAAGGGAGACTTGGTGGACTTGATCCACACCTTTGATTCTTCTTCTAAAATCTCACATTCACATGCTTGAGAGCAGTATTGAGCCAGGCGTTGCAATGAACAGGATGACTTGACGTAAACGTTTGAATTGTTTGAAAAGTTCATAATTTTGACCTCTCCATTTTTGAGTTTGTCAAATACTTGAAGGTTGAGTTGAGCAAAGTGCAAAGAAAATTTCAACATCATAAGACCATCTTCATTAATGTCAGTGGAAAAGTCAAACACTTTTTCAGAAAGAGCACTGCGTAGTCCAACAAGAGTCCATCCTTCGTTACAAAAAACTCGTATTGTATAGGCAGAATTGACTGACAATGTAGGATGAATCCATTTGAGCCCCTTTTTGAAGTCTCCTTTCACATAGCAGTGGTTGCAACTCGAAGCAGGATTCAAAAATTCTGAACCAATAACTCTTGACCCTGGTGAAAATTATGGACATAACAATGTTGTTTCAGGTAGGATTGGCATTCAATCGAGTCAAGTGAGAAATTAGATCACAGTTATAACTTACCTGCTGGCAATACGTCCTGTGGTAGCACATCAACCATTACATTATTTGAGGATTGTTGAATGGCAGACATTCTCGAAGAACTAATACGTTTCTTCTGCTCTCTATCTTTGAGCTTTCTTAATGAAACTGCAGCTTCTGTAAGTTTGTTCACAAATATCTTTTGAATTTCAATTATCTTGGACAAATACTTGGGCTGCTTTCCCACTTGTTTTAAAATTTCAGTATTGTTTCTCTCGACTTGAATTCCTAGGTCATTCAATTCTTTGCATACTTCTGAAATTAATTTTTCGTTAAATCCTCCACTATTCACTGTAATTCCCTCTACAAATTGTTTCAACTGCGCAGACGTTTGTTTTCCATTGTCTTCGTTTGTTTTACTTTTTTGCGCTATTTCTAATTGTTGCTGAATAACTCTCTCCCGTTCCTTCAAGAGATTTTTTACATTAGTTTCTTGTTTTCTGGACCGTGATTGGCATTCAATTCCGTCAAACGCTGCGGTGCATTGACACTTATTATTTTCAACACATATTCCATTACCAGAGCATACATCAAATGCATCAGATAGCTTTCCGAAACATGAATACAATGATTGTGATTTTGGTTTGCCGCCACTATCCTTACTATCAACAAGTTTCACGGTTTTTAGAGCCTTAATGACGGAGGGTAGTTGAGTTGCGGCTGTAACATTGGTCTTTGGTGCTTTGATCGGTTGAACGAGTTGTTTTACAACTTCTTTTGCTTTGTCTACAGGATTTTGTTGGGAGGGTGTTGTGTTGTTCAATTTCGAGATATGCATTTGTGTTGACTTGACTTGTTCTTTTAAACCCATGTCTTTTTCCTTTTCCGCCTGAATTATCATCGAATCCTGTTTGGCCAATTCTTTTTGTTTCTTTTTCTCTACCTTTTCATGGATTCGTTGTTCTTTAACTAGTTCCTTTGTTTCTTGTTTTCGCCCTTTTTCTAGGATTTTGGATACGTTTTTGTTAAGCCTGACATGTTTAGAACGAGATGCATTCAGCTCAGAAGATGAAATTGGTGATGGTGGTTCCTCGGACTTTCTTTCTGTCTCGGGTTCATTAGTTTGTTGGGAGGGTGTTGTGTTGTTCAATTTCGAGATATGCATTTGTGTTGACTTGACTTGTTCTTTTAAACCCATGTCTTTTTCCTTCTCCGCCTGTTTGGCCAATTCTTTTTGTTTCTTTTTCTCTACCTTTTCATGGATTCGTTGTTCTTTAACTAGTTCCTTTGTTTCTTGTTTTTGCCTCTTTTCTAGGATTTTGGATACGTTTTTGTTAAGCCTGACATGTTTAGAACGAGATGCATTCAGCTCAGAAGATGAAATTGGTGATGGTGGTTCCTCGGACTTTCGTTCTGTCTCGGGTTCATTAGTTGCTGCCTCAATTGGTGAGCCTGAGACTTTGACAGTCTGAGGCGTTGTTTCCGGAATGCCTGCTTCAACCAGTGTATTTGGACGCGTTGCTGCTTCTGGAGATGGTTGTTGTGGAGCAGAGGGTATTTCATCTCCAATGGGCCACAACTCTGAAGATGTTGTTCTTTCTTTCTTCGCTTTCTTTTCTTTTTTTTCGTTCTTTTGTTCTCTTTTCAATTTTTTCTTTTCTGATGAAGCTGTAATTATGGGTGATGATTCCTCTTGAAGATCATTTGGTGTCGGAACTATGATGGATTCTTCGGGTGAACCAACCTTAATGTGCTTTTCTTTTTTTCCTTTTGATTTCTTTTCACCGATATGCCCCTTTCCCTTATGCTCTTTTGTTTCAAGAATTGAGGATTGAGGAAAGGATTCGTCGGTTGTTAGAGTCTCTTCCATTTCATGAGCAACTCTCTTTTTTCCTTTGTTCTTGGATCCTCCATGAACAATTTGGTGATTACTGAATAACAATATCATCACGATAATGGAGAAAATGATCAAACATATGAAAAGAATGCCCCGCTTATTTGACTTGGAGCATTTTGTGTAAGGCTGCGGCATTGCCTGTATTTAATAAATAGGGAATTTTTTATAATGAAAAATTTGTTTTTTGTTCTCCACACTAACTCGTTTCAAATCAATTTACTTAATTAAAGCAACAAATAGACCAAATTTCGAGGTATCAGAAATGAATAGTTGATGCTTGTTCTGAAAGGAAGCGATCTGAGAATGAATAGATGAGCCTAACAGGTTATAAATATCGCATTAGGTGCAATTTATTGTTATTGGCAAGGTCTAAATTGATGTACAAATCCATGGACGCGCTTCATCAATAGAACCTCAGGTGCCACATGTCAAGGTACGCAAAAAATTTTCACAACAAAATGTTCAAGAGCAGGACGGAGCATTTTCACGCTCTTCTCCAATCGAACAACAGCTTCCGATCTGCACCAACCAACAACACCAAATCAACCAACGACCCTAACTCCACTTCCGATCTCTTTCAACTCGATCTCTTCATTGAAAAGCTCTCACTCGATGCTTCCACATTACAAAACACTACCACACCCATCGAAATATCCCCCTATTTACTCATCAAAGTGAATGGAACGACCAAAGCAAAAACCCTTGCCAAACGAAACAATTTAAAACCACAATTTAATCAAAATTTTCTTCTTTCGTTAGAGAACCCCAAGAAGGACGTCATCTCGATTTGCGTTCATGATAAAGAGAGCGGAGGAGATTTACTTGCACAATGTGTTTTGGATGATTTAGATGGCTACATGTATGGAAAAGTTACTTCATTGGTCGTGGATTTGGAATCGGGTGCAGGCAGTAGTTCAAGAGCTTCCATTGCATCATCGAGCTTGTTTCATGAGGGATGTTGTGGCTCATTGTTTGTTGATGTGAAGCCTTTGAATTTTGGAAAATCATCGCCCGAACAGCAACAACAACAGAATGCAAACCTTTCCAACAATGGAAAGAAGAAACAGACTTTTGATTCCAAGTTACAGGATGAAAAGAAGAAAACAAGCGCTTCTGGCTCGACAACTCTTACTTCTTCATCATCATCATCATCTGAAAAGGCAACAACCTCTAACAGCCACACTAAAAACCACAACAACAACAAACCAACGAATTTGAATTGGGATTTAGTCAAGTCATCAACCCATGGTGAAATAACTTCACAAGAGGAATCTCATCATGAAATGGAAGGAACCAATGCGACCACAACAGAGAAACGAAAATCAGCATGGTTCTCCAATAATGGTCTCAATTCACCCTCAGCGACACCCACTCATTCAGAGAGTGCTTTCCAATTCTATGATTTTCAATCGGGAGATGAAGATGATCTAGCTGCTGCAGCCAATTCTTCATGTCTCATTCAAATGGAGGGTGATAAGGAATTTGCAAAAACGAAACAACAATTCAAATTATTGTACATTATGGCCATTGATGTTCAAATGTTTGGCGAGAGAGTTCGTAAACTTGAGGAGCTTATCGAAAAGTGGAAGCTTCCCGAGAATGATACTGAGAAACTTCGTCTCAAAATTCAAACCACTATTCAACGAGCTGAGAAGAAACGAGAATTGTTGGATCAATTCCTTCCCAAGTTATCAAAGAAATTGCCCAAAGTAACCAATTGTAAATTAACCTTAATGAAACTCTCGAAAATTAAGCAACAATACTCAGAGATTGATCAACACTATGTACAATTGGTGAAACTACGACAGAGTTTGGAGAGAAAGCACCGAAAGAAGAGAATGGAACAAATGATGGAATTTGATGAATTGATTGATCAAGTCATGTTTCAACCTGCTTCGGATCAAATTGTGAGCAGTATTGCTGCAATTTCGTCTGGAATCAAGTTGCATAATGAAGATTCTACGTCGGCTCGTGTTGGCTCTTATCAGAAACCACACAAAGAGAATGCAACGAACACACAACAGAAAAAACGTGTAGCAAACACCGATAGTTCCCAGCAACAACCACAAACAATTGTAAATACTAACTCCAAATCTACGAAAAAGAATGTACCTGCTACAACCAATGATACGACGACGACGACGCTCATGGTAGACAGAAAAACACTTCGAAAACAAGAGCAAGCCAAACAAAAGAAACAACTTTTTCAAGCAATTGAGGCTGGTGCAATGAGCTCTGGAGCCAATCAACCTGATCATCTCATTCGCAAATATGAACAACATCAAAAGCAAATTGAGCAAGCGAAAGAACAAGCGCAACAAAAACAAATTCAATTCATTTTGAGTACAGCCGATGCAGAGACTATTGAAATTGAGAAGAAAATTGCCAATGAAACGAAACGTGAGTTGGAAGTCGTCGAGAGAGATTTTGCAGAGCTTCATGAAATGTACGAGCAAATGAATGTCATGTTGAGACAACAAGGAGAGGGCCTCAATATTGTGGAGAAGAATATTCAACAAGCAAATGAGTATGTGAAAGAGGGTACGGAGTATGTGAAGGCTGCAAGTGCCATGACAGGCACAGGAATTCTCACAGGTGGATTTACAAAAGCAGCTGTTTTGAGAAAGTTGCTTTCATAGATGGTTTTGTAACATTCTCAGCCTCGTTTTTAAAATTAACACATTGAAATTATGTGTTTCATATCAAATTCGGTAGTAAAAGGAGTTTTACTGAGGTTTGTTGTAATCAATAAAAGTGGTTGGTTGACTAATTTTTTGAATTTTCACTTTCAAAAAATTTACATTACCACTAATATGGAACAATTATTGTCATCTACTTCGAGAAAGGTGATAGAATCACTATCTCTCAAAGAATTGAAAAGTATCTACAACAGACTTCCATATTGTAATTCCGTTAGACTGGTAAGAGGGATAGCAAGATATTAAATCATTAACAACATCATTCTTCTTCCCTGCTAGGAAAGCCTTCTGTTGTAGATACTTTTCAATTCTTTGAGAGATAGTGATTCTATCACCTTTCTCGAAGTAGATGACAATAATTGTTCCATATTAGTGGTAATGTAAATTTTTTGGAAATAGGATAGAAGGTAATGTTCAACTATTAGACATGCGTACGTACACGCGGTGAAGAATAAATAATCCGTTTTACCAACCATCTTTCTGTTGATTTACAACAAATCTCAATTTTAATTCAATACGCAGTTGAGTAAAGTCGCTCATGCCATTTTGCTGTTTGAGATTTGTTAAAAATTTGATTTGAAAGAAAAAATAATCATCATTCGAAAGTTCAAACACAGATCGATACCCAGCCATGACGAATGTTGAAGAGACACGGTTTTAATAATGAATAATAATTTTAGTAGTTATCCCAAGGAAAATCATGATCATCATTTCCGAATTATTGATAATTCAACAAGTAGTAATTTTAATCAACAGCAACATCAAGCATCACCTTCATCGGTGATGAACTTGTCATTACCACTGTCATCCGTAACCGACCAATCGGAATCAAGAGTTGAAGTACACACTTTTAATAACAATAATAATGAAAAAGAAAATAATGAAAAGGAAACTACCTCTTCCGAACTCCTCAACTGTGATACAAGTATGGTCTGCAAACAACCAGAGGCTGAGGCTACACTTCCTAAGATTATCACTGCAAGCGCATCATCCAATGAGTTGCCAACATTTACTAAAAAGGGAGGCTCTCATCACCTACAACAACATGAAGAAATCGTTACTTTGGATTCCAAAGACCATACAGACGAAATTGAAAAATTAGCACATGACGGAATAGAATATAGCGTTGGAGATGAAAACGAGAATGATGGCTTGTTGTCAGAAAAATCAAAGCACAACTCGGCAAGTAAGCTACTGCGAAAAAAAATCTCGAGCATGCTTCAAAATTCGGTCAACAAGACCATTAGTGGAGGAATGAGTTTATTGTCACTTCGACAACGTAAAACACCAGCTTCAGGAGAGTTTGTGAATCATGATTTTGAATCGAGCAGTAGTGTTGATAACACTAATGTTGCATCCGGATCTGAATCACAAAATTTCGAAGATGGACAACCCAATCCTGGAGACACTATATTTCCACATGCATCTATAGCAACACAACAAACGCTGAAACGAACTAGGACAATATTTGCACTTACTTCGGTTTTTTCGAAAGCAATTTCTGGATGGAGAAGGAATGTATCTCGTAAAAGAGGATTTCATCAACAATCACGGGCAAATTATAGCTCCACCACTATTAGGCCTTTATCATCCTTCTCGAAAAGACAAAACAATAATTCATGCACAGATTTATTTACACAAATACCTGAAGAGCTCTGGAGATATGGAGTTTTCCCGTATTTAGAGTGGATGGATTTATTGCGATTGAGATGTGTTGGTAAATGGAAATTAACAATTATTGTGCAAGAGCAAGAACAAGTTTGGAAAATATTATTCTCTGAAAAGATGAGCAAGTATTTCCAGCAAGAAAAAGAGTTGTGGAAATCTCATGCTAAAAATTATTTTTTCTTTGATTTAGATGAAGCCATCATTAAGGAACATTATGAGAAAACCATTCTAGAAAAGTACACCTTACAGTATAGAAAAAAATTCGCCATTCAAAAAGACAAATGCTTTGGATTGCAATCAAGAAACAACTCAAATGACTCTCACCATGGTATTTCTCTATTTTCACATTCTTCATCATTACATCAAAAAGAAGAAGATTCCGAATGCCCTACAGAAGGTGATTGCGCTCATTATTTACACAAAACAACAATGCTAGAAAGCACTCCCACTGATCATGCCCAAGAAGATTTTGTTTATTATCTTTCTTGCAGCCGTTCTGTACATGAAAGGAAACAACAAGTGATTTCTCGAAAAAAACACGAACAGCAACAAATTTTGAACAATAATGAGCATAGAAGCGCCTGGCTACGAATATTCACCTTACTTGTGACCATGTTGTCCGCTGTTGCTGCATTTGTATGCCTCTCAGTGAAAGATTTTGCATTCTCAAAGAACATTGACATGGCTGCTGTCTGTGGTATGAATCATACCAGCACTACGGCACTACTTTTTCTCGAATCACAAGCATTATCATTCTCTCATTATCACGACGCATCTTTTTCCTATTTGAAACTGATGGATAAATCTTGGACCATACCTTTTGTTCCCATCTATATTGCCATGTTATTTATATTGGGAACGATACTATATTTTTGGATTCGATATTCTTCAGATAATACCAAATTCAATTTAGAGGGAGATGGGCGAGAGAGACACCCCAATGAGATTTATTTTTACATGACCTTTATAACCGTTGCTGTAATATTGTTTGTTGTTTTTTTGAATATTCGAATGGTGTATCCATATTGTGAAAGCATGATACACAAACTACACACGGAAGGACAATCAAGTTTCTCATCAGAAGATGAAGTTGCAAGTCTTCTAGTGGCTGAAGTATTCGCGAATGGCGTTGTACTATGTAGCCCTCTCTTTGCAATTCTAGGAATGGTCACTATTTACTTTGTAAGATCGCTGTATGCTGGAATTATTTATCGTCGCTATGTGTTGAAATTTCATATTCACTTGGTCATGATTGGCGTTGTGCTTTGGAAATTTATTGCACCATTTGTGACATGGGTTTTTACTGTGCTGTCATTGACTTTGTTCATTTTGTACATGGTTCTTAATTTACATCCATTGGTAGCCACAATTCCTATCATGCTGCTGCATTTAGTAGGGATTTTTGTTTTAGGATGGATATTTGTAATGTTTTCGGTCATGTTACTGACATGTGCGGTCGAGAGATCAAAACTATGGAAAACCATTTCGACACTTTTATATTCTTTCCTCCTCATTACATTGCCAGTGGTGTTTTACTTGCTGATTGGGCTCAACATGAGAATTGGAATTGTGGCACTTCCTTGCTCTGCATTCTTTGTGGTGCTTATTTTATTTGGTATGAATTATGTGGACTATGTGGAAGATTTATTTAGTTTTGACGAAACGGTTTGGCCATTTTCTTAGTTGGAAATGTAGAACGTCATTTGTTATTTTGTTAAGGATTATGGAAGAAATACTTCAAAGCAAGCCTTTATCTACTGCACATACACTCCAGGGTTCAAAAAGACGAAGAAGGATTAAAGACCTTCCTTGGCTCGAGGATTGTCGAGGTGGAGGCAAAGTGGTGTTTCAAATATTTGTTTGCACTACTAATTTATTGCTGACCCTAGTTATTATTCGTTCCAAACATATCAGAAAGGTTACCATCACTTCCTAAACCGCGCATCATGTCAATTTGTCTTTGAAGTACCTCTTTCATATGTGGATATTTTCGAATGGTTCTCTCAAGAAGCCTAACAGCATCGTTCGTCCTTGATTGATGATGAAGGAACGTACTGTAAGCAATATAGTGTTGAACTTCTTCTGGCTCCAGAGCAATCACTCGTTTGAAAAGTAAATCAGAAACTTGTGGATTCTTTTCTTGAATGTAGTAAGCCAAACATGCCATCACATTCACATCCTTTCCTTTCGTTAAATCAAAAGCTTTCTCAAGGAGAGCAATGCTTTCGTTGACTTCACCCATTCCATTGTACAAAATGGCACAATTCATGTAGAGCATTGCAATTTCTTTCTGTGACAAATTCGAGAATAGTTTTGCGAATGGAGATGAAAAGTCCTTGTTGTCAACAATTTGAATGATGCTATCGAATAACTGTTTGGCTTCGAATTGTCTTTGGAATTTCTTCAAAATGTACGTTTTGACATAAATGACATCCAAGGCAGTCACTCGATCGCTATCTTGTGCGTGGTACCGATAAGACATGTCTGCCATTTCAAATGATGGATATGACTCTCCGTTTGAGCTTTCCTCGTCTTCAAGCGATAAATTCACAAGGTTTCCGGAGGCAGGATCTTCAAGTTGGAGTGTTTTTCCCATGTCACTATTCCTTAGGCCGGACATGTAAGAATCCAAGTGAGATATCAACTCATTTCTGTATGAATCAGGTGCAATTACTTGTGTTTCTTTCAAGTCGACTACATGTTCCTCTCCATCCTCAAATTTTTTCAATAACTTGTCCAACATTTCCTCGACTAGTTCTCGATATTGTTCAAAATGTTCTCCCTTTCTCGAATATAACATGGCCAATTCCAAGACTGCTCCAAAATGGTTATGTGTATCCATGAGATCTTTTAACAAATATTCAGTTCCTTGAAATCGAGAACTCTCTTCAGCATTAGATGCCCAAATTCGTGACAAACGAATTTTAGCATCCACAAAATAGGGATCCATTCGTATGGCCCTCAAGTATAATTCAGCAGCAGATTCAGGCTTATTTCCTTCCTTCTCAAATAAAGAGGCTGCATTAAATAGAATGATTGGATCATTGTTAAAATTGAGTTGAAGGCTTTGCATAAAGTAAAACAAGGCTTCTTTGGTCTTGTTCAATTTTTGCAAGCAGTAAAATCCTAAATTATTATAGCATGAAGCAATGTCCTTTTGTTCTTGTGGAGAGAGAACACTTTTGAAAGAGGCTGTTGGATCCTCGGAACGAGCTTGTTGTACTCTCTGGGAGTATTCAGAAATTCTTTGATGAATGGACCGAATGACTTCGGGATCAATATTTTGTTGTGGGGATGATGACGAGGATGATGTATCAAAATTGTTATTGTTATTATTATTATTACGGGATGGAGAGTGTTCCGAAAAAGAATGTCCTGCTTCTTCTTTCTGTTTTATAAATAGTGAAGAATGAAACGAGCAAGACAAACTGGAAGAAGAAAACCGGGTCGTCTTCCAAACATTTACCATGGGAAATGATGATCCGTTGTTGAATGACGAGACTTTAAAAAACTTTCTGCAAAGGCCAACTCGTGCAAGGTTCAACATTTTTTTTAATTTTTTGAAATAATAATTGTTTCATTGAATCTTTGAGTTCGTAGGAGGAATTATTATCAATCGTTGAATGTTGGCTATTGTGTTCACACACAACGTGCCCCTTTTCTAAAGGTCAGTTTTGAAAAAAATAATGCCATTTGTCAACACATCATCACGAAACTCCCTTTAAGAAAACCATTGCTCCAACACAACCAACACATCATTCAAACCATTATTCAACCCAATCGTCATTGTGACCAACACTTTGCATCCACTCATTCACATTGTCCTTTTCTTTCAAAATAATCTTTTCGAAAATGATTGCCGACCATTCTCCAACAACTCCTTCAACACCATCTTCATCCAATCCACAAGAACCCAATTCTTCTTCGTCAACAGTTGGAACCAACACAACGACCCCTCACACCATTCCTCCCAACGATCATTCCTCATCGATGGAACTCGGAACTAAAGCACTCACTCCCAACACCAAACAGCATCATCATCGAATATTACTTTCATTTCCTCCATCAAAGACATCTTCAGCAAATACCACACCCAATGCTTCACCAAATTCAACAACACCCAACTCGTCGTCACTAACACCATTTTCCTTCTTTAAACGATTATTAACAAAATCCAACAAGACATCGAGCAATTTGCCATTAGTAGTAGTAGGAAATAATCATCAAACACCTTCAACAACAACAACAGCACTGAAAGACAATGATCGACCTTTGAATGGATCCAAATCGGAAGATCTTTCTTTCACTCATCCAGGTGCATCCAATCATGATTTTCCAACGAGTTTACCTTCCACGAAAGAACAAGAAAGGAATTATGAAAATATTGTGCAACATTTAAATGGAGGAAATGTTGGACACATGTTGACTCGTGTGAATATTGATGCATTTGTATCATCACAACAACCATTATTGGATCAAAATAATCATCAAGGAATGGCATTAACAACACCTCTGATTGAAGTGACACCAATTATTGGTCAACAACAACAACCATCCAATGCTCAAAATAATGACACGACGACACTATTGCAACAACCATTGAATGGTATTGTTGTCACAAATGAAAATAGTATTCCCATTTTGGGTGATCCAAGTGAATTATCTTCTCAATTTCATGAAACTCCAAATTCAACAAATTTCAAAGTGCTTTCAGCCAATATCTTTGATCAAGAAATGACAAACGATGGAATTAATAATCATTCAAGTAGCAACAAGAACCCAAAGAAGGACACCAATTCGAAACGAAAGAAAGGCAGTCCAACATCCTCAACGGTCACTTTTCAACCCATCCCTTCCACTTGTTCGGTCAGGAAGTCCTCTACTTCTACGTCACATCAGCGCCATCGTAACAATAATGGTTCTCCATTATTTCGAACGAATCGACCCACTGCTCCAAAAACTTACCTTAAAAAGCTCACTTTTATGGAAAGTTTATCCACTTCTGCCGACCCTTCCACCTCTGCTTCGACTCACTCGTCCTCTTCTTCGAAAAAACACTCAGGAAATACTGATATTGTGGAAAATGATTTACTTTTCAATGATTTACAAGTTTTCCAAAATCAAGTTGTGAAGAGATATATCAAAATTTTAGAACAACCCATGGTGTGTAAAGCATTCAATTATGAAGTATTGGGTCCTCAGAATTTTCTATTGAATCCATATATGGGAGTATCTTCTGTAACATCTACTGAGAATACGAGGAAATTGCATGGCAATGAAACAACGAGTCATTCAAATACTACTTCCAACGACAGTAATGCCATTTCTTCTCCAAAAAAGAACAATTCTCAATCATCGTCACCATCCTTAAATCCCTATCTTTTTGATGACAAATTTATTCAAGAATATCATTGGAGACGAAGAAGATCAACACAAGACATGAACAAACACACGTCAAACATTCCCAATGTGCCAACCATTGATATTGTGTGTGAAGATGGAGCGACTCTCTCGTGTTATTTTGAATTCATTGGACATCAGAATTTTGAACAACATCATCCTACGAGTCATCATCATCATTATAATGGAACATCTACCATTCCTTCCACACATCATCACACAGGTCATTCAGATAGTTCAGATAGCAACAACAACTCTCATGCACCCACGACGAGTAAGAAAACAGTGATATTCTTTCATGATGGTTCTGAAGAAGCATTTGAATACTTTTCAAATTCATCTCTTTGTAAATTCAAAGATTTCATTCTCTCCATGGGACTTCAAATTTTCATATTTGAATATCGAGGTTTTGGATTTTCCACATGTGCACGTGGAGAAGATGAACGAACTTCTCTTCATCGATTCTTGGAAACAGATTGCAAATTAATTCATCATCTTTTCTTGACTCGATTGAAAATACCCATGTCTGATGTGATTGTGTATGGAAAGGGATTTTTAGGAACTACTTGTGCGTTGCATTACGTTTCCAAGTTTCCCATGGTGTCAGGTCTTTGTTTGGAATCACCTTGTGTGGATATTCTAAAATTGGTCAATGCCAACATTCCAGAAAGTGTTCTCTCTCAAATGGGTCTCTCTGAACAAGCAGACGCATTGGATGATTTATGGAATTTAAATATACGTCTCGAAGAAGAAGAATCGATCAAATTTGAATTTACCAATTACAATTTTGGAGTTGAGGAATATTATCGAGTGAAAAAACCACTAAAATCCATGAACAACAATCGAACAATTCAAAGAAAACCCAATCCTCATAACACAACCATTGCATGTAAAGTGGGCGATGAAAAGTATTACACCATGAAAGAGCTCAAAAATTGTATCTTGCATCATTTTAACACTGTGGAAAAGCTTTCTTCCTTTACTGGAAAATTACTCATTCTTTTTCAACAAGGAAATGAATTGGTTCCATACGGTGATATTGAAAGCTTTTTCAAGAATGTCAAAACAGCTGAAAAGAATATGTATTTATTGTCATTGAATGAAATGACGAGCTCAGCATCGAATGCTACCGATGATCCCTTCAATTTATTTGAGAGAAAATTCTATGCTTGTGCCAAGGCCATTCATCGATTTGTTCAATCGGTGGGACATGTCTTGCCTGAAAATTATGGACTCTTTATGGACAAGTTATTGGAAAAAACAAAACCAGCCAAGAGACCAGCTTATATTGAAGAAGGAGATGACGCTGATTTGACTTCTGAATTATCTGAACTTGCAACTAGTTCCTATGTTGACACTTTTCAAAGTTTTGGAGGACGTGGCAGAAGAAACAAGTACATGCCCCCATGTGGAGGATGTGGACACTGCAGAGCTTGTATTGATCAATCCTTGTTGGAAGAGGAAGAAGAAAGACTTGGTCGAAATGAAGAAGATAATTATGAAAATGATCAAACAGAAAGAGATTTAGATGATGAATATCTTGAGGAAGAAGAAGAAGACGACGAGTTTGTGCCAGAACAAGTAATCATGAAGGAAAATCTCAATGAAGAAGCAAAAAAATCATTGGAAGATTAATGGTGGTGTTGTTCTATTAAGAAAACCCAGCACCTTAGTACACTACTGTGCTCTTTCAATAGTAGTTCGAATTCCTTTTCACATACTTTCAATTACTAAAAAGAAGCCAACCCTCATGAATAGTATTGGCCATTTCACATATATAACAGATTAACCCTCTCTTTATTAAATATGAAGCTTCATGAGGTTATACACACAACTTAAACCATTTGACGAGTTGGCAAATTATCTGGACTAATATCACAAGGTAAAGTATTTGGAGTAATATAACTATTCGTTGTAAACTTCAATGGTGCCATTTGCACTCCTTCCACACTCACATAATTCTCAAAGACCAATTCAACCATTGCAGCCGTATAACCACTGACTGGATTTCTTACCAATACTTGCCATTCGAATGCTTCAATTTCACTCAACTCGGTTGCAGTCCAAGCATTGACTCCGATGGTTGTGGTTCTAAAATCACGAGGACCATTCAAATTGGTGGCACTCCACAATTGGACACGAGTAGGTCTCTTGCCGTTCGTGATTTTGACATTGATGAGAAGACCTTCTGGAATGAATTCATGAGAGAATTGATATTTGGGAATTTCAATTTGATTGTGTCGAGCATAGTAATAAGATTGGAGAACTGGTAAGAAATCAGTGTCTTGTAAAAAGTGACCAGCGTTTGGAACGTAACGAACGTATTTATCACCCTTGACACGACGATAGGAAAGACTATTGAGATCTCTATGTATTCCAATGGAATTTCAAATATATTAGTGAAATTAAGAATTGATTCAGTGGTGAGTGAATGATAAAACGAAAAAAGAAACTTACGGAGAAAAGAATTCATCTCCCATGGCTAAAATTTGATACTTTTGGATGGTATCCAATCGATCATAATGAAGAGGATCTACAATATCAGTCAAATCTTCAAATTCTGGTGTAAAGAGTTGATCAGTCACGCCACTTGTCACATAATCATAATAAGCCCATGGCCAAGCACACATGTTGTCATAGGAACGTTTAATGAAACGTTTAGTACCAAAGGTTGGAATTACTACTGGAACAATGGAATTCACACGGTTATCGACACCACCTAAGAGAAGAGTGGTCCAACTGTGTGGTTTGGTTTGACATGTCCACAACCACACACAATTGGTTCGACATGTCCACAAAAATTGCATGTGTTGGGAATCAACAATAGATTTTGAACATGGTTATTGAACGACGACAGTCAAGATTACAGTCAATACCTTCACACTGTACATATACACCACATCCCATACTTACCCTCTCTTTGAATTTCCTCCAACCATGAATGTTTCAAGTCTGTAATTGTCAATCTTTTGTTGAACAAAATGTTGAACTGCATCCAAAGACAATTTAGAAGCCTTAACCATTGGTAATTGAGTGACATATAACAAATTATCAGCAGTGTTATTCATGAAACGTCTCCATCCGAAACCAATGATAGCATCCTCTTCACGAATTAAATGTTCTGGATCAGAATTGTAACTCATCGGTTGATTAGGAATGAGATACAAGGTAGCAGCAATGCTCTTGGTATTCACTGCGAGAGAGGTCGAAAAAGCATCAATTCCAACAGGGGAGGAGGTTGTAGCGTCGGCACCAGGAGCTGGTTGATCGGTTCTACCATTGGTAATGAAAAAGAATCCTTGAGAATTGACCTTGTTCAAATCATTTGGGATGGCAACAGTAACAAAATGATACCAAATGTGTTTGGAACCAACTTCAGACTCTGGCAACCATGTCAACGAAGTGATATTCAACGTGTAGATGGTTGCTTGAGAAGTGGTTGTGGTTTCAATCAAACGATATGAAAAGACATCACTGGGTGAGTGGACATATTGATGGAGTGCTTGTCTGAAATCCGAGGTGGACTCTTCATGGTTACCGGTGGCCAAGCAACCTGCTGTCAAGACAGCAACGCTCAACAACAAGAGGGAAATAAGACTCCTTGCAACTCTCATATTTTTTGCGTGAAAATGTATGAGTTGATCCTGCTTGTGAATTTGACACTTTCTCAGGTTGGAAGGTTGAACGTGATGAAGCTTCTTCACCTTTTGAATAGGAAAGATACGAGGTGTTTTGGACTTGCGTGCGGATTGAAAACTTTCCTGTTTTGATTGGCTCGCGTCCGTTGTAACCATGTTTCTTTGTTTGTCCAAAACCTGTGCTTGTTGTTTGGTGAATGAGGTCATGACCGCTTCCAAGATATCGTATTTCAAATCATTCTTGTAAGGTTTTTGATTAATTCAACATGACATGAACTGGAGAGATAACAAGAACCATATGGAAATGTGTTTTCCATGTATCTTGATTATGGAAGGATTTGTTGACAGCTACTGTTCGCTTTGTGTCACTTGCTCATTTTGTTTTATTATTTCCCATGACAATTCTTTACACTTTTTCATCATGGACTTTCGAACAGCACCGCATAAAACTATCCGGATAGCCACCAAAACATACTACGGAGATAGACACATTCAGTATTAATGGGTGAAGCTGCCTTAGTGAACCATTTATTCATCCTTTTGTGATGTTTTGGAGGTGGATAAGGAATTGTCAAGGCGACAGTAGTTATTTTTAGCTACACAAAAAAAATATGCTGCGCTTTCCGCACCAAAATGAAGAGAACAGGCTCCAATAGCATCAACGGTTAATTACCCACAACAACAGCAGCCACACATCGAGCCTCACCAAAACAACAAGACATTATTTTTGCCCCAGAAATTGTGTTTTCAATTATACTTTGTCGAACAAACCAAATTTAATTGTTCCGAACAACAAATTGTTGTATTATCCAACAACAACCACATTTGGCCAAATACGGTCTTACACCACCACAAATTGGTGGAGGGAGAGAGAAGCATCAACAAATGATAGTGATGGTACAAATACTTCAGCAGCGTCATCCTCCGAACCAATCACTCTCAATTTGATGGATTACAAGAAATGGAACGCGCAAGGGGTTGCTTCAGTATTAACTTCTGATGAATCTTTAGGTGGTGCTGGTTTGACGGTTGAAAAGGTGAAGCCTTTGTATGAGGCTGGTTTTGATGGCTCATCTCTCCACAACATTGTTGGGGATATCAAGATGGATGGTGTAAAGTATGCCATTGATCAACTTCAAAGTACTTATAACAAGAGTAGCGTTTCTCAACTTTCCAACACTTACGAAACTGTTGTTAATTGGGTAGCTTAGCAGTTACTACCCAATTTATATTCACTCTGGACAAGAAATCAAGTGAAAGAAAAATTGTGCTTGCCAAAGATACAAGGAGGAGCTGGTTTGACGTCAAAACAAATGACAGATTTGTATGACGTTAACCCTGGGATTGATGGGGCATTTCTTTACAGTATGGCACAAGCCAAAGGTGAATCTGTAATTGATAGCCTTGGAAACAACGATGTGAGCCAGGAAGTTGTAAAGTGGATTAACCTCATACATAATCGCAAGTTAGTGGTACAATTGAGAAGGCTTGACGACATTAGTTTGCTCTTCAGCAAATATGCTCCAAGAGAGGCACCAAATCCTCTGGTTAAGCCCATTGTTAATATTCCATTCAAAACCAATGACCAGTTTGTTGCCGATGTTTCTTATTGCTTTGAACAGTTACTAGTAGCAAGGGACAAACAAAGCATATCTATTCCATTTCTTGCTTGTGGTCCAGGAACTGGTAAATCAAGAACTCTTCAAGAAATTTTCCCACTTACAAAACCAGGGCAACAATTCAAAGACAATAGCATTATACTATTAACTTCCTTTGGTAATGGTTCTGCCATAGACCCTGAAACTGAGTTTAGTTATGAGAAAGCCTTATGTCTGAGAATTTTATACTCCTATCTCAAAGTTAATGAATTTAGGGCATTCAGAGAAGAAAATAAGAACATTAATTGTACACTCTCAACAGTTTTACAAGCCATTGCACACCACTTTAAAACCACTAATAACAAAATGAATGAAAAAGTCTATATCTACCTGGGTATTGATGAGTTTACAGAATTGCAACGATTAGAATATGACAAAGTAGATAATTTAAGCAAAGGAGTGCAAAAAAGAACATCATTGTATGCAGTTATCACTTTACTTGGTAGTTTTATCCAAAATTATAACACAGGTAGCAACCTTTCTCTACTGCCAATGCTTGGTGGATTAGATTATAACGCTTTCGCTGTTGCCTCTGGCCATTCACAATACGGAACAAGTTATTTCACTCCATATCTTTTTACTTCTGAAGACATATATTCTATCACAAAAGAACACCTTCCTTCGCCAATCATTTCTTCAACTTCATTATGGAAATATTTGGCTTGTGTGAATGGACATGCAAGGACACTAGAGTGGTTCCTTGCAGAATTGAAAAAAATTGACCTATCACATCCAAAATCACCTCACACTATAAACGATGAAATAATGAAGTGTTATAATAGAGCCAAAGAGCAGTTTGCACAAAGAAATAAGCATGTAACATTTAACAAAGAAGTGGCGAAGAAAATACTGGCATATGTGATCACAGAACAAACTTTCCCTTCATTTACTAATGAAATTATTCCAGGTGGCCCAACATTCAAAGCGCTAGAAGATGGAGGGTATATCCGTTTGAGTAAACACTCCGAAAAAGACCAATGGACCTGTACATCCTCTTTACCCATGCTTGAAAAATGTTATGAAGGATTAGAGTCCAAATCTATATTTAACGATCTTTTTAAATATTTATTAGAGACACCAAAAACTGTAGATAGAGATTTTGAAGTTTTTAATTCATTATATGATTTAGTATTGAGTCAATGTTATAGCTTTTTAGGCAGAAAAGAAATGACTGTATTTGAAAGATTTAAAGGTGTCAAAATTGTGAATGGAAATT